CCTTATTCTTCAAAATTACATCATGGAGTATTCAAGTACATCTACATGTACATGTTGTAACTTAAATTTTATTAAAAAGTGAATGAAAAGTGTCTAATACTATAAATACAAAGATAAAATGTAAAGGTGGGCATGACAATGCTTCTAACAATAACTGCATTTTATGATGTGAACCAACATTCGGACAGAGTCATAAATTTTAATGCTGGATTACATCATAAGGCACGATCATAATGGACTATTGTTTTCCTCGGATTTCAATATATTAGGAAAGTCCAGGATTGGAAATTCATCATGACATTCATGCAATTAAACATAATATAATTACAAATATCCTCCTGAAAACATTTCCATAAAAAGCTGTATAAATAAAACTAGCCACATTGCACGATTCAGATATGTTAATGCGCTAACTGTGGCAGGTGGAGTAACCGAGATGTTAATAAATAGGTTTTATCATTATGAGTCTATTTTTGTCATCATAAAATAAATAATAAACCACCCAGCAGCACAAGACAATGGCAGAATAGCACTTTTTCAAGGTGCGATAAAAATCATTGAGTTGTTTTTGAACAAAAGAATAAACTTCCTTAAGAAGGACTTTATCAAAACCAGAAAATAATACTGTCCCAGTCTTATTATTATTAGTTGAATTAAGAAAAAACAGTATAAAGTCAGTGTTCTCCCAAGGATTTTTCTCAAGTAAGTGCAAACTTCTTGATTTCACAATTCCGACCTTTGGTCAGATCTCAGATGGGTGCAAGCCCAATCTCAAGTGGGTGCAGTGCGCACTTGCTTTAATGCTGAGGCGATCACTGAAAGTAATATCTTTTGGTGATATTGGTTATTCCATGCATAATTATGCCTATTATCCTACACTTAGTGTACTAAATGTATAATAACATTAAAAAATAAATTTGATATTTATGGGCAAAATGAATATCCGGAGGATATCGTGACGATATACTCCGGGCGGAGGATATCGTGACGATATACTCCGGGCGGAGGATATCGTGACGATATACTCCGGAAAACCCAATATGCGGAGGATATTGTGACGATATACTCCGTTTGTTGATTTCCCGCCAAATTGACTCTATTTGGCATGAAATTCATTTTGCAATGATATTATACATTTAGTACACTCCTTGTAAGTGTAGGATAATAAGAACATCCTATGATTTTTTTCAGAATATCATTTTAATCTACTCGGTGATATTGATATCTGCACTCGTTCGCTTCGCTCTCTCGTGCAGATATCAATACCACCTCGTAGATAAAAATGATATTCCTCAAAATCATAGGATATCCTATAATTATCACCCTTGGTATATCCAGCTAGTGATAATGGATCGGGGAGGTGCGCCAGCATGACTGGGGCAATGCAACAGTTATCAGGGAGTTTAAGCTTGCACTGTTTTTCACAACCTAAACATGAATGGAAGTTATTTCAGCGATGGACTTGTATGGGCAATTGGTAATACATTAGGTTGGTGTTTCAATTTTAAATGCAAGCTTTTTAAACTCCCCATTTTTGGAATTGAATAACCCGTAACTTGCTTAATATCAACTTTTTATGTAAATCTTTAACATGTTTGAAAACTTTCCAATTCTTCAATTTTTCATTCCTTAAATAGCAAGCTCCTTCTATTATATCAACACTTAATTTTTCATATGGAAATGAGTCTCATTGATTACTTCAACTTATACTTTTTATAAACCTTTACGTCAATATTTCGGAAAGAAGGATCATTTGAAGCAATTATGATAAATGATATTTAAACTTCACCTTAAAGACAGAATTAGATCTTGACGAAATTTCAATTTTAGAATATTTTGAGCTCATATCATTCCTTGTCATGTCATGTTTTCTAAAAATGCCCAAAAAATGTATACTTAAGGAAAACGTTGAGTAAAACTAAAGATTTTTACAATAATCCAATAAATTGTTGAATATGAATTCAATTGTTTTTTATATGGTTACCATTTTTATTATTTGTGAGGATTTAAATTTAAGACGATAGTCTCCATTTGGAGGCCTATAGTGTAATACCTTTCAGGACGATAGGCTCCTCTTGGCACCATTATTTTTATATCTATATACATCAATGAAATGACAATATCTCCAGTTCTATTCAGTATTTTTACACCAAATTTTGACAAGTTGTTCTAATATGATAATCCTTACTAAAAATTGTATTTCAGTGATAAAATTCAGGGTATAGGTCCCAGGTTGAAGGTAATTTGCAGTTGTCCCCTAAAAACTGCTCTTAGTTATCCACCACCTGAAGCAAGTTAAAACAAGTTGAAAAAAGACCTTTTTGACCTTGAAAAGGTCATTGAAGGTCAAATGTCAAATCTAAAGTCAGATAGACTAAGATTTGAACTTCTGAGAACATGTAGATGATTTTGAAAAAAAAATTAGTCAATTTGAAGCAAGTTGAAAAAAGACCTTTTTGACCTTGAGAAGGTCATTGAAGGTCAAATCTAAAGTCAGATTTGAACTTCTGAGAACTTGTAAAGTCAAATTTGAACTTCTGAAAAGATGTAGATGATTTTGAAAAAAAAAATTGGTCAATTTGAAGCAAGTTGAAAACAGACCTTTTTTGACCTTGAGAAGGTCATTAAAGGTCAAATGTCAAATCTAAAGTCAGATTTGAATTTCTGAGAACATGTAGATGATTTTGAAAAAAAAAATTAGTCAATTTGAAGCAAGTTGAAAAAATACCTTTTTGACCTTTTTTGACCTTGAGAAGGTCATTGAAGGTCAAATGTCAAATCTTAAGTCAAATCTAAAGTCATATTTGAATTTCTGAGAACATGTAGATGATTTTGAAAAAAAAAATTAGTCAATTTGAAGCAAGTTGAAAAAATACCTTTTTGACCTTTTTTGACATTGAGAAGGTCATTGAAGGTCAAATGTCAAATCTAAAGTCAGATTTGAATTTCTGAGAACATGTAGATGAATTTGAAAAAAAAATTTAGTCAATTTGAAGCAAGTTGAAAAAAGACCTTTTTGACCTTTTTTGACTTTGGGAAGGTCATTGAAGGTCAAATGTCAAATCTTGAGTCAAATCTAAAGTCAGATTTGAATTTCTGAGAACACGTAGATGATTTTGAAAAAATTTTTTAGTCAATTTGAAGCAAGTTGAAAACAGACCTTTTTGACCTTTTTTGACCTTGAGAAGGTCATTGAAGGTCAAATGTCAAATCTTAAGTCAAATCTTAAGTCAGATTTGAATTTCTGAGAACATGTAGATGATTTTGAAAAAAAAATTTAGTCAACTTGAAGCAAGTTGAAAACAGACCTTTTTGACCTTTTTTGACCTTGAGAAGGTCATTGAAGGTCAAATGTCAAATCTAAAGTCAGATTTGAAGGTCAAATGTCAAATCTAAAGTCAGATTTGAATTTCTGAGAACATGTAGATGATTTTGAAAAAAAATTTAGTCAATGTGAAGCAAGTTGAAAAAAGACCTTTTTGACCTTGAGAAGGTCATTGAAGGTCAAATGTCAAATCTAAAGTCAGATTTGAACTTCTGAGAACATGTAGATGATTTAGAAAAAAATTGAAGTCAGTCTAAACAGTATTTGTTAAGTTATAGGAAGTTGTAAGAAATTGTTACAGACGCCGGATGTCAGACGCCGGACTCCAACCTCCAACCACCAACCGCCGTCGCAAAAAAACGGAGACCATAACAATATGTCACCACTTTTGGTGGTGACATAAAAATCACTTATTCGCGGCATAATAAATTAATATAAAATTCACCCATTAACAACATAAAGATCCCAGTGAAAGTATAAAATCATACAATGAATCAGAGTAAATATCATAAAAAAAATAACAGAAACAAGATTTATATCTTGAAACAGCACAACCTGACCTGGAGATATCAAAAGTCTATTAGAGAGATGGTAAACATCTGTTACACAGAAAACCTTCATAATATGATGCATAAGATATATATATATCTTTTATTGACTCTTTAGATGTCATATCATGACATATTAGTCACTAAGGTAGAGCAGTTCTTCCCATTGTCGAGTTGAAGAACTGGTATCTTTATCCTGGCTAGAACCATAGACAATTCAAGCCAGCCCCAGCCTTTTATCTAGTTAGCAGCACTCTAGTAATCGCCGGTATATGTCAGCAGTCATAGGTCAAAGAAAAATCACAAGAAGTGCAAGATACTAATACATCACAAGATCCATCCTATTACTTCAGCAATGTGAATCATCACACAATGAATCTGACCATTGGTGATACATGTATATAATGTATGTATTAACCATGGCGAGTGGTTATGTAACTCCCTTTGATTGAAGGACATATATTATTAAGCGACAATGTATATCATTTCAAGCAAAGGACATGATTATCACACAAGGCAATACAAGGCATTACCATCCAAAATGTCACCACCTGCCATTTCTTACAGATGCCAAACACCAACAGCCGAGGCTTCACACCAACCACTGAACACCATACACTACAAAGGTTGGAGACCATAACACTTGTGGTTGTGACATATAAAACTTTAAAAACATTGTAAACATAAGGCAATTGTAAAAAAAGAACAAAAATCACTAAAGTGGTGTATCTTCCTTTGATCAAGGGGGTAATCATCACAAAAGAATGTAGAGATTCTAAAATAGCGAGACAAGACTTTTCTGTCTCCCTTTGATTAAGAGTCAAAACATACAAGAAGATATGTAGAAAAAACAGAGAAAACTGGACAAATATAGAATGAAAATAGGTACCAAATTATCTCATACAAGGTTGACTAGATATAATGAAACAAATCCAATAAAATACAAGTTCAAAAATGGTGATGCTGAATGAAAAAGATTGTTGATATGTCTCCTTTTGATTTTAAAGTGACATAATAATAAAACAAGAGGGTAATGTAGAATGTACATGTGTAACTTTGTCTCCTTTAGGCATTACTACACCAAAAGGCAGTAACAGTAACATATAACACGAAATAAACAAACTTACCATATCCCACAGTTGCGACACCAGGATCATCTGTATCAATCTTGTATGTGTTGCGCTCAGATAGATACTCCTCAGCCATAGGGTCCCAGCCATCAAACTCATCATTACCCGTATCCGATCTCTGCTCTTGCGTGGCAGCTTCTTCCTCTGAAGTAAATGCACAACTGAACTATGATCTCAAAAGTGAAAAACGTGAACAGTTGATCTGATATATTGATAGTATGTGTTAATTGTTCTTGCTCAACATCATGAAGTGCTTTTGATTTTGAAGATTATGAAATGTTTTGATGGTGTTTATGAACATATGAAAATGTGTACATGTACTATCAGTTTTTTATAAAAAATAGAAGGTAGAACAAAAATGTGTCGGGTCGAAATCAAGGGGGACATTTGCAATATTGCACTGTATTTGCACTGTATAGCATTTCCCGAAAGCTCATGGTTAACAGCCGGGCCAAAAATTATTTGAAAATCATGCACTTTTTCACCATTTGGAGCTCTTTTCAAGTGATTTTGGGCAAATGTAGTCAAATGTGAACCCCCTTGGCTTGGCTCAGGCCTGGTTAAAGTAATGTCTGATGTGCCATACCTTGTTGACAGAATGTTGTAAGACCCCTGCTTGCCAACTCTTCATTGATCCAGACATCTGTCTCTGCAGTACAGTCACATAGTAACACTTGTAGAGGCTTATCTGGGGATCTAGAAACAAAAATACAATTACATAGCAACACTTGTGAAAGCTTATCTGGGAATCTAGAAACATAGGTACAACAACATAGTAACACTTGTAGAGGCTTATCTGGGGATCTAGAAACATAGGTACAATATCATAGCAACATTTGTAGAGGCTTATCTGGGGATCTAGAAACATAGGTACAATAACATAGCAACATTTGTAGAGGCTTATCTGGGAATCTAGGAACAAAATTACCTTCAAACAGGAAAATTAGTAGAACTTGTAAATTAGACTTATCTGAGAATCTAGTAAACATTATGTAAATGTGAAGATGTAAATGTGAAGTCACACAGCAACATTATATACACTTATCTGGGGATCTAAAACCATTTATCACTTGCATATGGTTATCAAAAGTGACATATGTTCTGTTCAGCTATTGTTTATGTCTATGGCTATATATACCTCATGCAATGATACAGAAAGAAATTATAACTTTGTGTTGTGATCTGATGGAAATCTTTCATGTTCCTAAAATTTACCTCAAAGTAATAAGACAAACTAATATGGCAAACTAATATTTCTACTGTTACGCTTCAAATTATGTAAAATTGTTGTTTGTTGTATACAGAATGACATGATAAGAAGAAAACTTCAGAAGAATTTTAGTTTATTTTCATTTGATTTCGTTTTTGCTTGAGGCATTTTAGCCAATTCAACACCTTCACTTCCTTGGTGTCTCTGTTGTACGATATACATTATATCATGCCAAGACCTAGTGTAGGAGGGAAAATAGGGATGGGGATTTTATTTATATTTTTATGAGAGAAAAATCTGGCATTTTTAGATAATTGTAGTTGCATTTGGTTTTAGTATTTCATGCTATGATATTCATTACATGTCAATCTGCAAAGTTCTTAGCCAGAATCCAAATTTTGTTGAGGCAAATATAAATAGACGAGGAAAAAGACTGCCTTTGAAAATATGTCTATATAAATATAAACTTTTGTAGAGATTTGGTGAGGCGATTGCCTCATGTACAGCTATGGGGAATTGGCCATATGCTGTCTTTATATCTGTGATAAAAGGAATGGCAGTTGTGATAGGCAAATCACTAATTAGGTGTGTTAATCTCCAATGTTACATTATGTTTTTAATAGTGAGAGTAAAAATATGTCACATTTCAGGACCGTAGCCAGGATTTGCCAAGGGGGGTTCACTTTTTGAAAAATTCCAGGGGGGGGTTCAGTTGTGACAATTTTGTTCCAAAAATGGCCAAAATCAAAGTCCTCAGAATGGTGAAAAACTGCATGATTTTAAAAGATTTTTTGGCCTGGGGGGGGGGGTTCGCTCAAACCCATCTAACCCCCCCCCCTGGCTACGGGTCTGCATTTTATGTACATCATTCCCAATTACAAAAGTACTATAGGGACATGTACAAGAGTGTCTATTTCCTGGAAAACTGGAAAAAATTAAAAATCAATATTATATTTTCAGGTTAATTGGATTGGAGTGTATCACTGGGGAAATCATCTTTAACAATTCTCATCTGTAATTGACCGTATAATCCTTAGCATCCTGAAAATGATATCAGAAAAATAATCAATTTTCTGTGGTAAGTTACTGTAAGTTTAATGTTACTATCACCATGAATGATGTACATTGTACTTTGGGGATATTCTAAGTATAAATCTGCACAGGTGTTTCTCTCTAATATATCCGCTTGGCATTTATTTTGCATGAACATTTATTTGTACAATTAAAGTTGTTATTAAGAGGAAATCTCAACAATGGATGAAGTTCTCTTTTAATTATAATTTGGGTCTTGATGATTTGCGTCATGTGGGGTACATTTTCCTCTTTCGTATGCACATCCACACCTTTTGTTTCAACAGTGATGCATCAACATCATGCCAAATCTGAACAAATTCCCCTTGCGTAACAATACCAAATTATAACTAGATGATGGCAACTCCGCGGAGTAGCAAATCCCAACCAACAAAATATCAATTACCGAATTCCAATCAATCATACTTATTACTTTGGTTAAAATTGAAAAATTTAGATTTTAGAATTGCGAACTCCTGCAAAGCAGCCATTTTGAATTTTCTGAGGTACAAATCTGAAAAATAATACCATAATTGTGATCTACTCCAAAATTCCTTCAATTTGAGTATTATATATACGTTGAAGGGATCGAAAAATTATTGCGAAATTGTACATTAGACGGCCATTTTGAATTTTACGAGGCTCGAATCAGAAAAAAGATACAATATTTGCAATCTACTCTTAATTGCCTTTGATTTGAGTATAATAAAGCTATACTTCAGAAAGATCTAAAAATTAGCGAAAATTTCTGCTTTCCTGACCCCCCATACACGGACCCTGGGGGTCAGGATGAAAAACACGGAATATATGTGAAATAGATAGATGTTGCGAATATACTACCAAAATTTCAAACAATAATATTAATTACTTTGGTTTAGAATGAAAAATTTATGATTTTTGCGAAAAAGTCCCGTCATTTTTTAAGCGGCGGCCATCTTGAAAAATTTTTTTTTTGTGTAAAACTATTCATCAATATACATCTTTCCACCAAATATGAAGAAAATCCGTCAACTAATATTTGAGTTATCTTCCGGACGGACAGACGGACGGACGGACGGACGGACGGAGGGCTTCACTATATCCCTACCGAACTTAGTTCGTTGGGATAATTATGTCCTTTCTCATAACAGTGGATGATATAGTTTAACTATCTAACCCTTACCTCTCAACCTAGTGACCATATGTCCAGGCTTCTAGGTCCCATTTGATTAAACAGAAAATAAAAACAGGATACAAGACCTAAAATATAACTTCACCAAATAAATAAAACAGAACTTCAGCCAAACTAATGAATAAATTGAAGTTCCATACCTGAATACATCACCCTCCTTGCAGTAAACAACAACAGCTAGGAACTGTTTTTCTAACCCTGTGAGTTTGACAAATTCTGCATTTGCTTCAGGGGACCAATCATAGTCGTCATATTCCTCCAATCTTGGTTTTGAATGAACAGGTTTGGTACTAGCCAGGGCACAGTGAACTGCCTGGGGAGGATAGTCTTGGAACTGTGGAGCAAGAGGTAGAATTTGACTAGCTATCAACCACTCTGTGTTCCCATAGTCTATGTAGAATACATACACTTTCTTTCCCATCAAACCAGACTCGATTTTACCATCTGCTTTATATATGGGTTTTACTTTGAGGATTTTAGCTCGGTAAAATGTATTGTCTTTGGAGAATTTTGCGATGCAAATTTCACCGACACACGGTTCAAAACCACCGAAGAAACGCATCATGATAGAGTTGAACTTCTCGTAATGTTTATTAAGTTCTTGCTCAAGTTTAGCAATCACTTTTTGTGTATCAAGGGAGACTATATGCACATAGAAGTCAGTTGGAGAGTTGATGCTTGATAGCATGACCTGGAAAGTTGCTGCCTCTGGTATTTCAATGATCTGTTCTTTCAGTTTCCTCTCCATAACAACATCATCACTGATGTCTTCACTTGGTGCATTATGGCTATCCTTGTTGACTGTTGTGTCTTTAAGAACTGAAGATTTCCCATCTTTCTTTGGGTCGGAACTGGCTATGGGTTCTACGGGACTAGGTAAGTGAACCGGCCTGTACGGTTTTAATTCCTCGTCATTGATGGAGCTACTAATTGATACTCTGTCCTCCTCTTCGATGTTTGCTTCATTACTACCAACTTCATGCTGAAATGAACAAACAAACATAGGTCTGAATGGGAGATGTAACCTTTTAAAGAGATTTTTCTGCATGTAATTGAGACGTAAATTGTTTTAATTTCACAGGGTAAAACAAGGCATCATGTCACAACCTGACGTTTTTACAGACACTGAATGCCAGACGCAACCCGCCATCACAAGAGTTGGAGACCATAACAATATGTCCCCACTGTTGGTGATAATATAATGATGGAGGCTGGGTACAATCAACTCGCCATGATTACGAGTATATTTTACAAATGCGTATACATTTTAAATTACCTACAAATATTATACAAATATGGGTGAATACATGTACCTGTGTATCTTTCACAATACAAGTGAAATTCCACGAAGCCCAAAGGGTTAGTGAAATATCATCTTGTGAAAGTGTCACAGGTATTCACCTCAATAGAATTAAATATTTGTTTTATTATTCACTGTAATATTCCTCACTTGCAATAATGGAATAACAATCTATTGATGTCTAATTAATCATAACAATGTACTCCTGGGTATTTATAAAATTACACTAGACTAAGTCCTGACTGGTGAATATCATTTGATATTTAACAGAAGTCACATGACTTGAATATCGCTTATTATTTTTTTGTCATGCGTAGGACATGGACCAATCAGTGACTGAGGAATATGACAGTGATATAATAATCTATATTGGTTGACGTTTTACAAGGTTAATAGTCCTGGCAAATTGTGACATCTTCGTATGCGATTATTACCTTATGATCTCTGTCAGGTGTCGAATCTTTCAGATGATCTATGTCAGGTGTTGAATCTATCTGAATCCACTTTTCAAATTTTCCCCGAAAGTCACAATCTTGTGGAAGTGTTGACGGCATTCCTAGAGTTTGCAGTTTCTTCTGTGGACTGATTGCTTCGGCACCTTGGTTCTCTTTGTTGTCATTGGATGCAGAGGTGTGACCAACAGGAGGGGCAGACTGGCCCCGTTTGGTATATTTTATCAGAGTTGACTTAGGTGGCTCGGACATAGGTTTAGTTGGAGATTTATCCCGAGATGCTGGCAAAAAAATAAAAATATGAAATAAACATGTACAATCTACCTGTGTATACTATACATACTAAGTACATGTTTAATGACATTATTCGCTATCACAAATATAAAACCACTCATCATCAACCATCTATGAGTAACATCTATTATCCAGTCTGGTGTCTCTCAAACAATGAAACATGTGCTATTTAAAACTTTGTTCATACATTTTTTCTTCTTTTTCTTCCTCCCAGACGTTGTAGTTTCTTGACCAATTGTTGATTTTGATCCCTTCTTCTTTTCAGCTGCAAAATGCAAATAACCATGTTGGTTTACTATTGAACAACATTTTAAGGCCAAAAAGGTCTCATTTCTGTTTGTCAGACTGATAACAAAGCAATTCTTTACCTAGCATTAAACACCTCTCTTTGGATAAATCCCCAGTGAAAATATCATTAAAGAACAAGGCATTAACATTCAAAATGTCACCACCTGCCATTTGTTACAGACGCAAACTGCCAAACAGCAACTGACATTCACAAAAAAGTTGGAGAATTGTCAACACTTACATCTGGCAGTGATATAATAATGTTTTGGAAAAATACAGATTACAATACATGTATAGGCACATTAATTACCCTCGATAGGCTGTTCTTGTTCTTGATCAACAGTGAGAGCATCAATCTCTTCATCTAGGCAGGCATCAAAGTCATCATCAGCAACAATGGCCTGCCAAGAGTCTGAAGACTCCATGAGAGGTTTGTTTTTTGCCTCCACCTGTCCTTCAAAGGCATGGGCACTTGGCAGTGGCTTATTTCCTTCCACTTGGGCATCTGTATCTATAAAGAGAATTACATCACAAAAACAAAATAAGGCATTACCATGCAAAATGTCACCACCTGCCATTTGTTAAAGATGCCGAACACTGAACACCAACCCCCATCTACAAAAAAAGTTGGACATGGTGATTGAAAATTAAATATAACAGATACCTACATATGAATTACTTGGAATATACTATGTAAAGGGAATGAATAAATGGGTTCAGTCACCTTTATTCTTAACACGTTTTGGCAGTAAGGCATGATTAATTTGTCTCTGATTCATGTTAATGCTCTTAGTTTATAATCTAAGGTGAATGCATTGAATAGGTTCACATAAGATATTAAAAGTAGCATGTCATATAAGTTGGAAATGTGCTGTAAATAAATAAATAAAATAAGACACACAGTGATAAATATCACACTTTTTATCAAAATTCAAAATGGCCACTTAGTAATTTACCCAGCATGCCCTTAACCAAAACAGTACTTTTCAGGTAAATCCACTTGTTCGCTAAACTGCTAAGTATATATGAATCACATGAATCTGATCCACTAAAATTCGAAAAAATGGAGAGCAAATACACTGAAACAATAACAATGTCAACTTTAAATAGATAAGAGGAGTGCATCTGAAAAAATCATACTTATTTTTTGCAATGGATTGATTCAAACCCCCGTGCAGTGATATATCACTGCGGCGGGCAGGTATTTCACCATAAGCATGCTTACTTCATAATAAACAACTGACGTGATTGGTTCTAGTCCCATGCTCAGGTCGCGTGATTGTAAAATTAAGACAATTTCATTGGTTGAATTGCGCATATTAACTAATAAACAACATGTGCGGTAAACTATTATCAACCCAACTTTTACTCAGAATTCCTTCCGCGTTGATGTCTTCTCATATTTCAATAATTTTGAGATATTTTGACAAAATAATGATTGGGGAACATTCGTGAATACATATTTTATAAGTTGCGTGAAAATTGACCACATATACGATGAAAAGGGGAACTATTTTCACCAAATTTTGGAGATTTTCTTCATCCGCCCACCGCAGTGTCTATACCAAGACACTGCATGGGAGTTCATGATTGATTTTCCTTGAATAAGTGATGGGTAATTAATACTCATTCGAACAAATGGTTGTGTTTAAAAATGCTTGCATATAATAACTCATCTCAAAACCTTTTCATTATTTAATGCAATTGATTTCCTCCGGGGACTTTCCAAAAATATTTTGTTATAAAATAAAACAAAAACAGTCAAAGAACGGGTATTACAACTATTCTAGGTATTTTTAAGTCTAAGTGTAAATATTGTTAGGATTTATTACAGAAAAACAATTTTTTGGACATCTGCGTCATTTTCAATAACCTGGTATTGGACCAGAAGTGGCTTGAAACAAAATTCCTCTAAAAGATTGATTGATTTAGCCATTGCCTGAGGTTTTAAGTTAAAAGATAAATTGTGCGAAATTATTGATATTTCTAAATGTAAAATGTCATACCCTGGGGTCTTCCCAAAATAAAACAAGGCACAGACGTGAACAATATCGTACCTAAAACACAGCAGTGTGACAGTGAAGAATTTGGGACGGAAAATCCAAAATGGCCACCTTAAAATTTACCCAGAATGCCCAAAAACTAATCAGTTCTTAACTTTGATACGTAGAAACATCCCTGAAAATTTCAGATGAATCCATCAAATGGTTTGGCTGGAAACGTGTAGACAAGTCTTGAAAGTGAAGATTTTAGGACGGAAAATCCAAAATGGCCACCTTAAAATTAACCAAGAATGCCCAAAAACTAATCAGTTGTTAACTTTCATAGGTAGAAACATCCCTGTAAATTTCAAATGAATCCGTCAAATGGTTTGGCTGGAAACCTGTAGACAAGTCTTGAAAGTGAAGATTTTAGGACGGAAAATCCAAAATGGCCACCTTAAAATTTACCCAGAATGCCAAAAAACTAATCAGTTCTTAACTTTGATACGAAGAAACATCCCTGAAAATTTCAGATGAATCCCTCAAATGGTTTGGCTGGAAACCTGGAGACAAGTCTTGAAAGTGAAGATTTTAGGACGGAAAATCCAAAATGGCCACCTCAAAATTTACCCAGAATGCCAAAAAACTAATCAGTTCTTAACTTTGATACGTAGAAACATCCCTGAAAATTTCAGATGAATCCGTCAAATGGTTTGGCTGGAAACCTGTAGACAAGTCTTGAAAGTGAAGATTTTAGGACGGAAAATCCAAAATGGCCACCTTAAAATTTACCCAGAATGCCCAAAAACTAATCAATTCTTAACTTTGATACGTAGAAACATTCCTGAAAATTTCAGATGAATCTGTCACATGGTTTGGCTGGAAACCTGTAGACAAGCTGAAAAGTGAGACGCCGCCCGCCGCCCGTCAAGCTGACTACAATATCGTACCTTTATTAGGTACGATAAAAATGATCTCACCCCGTGCCTTAGGTTGCCAAACTTTTGGAGATAGGGCTCTGTAGTGTTATAACAAATATGAATTTAATTACTGGTCATATACACTTTTCAAATTCTAATTATTGCTAAGAATTATTCCGCAAAACATTTTTTGGGGAACACTTGACCGGGGGTTTGTCTGAACCCACCGAACCCCTGGTACCTACGGCTATGCAGCCCTTTGAACAGCGAGGGGTCGTGGGTTCGATCCCCAATGGGATGGACTGACTTTTTCACATCAGCCCTTAGCACAGGATTTCATTCTGTGTTTTCATTAACTAATACATACTTTGCACATTTGTTTCATTGCTCAGAAGTTCCTCCTGGCATTGGGAAGATGTACCATTCGTTGCATTGTTTGTAACATCACTTGGGCATACTTCGGATGGATTTCCACTTTCTTCCACATTGGAGGACTGAACAACATCCTGGCCCGAATACCATTGGTTGATCACTTGTGCTATCTCTTTGTTGACTGCTGGGATAGCTAAGCCCTCCTCTATGAGTAAGTCACTGACCTTTTTCATTGCACTTGTACCGCTTGGACAAGCCCCCTAGAAAACATTTAATGAGTGATAATCATGTTTGGGACATTTATTCATTTAGAAATCTATCAAAATTGCTTTGCTGTTGAGGTGCTCAGGCCTGTAGCCAGGGGGGAGTTCAGGGGGTGCGGGTGAACTCCCTCCCCCTGCCCAATAATTCCTTCAAAACCATGCAATTTTCACCATTTTGGGCAGTTTTGGCTTTATTTTAGGAAACAATTGCCCAGGAATTTTTCAGAAAGTGAACTCCCCTTGGCAAAAGCTGGCTACAGGCCTGGTGCTAAATAACTTCTAACATATCAATTCTGTCAAAGAAAATGCTACTTTCAGCATCTACATTTTCAACCATTGCAGTAATTTCAAAATAAACTTTTCTAAAATGATCATGAACCACCTATGAATACCACCAATAATCACCTGTTCTTGCTGGTCACCCGTTTGGATCATGAGATCTATGAATATAACAGGACATGTGTTTTCTATGTGAACGACAGCTGAGCAGTTCTGATTGAGGACTAGTTGGTTGAACCTGTAGACAGCAGGGTATGTCCAGCTACCGTCCATTGGCATCACCTACAACAGGGAGAGGGTTAGGTATAACAGATCGCTATTTCCCTTAACAGAGGGAGATTTCTCTATTCCCGCCAGCTAATGAAAGCTGACTGTATATAAATGGTAACTCAATTGGGAGCAATTCACAAAAACATTTAATGACTTTCTACCTCTTGCCTTCCATTAATAAATTTAATAATTTTGTAAAGAAGTAAAACGCTCTTTGTACAAACCCCAGATAGGGTGCAGCAGAAAGCCTGGCGGGGTAAGGTAGTGAATTCTGGGGGTAGTTCCCTCAAGCCTGTCATTCCAATATTCTCAGCATTGTTCCCATAGTCAACAAAGAGAACATCAACAGCATAATCTGTAGAGTTCAACTCAGATTCAGATTCTGAAAAATCAGTATTTAAATATACGAATCCTGCGTGCAGTCTAGTTAGAAACGACGAAGGTCTATTTTAAGAGGCGAAGTTGAACGAATGCAAAGGGTAAAATAAATGTAACACCGTATACTGATTTATCTTTTACACAATATAATAATCATTTGCGATCTGTTCTCCAATCTCTTATCACCTTAAAATAATGTGCAAAGGACCTTATACCAGGAAGTATTTTTGTGTCTGTCAAAATCCATTTACATCCTATGCATCCCTGCATCTTATCCAAATATGTTACTACATAATGAAATATAATAGTATTATCTTTGGTTTTACAAACTTGTATGATATTTGATAAGTGGAAAAGTTGTTTTTGGAGCATTTTTCTATAGCCATTTTGTAGGAAAAAAAATGATGAAAAAATGTACAATCTTTTAATTTTAAGTATGACCTGAATCGATTGCAAACTTCATATTTGCACATTTGATGAGATAAACCATTTGTGTCGTATTGTGAAATTATTAAGTTTGCAATCGATTCAGGTCATAGTGTATTTTTGGTATTTCTGTGATAATCAATGGAAACCAATGGCCTCTATACCTCGAGCACTTTAATATTTTCCAAAGTATTATATGACATTTTATTCTTCATGTTACACCTACGAATGATTCATTTTGACCATAGGGATATTTGCCAATAATTGCACCTTGTCCTTTAGTATGGAAGTGCCAAATGATGAGATCCATCAAACTTTTTTGGAAGAAAGAGATACAAAATATATTAATTCACGCAAAATAGTCCGTGGACATAAAGCAAGTGTTCTATTAACATATTAAAACAGACATCAACATAAACTTATAAACCTCACCCGATCTGTAATCTGTTATTTTTTGTTGGTCAGCAGCATGTACAGAAGTTATCTGTGCCCTGTACCACGTGGCATCACAGTCCCACTTGGCATTACATATCATACCACATTGGGGGGCACACTGTAGACTTCGCCTGGAGGCTGGGTTACCATAGAAGAGACTACAATGAGAAATTATCACATACTACAGTACTATTAAGTGAGTTAACAGATTAATGAGACTCCTGACACTAATATAAACCTTCAACAGGAGATTGCTTTATAAGATTCAAAAATACCTGCCAATTATACACGTAATACGTATACATTATACAACGATGTTGACGTAAAATTCAATTAAATTGTTTTGTTTGTTATTAAAATAGAGATGTAAGCAATTTTTATGATTTTTAAAAAAAATTTTAGTCTAAAAAGTAAACTCTGTCAAAATACTTCTTCATTGTTAGTAATCTAATGATTGATCAAACATCACCATAACAACGACATGAGGAAACAATTCCTGATCAGTCTACTCACCACATATTCTCCATTAGTTCTGGCAGCTGTAAACCTTGGGGTTGTACCCAAAACTGGAAAGGATGGACAATATGGGTTACAATCACCTCAACATTGCTCCCATCTTTGAATGTCAGTGATGATAACTGAGGACCCATCCCATATGGACCTTGTTGTGACGCAGCACTACTGGAAGACACATACGATGACTTTGATTTCCTCAGCTTTTTGACAATATTCGGCTTCACCGGAGGTCTAATGAATGAGTAAGTTTGGTCAGGTGCTTTAATATCTTCTGTTGACACACTCGACTGTTTTTCTTTATCTAGTCGTGACTTTAAGATATCCTGTAAGATTTTTGCTCTTGTTAATGTTGGCGTATCTGACGGGGACTGATGTTTTTCCTGTTTGTCGACTAAATGGTAATTTTCAGGATGAGGCAATTCATGTTGACCACCTGAAATTGCATAAGATTCATCTTTGCACTGTTCACTTTGACTAGTTGTTTGGTCAGTCTTAGATATTGCAGCATCTTGTGGCACTTCGGGAGTTGTAACTGACTGGCTATGATCACCAGCAGTTAATGCGATATGTGGGGAAGGTTGACTCAGATTTTCTTTTGTTTCAGTAGCGGCAACACTACCCGAGGCAATGGAGTCTCTCGGACTGATTTTGTCTTGAATGGGTGAAAAGCTCTTGAATATCTTATTATGAATATCTCCTGGACTTAAAGTTACTGGGTTTGGTTTGAGATTGTCCTTATCATCCACTGGTTTGAGATTGTCCGTGTCATTCAGATGTTCTTTGTCACCCACTTTGTGAACATTGTCTTGCTTTATGCTTGCCCTGTCTAGTGTTTTTAACATATCTTCACTGAGTTGTACTCTACTGACACCTGGTGGTTCCTTGTACTGACTGTCACTCTGGGGTTCACTTTTAACACTATGTGTGTCACTATGAGCCTTATCACTTTTTGCACTTCTGGATACAACTGTAGAAACAACAGTTGCATCATCATCGTCTGCAATCGCTGATGTATTATGGGAAGGTGTTGCACTACTGTCCGTGTCACGTCCTTTATCAGGAGATTCACCCTGTGACTCTGAAAACAAAAGCAAACTGAATAACATTTTTAGTTCATGGTATTGTCAGTATGTGAAAAGATTCTGTATCACACGCTAAATGAATACAAGTGATGCAAGGAGTATGAAAACCTGGAGTAGACTCGACTTTAAAAAACAGACTGGATATTTATTAAATCAAATTAAATAAGCGTACACACTTAGTCAATGGTCAATACCTGTATAGTATACTCAAATACAACAAATATCACTTTTAGCAATTCAATAACCTATAACTTATATGCCTCAGAGAATTTCTTTTCATATCTAACAGACATGCTAAAAATCTTATAGATGTGATGTTCATTGGTTATTAAGTGAGGAAATTAGGCGAAGAAATGATATGATGAGTTACAATCATAATGGTGAAAACATATTTTGCATATTTTAAGTTGAAGTATTTGTGACATTGATGTCAGAGCCAGGGGAAAAGCTGTAATACAGGCATATTCAATATCCTAGATGCGAGTAGAAATAATCTTGATACGTCATTAAAATTCAAAACTGATGTCATATTTGGAATCTACATGTAAAATTACATCTATAAATGTGGTTTTGAAAAGAGTTTATCAACTTTGAAAATTTAATTTTCTTTGAAAATGTAACTTCTAGGTCAGGGAGATTCCCCATAGACCCCATGTTGTAAAATCACAAAAAGTGAAATATCTGCCAAACGCTGACTGCTGAATACCAGCCGCTGAACACCATCCACAAAAAAGTTTGAGACTATAACAATATGTCAGGACTTTTGGTGGTGACATAAAGAAAAACAGGATACATACCATCACCAACAGATGAGAGTGAATCTGAGATATACAGCAGGCCCATGTAGACTGCATCTATCTTCTGTAGAGTTGGAAGGAACCTCTTCATACACTTAGACTTATGATTAGACATAAGCACGTCTTTGGCACATTTATCAGCCTATTAAAGAAATTACTTAAAGAAACATACAATAAAGAGAAAGTGTCAGTGAATTTTAAAGTGATTATTACATATCGATGTTTACGGATGGCAGTGATCTCCCCAGGATTTTTCTCAGGTGGGTGCAAAATTCTCATTTTCAGAATTCAGACCAAAATTTGTCAAAATATGCCAATTTTTCATGATTTTTCTCATTTTCAAGTGGATGCAAATGGATTTTCAGATGGGTGCAAGCCTAGTTTCAAAATCTCAGGTCTGTGCTGTGTCCACTTGCTTTAATGCTGGGGAGATCACTGGATGGGTTATTGTACTTAAGTATTGATAAAGATAACACCTATTTAAAAAGTCCAATGGTCTCAAACACATATAAGGGATCAGATCAAGTACAAAATGTGGAATGAAATCATTGACAGTGAATTAATACAAGTGAACTCAAATATAAAGTTTTTTAAAAGGATGAAAGGATGAGAGTTTGGAGGTTGCTAAATGTAAAATGTACAAGTTAAAACAGAAATAAAACAAATATTAAAAAAAGTTTTTAAAAATCTTTTCCACTATGTAGTCTTGCTTAATTTGACTGCAACTCTAATCTAGGGATGCGTATGGGTAGTTTAGAAAATACATCACCAAGAAAATGCATTTTCTAAAATTTTGGGGCTCCCAGAGGGTAAATTTAAATTATGAATTTTACTTTTAGATTTTTATGAAACAAATTGCCTACATCATTTTGTATGTTGTAATATTATACATTAATTAATAAGAGGTACTAAAGTATTACTACTACACATTTAATTTTTAAATGTTATTATCGAATTCAAATATAAATCAACTATTTTAACTGAGCCAAGTATTGGATGATTGGAGGCAGTATTGATCAAATTTGCAAAGGGTTAATTTTATTCTCACCTGTCTCAACAAAACAGGAATATCCCAGAATTCATACAGTCATACTTCTCTTATGTAAACTATATCATTGATTGGCCAAGGGTTCATCTATAATCCTGGGAAGTGACCTCTTCTGGACGAAAAGCGTGGGAACATCTGATATGACCAGTTCCCATAACAGTGTGTCACCTCACTGTATGTACAGTGATCGCCTACTATTAAAAGTGCGTGATCAAAGACTCGACAAGATGCGCAAAATTCGAAATGTCGGAGGAAAGGTATGTTTGTTTCTCTTTTCTTTACCACCTTTATGACATTTTACCTACAGATGGTATTCCATATGCTGTATAAGAGACTCAAGATTCATTTGGTAACAGGATTCGGTGATTGGTTCAACCGAAATACCTGAACTGAGTTAATAAATGAAGCAAAATCAAAAAAACCGCCGAATGAAAATGTATATTTCACCAAATTTTCTGTTTTTAGATTACCAAAACCACAAAACCAACATGCTTATGGTTAATATACATAATACTTAACATTACATGCATATCAGACGTTCCAACTCCCCTTCAGTATCGAGTAAGAAGGATGTTATGAAAACAATTTATGATCAGCCAAGTGGGTGATTTTACCATGTGGATTCTAATGATATGTTCTTTGCATTTCAGAGTGGTTGGGTTTACATGATTTTACTGTCCTTCATTACGAACTCCTAAATTTCAAATCATTATAAACCACCTTGTAGAACATCATGAAGAAGAAGAGATGAAGATAGATTAGAAAGATTACTGAAAATAGAGGCAAATCTAGAATGATAACAAGAATTCGAAATTTCTCTGGAATAATACCAAATGAAGTGAAATCAATTAATAAACACATACTTGTAGAAAGTGATGAATTCATGACAATTTCAGTGATTGACAATAATCGAATGAAATCATCCAGAATCTCTGATTCAACAACTGCTACAAAATCAAATAAAATTACCAATGAAATTGCAATAGAACGAGAATATCAATTAGTAATGAAATGACAATAAATGATTCTGAAATTACAATAGACTCTCATTCTCCAATAGTGTCCACCAGTTAATCTGAGATGATACCCCTCTGAGCAAAGCCTAAACTGGAACTTTTACTCGGTCCCATCGATCCACATAACTCTTTCATTAGAGATAATAGCATGGTATTTATTTCACATTTTGTAGAGTTTCTCTAAAAACGCTCACTAATCGTTTATTTTGCATTCGATTACATACAATTCTAAAATTCTCAAGCTAATCACTTATAGACCTTAGTTGACTGAATATTGAATACCTAAGAGGAGTTTTCCCTTATACCTGTCATTTATATATGACCCAAGTTAGCCACCTCGTGGTGAAACTGGGAACTGACTACTGGCATCTACTGAAGGTTATTACGTCATTACATTACTTATTGATACCTTGCTGCAAAAGAATGATTTAACTCCCCAATGAAATAGATAATGTACAATTCAGATTTTATATTTTATTACAATTACAATTACATTACAATTCGACAATCATCTTGGATGCCAAGGTGTATAGTTCTCATACTTTGGGATCAGAGGCGTAAAATAAATGGACTAAAATGGAACTTAAAAAACAGTTCCATTTGTAAGGTGTTACGCTTCAAGAGGTGTTTCACTTAGCAGGTTCTAGAGGTTCAGTGTATATATCATTTAATGGTAATGTATTCAAATCTAGGCAGACAAACAAAATGAACACACACACAGTGACCATTTAATTGACTGAATCAGTTTGGACATACATTTTGCGAGATCCCCATTTTCTTCTCTTGAAAAGCATATAGATATGGGTGTATGGTTTGCTGAAACTCACGCTATTGGCTGATCCATTCGTTTCTGTGTTAAAATATTTATTCCATGTTATTGAAGGGGAAACGTGAATTTCATCATGGTCAAATGGAAGTCCAAGACCCTACCTAAGTATAAAAAATTAAAGAGAGTAAAAATGTTCTATTGTTTTTGATATTTTCAAGCTTTTTAAATAAAATAACACATATTGTATCGCATTTATATCTTTAAATTGTAAAATCAATAACATATACGAAAAATGGTCAAACTAATATATATTTCTCAAAGCATATGGGTGTTCTTGTGCCTACAAAACCTAATTGAATCACCAGTAGCCTGTAATATAAACACAAATAAATCTTTTAAAAGTAACCGTTACAAAATATTTGAATTTTGCGCATCTTGTCGAGTCTTTGATCACGCACTTTTAATAGTAGGCGATCACTGTATACAGTGCATCTGTCATTTCTCTGGAATGATGTACACTTTCCTCCAAAAGATTGAAAACAATTGTAGTACAGTAAAACCTGTATATCTGAACACTTGGCTAATCCGAACACCTCCCAATTTTAACATTTTTTGGTCCCGTTTTTTCTCCCATTGACTCAAATGTTTAAAAAACTTGAAATATGAACATCTCCCAATTTTGACAGTGAACAGTCATGTTTGAAAATTAACCTATCTAATCTGAACACATAAAATATCACATGTTCCATAAATTGATCAAATATTTGAAAAAAACTTGAACGATCTCACTCATGGTGGGGCTTTCTAGGATGACTAAATTCATTTGAATCAGATTTTTATGTCACTCTAATGCCAAAGCTAAGTAGTCAAAAGAACTATAATATTTATTGAGAATTTGTTTCTATTTCTTCAAAAACCCAAATCTTGCAAATGCAAAACCTCAAAGTGTGAACACCTCCTAATCCGAACGCTCTGAGCTGGTCCCTTGGATTAGACAGATTTTACTGTAGGTACAATCCCCTCTAAAAGTTACTGAAATCACTGGCTGGGAATTGGTGTTCGCTTACACACAGGTGTTCAATAGAGTATACTCATATGTTCGCTGGGCACAGTATTTCAATAAAGAGATGTTCATTATGACAGTTTTACTGTACTGGGAATTGGTGTTCACTATACACAGGTATTCAATAGAGTAGACGCATGTTTTAACTGGGCACAGATCTTCACTAAAGAGGTGTTCATTAGGATATTTTTACTGTACTGAACTCACTGGGACGGAATCGGTGTTCACTATAATATACACAGGTGTTCAATAGAGTAGAGGCATGTCACTGGGCACAGATCTTCACTAAAGAGGTGTTCACTATGACAGTTTTACTGTACTGAAATCAATCACTGGGAATTCACTATATACAAAATTGAAATCTGTGTATCATGCCACCCCTGCAAAATAATTGACTTGCCCACTTGGTCTCTTGGATCCACTTGCAAAATATATATAGTAGATGTGAATATTTTCGAAACAAATGAGTGATATATACACATATTTTGTACCAAATGCGTGACATAAACGGCAATCGCGTGCAAAGACCGAACGGAATGCGTTCGCTTTTTTCACCATTCGGTATTTTACCGTGTTGGCCAGGGGGGGGGGATTCCCCAAAGATGCCCTATCATATTAGCACGTTCGAAAACAAATTTTATAAACAGGCCTCAATTTGCCGTTGAAATGGATCTCCAAATTTTCACTGTAGTTTTATGAGTATTCTTTACAAGTATCACGGGATGTCATCGCCTGATTTGGTCAATGTTAGGGAGCAGGTCGTTTTTACAATAAATTTCAATATTTTCACACAAAATATTTTTTACTGAAAAACTGCTCATTCGCAGAGAAAATGTACTAGCACATGCAATGACAATGTCAATCACGCTTCTGTACGAAATTCGGCGGAAGTCTTTTATAACCTAATACGAAGTTACTAAAAAAGGCGCGAACGCCCTACACTCAAAATGATCGTTTTTCCATTATAACTTTTTAACGTAATTTAACGAAGGCTTCTAATTATTATCCAAGATAGTCTAAATACCGATTAAAATATTTCTTACTTCAAACAGATACGCCGTCTTTTATTCAATTTTTTAAAAAATAATAAAAAATAACTCTTGTCAATGTTAGGGAGCAGTCAATGTTAGGGAGCAAAATGATTTTATCAGAATATTAAAAATGTAGCAAATGGCCATTTAAAATATGTATGGCATTTATAAACTGAACAATTTTTATTTGAACAATGATTATTTGATACCCTTTGGGGAGGAAAGCGTTAAAATTGTAAGAAAATCATTGAAAAGGTTATTTTGCATTTTTTATTTTCAGCTAAATCCTGTTTACGTTCGTTTTAGAAATATTTAGATGCGAACCATTCCTTCTTTATTCGTTGACCTCTAACTGTAAATGAATGGATGTATCGTTATATACACTTTTTGATGATGTCATCAGTTCACAATCCTAAATTGTGGATGATAAATTATCTGAACTGATATATAGGCTTGAGAAATCTCCGACATCCTTCAGTTCTATGATTTGATATTTTCCTAGTATTAAAGTAAGAGAGTTAGTCTCGCACTTATCTTTTTTGACACGGAAGAAAGAAGAAGGGGATACAAAGAACAAACCTTCAAAATGCCTCAACCAAGAGGAGTAGCCCCTGGACAAAGACCGATTCGTACACACTATAAAACTGATTTCTCGAAAATAAAGGATTCAGTGAAAATTGGACTTGACATTTCAGATTAATTTGCAAATTAGTAATTGGTGAAAAAATAACACTTTGGAAAGAATTTTTAGTTGTTCAAGAGAAGTGACGGTATTTTTTCCTAATATTCAATTTTTGTGCTGCTTGCTGAGCTATACTTGAAAGACAATCAGCTCAATTTATGTCTATATTTGGGTTGAAAATGTGTGAAGTCCCAAAATGTTTTATTATTCTAACATTTCTAAAATATGATTGGACAAAGTTTTAGACTTTCTTTAAGTGTTACCGGTCTATTTCAAAACAATAATTTATATACAAAGATGAGCTCATTTATTTAAATACAATATCATGAATAAAGGGAGATGTCATGTAATTATTGTATCTGGTTAAATTGTGTATATTGTGCTGAGCAATACTGTATGCTTGTAAGGTTTATACCAAGGGGTATAAAACAATCATACAATCTTGTCTAGTTTATAAATGACATACATGTTTGTAAAGGCCAATTACTCTGATATTCTGATAAAACCATTTCGCCCCACTGCATTGTTTGCTCCGCCACATTGATCATACTTATTTTTTATTATTTAAAAAAAATTAAAGAAATGTGTACCTGTTTGAAGTAAGAAATATTTCAATATGTACTGAGATTATCCATGATAATAATTAACTTTCCTTCGTCAGAAATCTTTGAGAGTCCATTTTCTGAAGATAACAAAAATGCAAAACAATTTTTTTTTATCGATTTTGTTAAATTTTGTTAAGGCAAGGGGTTTAAAATAATCATTCAAACAATATTGTTTAGTTTATAAATGCCATACATATTTTAAATGGCCATTTGCTACATTTTTAATATTCTGATAAAATCATTTTGCTCCCTAACATTGACTGCTCCCTAACATTGACAAGAGTTATTTTTTATTATTTTTTAAAAAATTGAATAAAAGACGGCGTATCTGTTTGAAGTAAGAAATATTTTAATCGGTATTTAGACTATCTTGGATAATAATTAGAAGCCTTCGTTAAATTACGTTAAAAAGTTATAACGGAAAAACGATCATTTTGAGTGTAGGGCGTTCGCGCCTTTTTTAGTAACTTCGTATTAGATTATAAAAGACTTCCGCCGAATTTCGTACAGAAGCGTGATTGACATTGTCATTGCATGTGCTAGTACATTTTCTCTGCGAATGAGCAGTTTTTCAGTAAAAAAATATTTTGTGTGAAAATATTGAAATTTATTGTAAAAACGACCTGCTCCCTAACATTGACCAAATCAGGCGATGACATCCCGTGAGTATGGATCGTGTAACTTCAATAGTATTACCGTAGGTTTGAAATGACGATGTTGAACTGATGTAAACGCCATTCCCACGATTTCAAATTTAACTCTGCGCATGCGCAGCACTGAGAAAGCATGTGCCCATGATTGTTCACGTGATCGAATCCTGCAATTTGATTGGAGATGAAAAAAGCACTTGGTGAAAATGTGTATACCCTCTGGGAGCCACCAGCATGCATTTTCTTGGTGTTGTATTCTCTAAACTACCATGCGTATGTCTTTTTTCAGGAAATTTGATGTACATATATGTACGTACGTATAGTACTAAGTACATTCCAAGCTCCATCTTCTGCCACATTATTTTCAAGAATCTACATTTGATATACATTGTATTATCGTTCAAATGTGAACTGATGACTTAATACAAAGATGATATTCTAAGGTTTTTGAGGGAATATCATCTTGATCCAACAGTGGTTTGATTAATATAATTCTGTTCATAAATAGGAAGCGAGCAAAAAACAATTACAAATGAATGAATGAATGGGCTGACAAATATGAAAGTAAGGCCAGAATGTAATGTCCGTCCTTGGAAGAAGGTGAGCAGAGAAAGGTTATATCAGTAGAATTATAAGAGTGGTAGATTTAAGCTAATCAACCGATTCTATGTTGATTAATCAGAGGGGAAGCCATTCATACTGAAAGGAGTATTTTAGGTACATTTTTAAAGTGAAAAATATACTTCTTTTTTAAAGTTCAAATTCAAGTACATTTGTGCACTGAAAAACACAATTACTTTTTAAGTATAAAATTAAGCACAAAATATACTGAAAATATGCTGACTTTTTAAGAACAAAATTAAGTACAGATGATAGAAAAATATACTTAAAGATTTAGGGTTTAAATCAATACTGAAAATGTACTTTTTAGGTTGAGAAGAGACAAATGTTCTAACTTCAATCAAAACAAAAATAAACAATATTCACTTGCATGTATTTTCAAGCAGTCAAATAACATTTCTTTGATCAGAAATCTTATGATTGACTATTCTCAGAACTTCTTGCTTTGATCAATGCGTCTAAGTAGCACTAGAATAGTAAAATCAAAATCAAAAATCAAATTTTTTTTTAGTTCATACAGTACCTTCTATCCACTTGGGGCATAAACTAACTTTTTGCATATTGAGTTTCACCAAATATATACCCATCGACTTACCAAAGAAGAAGTCCTAAATCCCCCTCTTTCAGTGTTAATTTAATATATATCTTTTGCGATTGTGCTGGTCGATCTAATTATTTTCGAAGAAATTAATTCAATTTGAAGTTTGAATATTCCAGGAAAGTCCTCCTGTTATCTGATTGGTTGTTGAATTTGTTAATCATAAACCTGATTGGCTCCCTGGTTCAAGGCGCTTGTGGGCACTTGTGTGACTCGATGGGGATTCCCTTCGATAGCCGAGGAATCGATTGTGTTTAATTCTGGAGTTTGGTTTTCTGTTGATTATTTCCCATATTTTGGCAATAATATACCCAAAAGTTATTCTCAAGATATATCCATGGTATGTGAGATATTATATGAGCAATAACAATAGGACATCATTGATTGTCTGGGGGAGAAACCTATGGCATAATGCACCTTTAAGGTTTTTATTCATATACATGTAGATCAGAATGATACATGAAATAATATTTTTAGATTTTCTACTTATTTATTTAAAGGGAAGTCTATTCAGTACTGACTGAAATCTATTTATAAGACTAATTAAAGAATTACAGGATGTGTCTAGTATATTAAAAGAAATATATGTAATCAAAATATAATTAGTTATTTTACTATGGATATTGAAATTAAATAGAGTCCAGACATGTTTTTATTTCTTAGACATCAAAGAGAGTCATGAGAAAATCATACCTATTATATATACATGTATTATAAGCAAATTCATTTGAATCATATATCAATGTTATTTAAATAATAAGATTATAATTGTAATCGTGAGTCTAGATCTAATAGTTAAAATAAGATAAATAAAAATATGGCTAAAAATAATTGTATGCTAATATCATTTAATGAGTTAGCGAACTATCGGATGTTGTTTCAGAGTCCAGAAATTTTTTGTGATGTCAAGACTCCTAGATGGATGAGAAAATTGCATCAATGGATTTGATAGCAATTGGTCACAACTGGTCCCTAAATATTTCTTCAGAAGCCCTAAAATCTTGCGATTCCAGAAACCTAGATCTTTTACCCAGAGCTTTTACCCAAATAATTTCAGTATATTTAATCCACTACACATTTGTACTTAAAATCGCCCTTAAATTTAAGTAAATATATATATCAGTTATTTTTGAAATTATTTTTGTACTGATATTTAAGAATATTTTTCAGAACAAATTTGTTCTTAAAAAAGGACATTTTTTAGTATAATTTGTAATCAAATTTGTGCTTAAAAGCCCATGTTGAAAAGTAATTTCATTTTCAGTGCTTTTAACTTAATTTTGTACTTAAAAAAGCAGTACTCTCTTTTCAGTACAAATGCCCTCCCTATTAGTGATACTGTTCTGATCTGATCCCTATTGTAACATTTATTAACCTGAACTGATGTGTACAAGCTAGACTTGTGAGTCAACATCACTGAGGCTTGAGATTCTAAGCTCCTCACCTCAGACACCAATCCCTGGACCTTCCCTTGGAGTTCCTGTAGGGTCTCTTGGATGTCATCTGCTTGAACTGTCACCTCCTTCAGCTTATCTCGTACTTTACCTTTCATATGCTCCAGAGTGACCTTCTTGGTAGCTGTAGCCATTTTGGACTCCTGGATACCAAAAGGACACAAATGAATTGAAAAACACAATACAAATACTATTTTCTAGACAAAGAATTTGAAGACAAAGGTCTGAATCAGGAAACCCTATGGGTTGATTTCATTGGCCAATCAAGTGACAGTGTCTGATTGGATTGATGTGATGGCAGTGAACCAGTAAAGGGTGATGGCCCTTGAATGTAACAAAAAAGTAAAATATAGACAGTGTTCTTGTGATAATTAGTGCAAATAATAAGCTGCTCAGTGTTTTTCCAAAGCAAATATAAATCACAGGACCAATGGACTGGCAATATCAAAATTTCAACCAGTCCAGGCTAAGCATCATCAGTCATCTGGACCTGTAACTTCTACTACATCACAGGTCCAAGTGAAAACCAACCAGTCCTTAAAATAAGAAAGTTACTTCGAATTCAGAACTATATGTATTGGCACTTACCTAAAGGATAACTACGTAAAGAAAATAAGAAATTAAAAAAAAGAAATTAAAAAAATTAATACAGGAACCGGAAATTACTTTTGCTACACTGGATGAAAACAAATGTAGTTTGTATCTTCACCCGGGATTGTTTAACCTCCATTTATCCTACTTTATCAATTTATGAATCCCCATATAATTTCTCGTTATAATTATATTTATTTAATAGTTAGTGGACAGTAATGAGGTCCCCGTGTTGGAATTCCCGGTTAATTTGCTTCCATAATCAGAAATTTTACATCGAACGAAATACCATATGGTCACTACCCACAATTCATTTCGACCAATCAGAAAACAGTTTTTCGAAGTTATTGATAGATTATTCTACGCAATTTATCCTCGTTTGCAGACCTGAAACTCAAAAAATATTTCAAAAAATCCTGTCTGTTTTAAAGATTTTCGATGTGATAATGAGTAAAATCTTGAGTAAATGAAGTTCAACGATCGGACTGATGTTTGAGGTAAGACTTTGGTGCATATCTTAGCCATCGGACTTGGACGGTCTTGTGGACTGGTTGGTTGGAATAAATCGTCAGTCCTGGGTCAACATCATCGGAGATGTCCCATGGTCCGACGCTTAGGAAAAACACTGAAGCTGCTACATAATTGTAATGCCTGGAACTGAAATACTGATTATTCAGCTGGTTACTTTATACCTCCAAATGTTCCCTATGTTCTCTTTATTCAATTTGTGAAAGTCTCAAGTTGTCAACTTGTCAGCTGCTTTTAGGTCGGATCAGAACTTGTCGATCCCTAAGTAGACATATTCTACCAAGAAATCAAAATTGTGGTTTGACGTAAATTCACATTAAAGTATTATCCAGAATTTCCAAATTAAAGGTTGAGTAAGATGTATCCAACGATCATGGACCTAGTATCAAAATATATCGAAGTTTGGATACTTTGATCAAGTCTAACATCTTTTTTCATTAGCTACAAAGAAAACCCACGAACTTAGCTTATCAAATCAACCTAAATCCCCGAGAATCTTCTCCTGAAACCATAAAGCATCGACAGAAAAAATGCTCACTAACCTTTTAACGCCTTCCCAGTGATACTGACATTGAATTCCAGCCCCGTTTGCACCTAACATTCTATCCTACATTCTGTTTGCTATAGACCATAAACGTGTTAAGAAGACCTTGAATATGGGGAGATTTGAGGTGATTTATTCTTCAAGTTTTTTTGTTTTTCTTCCGTCAGTGAGCCAGAATAACAGCAAGAGATAGCCAGTAATAGACTGCAAAGGCGGTGATATTGTGTACCATGCATACAGTTAACAAATGTTTCAAAAAATAAATTGCGGGACATCCATCCTTTCAACTGCTTATTTAGAAGTCTATTTGCAAGTCTGATTGGTGGTATTCGTCGAGAAGTGCATGCATATATTTTAAGAAAATAGGTCATGGCGAAATGCCAAACGTTGCACTAACAGCTCGGGAAAGGTGAAATGACTCCCAAATTTCCTCTATGGTGCTTATTGCCGCTTTGACATTAAAAATGGTTCAACTTCCAGTAGCTCTCGATCCCGGCTCTCGATCATGCGAAAATCACCGTTTTCAAAAACAACTTCGCAAATTTCCAACAAAACCACCATTTTGGTTTCTCACTAAAAATGTACACTAAGGGAAAAAAGACAAGTCCTGCGGATCAACAAATAAGTATCTGATAACTTACAGACTCACCGGAGATTTAGGTAACATTTGGAGAAATGAAGTAAGTAAGCAGCTGAATTCAGTATTCCAGTTTCAGCCATTACAATTACCAAATGACCTAAACGCTGCGATCAAAGGCTATCCTAAGGCTATACATCTAATTAACAGATCAGAGAGACTTAGAGGGTGAAAAAATGTAAATTTTGTTGACTGTGGAAGTGAAAATAACATAAATGCATGTAGGCCACCAAAGGCCTAATCGCGCATACTTTTGCTCATCTACAGAAAAAATATATGCTTAATATATAAATGCAATATCAAGATACCTACAGATACTGGAGAATAGTCTGTGTTTAGCTAAATGTCAACTTTTTCAAAACAACTGCACATGTCAAAAGATTTGCTACAAAATTTAAACTCCTGTTCTAAAACGAAATATTCAAAATTATCCTCCATCAAATTGAAATTAATCATTAGCAACAAAAGAAAAGAATAATGAAATACACGTTTTAAAATTTATACGATCAAAATATAACGAACTGATTGATAATCTTGAAAATATAAATCTTATATTGTAATTCCGCCTGTGAAAGTTTGACATCAGACATAAATTTTGACTTCCGGTTTTGAAAATTTTGCAAATTTAAAAAATATTGAAATGCCTCTAAAATTGCCAAGGGAAAGGCTACTGTCTGCCGTTAATGTGATTCTTAGGGTTCCAGCGTTGTTTATTGCTGAGATTTGGTACCGAACCGACTTGAAGACAGCAGTCAAACTTGGAAGCAAAAAAGGAGAAAGTGTTTTGGACATGGAAAAAACAAATGGCAAGATTATAATATTGTCTGTATATTATTTTGGTAAGTAGGCCTATATCATGACAGGTGTGGTAACTTACTAACAAACTTTATCCTATCTTTGGCTGTTTGGGGTTTATAATGGATTTGTGTTTTGGCGCTTCAATTAACTGCTGCATACCATACTTCCAGGAGGTTACAGTATTTACTTCAATGACTACAGTGCTGATATATAGCCTAATAATTAAGGGTGCGTTTTCAAACTAAACAGAGTGCTCCTATCAAAATGAATTTGCCTACATACCCCTGAGACTCTTATCTGATAGATAGAATGCACAAATTAAACAAAAGTTTTGCTATTAAAGGTAAAAAGTTCTCTTGAAATTTCGGAGTGATTTTACCTGTTAATTCGGTCCATGGTCCGCCATTTTTGCGGAAGTTACACTGAAACGCAAACTCCATGAAACGAAACGAAATCACTAGAAAAAACATGGCACACATTGTGCGCATGTGCAGCAAAGTTTAGACCAATCAGATTATTTGATTATTTTGCGCACATGAATTATTTGCTTCTGAGCACTTACAAGCTTACCACAATAAACAAACCTGGCAGAGACTACCCTTTGCCTACTCCATTTTGGCGAAATTTCAGCTCAAACTCGTGACAAATGCATTATACATACGCTGGTGTGAAGCCTTGGAGACACTCATTTTGGTAAATATGATTTATGGGGTATACTTTTCTGCAGTTTGTGGGAGTTTGGAACATTAAATGTTAAAATTCAAGAAAATATGCCAATTAAACGACTGATCAATTAATATATACCAGCACTGTAATAGTCTTGCGAGTGTTGAATAGCCATCCATGCTATATTTCAAAAGCAGAAATTCAACGGTGTTAGGTTATAGCTATGAACATATTCTTACCTCAAATCGATTCTAAACACCACCAGAAATGTTCTCCGATAATGGCAAAAAAGACGCCTCAGCAGGTATCCCAAATTGGAGTAATACTGTACATACTTCAATCTTCCAATCAACCAGCATTTCAAAATGTCAACCATGGACACCTGGATTATATTGACGTCACTCACAGACTTTTTTGATCTACATGCATGTAGTAATTTATAAATGAAACATCAGTTTTAAATATTCAGCTTTGGTAGTCACTGATCAAAGGTCATTAGCCTACAGGTAGCTAAAGGTCTTATATTAATATTCAACATGTAAATTATTGACCATTTAGGTCTAAGGTCAATTCAACATGTAAATTACTGACCATTTAGGTTTAAGGTCAATTCAACATGTAAATTACTGACCATTTAGGTTTAAGGTCAATTCAACTGACCATTTAAGCCTAAGGTCAATTCAACATGTAAATTACTGACCATTTAGGTCTAAGGTCAATTCAACATGTAAATTACTGACTATTTAGGTCTCAGGTCAATTTAAGGTTAATTACTGACCATTTAGGTCTAAGGTCAATTCAACATGTAAATAACTGACCATTTAGGTTTAAGGTCAATTCAACTGACCATTTAAGCCTAAGGTCAATTCAACATGTAAATTACTGACCATTTAGGTCTAAGGTCAATTCAACATGTAAATTACTGACTATTTAGGTCTCAGGTCAATTTAAGGTTTATTACTGACCATTTAGGTCTAAGGTCAATTCAACATGTAAATTACTGACCATTTAGGTCTTAAGACAATTCAACTTGTAAATTACTGACCATTTAAGCCTAAGGTCAATTCAACATGTAAATTACTGACCATTTAGGTCTAAGGTCACTTCAACATGTAAATTACTGACTATTTAGGTCTAAGGTCACTTTAACATGTAAATTACTGACTATTTAGGTCTAAGGTCACTTCAACATGTAAATTACTGACCATTTAGGTCTAAGGTCAATTCAACATGTAAATTACTGACCATTTAGGTCTAAGGTCAATTCAACATGTAAATTACTGACCATTTAGGTCTTAGGTCAATGTCTATACATTTTGCTTTTGATTGTTTCAGCAATCCTGTTTGCCGCATTATTGATGATTCTACCATTGAAGCGACTTGTGAATCTCTACATGTACATTGTAAGCTCTCTCCTCATCTGCGGTGGTTCATTCTTATCCATGCACTATGTGGCCATAGAGAAGGAAAACCAGAATAAAGACGTTTCTGTATTTGAAGACAAAGAAAATATTGAAATGATTGGCTTCAACTTGATAGTCCAAGGAGCAATATGCGCCACCGTGACGTATCTCCTGGAGCTAAAACATTGGTCAAGATTTACCCTGTTGGCCTATACGTTACCCGTGATGGCAAGGATCGCTAGTATACCAGCTGAGGATCTTCATCGCGTACACAACTTCTCCACATTTGTGATCTGTGTAGCATTGTTCTTTTTTGTGTTGAACAACTTAGGCAGAGCGATTGATATAATGAGATTAACGCTGTATTATGCTTATCTTCAAACACAAGTATTTGGATGGATCTCATTTACTCTGCTAACGTGCGCGAAGGTGCTGTTGCCGGCACAGTTCCTAACATTCTGGCTCGTGATGATTCTCGTGCAGTTATACCTGTTCGTTATTACCAATCAAAATTCTATGGCTGATGAAGGTTGGTTGATTATTCTGCTAGCAAGTACCGGAGAATGTTGCGCTACACCTATAAGTCTCATAGGCACATGTTTCGCAGTGTCTTACACAGCATTCATTGTTCTTGCCCTCACTAAACTGTTCCTACAGGGCTACAATGCCTTCATGATGGACAATGTCATGCATCAAGGATGGACAGAGGGCTTCACGATGTTCCTACTTGCCATACAGACTGATCTAATAACATTGAAGTCTGCACAGAGAGCTTTCTTAATGAGTATCATATTATTCATTGTTCTATCATCATTAATCCAATCCATGTATGAAGTCGCTGATCCTATTTTGTTATCACTAAGCGCTTCTCATAATAAAAGTATTATCAAGCACGGTAAGGTTGTTTTACTGTGTACATTCCTGTGGATGTTTCCATTGTATATGTCAATTTCTATTTGTAAATATTTTGATATCGATTTTTGGCTGCTTGTTATTTTATCTAGTTGCGTGTTAACCAGTGTCCAGGTGCTTGGGTCTCTATTAGTCTATGGTCTCTTCATGTACGACAGTCTCAGGCATGAACCCTGGGAACGTCTAGATGATTTGGTTTTCTATGCTAAAGCCACCACACGCATGTTTGAATTCCTCGTTGCAGTTATTGTAGTTTTTTACGGAGTACGGGAAACTTTATTTGGTAGTTGGAGCTGGGTGAATGTGTCAATTCTAATCATACATTTTTACTTTAATGTCTGGTCACGCATGCAGCAAGGGTGGAGAAGTTATCTCCTTCGTCGAAAAGCTGCTGCAAAAATCGCATCTCTTCCCGATGCCAGTGAAGTGCAACTTAAAACTCATAATGATGTTTGTGCAATATGCTTTCAAGATATGAGAATTGCGAAACTGACAAAATGCCATCATTTTTTTCATGGCCTTTGTTTAAAAAAGTGGTTATATGTGCAAGAGAATTGCCCGATGTGTCATCAGAAAATTGATTTTGGTGGTGAAAGTGAGGATACTAATAATGCAAACGGTGCTGGTGATGCAGTAAATATTGTACAAGAGAATGTTGAAAATGAAGATAATCTGCAAGCTAATGTAGAAAATGAAAATATTGTACAACTACAAGAGGATGTAGAAAATGAAAATGGAGCGCAAACTAATGTAGAAAATGAAAATACTGTTCAAGAGAATGTGGAAAACTGAAATAAACATAGCAAAAAATGTAACATGTATTTTTAAATGTAATATAGAAGGGATAGTGAGTCTAAAATGTTGGAAGCAATCTTCAAAAACCATGGCAATGTTTTTCATATAATTTTCATTTCATTTCCTGGGAAATGAATTTAAGATATCTGATCAAATATTGAAGTTACTGTAAATGTAAGGTGCAGAAATGTGCAAATTTGTTAGAATTTAAAAGGGAATATTCCCATATTGTTGTAGGCATGGCTTAAAGTCTGATCAAAATCTGACCCCATTGAGTTCAATACAAATATGGATTTATTTCTTGGGGAGTAGGGGGTCAAGAGGGTTTCAAAATTAAGGTCATATTTGTTTAATTTTTTCCTTTTTCCAAAACTTCTTGGAGGGACCCACCAAAACCCATTGCTCGCTCGGCCCACGTCTTTTGCCATTCAATTTTCAGGAAATTTGAAATGTGTTGCTTTAAGCCATGTATAGTCTTGGATAGTCCTGTTACTCTGGATAGTTCAATGGTAAAAAACAAGATCCCTACATGTCCAGTTACAAGGCGACGAGGTAAAAGTCCATTTTTAGCCTACATTGACATTTCAGACATGTCAAAGGAAACAATTTTTTATTTAATTAATTAGTTGTAATGTACAACTTACATAGTACATGGTACATTGTACATGGTGCTTTTTGAAAGATTACATATAAAGTGCTCTTATTGTAACTAAGTTACAATGTTATAAATATTGTAGAACATGGAAATATCCATCAATTTATTATCAAGGTTATTACTGTAGGTTAGGTTAATTTGGCGCTAATTAATTTGGCAATTTTGACAATTTTGGTATATTGGCGGCTATTTAATTTGGCAAAAACTGCCACAATTTCCATATACACTAGAACAAAATACATAGTGCAACACCTATTCCTTCAACTCAACAACTATATCTTGTCATTTATCAATGAAGCTACTCCCCTAAGCCAATTTAGAAGTGATATGTTCAGATTATCAGCCTAATCCTTTTCAGATTTTGTAAAAACTAAACCAGAAGTGACTTAAAATATACCAGACAAAATTTCCTTTTTAAACTTTAGAGAAGATGTAAATTGGCGTTTTTTCTATTTCGCCAAATTAAACTGGGTGCCAAATTAACCTAATCTTCAGTACATAAGAAGATACTTATTTATTTAATTATAATGGGCTTTAATATATCAGGATGGATACACTTATAATTTTACTTATAATGCAAAAACTCTTGGTGCTTTCCCTTAGAGGTGATAATACAGCTCTTTCGTGCAGAATAAAGTCTATGTGTAAATCATTTGGTAAGAAAAATCTGTTTTTAGTTCATGAATACCATTTTATTTTCAAAAATTGTTCTCAAAATATCTGATCTGTTACCAATGATAGGTAGGGGAATGATCTAACAGTTCAAAAAATGTGGACCGTAAGGTGAAACCTATACCAAATTTTTACAGAAAAATAGTTTTTGACAAGAAACAAAAAAAATTTCAGAGTACATGTATTAATATCATTTTTGGCTCAAGTCTCACTTCATCTATTAAGCCTCTCCAATATTGGTACTAATAATGTTTATATTGGTACTAATAATGTTTTAAGTAATGCCTCTACATGACGGAGCTGAGTAAGCCTAAATCTTGCCTTCAGCTTTTTTAGCTACAAGACTTGTTAGGCCTACTTAAGTGTACATGTATCTAGAATTCAATTCAAAGATAATTTATGTAGGCTTTATAATATGTATGTAATATTTGATATATTTCTCAATTACGCTGGGGATAAACTGGAAATATGATTTCACCCCAGACATACATATTGTTTGGATATTTACAAAATCAATTTCCTCGCTTTCCTTGATAAAAGTGATTAAATCAAGAAAACAAAAAATCCTACCAAAGTCTGCTTCAGGAGGTCATGGTCATCGCCATGTTGAAACGAAGACATGATATCTAAATGTTTCCAGTTGATCGCCAGTGATGTCTTGTGGTGAAGGCTCAGTGTTATTCTGTTCACGTACATGTTGGTAAAACCAGCATTTATGTTAAAGCTATTTGTCACAGATGCTTTGGAAATTTTATAATCATCAGCTTTTTTTAAAAAAACTTCCTTCCCGGTCATCTGTGACAAATATTTGCAAAATTGATACATTTTTATCTTTCACCATACTTAGTATGAAAAATGGTTATTTTGCCCGCCTGTGTAGGCATTTGTATGTTCAGCCAGAGACATATAAAACAATGTTTCTGGTTCAGCTTAAAATATTTTCGAATTTCCACTACTGAGATTTTTTTCGATTTAAATTTCATAAATATATATAAATTATGTTTACAAGTTATGTTGTACACGCTGCTTAAATGAAATAAATTATTTTAGTATCAAATACTAAATTCATTATTTTGTTGAATTGTAAGTTACAATTGAAACTAGAGGTGTGCACTGTTGGTAAATCACTCAATCGATCAACAAAATATTTTAATGGATTCTAACATAAATGATGGAGATCGGACATAATTTCCCTACAATTTTCTAATTCTTTAGTAGGAGGCGATTATTCAGTCGTTTGATTTGATTGCATACCTCTATTAAAATATATATCAACAAGATGTATTAGTAAAACACAAAAACAACAAAGGTAAGCGTCAGGCTTAGGGCAATTACCGGTAGCTTATTTGGCAGTTTGAGTTTTAAGCTTGGCATGTCAACCTGACAAATAAGGTCTCAATCAGTCAGTGACATCATGTAAGCTTACTCACGGTAGGATATTGAAGATTATCTTTTTGAGAATCAGTTAATTGCACTATTAAGAATCTTAATGGATTAAACTTGTGTTGATCAATTAACTGATGGTTGATTAAAAATTCACACCTCTAATTGAAACATCTCTAGCTGTATCTCCATCTTGTACCTGGTCATTGCAATACCCCCCCCCCCCTTATCAAATCTTTTATCTGACCTTTATATTTGGCAAAGAACAAATGGAAGGTCTTATTTTGCGCTCGTTGGACAGAATGTCAGTACAAATGTACTCGCCTTCGGTTCGTGCTTTGTACATCATTCTGTCCAACTCGTGCTGAATTCCACCTTATTGAATGGATTATTCCTTAAATATTTGCCTTAAAGGAACATTCCTTGCCAGACTATTTCTCTCCTGATATGGTAGCTACAATCATATATATACTTTACATATTTAGCAAAACACGGGGAAATGTTTTCATATGGTCAATATTGATCATTTAAAAATGTAGTACTCATTCCCAGAAAGCTGCCATCTTTTCAGATTTATTTCAGGAAGTGATGTCATCGACTCTCACCTGTTATAACCTTGTCTATTACAGTATAGGAAAGAAGTACAAAATCACTTCTAAACAAGAAGCCCTTATCTTCTGTGTAAATATATTTTCAGGAGTTGTCAACTTAGAACTAAAGAGATCATCAAAAGGATTTTAATCATAGACCAAATTGAAAAAAATATTCAGCTGGTTAAGTCCTACTGGAATTGAGCACTACATTTTTTAGTGATCAATATTGACCATTTCAAAACATTTTTCTGTTTTTTGATAAACTTGCAAAGTATGTATATGGTTATAGCTACCATATTAGGAGAGAGATGGTCTGGCAAGGAATACCCCTTTAAATATTTCTCCATGTTTAGTAACTAACAGAACAATGGTTCAAGTAATTTTACAAAATCATTATTGATTTGTATTTTCAGATGTAATCATTTTCAGTGCTAATGATATTTGAGTCATAATAATTGAGACATGCAAATATTCAACATATGGTATAATACAGTCCAAACAGTAAGAAATCTAACAGACAAGGCCCATTTTCATGCATTATAATATATAAAGTACAATCTATGTCTAACTTGACCATATATAGTCAGAAATACATCAGTTCTATTAAAGCATGGAAATTGATTTTTCAAAAAACCTGTTCAAAAAACTCATTTACTCAATAGAAGTCAAAAGAAATGAAAAATGAAATATAGCACCATATAAAAATCTATGAAGGCACAACAATTTGAATTTGATGATTCATCCATTTTTTGTAACTCAAAATAGTTGGATTCTAACTGAAGGCATTCTCTGATCAAAGGGCTTCAAAATCCAGAACTCGCAATCTGATTAGAAATCATGTATCTTTGCGCATATTTAGATCACGTGATTCAGTTTAATCGGGTGCTTCCAAATTGGTTATAGCAGGGGGAAGAAGGAGGTACGGATTTTGGATACCTGCTCAGGAGGATGAACTGAAGGTTAAATAATACTTTACACCTGTCCACAGAAAACTGATAAAGTCTCCCAAACATCTAATCCTGCCTTCAATGTAATAACACTGAGCACTGAGACAGTATTTCAAAAAATTATTTGAAATAAACAGAAAAATTTAAAAAATAACATCTATTGGTTTTCTGAAGTGAATGACTGATGATGTACATGTATATCAATAAATTAGACAACAGCAATGTCAAGCCATAGTAAATCCCATCAAACATCGGGCCAATGGTATTTGACTTATTGTCTGGACAGACAGATAAATGACATTCTCTATATCCCCTTGCACTCGTTCAATTGGATAATTGATTCATCAGCCTACTCATACAAATAAATATAAATAATATAAATACATATTTACATACAGTCATCATTACTATTTCAATCCTATATTTACAAAGTAAATATTTGTTAGTGCAACATATGCCTTAAGGTGGGACCTTGTTCATCAACACATAGGCAGACAAACAGATCTGGTCCCACCTTAATGGATGTCAAATGTATTTTTGGCAAAAGTAGTAAGATAAAGAATTAGACCATTTAAGTCTTTGTTAGAGTATAAAGTTTGAAATATAAACAGAAGTGTAAAATTATTGCTATTTCAATAGCAATGTTTTCAGCAATGTTCATTTTATCACAGTACAGTCGGGAATTTTCCCTTAACATCACAAGACCAATATATTTTGGCATTATTGGTATTATATTGTTCTTTTCTATTTGTATTCTATTCTTAATCCATATGATTGGGATTTCATTCGATTCATTTCAATTTATTATATGGTCAACCAAATCACTTTCTCTTTCCTAATTGCTAGGTTTAGTCCATGCAGCTTTCCTGTTTAAAACAGCATTCTGTACTTTCTGAAAAACAGTTAAATGAGCAATTATGATTATTTCAAAATGTGCGTATGTACTTGGGGCTATAGACTGATGTATACATATAGTGCAGGTTAAAAAACATACATGCTCAGTACATATTAGTTCATATCAAGTTCATAATTTGACCAAACAATAATTTACACATTTTTAAAATCCAACTCTGTCAGCATTATAATATTGATTGTTGCGAGTTCTCAGTAGTTTATTATGCATGTACGTAGCAAGGCATATCAAGTTGATTACAACTGAGCACTACCAAGTGATTTTGGGCCAAAGCTGTCAAATGTGAACCCCCTTGGAATTTTATTAAAAGTGAACCCCTTGGCAAATGCTGGCTAGGGGCCTGAGAATTTTATTTGTAGAGTATCAGTGACGGGAAAAACTTGTTTACTAACTTTCTTAAACATTTGAGCCCTGAGTCTGTTTGTCTTCAGTTGGTCTTCATGTTTCCTCTTAAGCTCCCCCTGTGTCACTTCCGGCAAAGTCTTGTACAATCTGAAAACAATATTTACATTTATTCCACGATGGTGTGATTTCCAGCAATCTGATTGGCCCATGTGACTTCAATAGATATCATCAGCACAATGTATGTGGAGATATATGTTGTTGGGATACAAAATCTCTTTAACACGCTGACATTAATTCTATTGAATGTTGATACTAATTCTTTTTAATAATGATGAGGGAGTTAGCAGCTTCAATTGATTTTTACATGTAAATCTACACCAGTGTTTAAAACATACTTCATAGTTTGCTCTTTCATCTCTTGTCTAGTCATCGTTCTCCTTTTGGGTTTATGTAGGTTTTCTGAAAGAAAAAAATCTCAATTTTAACACACACAAGATGCATTATACTACATGTACACGTGAACAACACATCTTACCATTACATCCTAATTTAGGCATAATGGCTCACTTTGTACACATATAGACTTGTTTGTACAAAATCATTTAAGATCATACATATTTCAACCAAAATGAGCAGACACTGTATAGTGTATACTGGTATCTGAGTCAATGTCTTGAACCAGTAACATCCTGTTTGTGTGATAATTCCAGTTATTAACAGACATATGAACCAATAGTCAACAATAATGGTACATGTATGTGGCTTTTGGTACTCTAATGACACGATGCAAGGGGACTAACTGGCCCATTTTCTTTTTCTCCAAACCATGTATATCTATCACAAATAAAAATAAATGATCGTATCTCAATAACTTACCACTGTATGGATGGGCATTAGGATTCACTTGTTTCTTGCGTTGGTCAGCAAACAGTTGCGCTCTGTCCTGTCTGTATGTCTCTTCCCTTTGACGCTGCTCGGCAGACAGGGCCACCCGTTTCACACGCTCTCTTGAGTTGGAGATGAAGTCAGCCTTCAGACGGGCAAATGCCTCCTAATAATCAGGAACACTTACAATCAATGCAGGGTAATCAGAAAATACATTCTGTATAGTCATTATTTCATTTTTCTTATTGCTTCCCCATGATTATCTCCTTTTCCTGAATAGCCATAATTTTTACTTTTTGACAATCAAAAATACCGTTGCCATTTTAGAAATTGTGATGTGAATGATCTTGAAATGGTTTTGTTTTACTCTGTTGGAACCCTGACAAACTAATACATTACCTGAAGTGTGGGTTTCTCTTCAGCTGTATCCCTTTGATCTGTCCCAAAGGTCTTCCCTTGATTCATGTAAATCTCAGCAGAGTCATACTTGGTGGCAGGGATGAACTCTGACCTTGACCTCTGGGAGTGTTTATTGGAGGACTCCCATGGCTCTGAGCCCACTGCATGGGCCTGTCTCTCTTTGAGAGGCTTTCTCCAGGGACGTTTCTCCTTTAAAGGCACATACCATGTCATACCTCCTAAAATGTAGAGATGAATCAAAACTGCTATATGGGCCTCAAGTTGGGTTTTACTGGCAATACTAAAAAATATTGAAAATTAAAGTTATTTCATCCTGAAAGTTTATATTCTTCATTGCAGTTCTCAGTGCTTAGAATTAGACTGCTAAATATAGACTTACTAAAGTGACTCAAATTCTAACTCTAACACTAATACGTACATGTAAACAAAGTATCTAAATGAAGAAAAAATTCAAAACAATCTGTAACACACACTATCAATAGATTTTGATAATTTCTTTTCTTGCTTTAAAAATACATCATTATAAATCATCTCCATAGATTTCAGATACTCTTATGTTGTTTTCTGGGAAATAGCTAAAAGGATTTTAAGCTTTAATATTTTCAAAAAAGGTTTCTAGCATAGTCTACCAATAGTGTAATCACAATGTTGTTACAGTTTTATTGTTTTGGTACGTTATTTAGACATTGGAACGCTGACATTAAAAAATAACAAAATTAATCAACCTTTACAATAACAACAACAACAACAACAAAAACAACAATAACAACAACAACATTCAGCAACATAAAACCATTTAAGTCTAAAAGTATATTTCATTTTTTCTAAGGTAAAAACCTAGAACAGTTGACGAGGTCCCCTCATCAAGGGTGGTGAGAGAGACATTACTCGCAAGTTGCATCGCACATACTTCCTGTATGCTGGGTGTATGCCAGGAAATAAACCAGTTGGTTGGTCCTATACCTCGAAATATTTATATTTTATAATGTTTAAACAATTTCAATAAAATTGCTGTATATGGTAATTTTGCTATTTTAACTAGAAAATGGCAACTCAACCAAGTAGCTAAAATCCCAACAAACAAACATTAATGAATCTGAAATTTGTCAAAATATATTTCAGTATAATATGGCCATATTTTTTAAGAGATCTAATCATTAAAATTTCTGGCATTAGGTGGTAGCTTTGGATATTCTGAAGCACAAATAAGATAATGATACAATTGTGATGTACTCTAAAATGAGTATCATATACCAATCTAGTAGCCATACTTTGAAGAGATATCCTTACAAATAAAACAATGAAAAATGTACCTTCTTTTCCCTGTGTTTTCTTCAGATTGTCCTGCCTGTGTTTTCTCTGCTCTTCTGTTCCTTTGTAATCTTTTCTCTCTGAGGGGTGGGACTTTCTCTTCCCTGGTGATCCTGGCACTGAAACGAAACCTCTTCCTTGGTCATGGCCTTTCATGGGAGATGAGTGAATGTATCTGAAAAATGGTTACATGCTTTCAATCAGTGTGCCTCTTCCTGACAGAAGGTATTTAGAATAGCATCCAATCTTAGATATCAATATAATAAAGTGGTATTCTTAATCACACACGAAACGCTTTATTCAAATACATATTACACAAAAATTCTGCATGAAAAAAATCTGGACTAAAATCAGTGGAAATATACTGCCGCACTGTGAAAGTATATTGAATACAATAACTATTAAGAGAATTTGATACAGCTTTGAACAAGGCATTAACATGCAAAATGTTAAAACCTGCCATTTGTTACAGACACAGAACACCGACTACAAAAAAGTTGGAGATAATAGAGTACTTGTGGTAGTGACATAACAAATAAATTTCATGTTTAAACAAGCAAAGTTTATGTTATTTTAGACATAACAATACCTCGATTGATCAGCATGCTTGTTCAGAAAGCTAGGAGTCGTCTGTACAGCTTCAGAGACCATCTCTACATCCCTCAAACGTCTTCTAATCACAGGAGTCGGCACCAATGGGGAGGGGAACATAGATCCAACATCGTGCTGATTTTCTTTCGTGGCTATATTATCTTGATTTTTAGTAATTTTATCTTTGCGTCGATCACTTTTGTGTTTTGATTTATCTTTAGTTTTGGGAGCTGCATGTTCAGGTTTATTGAACTCAAAATATGCTGCATTAGATCTGTATTCTTCGACAATTGGTTTTTCTTTTTTTGATTTCGCTCTTGGGATATGTTCAGATTGAGAGTGTTTAGGTTTACCAGTGTTGTGATCTTTACAAGCGCAAACACTAATCTCACTAGATGTTGTGTCCACTGAGCGATCATCACCCCCTATTACCCAGCGTTCCGGGGGACCCTTGGGCCTTACCTTATCTTGGGGGCCCTGGGGCCTAACCTTCTCTTTGGGACCCTTGGGCCTTACCTCTGGGGTGATTGTACTACATGTAGTGTCTGATTGTGACTCATCAACAGTTGTTGTTGATTGCATTGTTGTGGATAAAGAGGTTGTGGTTGAAATGGAGGATACACTTGAATCATCTAACTTCTGTTTAGTTTTACCTGTCAAAAGTTGCTCAAGTCTATCGATTTTCTCTTTTCTTTTCCTCTCCTTGAGTTTATCTTTTTCATATTTTTCTCGCTGTTTTTTAATCTTGTGTTGAATTTTTACAAATTTTGGATCTATTTTTCTCAGCTGTTTATTTTCAGGTTTTTTCATGTGTTTTGCAATCATGGAGTCCTCGGGTATTGAAGTGAGAGTACTGTCTTTATCTATTGTCTCATCTTGTTCAATCACATTACTATCAGTCACACTTGATGGAGTGGAACTGACTGGTGGTTTAGAAAATTTAGCTTTGGGAGTTCTTTCAGGTTTGTCTTTTGGTTTTAATTTGTGCCCATGCTGTTTGCCCCACTTACTTAATCTATCATAACGGTCGCTTGTATCTAAGTCACTAATGGATTCATCATAGGTTTTATGCCGGACGAAATGGCCGACTGGATTGCGTAGTAAGTGTGAGAGTTTGGTGATGCAGTCTTGCGATTGTGAAGACCGTGAGCTGACACTGCTATTCATACTACTGTTTGTCTGATTGGCCTGCTGGAATCTCTCCCACAAAGAGTTTATATCACTAGGTGCGCCATACTCGCTGTCACTCTCCAGTTCAAACTCACGCTGAAGCATTCTCATTTTCTGTGATAACTGCGGATCATCTTTGGCATTTCTGATCTTCCTGGCTAAGGTGGATTCTTCCATACTGCGGTCGACACTGGGCATTGGAACCAACCCATCCTCCTGAAACATGGAGCGGATTAAGATTTCTCTTGGTAATACAGGTCAAATGTTCCTAATGTTCTTCTTTATTTGCTTTTCAGGTAATTATACAAGATACATGTGGTATTATCATTGTTCACTGTGGTAAATTTTGAATTATTCTTAAATTTAAAAAAAAAATTAAAAGAAACACAAAGTATCAAAATTAATGAATATTTCCAAAGGAAATATATGAGGTAAATCATATGTCTACTACTTACAGAATCAACTGGAAGCGGAGCATAATCACGTTCATGATTGGAGAACTGAAGTGACCTCTGTGGTGACCTGTACTGCCCCCTTGTGAGCTCAGATGGAACCATTGTCTCTCTTTCATAGCTTTCCCTGTGTGAGAATAAACAATGCTTTCTAAACTGTAATAAACATCTAAGGCTCAATAAAAAAAGATTCAGACAAGATCATTGTTGTTCTTTAGCTGATTAATAAAATATCTTCTTGATGTTCTTTAAAGGTGAAAACATGCCAATTATAATTTTTTCTGTTAAACGGAAACATCAATTTGGTAATACTAATACATAATAAACACATACCTCTGTTGTCTGTACAACAATTCCTACCTCTGCACAATGGGCACATATATCTGTACAATTAACACAACATATACGTACAATAAATACTTGTACATACCTCTGTGCCAAATCAGCATCCTGCTGATCAGCTAACCATTCCTTCACTCCTGCAGATCTCCTTAGAGGGGACAGACTCCTACTTCTTTCCCTGGGGAGTCTCCCCTGCCCATGCCTGGTGGCTCCTAGCCCCCCAATAGAGGGAGATGTTGGGGACCAGCTACGTCTGCGGGTCAGCGTGATGATCTCAGGGTCAGTGGGAGGTGAGGATGGTATCACTTTACGAGAAGATTGACGACCTCGGTCTGAGGGTGCAGATTGTGGTCTCGAGGATTGTTCCTGCGAGTCTTGGGGTTCTATATCCCTAGGGGATGGAACAGCAGGGGTGGAACTGGCACGTTCGCTCATCACTTCATATACACGCTCCTCTGTTGTTTCAGAGAATCTCACAGTCTAGAAAGGCATTATATTATCTATTTTAATCATAGCAACAAAAGCAAGTTTATTTTGTTATTCCATCAATTTGCAGTGGACTTAGGGGCGGGGTCAAAATATCAATGTTCATATGGAGACGAAAGTAATTTCATTTGGACAACAACCCCCCCACCCCCCCTCTAGACGAAAGCTTAGGTCACTTCAAAAAAACATTGATTTTCAGGCATAATCGTATCCTATTTGCCGGGTTATTATTACGGTGAATTAACACACGTTCGCAATTTAACTGCATTGAACTCTTCAAAAGGAGGAGGGAAAAGTACGGAATTTATTTGAAAAATGATCGAATTATCGTCTTTATCTACCGATATTTTGGACCTATCACACAAAAAAGCTCACGAACTATTGAAAACAAGCCTTTTTATCAGAACATGGCGCCAGAAAAAGTGGGTAAGTCCAATTATTTTTTGTATATCAGATCCGAATTATCGATGTCTTTTTGGTCAACGAAAGTGCCCAAAAACCCCCTCCCCCCTTGCGAAAGTACTTTCGTCTCCATATGAACATCGATATTTTGACCCCGCCCCTTATATAACAGATATCAAATCAATTTTTCTAGATGTTCATGAACTGACATGTTCATTTGGTGAATGTTCTTTTAGCTAAGTTGATTTTGTTAATTTTTTCGCACACCCTGAACTTACTTGTTGTTCATTTGCTGTATGTTCTTTAAGCTTTGTTCCTTCTGTCTCCTTGGGTTCTGCTTCCTTAAGAGACTCCTTTATGGGAGTAACATCATCCTGTGTATAAAGTGTACATATTATTGAGTGCCATACAGTGTATATATATTATGTACAGCGTTTTGCTCATTTAAATGAACCATTGTTCTCAAATAAATATACCAAAATGACATTAAAACATGAGGGCAGTTCCAGTTCTAATTTTGTCTTGGAATCATAGTCAGCTCTTGGCGCAGGATTTAATTCTGTGTTTCATTAACCAATACTAAATTTTGCCATATACTTTACCTGAATGCTCAGGAGTGAAATGAAGTAGTAATATGACATTTCATCGATACTGGAGAGCAGAAATATATAGTCTTACCTGAGTTTTATGTTCATCAATTGGCTGAAGACTCCCAATATTTGCCTGAGAGGCCAGTTTTTCCTTACTGGGTGACTTAGAGCCATATATCCCAGTGGCATGCTTAGGCTGGCTTGAATCTTCCTTTCTGGAGCCCATTAGGTGGGGTGGGATGTAGGGTGGCACGGCATCATCAGAACCTGTATATGTCACAAGCATGTTATTTTTTGTTTTAATACCATTAAATAATGGACGTGGACAGTATATGTACGATATGTGACAAGTATTAATATATCTCAAATCTTTTTCAGATAATCAAGGGGTAAATTGGGATGATTTTTGAAAAGACTGCCTCTAACATTTTACACTCTATCCCATCTCGCTTAAATTTATGTAGGTGTTAGAGTGTATAATATGTGAAAATGTCTTGGTTACCTGTATGTGTGCTCTCCATTGTTGTTTCACTGTGAGCCACTGATACAACGGAGTCCTCATGTACATCATCCACATAGTACACCTCATTGCTGCTGCGTGGTCTGGAATAAACGTTGATGGTAGAAAGATGAATAAACACAAGGAGAAAGATGAATAAATGCAAGGAGAAAGATGAATAAACACAAGGAGAAAGATGAATAAATGCAAGAAGAAAGATGAATAAATGCAAGGAGAAAGATGAATAAACGCAAGGAGAAAGATGAATAAACGCAAGGAGAAAGATGAATAAACGCAAGGAGAAAGATGAATAAATGCAAGGAGAAAGATGACTAAATGCAAGGAGAAAGATGAATAAATGCAAGGAGAAAGATGACTTAATGCAAGGAGAAAGATAAATAAATGCAAGAAGAAAGATGAATAAATGCAAGGAGAAAGATGAATAAACGCAAGGAGAAAGATGAATAAACGCAAGGAGAAAGATGAATAAACGCAAGGAGAAAGATGAATAAATGCAAGGAGAAAGATGACTAAATGCAAGGAGAAAGATGAATAAACGCAAGGAGAAAGATGAATAAACGCAAGGAGAAAGATGAATAAATGCAAGGAGAAAGATGACTAAATGCAAGGAGAAAGATGAATAAATGCAAGGAGAAAGATGAATAAATGCAAGGAGAAAGATGACTTAATGCAAGGAGAAAGATAAATAAATGCAAGGAGAAAGATGACTTAATGCAAGGAGAAAGATGAATAAATGCAAGGAGAAAGATGAATAAATGCAAGAAGAAAGATGAATAAATGCAATGAGAAGGATGAATAAATGCAAGGAGAAAGATGAATAAATGCAATGAGAAGGATGAATAAATGCAAGGAGAAAGATGAATAAATCCAAGGAGAAAGATGACTAAATGCAAGGAGCTCACATGTCTCAAACTCACAACCACATGGTTGCGACAACGGCACCTAGCCGAGCCTGTTCAGTGCTCTAGACTGGTTGGCCAACTTGACAACACCAAATGAGGTTGTTTCATCAGCCAATAGAGGGAACAGGTGTTAACACTCAAACACACCAGAGAAAACATTCATACATGCATTCACACACACAATTAGCTAGACTGAATAGATAGTGGAGCTGATAAAAATACAAGCAACATTTACAGTACTTGCCCCTTTCAATTAACCAAGGATGCCCAAATATTGTAATAACATCCTGCTTAACAAGCTGATAACAATATCATATTATACATGTATAGTTGTATACAAATATACAGATGAGCAATACTGTAAAATATAATACCTGTAAGCTCTCAATACTGGAGTAGCACTTTTGGATCTTCTACTACCATCTGTGGGGGTCACACGTTCTGCATCAAGGGCATTAGGTGATCTACTCTGTGAGAGAGGCTGGCTAGCTGTAATAATATATTCACGAAAAATATGAACTGAACCAATGCTCATTAGGAATTAGGGCTGGCACGGAACGGAACGGAATCGGAACGGATTTCGGAACTTTGCTTCGGAATTCGGAACTTTCGGAATTTCGGACCTTATTTAAAACAGTTCCTACTTCTCCCCTTAAGTTCTCATTTTTGTCACCATTGGAACAGCAGTGTACAACTACTTATATATAAGTTGTATTATGTTTATTAAATACAAACACTAACACTATCTAACTGCCAGAACAAGTGGCATAAATGTTCAAAACTAATGGCAAAATGTTAATGTCCTTGCCTTCTTGGCAACTTGGAACACAAGTGTTACTGTCTTTCGTTCAATAATAATCTTTTCTTATAGGTACAGAATATATATAAAACAATCATACTTTATTTATTTCTATCATTTATTACATATAAAACAACTTTACCAAGTGAAAATGTTTAATAATTATACATATTTATTGATTTCGTTTCATAATACTAGTTCGCTATAGCGAGTTAGCGTCTCGGTATAACGATAAGTGAATGTTCTTTAAGGAAATAAAAGTTCCGAAATTTATCGGAATATGAGAAGGTAGGTCCGAAATTCCATTTCCGAAGGCAAAATCGGACGGTTCGGACAATAATTCCGTTCCGTGCCAGCCCTATTAGGAATATTTATGACTGCTTTTGTTGAATATCAGAAGCTAAAGGATGGACTGATATTACACAAAAACAGATATTACTTTGTGTTCTTTCTGCATGCGTCTAAATATTCATACCGATATTCCAGTAATATTATATTATAGTATTTTAGTAGGAACCCAATCAGGTTAGCGATCATTTTTCTTGAAAACAGCAATAAAATTTTCCATGAATGAATTCTCTTGAAGATTTGTTTCTGGCAAAATTGTGACAATCAAGCAACCAGCCATATGTTTGGTGCGTTTTATGTATGTTACAGCACAGAACACTACAATTTTTTTTTTCCTTAATGTTAACCTGTAAATATTGCGAAACTTTTAGCTCGTGTTATTGTCTGATCAAATCTAGAGGTTAAAAATATCCAAGAATCATCCTTGAAATAATTATTTTTTCACCCGGCTTCTGTACAACTCACCAGAGTGTGGAGGGTCATAACGACTGGCACCGGATGTAGCAGGGGGAGAAATAGATGTCCTCTGTCCTAATGGAGACTGCCTATTCTGCAGATGGTACCTATAAACACAAATTAGTACCAATTTAGGCCCCAATATCACTGCAAAGATCATATCCAATAATAACATACATTCAGTTATGAAGTACAGTAGTACAACCAATGACTGTGGTATTATTTTTGTGCTGCATGAGATGGATGAATTATTTAGTAGGCTTTGGATTAGAATTGAGAATAAAGACAGCGCTCTACTCTGCTCTAATCATTACATTAATTAAACATGTATATACAAAATAGATTTATGAAGCACTGTGGTCATCACAAGATGAGTCCAATGCTAAATGTGGTTATTGTTTTGTTTTGTTTTTATATGATAAACTATTCATTTCATTTGAAAACATATTGCCAATCGCAATATTTTTGAAAATAATATTTTTCTGACAAATTTTCCTAGAATAATAACAAACTGATCAAATATTAAGCAGCAATTCTATTTTTAGATTTTATTTTAATAATCATACTTACTCATCTTGGGGAGGTGATACAACAGCCTGACTATCTACAACAGTTGCCGTGGTGGGTGTGGCTATTCCATCAGATCTACCTATTGATTGTGATACTGTCTGTCTTACTGTGCTAGTACTAGAACTACTGTGATGTGCTTCCTCACTACAATATAGTTTAAGGATTTAAGCCCCAGACTCAGTGCAATGTGGACAGAATCATTCCTCAAAAAGGTGTTATTTCAACCTTTGCATGAAATGGGCAGCATCGAGTGTGAAGTTTAGAAAATAACGCCTGAGTGGAATGAATCAGCAACAATGCATCAAGTCTTGGGTTTAAATTCTTTTGACACATCACAAAATATTTTATACAAAATCACCTAAAAGATACGAAATCACTTAAAGAACATATTTCCAGTGAAACTTTGTGCAAGTTGGCAGAGCATCAATTTCAATCTGTAGAGACCTTGAGACCTTCAACGAATGACCTTGGATGAGTTATTGGTTATATAATGCAGTGCAGTTATGTGAAATACTGTGTTCGGATTGGCTGGAATCTGACACTTTACCTAGCTATGTGTGAATACATATTTAAGCATAGACTTAAAGTCCATCATTTAAGGAACAAGAAATCCTGTTCTGTATTTGAATTTATAAGCATACAGATAAGGCAGAGGGTGCAAAGGATTTTTTGTTGCAATTCATACTGTTCAGCAAAACTGCAACAAATTATGCAAATGCAATGAAAACTGTGCAACAATCTATGATAATACACTGCTGCCAGAAACTTAACTAACTATAAGGTGTTAAAAACATCAAAAACGAGTGAAAGCAAAAAGTTACCTTGATGATCTATGACCTTCTGGGGTAGCACTTCTAAGATCAGATGGATACTGTATATAGCTCCTGTCATCAGTCCTAGCTCCCAATGTGGGTTGTCTCTCAACAGATGGTTCCTGTCCTATTATGGGCTGCCTCTCTTTCATGCGCTCTATTCCTATGGTGGCCTGCCTATCTCTTGTTTCTCTGGCTGCATGTATGCCTTCATCATGGATGTTCTGAGGCATGTCTCTTCTAGATTCTTTATGTGCATCTAATCTGATGTTTGATTGTTGTGCATCTCTGATTCCTGTCTGGCCAGTTTTACTTTCAGGCCCTGTATTGAGAGACTGAACCCATGACTGTACTTCTTTTTCCTTGACTTGCTCATCACTCTGTGCCATGAAATCATTAAAAGCATTCCTGCTAACCCCAGCTGTGAGTTGGCGCAGTCTGGAAGTTATAGCACTTGATGTGGAGGGATTAAGACCTCTTTGAATGATCCCCCTAGTATACCCATCTACCAATGGATCATTTGTTACATCTCTAAGAGGATCGTTTTTGACTTGTTCTCTGAACTCTGCCCGCCTGAACTCATCCATATGAGTGTCCTGTAATAATTGTTTTGTGACTGGGTCTAAGAGAGTGGAGTCTGATTGAACCTGTCTGGGTTGTGTCGGAAAATAACCTTGCCGAGATGTTGTATCTGGCCAGGCTGATCTCTGATTGGATATAAATTGTTCTCGTGTTTCTGCCGGCATGTAGCCTACCTTGGATTTGTTATTCATGGCATTAGTGCCTGTGTTTGATATGCTTTTAAATGGAGTTCGTGCTTCCATACTTTTATCAAATTGTCTTTGGGACATTTTAGCTAATTGTGACGTCAGGAAAGTTGCTGTTCTACTTGATGCCGCGAATGGTTTTTTAGATTCTGGCAATGGTGTTATTTGAAAATCAGGAATGCTGCTATCAAATGTACTCCTATCCCTGATGTATAGTGATCTCGTGGCTTGGGACGGATGTGTTGGGCTTAGTGCATCTTGTGATAATGTAGAGGGAAGGCTGTGGTCAGATGATCTCTCTATATGCTCACTAATGGATCCACCACTAACCAGGTCATCAGGGTACTGCACATAGCTTCTATCAATTTTACTTTTCTGTATAGTCTTCTCCTCTTCCTCTGCCTCATGTAGGATCTGATAGGCTTGTTTCTGTGGAGAGTCCTTCTCTAACAAGTTGAAAACCCTTCTAGCTAGGCTGTCAGTACTGCTGGCTTCTTCACTTTGTTTGACAAGTCCTGTATCTTCAGGTTTATCAATGTCGTCTTTGCTATATGATTCTGTAATTGGCTGTTCAACAGTATCAGTTATAATGCTTTGTGAGGATTTGATATCCCTTGGGGAGCTAGATTGTCTCCCTTTAGCACCAATTTTGTTAGTGACTAATGGGTCTGGATTGTAAGCTTTATCCCCTGTGCGTGTATCAGAATAACTCTTACCAATTTGTGGTCTCTGTGTCTTAACATGTATTTGGTCAGATTTACTACCCCTTGGTCTTTGTGTGAGTGCCTGTGTGAGATTGCCTGTCAGGAGTGTCTGAAGATTTATGTTACTATGCCCATCTGGTTCACTTCTACTAATAGTGGAGTAATCAGTATTATCATCGTACTCCTCTACTTCAGCCTGTTTTGTCGCATCATACACAGATCCTATAAATCTCCCATTGGATACATCGGATCCAAAATCTGCCCCATGGTCCCAATTCAGTGTCTTACTCTTATCAAGTTCTCCTGAATTATCTCTTGTACTTGGGCTTGATTGGACAGATTCTGTTTCGAGTTTTGCATCACTTGTAGTGTGGTCTGATTTCCTAGCTGTTACATTCAGACTGTTTTGTATATCATCCAAATCTCGCTGTAAGCTTTCATAGTCTATACCAACATTTGGACTTAGTTGTTCCTGTGAGCCTACTTTAGTGGCAGACCTAGAGCCTGGTCTTGATCCTCCGTGATCGCTAAAATGAGCAGTTTTTGCAAGGATGAGATTTACTCTCTGCGCTAGAGAATCCTGGCTTTTGAGACTTTGCATACTGGCACTTGGTCTCAGTTGTCTTACAGAGATTGATTTATCAACTTCTTCCTTAGTAAGACCTTGGCTACTTGGGACTTTCTCTCTGGTTGTGATATTCTGTTGCACATCTTGGGGTTCATATGACGATCTTTCAGCAGTTTCTTTGGTCTCAACAGGGGTACTTATTCCACTTTTAAGATCAGATGGATATTGAATGTAACTTTTGTTATCAACTTGTGAAGCAATTTTATCATCATGTACTGGCGTAATTCTATCTATACCACTTTCTTTAGTCTCAACATGGGGACTTACTCTTGACACATCATCTTTTGTTGATTCATACAGCTTAGAGGTTTTAGTAGGGGATGGCGTGTCATGTGGCATAGAAGCCATTGGTAGAGATACACTCTGTGATAGAGTATCGTACGTATAGGACTCTGGGGGTAGATCAGACAGTCTCCCATATTGCTTTGAAGCAGCACGACTTACATCAGTAAATATTAAATCATCACTTTTGGAGTGATCCATTGGTACAGGAGTTGGCTTTGATCTTGCCTCTGTGGGTGTTTTACTTTTTAAATCGGATGGATATTGAATGTAGCTTTTGTTATCAACTTGTAAAGTGATATTATCATCATGTACTAGTGTCATTCTGTCTATACCATCAGACGTATCCATTACGACAGGGATACTATGGTAACTAGACTTAGAACTAGATGATCTGGAACTCTTCCTTTCAGTTAAATCATATTCTTGACCAATTTCATGCGTTTCACGACTTTTTACCCTGCTTGGTTCATAGTCAATTGTTTTTGGTGGAGAGGATGGTGGAAGATCAGCATACTCAGTGCCCTCGGTCATTTCAGATTGTGTGGGGGACATGGCGCCACCTATAGGATACCCACCAAGCTCAACTCCTGCTTCATCAAAGACACTTCCTTTGCTTGAGCTCACTAGCATTTCATTTGTTCTCCGCTCAGACTCTTTCAATTCTTCAAGAAGTGCAAGAGTCTCTTGTTGAACATTTGTAACAGTTCGTTCTAACAGATCGCCAGATTGGGAGGATCTTGCTGACATGGGTTCAAGGTCTCCTAATTGAGAGGACCTCGCAGATATAGACTCAGTGGGTTCATAGGTTTGTGATATGAACTCCCTACCAAGTTGTGAAGACCTCCCAGACAGAGCTTGTTCATTAATCTGTTCTGGAAGTTTATCTAGACTTGAATATTCTGTAAAAGCTGGCAGCTCCTTGTTTGATGTCGGTGGCGTGAAATAAGCAGATTTTGAGGATCTTGATGAAATTGGATGTTCATAGTTCGATGGAAGATTTTCTTGTTCAGAATACCTGGCAGAAGCTGGCAGCTCTTTGTCTGTTGTCAGAGTGAGATCAGCAGATTTAGAGGATCGCAATGGAATTGGATGCTCATAATTAGATGCTTGTAAATTTTCAGGTTGGGAGGATGAAAACTTCGGTTCATACATCTGTGTTGCTAAACTACCAGCTGATGATTTACCTGAAGGGATATTTTCACAAACTTCGCTTTTTGATGACTTTGCACTTGATACCCAGCGTCTCATTGGATCAATTAAATCATCACTAGACACGCCTCCTTGAATCTTCACAAATGATGTTGATGATGATATCTCAGACTCAATATGATACTCATTATCCTCTGATGTGAACCTATCCTCAGCAGGGGATTTATCCTCAGAGCTATCTCCACGTAAGAGGATCTCCACTCTTTCACCAAGTGAATCCTGACTTGAGGATGGATAAATGTCATCTTTAGATGTTGTCACATTTTTTATCTGTTTTAACAATTCATCGCTTGTAGTTTGCGGGGTTGGTAGTTCAATGGGGGAGGTTTTAGTGATGCCTTGTATCTCATCTAGCAATAAATCGCGATCACTCTGAGACATGTATGTATCTGACGAAGATCTGCCCCCTTGAGATAAAGAAGATTGGCTCCCTAGTGATAAAGATTGGCTTGTTTTTAATAAAGCTTCACGTTGTTCCTCTGTGACATAATCAACACCAGCTTCGATTATGAGGTCAGACACTGAACCTCCCGATTTATGACTTGTATCTGTTGATTTACTGGAATCTCTGGTCTCAATACTGGATGCCTCTTTGCTTAAATAGCCCTGTTGCATGCCAGAAGGTGTGGCACTTTTTAAATCAGAGGGGTACTGGATATAAGATCTTGCAGGAAGCTTGTTGCTGAGGTCTGCACTTTGATACGATGTCAGTGATCTTGATGTTCCAATTCCTGAGCCAAAGTCATCTGGTAGCTGCACACCTGATCTATGGACATCAGAATGTTGCATATGTGAACTAATCGAATCAACGCTCATGATATCAGAGTCCTGGTTGCTTGTGTTACTGCCCCATGACACTCTCTTCCCAGGCTTACCATCAAACTGTTCACCAGTCCCTTCACTTGGAAATTCCTGTTCTTTAGCTATACCATGCTCAGCTCTGAGAGGTCCTTTCTGGGCTTCAGCACGTTGTCTTATAGGCATCTTAAGCTTGGCTTCCTCTATTGGATCGATCAAACCTACTACATAAGGAGTGCTTTGGCTTATTGGCTGGCTACCTATGATACCCATTGTATCACCAAGAAGACTTGGAGCATCATATTGCGTAGGTTCAGAGAAGGCAAATGAGTCATTATGAGTAGGAGTTGGTGGTCCATCACTAACACCAGCCCCTTCATCAGCATCTACTGGATCAGGAGTGGGTGCAAGGTACTTAGACACAAAGTCATCATCATCATTATCCATGCCATCACCTAGAACACAATGGAAAACACAATTTAATCATTATTTTCTTTTTAGTTCAAAAATAATATATATACGATACAATATTACAAGTTTATACTTAGTCTACTTCAAAATGTGTGATAAATCTACTTAAGCAATTACTGCATGTATTTGTACTGAAATGTGTTGTTTTTTGTTTTGAATTACATTGAAAAAGTTGTCAAAGAACACTCCATTACCTTGTAGTCTACTCCTCTTCTCAATTGGCTCTTCATTTTCAGATGAGGCATTTGGGCTTGGCTTTCTCAAATCACCCTCCACATCTCTATGGGACTCTTCATAAGGTGTCACTGTATCAGTTCTCTGTGAGTGTGTTTCATGCTCACCTGTTTCATTTCCAGATGGTTCATGACTGACTTCAGACTTTTGTGACACCGATCCAGAATTTTGAGAATTATTTTCCCGATATCTGTAGACATCTATCGACCTTTGACTGTTTTGACTCAGGGTTCCCGAGGCCTCTGACCCTGATGAAAACCTGGGTGTATCAGGGTTAAACTCCGTAGTGTACTCAGTCTGCCATTGGTTCTCACCTGCATTAGATGGCACCGATTCTCTTGACAGAGAGATTCCCGATTCTCTTGAGTGCTCATCTAATGGATGCTGGGATAATGACAATTGGCCACGTACAAAGTCAGATGATATTTCCGCTATAGCATTCTGGACATTATGCTCATGATGAATTTCTGAAAAAGCATCTTGAATTGCATCATGTGAGAGGTTATGTATAGCCTCATCTATCGGAAATTGTGATAATCTCTTACTGTCATCTATTGGATATTGAGAGACTCCAGTATTGTCAATAGGGTATTGGGATAATCTGTCACTTCCTCCTTGTATGGGATATTGAGAAACCCCAGTAAAATCATGATCCTTTTCACCTAAAATTAAATGGGCAATCTTTAATAATGATAACATTACTGTCAACTAAACTGTTTATTAAGGAATTATTCACTTACAAGGTGTTTTATCTTTGTTTCATGCTGTGAATCAAAGTTACCAAAATAGAAAAAGTTCACTTCAAATCAGAATGTATCTATATCCTGTAGTATTCTTTTTTCAAATGAAATTTGAATTTTTTCATGTCAAATCTCAGTAGAGCTTTGAATCAAAAATATTTCCAGAAAAGACATCACGTGAAGAAACACTTGCATTAATATGCAAAAATGTCACAACCTGCCATTTGTTACAGATGCCGATTGCCAAAATCCAAACGTTGAACACCATCATCATCCACAAAAAATTGAAGACGACAACAATATGTCACCACCTCTGTGACCTCTTGTGGTGACACAATTAATGATATATGTACCTGTTGGGCTTGTGTCACAACTCTCCTGTCCTTCCAGTGTGAACATTCTCCTTGGCTCTTCTCTGTATGCTATCTCCCCACCCTCCATCTGAGTGGCTAAAGATGCTGCCTGGAAGTACATGTAAACAAAATGTCTCACAAAGACCTGGTAAATTATCAGAGAAAGGATTGAGACATCTGATTAGAATTTAGAAATGTCCAAATTCAGACATGTCCACTTTTTCAATATATTCTGATTAATCTTGCGATCAGAAATTTGGATCATATTAGAACATGTTGAAATCACTTGCTGTAACTTGCACCTTTACAAATATGGTAATGCTGGCCTTATATGGGTGTTTTGATATGCAAGTGACAGATGACTCATCATCTTCCCTTCAATCTCAGCCATTACTGTATTATCTATATTCTTTAATTTTGATGCAATTATAAAAAAATAATAAATGTCTCGTTTATAATGTTGTAATAAATCATAGTATGCATTTAATATTATTTTTCACATTGTGCTCTTTGTATTTTCTTTGTAGTTTTTGATTTATCAAAGTACAGGTACATGTTTAATATAATTGAATGTATTTTTCCATATGATTGAATGTATTTGTCCATATAATATTGCATGGTGGTGATACTTTATGCAGCCAACTTTTGCCAAGGCGGGTCATTTAGAAAAATGTTGGCCCAAAATAACATGAAATATGCTCAGAATCGTGAAAGACTGCATGATTTTAAAAGAATTTTTGGCTAGGGGGGAGGGTCGAACCCCCATACACGCCACACATAAATATTTAATATTACCATTTCATAAAATTATTTAAGATATGTTGACTTTAACTACTCCTTGGAAAAAGAGCAGATAAAGATTTCTTTTGGAAAAATTCAAGATTTTAATCAGCTGCTTTTTACTTATAGGCTCTCACAGCCAATATTTCCATAAATAATGTCACTTTGACATAAGTCCAATATGACTGAAATCAATTAAATGTATATACACAAGAAATAATAAAAAAAAGAATTCAATATTTTTTGATTGTGTTAATAAGAGATCTTCAAATACTCGCAAACACAGAAATAGAGTGTCGTTCACCTTGAAGTTCTGAGGAAGGTTCCCAACTGACTGAATGAATATGAATAAAAGCCAATTCAAAAGAATTAATCAAGTAATGTTTATACAGACATACAGCTCCCTGAACTAATAGACCTCAGGGGCAATCCAGCAAATGAATTGTATATTGACATGCACCCACAAAAGTAATTTATTACATAAGGGGAGGGGATAAAAGTTCACTACCAATTTCAATTTCAGAGTGAGGGGGTCAATCTAAAAAAGTTTTCACATTTCTTTATTTTTCACATATAATTACTAGGATGTGCAATAAATAATATATCGACATGGTCTCTTACCATTTGAGAATTTGCATTATTTGCCAAGGTATGTTGACTGAGGGTAGAGTACTGAGATTCGACATGTGTACTTCTCTCTTGGGGTGGGGAGTCTGATGTGGTCAATTCATCAACATCGAGAGACAACCATTCATTCTCCTGCAAAATATAAAAGTAAATTCAAAATTTTCAGAGCATGTCCATTTGTCAAAAGACAACATTTTTCAATCAGAAAAATTTTGAGATTATGTTTTAGCTTATTCTATACTGGTTTTAAGTAAATTTCTATAAAAGTCTAACCAGGAAAAAAGAAACCCCCTTTTCAGAAATGTCATTTTTGAGAAATTTTATAAATTCATGAATATATGGCATTTAAACATTTTTAATACAGCTTTCCTTTAAAAAAGGTTGTGTCCCGAACAGCTGGCATTTTGAAATAAAAAGAAACATTTTCAAGTAATAATTCAAAGATCTTAACTGTTCAAATATGAGATAAAAAACAAATTAGGAATTCCCCATACAGCATAGCTAGCTAGAGACTATCAGAAAATATGAAAGCCTCTAGGTGCAGTGAAAATGGAAGTCTCAAACCTAAAAAGTAAGCAGACGAAGAACTGCAATATCATGTGGAAAATTGTGTGCTTGTACTAGAATCCCCATCCAGTTCTTCCTGTCTACCAAGCCAAGATCTGAGCCAGCTCAAGTTGTTTCCATTTATTCCATAGTGATTAAGCTTAGGAGCAGGCACTCATGTGCGACTGTATCAAACGCTTTAGAGAAGTCCAGTACTAATAAATCTGTTTGTTTGTTATTATCAAGGGCTGAATGCAATCTGTTCTATGATATTTACAAGTTGGGTTTCACACAAGTGTTTAGTTCTAAATCCATGTTGGTGGTTAGCTAGCAAGGATATTGTGCAGATCTACTGTAGACTGACTACAGTGCTGATACAAATTAAGTCGTATAGTTGGCATATTTTCTTGAATTTTAACATTTAATGTCCCAAACTCCCACAAACTGCAGAAAAGTATACACCGTAAATGATATTTACCAAAATGAGTGTCTCCAAGGCTTCATACCAGCGTACCCATAATGCATTTGTTACGAGTTTGAACTGAAATTTCGCTAAAATGAAGTACGCGTAATCTCCACCAGGTCTCTTTATTGTGGTTAGCTTTTAATGGTCAGTGCTCAGAAGCAAATAATTCATGTGCGCAAAATAATCAAATAATCTGATTGGTTTTAACGTTATTGCACATGCGCACGATGTGTGCCATGTTTTTTTCTTTTGATTAATTTTCGTTTCATGGAGTTTGTGTTTCAGTGTAACAATGGGCTTTCAATTATTGAAAGCCAATGGTGTAACTTCCGCAAAAATGGCGGACCAATGACAGAATTAACAGGTAAAATCACTTCGAAATTTAGGGAACCTTTTACCTACAATAGCAAAACTTTTGTTTTATTTGTGCATTCTATCTATCAGATAAGAGTCTTGGGGGTATATAGGCAAATCCATTTTGATAGGAGCACTCTGTTTAGTTTGAAAACTCACCCTTTATTATTTGTATCAGCTCTACAGTGGAGATCATAAAGAATTGCAAAAGCTATGAAAATTACATGCTGTCGCACATGTAATAAATTCTTACCTCAGTGTATTCAGTGCTCTATTTTCTCCGTCTTAGTAAGTCCAAATATAGTGGAAGTTGTGTCCCTAATGACAAATAAGAACTTCAAAAGTTGAATTGGATATTCACATGTTATGCCGACTCTTCAAATGTTGAGGTGATTTTGTCGCCCGATTGCGCCGGAACGGAGGATTGGCTCCCAGAATGCAACATGACACGTGCCAGCTTTCAAAATGCTGTTCCGCCATTTTGAAACCTTTCATGAGTAACGGTTAACTGATGTTGCATTCTGGGAGTCAACTGTCTTTGGATAACAAACATGGCGATTCATGAAAACATTCATTCGATTTGGTAGGGATTTATCCATTATTTGCAGGTATGAAGCTTTGGATTCATTTATTATGCTACTTTAGTGAACGGGAATTATTTTTCTACCGCTTGGGAGAGTTTGAGACACGAAACTTGGAAATAAGCTCATTGTGACAACTTGTGAACGTTGAGTTTTATTTTTGTCCCCCACTGTATATGTCAATGAGACATGAGTATGATCACCCAAAGTCTAGTTTGGTTCAACTGGTTTTGGCTCTTAATTTAATATTTGGCCTAAATAAAAGTCGTTTGAAGCTTACTTGAAGCTTAAATGTAAATCAAAACTATGAAACTTTGAAAGATTCAAAAAAAAATCAAATCCGAATTTTTTTTTAATTAAAAAGATTAATTTATCTTATGTAGCACAACTGATACATGTAATCAATTGTAATATCACTCATAACCTAGAAAATGTATTCGTGTACCCACCTGACTTTCCATATTGAAGATATACGCATTAGATTTGCTGTAAATACATTGTTTTTTGTTGAAAATTTCAAATATTTTAAAACTTGAGCGCCATTTTGGATTTGAATATATGCAATAAAATTACGAACGTGCAAAAATACGAACGCTAGTGCTGGCCGATTCCTGCGAACAAAGTAGGAACATTATTCGTTTCGATATTATAAAATTAATTTTAATGATTTCAGATGATTATGGAATTGTAAACGGATTGATTATTATTATTAACCTGTATTTAAACAGAGTAGTACAAAACATATAATATACAGTTATGGTGGATCAAAACATATTTGACACCTTGTTAGTCAACAGAGACACAGGTCCGTAGCCTTTGCCAAGGGGGGGGGGTTCAGTTTTCAAAAATTTCCAGGGGGGGGGTTCACATTTGACAATTTAGGCCCAAATATGGTCAAAATCACTTGAAAAGTGCTCAAAATGGTGAAAAACTGCATGATTTTGAAAGAATTTTTGGCCAAGGGGGGGGGGGGGGTTCGCCCGAACCCTGCGAACCCCCCCTGGCTACGGGCCTGAGACATATAATAACATAATTTTATGTCTCTGGTTATAGGAGTTCAGATGCATCTATAATGTCTTTCACGAGTAGGAGTTGCCAGCATATTAGCTGATGAGCTTTTCTCTTTTGATATACATTAAATGGATAATGTTCGAAATACAAGCCATGTCTGAATAAGTGACGCTGCCATTAGAATTGAAAACGATATTCTCATTGTTCACCAAGCCGTTGTCACTGTACTAAGTGTACTTGTCTAATAATTTCGCTAATTTGATGTGTTCTTGAGAGAAATTCGAACATAAAATCAAAAAATGAGTCCAGGGTTCCAATCTCTTTACTCTAAAATCGAGACTGTCCGTCGCTAGGCGCATCATGGTTTTGCCTTGTCAGTAATTTTGGCCCCATCCTTTACATCACGCATGTTAAGGCAGACGTCATGACGTATTGCATGTAGTCCTTCCTGTATATGGCTCTTTGTTTATCACTTCAGATGAGTCTTTTCCACGATGCTTTGCTATTGATACGTTTTATAAATAAACTTTTCGGGAGGTACGTCAGGAGTAAGTCAATTGTTTTGGCTTGAAATACAATAAAATCTTGAATCCTGAATAGATAACTCACTTCCCGGACTCACTTTCGCTCTGCTGAGAGAAAATAAGATTTAGGCCTATACGTTGCTTAACAATATTTCCTTTTCAAAGATTTAATGGTGATGATCTATAATATTAAAATGCAAAGCCAAAGAAAATAAAAGGGACAACAAAGATGCTTTCTAGTAATGATTTTGCTCATTGCCTGTTGGATAAAAGTCTAATGATCTGCAATGTTAGACTTATTTCAATGAATTTGTTCGATAGGTTCCTTTCTTTTGTTATAAGGCGGATATATATTGTAAAAAATGACGTGGCTCAGTAAGTTGGCAATGAGTGGTTTCAGGCCCGTAGTCAGGGGGTCAAAAAGTCTTTCAAAATCATGCAGTTTTTCACCATTTTGAGCACTTTTCAAGTGATTTTGGGCATTTTTGGGCCAATGTTGTCAAGAGTGAACCCTTCTGGAATTTTTCAAAATTTGACCCCCGTCTAATCCTGGCTACGGGCCTGGGTTTCTTAAACATGTTCTCTGAGCTAGTTTACAACAAAACAACTTTTCTTCTATCAGAACCATTTTATTTCATTCTGAGTACGTTTCAAAACAAAGTTCCAGAGCTGAAACTGACACTTCATACATGTACCCTTTTAGGACTATTTTCTGAAACATAAATATTCTAAGTAAAGTACATGTAGATTAGAAGTTAACACAACATAAAAGATCAATCGATCTTTTACCATTTTATGTTGTGTTTACTACTTACTATTCCCTCAGCCTATGTTCTGAAACATTATTTTTGTATGCATGACATATTTCAAAAATATATGTCCTTCAAAGGAAATTCACAGATGCATTTTACATGACCTTGTTATGTGATAGACCTTTCGTGGAGAAGAATATGTAAACCTTGCAAATGAAGTCTCTGGGGGTTCTACTTTTCCCAGATTGCACTCTAAGTCCAGATAGAACAACTATTAGGTAAAATATCTAAAATGTATCACTAATGGTCTCCTCCTCAGACTTGATTCTCCAAACTTCATAAAGGAGTCAAACAATATAGGATAATAATGGATAGGGAAAGCAAACAAATACGGGGTATAAATATCTAAGTAGAAATATAGACCTATTTTACATCAATATTTTACTGTTTTCTTTTCTTGCTTTAACAAATCTGGCGATAGGAAATTCTATTTCGGTCGGACGATCGATCGTGTACTCGATTAAGGGCACAATGAGATCGTACAACCATAACAAAACATGATGTTCATGCATTTTTAACAATTGCTGAGATTTTATTTAAACAAAATTTAAATATTTGACAAAATCACAATCACTTTGTGCATATTTTAGCAAATCATCCCATTCCCTTCGTAAGCAGCTCTATCCCGGCTGGGTTTAGGCATACACCTGTACTCACGCCTAACCATCGACAACGTACAGTGACAAAATATACGGATGTACAATTTGGCTGTACGTTGTCATGTTTGAAGCAAAAATTGTGATGTAGGTTTTAAAAGATTTATCTAGGGAGTACGATGAATTATTTCATGTTTAATTTCATGTAACCAACATTTTCCAACCGGTCAATTATGTCCGTGGAATTACCTACAAAAAATTCGAGAATCTATTAACGTAATCAGAAAGTTAAAAGTCTTGCCAAGAGTATGCACAAGAAATTAAACAAAAAATACTTCATCATATCCGTAAGATAAATCTTTTAAAACCTTCATCACAAAATTTGCCTTAAACATGACAACGTACAGATAAAGTGTACACCCGTATATTTTGCCACTGTATGTTGTCGATGGTTAGGCGTGGTACTGTAAGACAACAATTTTACCCATTAATATTTTAAAATAACAATTGAAACTGTGATGCACTCTTTCATATTAAATTCCTTATTGGCATAGCCGAAAGGTGCAACGTCTGATGCTATACGAAGTTTTTGCCCTTTGGTTAAGTTCTACGTTTATACATTTTGATGTTTTTAACATCCGTTAACTGCAAAATAATAGTTTTTTGAAAGCAGATCTGAACTCCATGTTGAAACATGTATAAAGTAGAGGATTAAGCATCGAGTTGAAATATCCTAGCCAGACAAATGCTAAAAACAAGTCAATGTTGACTTCATAAAATACCGAATTGACGACATTGGTGACAAAGAACGGAATCCAGCAGAGGCAAAACACCGCCATTACTATCCCCAGGGTCTTTGCAGCCCTCCCCTCTTTATTTGTTGCAGTTACTCTGCGTACAGTTACAGGCGGCTCTTCAGTTTTCTGCATGTGTTTGCTTTGCTGGTTTATAGTATTAGTATTGTCTTGAGCTGTTGAAGGCTCCGATTTGTCAGTTTCACACGATACTAGTATTGCACTATCCTTAGCAGTAGTGTTATTAGTTACGGGGCTTGTTTCAGCTTGATTTTGTTGAACAGTTTGTCCATCTTGGACGCTTTTCTGTGTAACAGGATTTTGTAGTCCATCTGACACCTTGTTGCTCCATCTTACCTTTTTCCTCATGACTCGCAAGATGATGAAATAACAGGCAATCATGAGTAAGCATGGTACAAAGAATGCGATGATCGAGGATGTCACGACAAACGCAGGGTCTACCGGAAGAGCACACATTCCCGAATCCTCAAGAAGTGAACTGGTGGAAGATGACCAAAATATCACTGGTGTTATGGCAACAGCCAGCGACACCAACCACATTATGCCACTGATGATAACTACGTGAGAGACGCTCCTGTTCATAGCGTATTTGAGAGGCGTCGTGATGGCTCTGAACCGATCAACGCTGATTGCACATAGGTTCATAATAGATGAAGTACACAGAAACACATCCAATGTCATCCATATTTGACACCACGCCAACCCGAATACCCACGCGTCCAGCATTACAGTCATCATACTGAATGGAAGAACAAAGAGAGAGACCAAGAGGTCGGCTATGGCCAATGACACGATATAATAGTTACATACGATTCTCAGAGACCTATGCCTATACACTGCAAGTACTACTAAAGTGTTCCCAACTAGCGAAAGGATTATGATGATTGAAAATACTATTCCTTCCACTATCTTCACGGCTAAAGGTCCACCAGTCAGCGTCATGTTTTTTTTAAATTTAGCATCAGTTGAATCCTCATGCAAGCGTTCTACACTTTCTTTTAATTCTGCGCAGATTATGTATCCATTGACTGGCTATATATTCATGGTCAGGTAGATAGATAGTTATACAGTATAATGGTAGTGATCCAATCCTGCTACTCGTGTCTGTAAAATATTTTAAGTTCACAACAAAATAGGCCCTCTAGACTCACTGCAAAATAAATCGAAAAATAAAACTTGATTCTCTCCTAACAATGACCTTCCATTATCCACTTGTCCTCATATTATATTTTGATTGAAATTCTTATATTCTAATAATTAAGAAGTCTTTCAAGTGTAATTGAATGTTTAATAGATCTTTTATTGTTGCAATCTTTCTGATACTTTCCTATATTTGCAGAGGTGTAATAAATCTCTAAAAAATCAATCTCAATTACTTTTCTCTTGTCTTCATTTGGATTGAAACGCTTTATACCTGATTTGGATCCTATTTGGTTACAAAGCTAGCGTGTTGTTCACTACCTCCGCAACTAATGGCTATAGATTGATCATTTTGTAAGTGTCTCCTTACAGCTGACTTTAACTGTCAAGTAAAAATCGAATCCAACAATTTTCTTTCAATTTGTTTCTACCAACTGATCGTTAGAACATAACTTAGAGACCCGTCGATTACTTCATTTGACAATGGATAACAATTAGCCCAGTTCGTATAAAGTGCTGTTTGATGTAGTACAGGGATTTTGTCCGAAGTTCAGGACTTTTGATCAATAGTATGAAGATTCACTGGAACTACATGTAACAGCTGTAACTCATTAGAATGAGCAGTTAAACATCTTCTTTGTCTGTGGTTATTTGTACGATACCAGGTTCTGGTGGTTGCTTCCTGGTGGTTTTATCATTCTCTGACGGGGCGGTCACTCTCCGTTATCGGGCGTATCCTTTATTAATCGAACGTTTGCCCTTTTGTATAGAGTTCACAGTATTTCAAGCACATTTTACAATTTTGAAAACTTGCGCCTCAAGTTGTTTCGGTTGGTTATGTTCCTCCCAAACTCTTCCTCTTTTGCAATTGAATTAGTAATTGGCTTCAACAGTGGATCAGTCGTTGTCTCGTACTTTAAGGTCGATCCTCTTTTTCATTAGCTCATAGGAGCTCAGTCTATGCCCCACTTCCTACAATATCAATTTGAGACTCATGAGGTCGATCCTCCTTTTCATTATCCGAGGAGTTCGGTCTATGCCACACTTCCTACAATATCAATAAGGGACTCCTCTCCCCGCTCCTCTCATAGTATTTCCATTGGATATTCCAATTGTAGTTGAATATCCTTCTTTTGTAAACGTTTAATTTCGTTTAATTACCACATCGCAAGTTTGTTTTCAATTTATTTTATTTATGTTTAATCATCGCATTACCAAACGAATGTGTGCACAGTAATGGATACTTTGTTTAAAACAAGTTGTATAAGCACCTGAAATAGTTCTTGTACAAAACAATAAGATTGATTGATCACGGTAAGGGATTTTTATTCTACTTTAATCATCTTCCTATTGTTTGTTGTACTGATTGCCATTGATTTTCTTTATGTAAATACCAGCTAAATTATTGAAAATGTTTTTTCAAACTTCCGTTTTTCATTCTTATGTCCATCTTCCTTTCAAGCATTAAGTGTGCGTCTGAGAAACAAACTCACGTTGCAGAACGTGGTAAGTTTGTTATGAAAGAGTTCAAGGTAGGAGTACAGTTCCAAATCGATACCACTGAGATTTGATTTCTTAACTAATAGATATCAAAACAATGCAAGTGCTAAAAGCGGGAAGATTAATTCCTACGTAACCTTCCGGGGTTATTGTGTTAATTGTTTACCAAACTGTTACCACTCAAAATGTTTCTCTAGTAATAGAATTCTAATGATTATTGAAAATGTCCTTGGTGTTAGATTTTGGTTATCATAAAAAGAACAAATCCAAAAGAGAGAATTGAAGTAATGAGTTGTAGAGCTACGATTAACTCTTTCAGAAATTGCTAAAAGTGTATGGATTAGGACATGCACTTTGATCGGGAAATGAACGGAGGGGGAGTCGATTTCTCTCCTCCGTTCATTTTCCGATCTCAGGCCGTGTTCACATTTTGAAGTTTTTGCATTTGCAAGATTCTGGATGAAGAAATGTGAACACAATTCTCAATTAATGTTTAAATAGTTCTATTGACCGCATAACTATGGTATTCCAATAATTTGAAACTCCGTTTTAGTCAAGCTAAAAAGAGGTATATCCAGAATTATGGCAATGTCTATACTTTCTATACATTGTCTATACTTTCTATACTTTCGATCTCCCTTTTCATACTATCTGCCTTCGACGTTTCTATACTTTCTATACTTTCGAACTGCTTTTCCATACCAACTGCCTTTGACAAATCAGATGTCTATAATTTCTATACTTTCGAAATGCCCTTTCATACTAACTGCCTTTGACAAAGCAGATGTCTATAGTTTCTATACTTTCTATACTTTCGATCTGCTTTTTCCTATAACTGTCTTGGACAAATCAGATGTCTATATAGTTTCTATACTTTCTATACTTTCTATCTGCTATTTCCCAGAACTGTCTTCGACATATCAGATGTCTATACTTTCTATACTTTCGATCTGCTTTTTCCCATAACTGTCTTCGACAAATCAGATGTCTACAGTCTCTATACTTTCTATCTGCTTTTCACAAAACTGTCTTTGACAAATTAGATGTCTATAGTTTCTATACTTTCTATCTGCTATTTTCCAGAACTGTATTCGACATACTATCAGATGCATTCGATCTACTTTTTCTCAGAAATGTCTTCGACAAATCAAATGTCTATAGTTTCTATACTTTCGATCTGCTTTTCCCCATAACTGTCTTCGACAAATCAGATGTCTATAGTTTCTATACTTTCTATACTTTCGATCTGCTTTTCCCCATAACTGTCTTCGACAAATCAAATGTCTATAGTTTCTATACTTTCTATACTTTCGATCACCTTTTCCCCATAACTGTCTTCGACAAATCAGATGTTTATAGTTTCTATACTTTCGATCACCTTTTCCCCATAACTGTCTTCGACAAATAAGATGTCTATAGTTTCTATACTTTCTATACTTTCGATCTGCTTTTCCCCATAACTGTCTTCGACAAATCAAATGTCTATACTTTCTATACTTTCTATACTTTCGATCACCTTTTCCCCATAACTGTCTTCGACAAATCAGATGTCTACAGTTTCTATACTTTCTATACTTTCTATCTGCTTTTTACAATAAATTGAGGCAATTCACCAAAATCGAAAGTGACCAAGAAACTTATGACGTCACATATTGTTTTACAATGTATAGAAAGTATCGAAAGTATAGAAAGTATAGACATAGGGATTTCACCAAAATGTAAAGTATAGAAAGTATCGAAAGTATAGACATAGGGAATTCACCAAAATCAAAAGTGTAGACAGTATAGAAAGTATAGACATGTATAGACTTTAGAGAGTCCAATCGTCTAAGACTGAAAAAAGTATCAATTAAAAAAAGCAGTTCGAAAGTATAGAAAGTGTAGAATATGCCATAATTTTGGATATACATGGCTAAAAAAACAACATGATTGAGAAAATTCAATGTTCCCAAAAGTTTTGACATCCTAATCAGTATTTAATCGCAAATCTTTGAGCTAGTTTATATTGTTCAGGTTAAACAAGTTGATGACTGTTTTTAAATATGACTGTTCACTGTTCAAATTGGGAGATGTTCAAATTGAAATTCTTATCATGATAGTCAACGAGAAAAAACGAGACCGAAAACGTGTTAAGATTGGAAGCTGCTCGGATTAGCCAGGTGTTCAGATATATGTTTTACTGTAATTGTTTAGCCTCCCATACACTGCTTTTTTGACGACTATGATATAATCACTGAAATAGTTACTTCGGCGGAACGGCAATGTAAAAAATGGATTCCTCGATACGATTTTTTTGTTTTCTCGATTTAGTAGTCAAGTTGCATATTAAAAGGCACAAAACTATATAGTCTACCTTTAAATGCTTCGATTTAAAAGTTGGTTTGTAAGTGAAGCCGTATTTAATTCCTCGTTTTTGTTACGTTGACGAAAATCCATTATATTATCATTTTACTTTGAAGTGTGTCTCGGACATAACCTCGCGGTTAAATATTAGCAAATAATTGATGTTGAAATCAATAAAATGAACAAGAAATACATCTTTAGTCTGCGTACTTATAAATGTGGAGTGTTTGATTATTTGAATCGATTCTGACCGGGATAGTGGTACACCAAGTAAACTATATTAGACTATATTGTCCCAACTCATAACCATTCAAACTGATAAAGAATGTGTTGAAACCATTTATAAATTTTACATGATCCGCTTTTCGTTTTCTACGAATTCTTTTGGTTGAATATTTGACTTATCTACCGGCCTGGTGAGAATTTATTGAAGGACTGAACGAATTGTTACTCAGCAAAATAATACATTTTTAATCATGAGAAATCATGGGGATTCAATAGAAAGCCCATGAATGAATAAATCGAAATTTAGTGCAAACCAACATGGAAAATCATGGAAAAAACTTACAACATTGCGATCTGTGTAAATTCAAATTTTTTTAGCCAGAGTTCGACGAATATCGACCAAACATTAACCCTGAAATGTCCATCCTGCGGCAAAAATCTGATGGTAAGTTTGTGTTGTTCTGATAGACTCCTTGTGGGATCCACATGCTCTACTATTCCATTATAGATAAAGACTGATACATCAGAATGCGGCAGACTGCCTAGAGTTAATCTATTATGAATTAGGTTTCATGTCAAACAATTGTTAAAAAACACATTTTTATGGAAGCAGACAATATTAATTACGAAGAATATTTTCCCAATGCCTATTTTTGAACACCATCCCCTGTGAAAATTCATTAATAGGTTATTGAGTGGGGTCTTCTTACTATTTGAAATGAATTATCTAGAAACACAGGCTGGTATCGAAATATTTGTCCGCTGTGACGGAGCATGCTATTTTTCATAAAAACACTAAGAATACTTCACGATTTATTTTTTAGCTCATATGTTTCGTTATACCATACAAAATTACTTACTCCATGCAATGGATATATCATTTGCGGGTAACTTTCACTTCTGTTTGAAGTCCAATTACGCTGGGAAGAAAAGCTATTGAAAATGGCGCCGGAGTATCATACTTCAAAATGTACCATTTCTTGTTTAACTTTCTAATGGCACGATATAGTGACACGATAATATTTACACATGGTTTCAGCATAACTATGAAGGTATGAATGAGATGTTGATGTATTTGGTCTTTTTAATTCTTTTATAAAAAATAATGTTTAATTTTTTTGTCCGCTGTGACGGAGCAGTTGCAAATGTGAACTGTGAAAATGCTCCGTCACAGCGGACAAAAAAATATTAATATTATTTTTTATTAAAAAAACTAAAAAGACCCAATGCATTAATATCTCATTAATACATTCAGAGTTATGCTTAAAACATATGTTAATATTATCGTGTCACTATATAATGCCATTAAAAAGTAAAAAAAGAAATGGTACATTTTAGAGTTTGATACTCTGGCGCCGTTTTCAATAGATTTTACTCCTAGCGTTATTGGACTTCAAACAGAAGTGAAGGTTACACACAAATGATATATCCATTGCATGGAGTGAGTAATTATCTTTGATATAACGAAACATATGAGTTAAAAAATAAATCGTGAAGCATTCTTAGTGTTTTTTATAAAAAATAGCATGCTCCGTCACAGCGGACAAATCTTTCGATACCAGCCTGTGAGAAATAGCTTGAAATTTAAAAGGTCAACTCTCAAATCAAAATGCAGAAATAGACTTTTGGTACTGGTTTACAGTATTAGTTACTAGTCTAGTATCAGAATATATAGATAATTTTTAGCGGGCTTTTTTAGCTTAGAGAATAGTAGATAAAAAAGTTATTTTATTACACTATGTACACTCAGTATTTTATTGAAAATTAAAAACACATGTGCAATGACATAAAACATGAACTTGGATAACACCAAGGATGTTCAACTAAACTTAAAAATCATTGGCAGATAAAGGTATGTCTAAAATCCATACTGGAATAAAACCAACAGACATTAGCACTTTCTAACAACCAAAACAATAAATGAAATGTGCCTAGTCTATTTGCTTTTGGTACCAGATTTTTATTGATTATGCAAATATGACTTCACACCTAGTGGTGTTACGTTTCTCTGCGTCTGTCCGATGTTCACATCTTAATGTCAATACTAGGAATCAGTTGCAATACAGATATGTTGTCTTAATAAAATTCTTGACTCAACTCCATGTTTTACATTATTATTCATAGATCCTTTGCCTTTTTAAAACCTGCAGTATGTGTTTGATGATGTCCTTGTGTTTCACTCGATGAGTTCATTGATGCAGTCACGTGATTCCAATAGCCATACAGTGCCATCTGGTGTTGATAGAATTGTGGGTAAGAGTAACAGTCCCCGGTGTTAGTTTCCATGCAGCCAGCCTGTTTCTCCAAGAAAGTGGACTGTCCCAATGCAGGTAGTGGTGGTTGGCAGTAAGAAGAAAGATGATCATACGGAACAGTACCCGATGGAGAAGTATCGTTAGCTTCAGCACAGTCATTATGTGGATCTGCTGTGATGATGTCAGGACACAATCTTTTATTTTGGTACCTGTTTTTCGAGAGACAGTCTTGATTTGAAGTAGCGTCATCATCAGGTGCAAATCTAAAATTAAAACGATTATTCGATTGATATCTGGAAAATACATATGTACAGGGTGTCCCATCCCCTGCTACAGCTAAAACCATGATTGATTGTACCTAGTGTGATATACCATTGGAACGATCATCTAAAGTTACATTAACTCACCAACTGTCAAATATTTTGAATGAAAGGATGAGTCAGGATATATTATGCTCTTTTGGTCCCTCTTTAAATGCATGTGAAATATGGCTTGTATTACTGTCCTAATTATACTTGATAAGTATATGTACTTTTTCATGAGTTTTGATGAATAATGAACCCTCAACTGAAAGTGAACACGGGCTTTCAAAAGCCCATTACATGGTTAAAATAAGTATCCGAACAAAAAACAAACATGTTATAATAGAAAAACACCAATGGCAACGTGTATGAAATACAAATAATGAAGAATTGAAAAGAAATTCACACATAGATAGGCAAGGTGTGTCCAATTCCCTGGTCAATCAGAACAGGCTATTTCACTCAACTGCATTCAGTTAAATACCCAATAACGCATTTGTTGTATGGTTGTCAAGGTGAAAACTTGTACTAAATTGAATTGATGCTTTGCCAACTTGGCCCTTGCAAAAAGTTTCATTGAAAATATGTACTTTTAGTAATTTTGTATCTTTTGGGTGATTTTGTAGAAAATATTTTGCAATGTGTGGAAAGAATTCAAGCTTAACACCCCAGTCACATTTGTCCTACAGCGGCCATACGTCGACCGCAGATCAATTAAATCAGTGTATTTCTGCGGCGAGCGTAGGAAAACTACGCTCGCCTTGCGGCCTCCGTACGGCGTATCCAGTTTTTTACATGCCGCAGGGTCGCCGTAGATATTATAACTCGGATATTTGTTAATTTCTGAGGTCCCCGTAGAAATCAACTGGCTCAAGAAGATTGAATCATTATTTGTCAATGTTTCACGATCATTTTCATTTGATATTACATCCTAGCACTATGAATAACATTTATAAATTGTCCTGATGTAAATAAAATGAAAAAAGTATTATTTATCAACAGAAATTTAAAATTCACCGGCGAGCGTAGAAAAGCTACTGGCCGCAGAAATGATAGACCGCACAGCGGCCATGGGAAATGTGACTGGGGTGTAAGACTGAATGCATTGTGGCTACTTAATTCCATCCAGACGTTGTTTCCTAAACTTTGCATTCCCGGGGCTTAAATCCTCAAATCATATTTATGAAATATGCTTCTTACCTTTTAAGATTGGAAGCAGTAGAGACTAACTGAACATTGGGAGGCGGATTGGACCTCTGCAACTCATTTGTTGTAGTACTATCTGGAATGGATGGACTGGGTGGGCCAATTGGTTTGTCAAATTCATGTTCAGTTTTGGCTGCATCTTCATATGTTTCTTCAGATGGTCGCTGGAGTTCAACACTTCCAGAGGATATTGATCTTGTGTGCTTCATATGAAGAATCTTGTCATATAGTATACCACTGCCTTTTCTGATATTAGGATTCCCTGGCCCTGCTGGGGTTTTCAACGTGTCTTCTTTCATTTGCCGTTTTCTTAGTATTGCTCGTCGGTTTTTAAACCAAACCTTCAAACCAAATATCAGTTTATATTCATTTTGAAAAAATTTCATTTCAAGATATTAAAGGCCTACTTTGCGTATTTTCAACGTTTTGAATTTCATAGTATGTCCAATGTATTGATAAGAACCTTATCTTTCATTTGACACCGCGAAGGATGCCAACAACAACTTCAAATGCTTTTTTTCTATGCGAGTTATTTTTTTCTTGATTCAATATTAAAACAAATCAAACTTTGTGTCATATTTGAGCGAGTGTGCGAGTAACATATTTCAATGATTATTTTTTTCTTTTTTCTTCTAAATCAAATAACTAAATTCAATCAATTCATATTATTCTGCTAAATGAGTAGAACCTTCGCTTTCATACGTGATCTCATATGTTGTTTTTATGTTTTTATTTTGTGTGGATAAGGTTTTCTACCGTAATGATCCCAAATGGCAGGCCCGTTTTTTCAGACAATTCCTCCTTCTCCAAAGCGTCAGGGTACTGCCTACGGTTGAAATAGGTGGTGAGAATTTCTTTCTGCAATGGCAAAACAATTATGGCCTTCTTTGTAATCAGGTCGCAGACGATCAGAAAACATACATACTCGATATGAAATGCAACTTCAAAAAATATATAGATAAGATGTAAAAGTTTGGAACCCAGTGTTAACGTTTGGATGTGTTCAGCTGATAGTCATGACTTTAATTCAATGGAATAAAACTCAAAGTGGGATCCCACTGGCGGATCCAGAAGCCAACAAGGGGGGGGGCAAATTTCAAACCAGGAAAAAACTTTTCGCGCAAAAAATGTTTTGGGCCCCCAAATTTTTACAATTAAGCCCATTTTTAATAATTTGGCGTAAAAAGGCCCAAAAGGCCAAGTTATGCCAAAAAGCCCCCCCCCCCTGGATCCACCACATCAAAGTATCAACTATCCTTTGGACAAAAGAAGCAAGCTTTCGATAAAGAGAGAGTGAATAAAACTGGGATCAATACAGAAGTTTTCACCTTTAAGGGGGGTTATGAGGTGTTCATCTAAGAGTGTATTTACAGAATATTCATGTCAACACACGGTATATTGCCTTGTTCCATTACCGTATACTAGATCGTATATTTTATATTTAAATGTCCTCCAATGATGGTCTACAGTCTCTATTTGTATCTGTGTGGTCCGTTACTATAAGCCCTGCAATAAAGAGGTTTCGCACAACGCTTTTAGTGCAACGTATAATCCGTTTAACCTTCGTTTTAGATTTAATCCTTCGTTTTAGATTTATAGTTATTTATGATCCACAATTCATATATCTTATTGGAATGAATAAAGTGAAGTATTACTAATGTTATGTTGACGTGGACGGGACTACACGTATGAATTGCCCCTTCATGAAAAATCCCAACCGCGTGCAATAGGAGTATAGAAGTTCTGCCAGAGAGCAAATTTCGAAAAAAAGCTGTTATTTTCAAAAAGTGTGATATATTCCACACGTCTATAGATCCTATAGCCCGAAGAAAGGGAGGTGTGTGTGTGTGTGGGGGGGGGGGGGGTTGGTCATTTTTCTATATTTGACCCCCCCCCCTCGGCCCCTGACATTTTATTTGACCCCCACCCTCTTGGCAAAAGCTGGCTACAGGCCTGCTACTGTCAGTCAGTCTTGCTTCAAGTAAGAGTCTACAATTAATGGTCGAGTTGGATTTGTTTTATGATGTTAAAAATAAAAGCTTTTGTTTTATAATGCTAAAAATAGAATCTTTTGTTTTATAATGCTAAAAATAGAATCTTTTCAACAGTCTGTTTCAAATAGGTCACAGTGACCTGTATATAAAAATAATTTTTAAAATGATTGTAAATTATTTTTAGCGTTGTTATTAAGCTTCAGTTTTGTTTCTGAGGACAATTAAAGATCATAACATCGACCAAACTAAAACTCTTCCCGCACACAATTCAAGATTTTGATTGACAGCTCTATATTTAGAACATGAAATTGATGGCCTGTGTTAAAACTCCAAGGTCAAGCTGATCTGGTCACTCCTTAATACAATTTAGAGATAGATTTTTCTTGAAAATGATCAATTCTATCTTCATATTTCTCAGTCAAAACATATCTATTGAAAAATTGACCTTTCAAATCATTCTAGTCTATCAAATGTCAATTTATTTAAACGTTTTTTTGTCACGATTTTTTTGTCTGAAAGAAGGCTTTTGCAGTGTTTTGTAGGGCAATTTTGTCAAAGAATTTCGTTTATTCATTTATAGTTCCTCAGTCTTCAGAACTTCAGGGGCTCATATTTTGAACTATATTGTGAGATGGCATTGATTCAATGTTTATGTGATAAAATGAAGAACCTTTTGCTGAATAATTGAAATCAAAATGAGAAAATAGCACCAGTCAAAAGTTGCCAATGATCTAATCGTTTCAAGAGATCTCTTGAAAGCCCATGGCGGAACACTATATTTTATTGAGGTCCTGGTGAGAGAGTAGTATATGTACTTTTTTGGGGTATAACGAAACATCTGAGTTAAAGGAATAAATTGTGAGCTGACAAATTCTTAAATTTTCTGACCCCTTCTCGTGATTATATAACGAAGAAAATTCAAATTCATTAAATAGTAGTGACATTTGTACCCCCATAAATGTGGGTTCGGTTTGCCTTTTTTTAATTTTTGACTGAGTTTTGCTATCACTAAATGTCAAAAATAAGAAAGAGGCAAAATACCCCCACATTCATGGGGGTATGACATTTGTTACTATTAAAAACGCAAATATCGTCATCATTCTTCACTCTCTCACCTAACTCATAAAAGCCAGAAATGTTACTATTTTCCCTTGCTATTCCACCAGTGTATTAAACAGACTCAAGTGGAAATACAGATTGCCATATTATACGTAGTGAATGATCAAAATCTTACATTTTAAAAAAATATGATGAATGTGGTTCTTAAAAAGTAAATTAGTGTTATGGTCAAGGTAACGGATTGAGATGCGTTTATAATTAGTAACGTCAGCACTATACTTCTGAAAAACCAACTGCGAAACGAAAATTATCGAAATACCGAGGTGTGGTTGCGGATATGTTACTAACCTGTTGTGCGAAACCTCTCTTATTAACATCACACCCACAAAAAATTATGAGCTTCGATTTTATTAACACCTACCATCGGTATCTGATGTAATTTACAACTTCAATAATTGTTAATTTTGAAATTTTGTTTTTGTATCATTTATTGACGTCTTGCTAAAATATATCCTATTTTTCAATTTCTAGACTTTATACCAGACTGAACACCAACGTGCACCAATGGGGCAAATAAGACCCCAATAGATTTTAATGCATTGCATCAGTCTCACCTCACCTCGTAGGTCTCGATGAGACTCCGTAGCGGAGTGTAACGTTCACGTTGCCCTTTTGATGTATAAATCAGGTTTAGCAAACAAGCTACGCCTTTTTGCGTACCGGATCCTATGTTTTATACGTCTCTGGTCTGCCCATCAATTCCCATCGTGATAAATACCACTATGCTTGAACCAAGAGGAGGGAAAGCCCCAGAGTTTAAAGATGACAGACATAATTACCTCTCTTGCTTACCACCTTCGTTCGTTCGAATTTTCATCGGCTAGTTATCAAATACTACACTTCGATGGGATGTTTTAATTGATATAGGCATATTCCGTACACCTTTCTTTATCTTGATGTGAAATGAGAAGCTATTACTCGGGGTGGAAGGTGTGAGAATTGTGCAAAAATTGACTTTGTGAGCTGGATGGAGTTTCTCTGTATTTTTCATTCTGTTAGGGTGTCCTGCTTAAGGGATTTCGCCTGCGAAGCATATAACTCTTGCGAACATATCTAAATATTGGTCCGAAGAAGACATACCTTGAATTTTTTAGAAAAAAATTGGCTAAAAATGGAAACTACAAAAAGTTAAAATGTTCAACTCAAACAAAACTATAGCTATTTAATATTAACACTATGTATTATTTAATGTTTTTCAGATGTTTAAGGACCTTCATTAGTGTACTAGTGTCTAGAAATAAGATAATTAAGGACAAAATTTGGCATTTTTGATCATTTTCACTTTCAGCAGTAACATATAGTTCCTTATATCTTGAGTTTAATGTTGACTGGTTGTTGCAATTTTAATCAAATCTGTTCTTGTACATGTCTTCTTCCATTTAAGATACAAAAAATGTATATTGGACCACCAATGGTCATATTAGAGCTTTCAAATCTCCCCTACCCCATTTATTATGAAAAATTACTGAAACATATGAAAATGTAAAATAACTTGAATTTATAAACTTTAACAATGTTGTAGCTATTCTATATCAATATTATGTATTATTTAATGTTTTTCAGATATTTCAGAACCTTTTATTGGTATACTAGTGCCTAGAAATGAGACATTTAAGGACAAAACTTGGCATTTTTAAAAATCATTTTAGCTTTCAGCAGTAACATATAGTTCCTCATATATTGAGTTTTATGGTTACTGGTTGTTGCAATCTTAATCAAATCTGTTCTTGTAGATGTCTTCTTCCATTTAAGGTATAGAAAATGTATAGTGGACCACCAATGGTCATATTAGAGCTTTCAAATCTCCCCTACCCCATTTATAATGAAAAATTATAAGAAAAATATGAAAATATAAAATAACTTGAAACTATAAACTTTAGTTAAGTTGTAGCTATTCTATATCAATATTATGTGTTATTTAATCTTTTTAAGATATTTTAGAACCTTTATTGGTAAACTAGTGCCTAGAAATGAGACATTTAAGGACAAAACATGGCTCTTTTTTTACCATTTTCACTTTCAGCAATAACATATAGGTCCTTATATCTTGAGTTTAATGCTGACTGGTTGGTGCATTCTTAGTAAAATTTGTTCTTGCAGATGTTTTCTTTCATTTACGATATAAAAAATGTATAGTGGATGACCAATGTTCATAGTAGAGCTTTCAGATCTCCCCTACCCCATTCATTAGGAAAAACGACCGGAAAATATTAAAAAAGTAAAATAACTTTAAATTATGAACTTTTACAAAGTTGTACCTATTCTATGTCAATACTATGTATTATTTAATCTTTTTCTGATGTTTCAAGACCCTCATTAGTATTCTAATGCCTAGAAATGAGATATTTAAGGACAAAACTTTTTTTCATTTTCGCTTTCAGCAATAACGTATAGGTCCCTTTATATTGAGTTTTATGCTGACTGGTTGGTGCATTCTTGGTCAGATCTGTTCTTGTACATGTCTTCTTCTATTTAGGATATAAAAAATGTATATTGGAAAACCAATGTTGATATTAGAGCTTTCATGTCTCCCCTGCCCCATTTATAATGTAAATGAAAACACCGTGGAAAAAGTAATTTCAAATCATAAACTTTAACAAAATTGCAGCTATTCTCTATCAATACTATGTATTATTTAATGTAACCTTCATTTGATTACACGTGTCTAAAATTTGGCGTTTTTAGCATTCTGCATTTAGCAGTAGGATATAATTTTCCACAATTATAATTCTTTGATGATAGATTCATATATATTTTCTATTGAATCTGTCTTCTTTGATTTAAGTTAAAGAAAATGTATGTAAGACAAACAATGTTTTTATTAGAGGTCTAAGATCTGCCCTCCACCATTTAATAAGAAAACCAACACAAATGTTATTATTGCATGTTAATATTCTTAAACTTTTTAAAAGTTTAGCACATTTATTAGCACACTAAAATCAAAAAATGACACATAAATGGGCAAAATGACCAATTTTTCACTTTCAGCAACAGTTGTTTATATTTTTAGTTAGTTTTAGTTGATGGTGATTGTTGATATATTTTAGATCATATATATTCAATTAAGTGTCTTGTTATCTTCAAAGCATGGGAAATGTGTTTTAAACACAAATATACATATTAGGGATAAAATTACTACACTACCATATTTTTAAAAGATTACTCAAAAATAGAATAGTGCGAAATAATTTTGTAACTTCACAGTTTACTCTCATATGAATCAAAGGATATGTCTATATATAAACATGATTGTTCACAACTCTCGAACTTAATCTAGCAACAGCCTGATTTTTCAAATCTCCCTGGTTCTATGTTAGAGCTGCATTTAAGTCATTTTAAATGTCTAAGTTGTTCATGACACCACAAGCTATATATTGAGATATGTAAGATCTCTAAATAATTTTTATAGTTCTGAGAAACTCATCCTAAAATATTGTCCAACAATGTGCACTATGTTGTTTATTGCCACATGGACAAGTAGCAATACACCCTTGACTAGAAACTTTGTATTTGCAATTTTCTCGGCCTTTTGCCATTTTACATTTGCGAATTGCCAAGGACATATGTTTCTTGTGTTGCTACGAAGGTTTGTTTGTGAGTACTGGTACAAGACACCCATCTTTGATATATCTTCAAATAGGTATTGCACTTTGAGATTCATAGTAATTTAGAATGCTAACTTGAAGGACATAAGAAACTTTAAGAGCTCTTTTTAACTCTCATCCTTCTTTGCAAGCAACATTCTGTATCATCAGACTGAATACAAATTCTCTCAACATTGAATTCCTTTGTCTTGTCTGCAGCACTATAAAAGACATGGGCCATAAGGAGAGTGTCAACTTCTTCATTTCACAATGTTTCCCTTAAACTTGAATATGCATCAGTTTTAGTGGTTCACTTTTCAAATTACCCTTATGTATGTGATAGTTATACAAATTAAAATAAGTCCAGTAAAAGAAAATATTATCAGCCCAACACAAGAAAAGATATTTCACTTTTTGTAGTTTTACAACATGGGGTCTATGGAGAATCTCCCCGACCTAGAAGTCACATTTTCAAAGAAAATTAAATTTTCAAAGTTGATCAACTCTTTTCAAAACCACATTTTTAGATGTAATTTTATATGAAGATTCCAAATATGACACCAGTTTGACTGAATTGTGAATTTTTTTTAATGACGTAAATCAAGATTATTTCTACTTGCACCAAGGATATTCAACCAATATGGCTTGATCACTGGTTATAATTATCACACTACTATACCCCATTACATTTAAATATATTCCAAGTGTTCTACTATACATTGTATAGATTCATGAACAGTTTGCAACATATTATTACCAGAAAGCCCAAATAGACAAAGATAGAGAATACCTGCCCCATTTGCAACTCAACTTTAAATGTCTAATTTTAACTTTGTTAAAGTCTATACTTTGAAATTGTTTGGTTTTTATATTTCTGGTTATTTTTTCAAAATGGGTTAGTGGAGATATGTAAGCTCTCATATCATGTCAGGCTGTCCTCACATGTTTAAATACCTTAAATCAAAGTAGGCAGGCAAAAGAACAGATTTGTTCAAGAATCCATCAACCAATCAGCATAAAACTCGAGATAAAAGGAATTACAGTAATGTTATTGCTAAACGTGGAAATGATGAAAAAGTGATGAAAAAAGCCAAATTTTGTTCTTAAATGTCTAATTTCTAGACACTAGTATATTAATGAAGGTCCTGAAACATTAATTATACCATTCAATAACATATAAGGAATTGGAATGGCTACATCTTTGTTAAAGTTTATACTGGTAATTTGAAGTTATTTTTTATATTTTCCAGTCATCTTCCCTAATAAATGGGGTAGGGGAGATCTGAAAACTCTAATATGAACATTGTTTGTCCACTATACATTATTAATACCTTAAATGAAAGAAGACATGTACAAGAACAGATTTAATCAAAAATGCATCAACCAGTCAGCATAAAACTCAAGATATAAGGATTTATATGTTATTGCTGAAAGCAGCATTGATTAAAAAATGACAAGTTTTGTCCTTAAATGTTTCATTTCTAGTCACTTGAATACCAATAAAGGTTTTTAAAAATCTTAAAAACATTAAATAACACATAATATTGATAAAGAACAGCTACAACTTTATTAAAGTTTATAATTTCAAGTTATTTTACATTTTCATATTTCTCGTTTATTTTCCATAATAGATGGGGTAGGGGATATCTGAAAGCTCTAATATGAACATTGTTTGTCTACTATACATTTTCTATATCTTAAATGGAAGAAGACATGCACAAGAACAGATTTGATTGAAAATGAAACAATCAGACAGCATAAAACTCAAGATATCAGGAACTATATATTACTGCTGAAAGCGAAAATGATAAAAAAAATGCAAAGTTTTGTCCTTAAATGTCTCATTTCTAGCCACTTGTATACCGATAAAGGTTCTGAAATATCTTAAAAACATTAAATAACACATAATATTGATATAGAATAGCTACAACTTTGTTAAAGTTTATGATGTCAAGTTATTTTATTTTTTCATATTTTTGGGTAATTTTGCATAATAAATGGGGTAGGGGAGATCTGAACGCTCTCATATGAACATTGGTTGTCCACTATACATTTTCTATACCTTAAATGGAAGAACACATGTACAAGCACAGATTTAATCAAAAATGCAACAACCAGTCAGCATTAAACTCAAGATATAAGGAACTATATGTTAATGCTGAAAGCGAAAATGATTAAAAAATGCCAAATTTTGTCCTTAAATGTCACATTTCTAGACACAAGTACACTAATGAAGATCCTGAAACATCTGAGAAACCTTACATAACACATAATATTGATATAGAATAGCTACAACTTTGATTGAGTTGAACATTTTGACTTTTTGTAGTTTCCATTTTTAGCCAATTCTTTTCCAAAATATTCAAGGTATATCTTCTTCGGAACAGTATTTAGATATGTTCGCAAGAGTTATATGCTTCGCAGGCGAAATCCCTTCTGCAGGACACCCTAATAGAATAAAAAATACACAGAAATTCCATCCAGCTCAAAAAGTCATTTTTTCCTTAACGGAGCCTCTTAGAAAATTTTCCACCCCGAGTATATGATATTGGTTAACACGCCAGAAATGAACATAATATTATTCGAAGCGTATTTCGAAAATTTTGAAACCGCCATTGATGACGTCATTTGTTTGTCGACTTTTGACCAATCAGCGACGATGTCATCTCAATACAGATTTACATTATAAGCGTATGTCATCTTTGAACCCTGGTGTTTCTCCCCCTCTGGCTTGAACCAAGAACTTTTCATTTCAAAAATACCATTAAGAATTCAAAAAATAAGAAAATGAGACCTGCTTGGCAGTGAATGATGTTCTTGGCTTCCGTTTATTAGAGAGTGACTCTCCACTGTCAGTGCGATGTCTCTCTCGGGGCTTAATACTTCTAAGTGGAGCAGTAGAGCGTGTTGCCGTAGTCTCGGTCTCTTTTTTCAGCCCTACAACAGATTTGTTAAGAATTCATTTTTTCAAAAGGATCCGTATGAAATATTGTTTATCCACACTACACTAACTTACATGTAACAGGTCCCCCTATTTCAATATACTAGTAAACGAATGTCTACTTTACCAGTGCCAAGTGGTTTGTGGGGCGACACCAAAGGTAGTGGCAGTGTGTCATAGTTCACAGAGCCCAGCCATGAGTAGGGCCAGGGGGACATGGCGTTGTACGGCTGGTACTGCTGGGAGCGTATCATATCATCCACCGACCTGCTAATAGAAAAGTCAAGAGACACTTTCACTTGGGATTTTTATTTTTTATGCCCTGATTTCTTAATAGTGAGTAAAATATAAAACAGACTGAGATAGTCCAAATACTTTTGTACTTTTTTTCATATATCAAATATTGTATAAACATGAGACTTTGTTATTGAGAGACAATGAATAAATCTGTTTTGAGAAATCTATTACCTTGAGTATTTTGATGGGCTATACAAACCGACTGGATCAACAACACCGGGGACCATATATGGACTCTGGAAATTCAGTCTGGATGCACAGTCATCAGTTGCATTATCATTTCGTTCATTTTCAGCAGCATTAGTGGCACTCTCTGTATACGAGTTCATCTTCAATCGATGTATGTTCGTCTCTCTTTGTTTTTCCAAAGTATCGTCTTTAACATTGGCAAGGTGTGTGTAAGATTTTGGGACTTCATGGTTCAAAGTGGTATAAGACCAAATTGGATAGATCTCGGCTGTGTTCTTCATACTAGTATTATCTTCCTGCGATTCATTGGGCTGGGACGGAAACAATTGGGTTTGTGCTGTCATATTGTCAGAAGTTTGAGTTGCATCTTGTTTATTAAAGTTCTCAGTTCGACTAGAGGGAAATGATGCTGTTGACCAAAACTTGTTCACTGCATTCTGGACATTTGGCAAAGATGGGTAATTATCCAAAGACTTCGTCATTTTCTGATCGGAATGATTTTTTGTTGGACATGGATTATATGTTTCAGCAAATGGTCGTTTGGATGACAGGTTGACAATTTCGGAATCTGGTTCATTGTATGACTGTTTTATATCCTGGTTAATCGGTTTATTGTATGATTGTTTAGTATTTTCAGTAACTGATTGATTGTATGTCTGTTCCGTACTTTCAGTAACTAGTTCATTGTATGATTGTTTTTCCCTCTCGGTAAGTAGTTGATTGTATGGTTGTTTGGCATTTTCAGTAAGTGGTTGATTGTATGTCTGTTCCGTACTTTCAGTAACAAGTTCATTGTATGATTGTTTCGCCCTCTCAGTAAATGGTTGATTGTATGATTGTTTGGGATTTTCAGTAAGTGGTTGATTGTATGCTAGGTTCACTGCTGGTGGAGTTGGTGATGTAGGGGCAGAATAGTAATTCCATTGTAGATTGCTGATCGGGGCAAGTTCAGGTTGGTTCTCCATGCTTATAGCCTGTAAGATATTTAAATATAAACGATATTAACAATGCTAGGGGCGGCATTTTAGATGACAAAAGACAAAAGAATCAATTGAGACAAGCTATTAAGTATGTCATTAATTAACAGAAGAAACTATAAAAGCTGCTACATATCAAAAATGGACAAAGGGAAAAAGCCTCCTCACACATTGGCGAACCCCTCCCTTCAACGTCAACTTGCATGTACTCACGCGGGTCCAACTATACAAGTTGAAAACCGTTAATTTGTATTTTAGACCTACCAGATATTTGAAAATCAAGGATAGAGAATCTCATACTGCACCGTTTTTCTTTAAACTTGTTCCATACAAAGCAAAATTGAGGGGCTAAAATTTATAGATTGTCAGTTATACCTTTGTCAAAATGAGAGATACACAACGTCCGAAGCTGCAGTATGTGGCTGCTTTGGCCAACCAAAAAGTCTTCCAGCAACAACTTAAGGTGCTATGGAAGTTAACAGGAAATGACAAAACAGGAAGTGACAATTTTTTTTGCATTTTTAGACATTTTTGAACAAAGATAACAGAGTTCTGGTTTGACCTCCAGTCAAGTTAATTATTTCCACATATCATTTACATGAACAGGATCACAATGTGCATGGTCAGAATGACCCTAAACTTAATGAAGTAACCTTTTTAGCCCTTTGAAAGTGTTACTGAGAAAAAGCTAAAAGTAGGAGCTAGGGAAGGTCACTGAACAGAATCTTTTGAATTTTTCAGAAAATGTGCTGATAATGCTCTAATTGATACAATCTTTGACATTTTAGAAAATTGTCTTAAACAAAAATGGCGGTCATAAAAAGGAAAATAGATCGCTTTTCAAATCAGTTTTTTCATTTTTTTTTCTTTTTCAATGAATGATACTAAATTTTCAAAGATTGTATCATTTAGAGCAATATATTAGGCACATTTTCTGAAAAATTCAAAAGATTCTGTTTTGTGACCTTTCCTACCTCCTACTTTTAGCTATATTTCAGTCACATTTTCAAAGGGCTGAAAAGGTTATTTCATCATGTTTAGGGTCATTCTGACCATGAACATTGTGATCCTGGACCTGTAAATGGTATTTGGAACTAGTTGAATTGACTGGAGGTCAAAACAGAACTCTGTTATCTTTGTTAAAAAATGTTTGTTTCTCACAGCTTTACTTCACATTATATACAAAAGTTAGGTCTTTTTCATATACTGTTTTTTCATTTACTGTTGCAATATGGTCATTTCAAAGAATTTTGAATTGGACTTTAAAATAACACACGTAAAACTCTAAAATTGACACTAGTATGGCGGGCATTTTGAAACTGGCGGCCATTTTGAAAATCGGCTTTCGAGCAAAACTCGTACTCACATGGGGCATATACGTATAAAATATAAACGATAATGAGCTAACGTGCTTTGAGTTATTGCCCGGACAGCTGGGATGACCGACGGACGGGGCCGTTCTCTATGTCCCTCGGACTTCGTTCAACAGAATAAAAATGTCAGAACTATAGGATAAAGTCCAGTGCAGACCCCACTTCAAAGTATAAGTAAATACCCACAGGAGACAGGTTACTGACAGGTTTCAGTAACGTTTACTCCAATAAGTAATTCAGTATCTATATTTAGTTTTATTTTTTCAGTAAACTGGCTCCTGTGTGACTAAATACCTCTCAAAATTAAGTATTATAAATCCCATATCATGCTTACTGATTATAAATTGCAATACTAAAATATATCCAACGTCCAATCACAAAAAAGAGTTTCAAATATTTACTAATCGCCTAGCTTATCAAAATTGTACGCGTCCTAATTCCTGAATTCTCTAATTCCGTATTATACAAAAATAGTTTCAAATACTTACTAATCACCTAGCTTATTCCTTCAAAAGTGTACGCGTCCTAATTCCTGAAATCTCTAATTCCGTATTATACAAAAATAGTTTCAAATACTTACTAATCACCTAGCTTATTCCTTCAAAAGTGTACGCGTCCTAATTCCTGAAATCTCTAATTCCGTATTATACAAAAATAGTTTCAAATACTTACTAATCACCTAGCTTATTCCTTCAAAAGTGTACGTGTCCTAATTCCTGAATTCTCTAATTCCGTATTATAGGTTTCGAATATAATCCCAGTTGATTCGAATACTGAGTAGGCCCTGAGTAGAGGTCATTGTGCGTCAGAATATATATGCAAGTTTTTCACATGAGGCCAGAGAAGTCTTCATGTGGAAGCGTGTTGTATCGCGCGTTCGATTTCAATGACGGTTGTCGATAAAAAAAGTCATGCAACATTTGGTTTTTGTGTCCCCCTCCGTCCCATTTTAATTATTTTCGATTATTTTTTATTTAACATATGAAAACTTAAATTGTAACGTCAGCAATGGCATCAATTTTGATATGATAACGTCAATTACAAGCATTTATTACATGATCGTATAGGCCATTGTTGCTTGATTAATAGCATTGACATTGACTTGTGGCGTTGCGCCTTTCTTACCCCCCCCTCCGTCCCATTTTTCCGATTACCGGGTGTTCTGGGCAGCTCGACTGATGTGCTATTTAACTTAGATAAATCAAGATACTATATCATAACAGTAGTGCAAACAATGCACGTGTTCAACGTCTCTTTAAAATGTAAATAATATTCTTCTTTTTTTCTTTGCATTTACGATCTGATATTTTATATCTACAAAACGTGTTTTTGCTCCGTATCTCCGATATGGGAAATAAAGTAACAATAAACAATATGAATATTCTAAACGAGCGTGACAACCACAAGCTACTGTTAAAAGCATCGTGTCACTCATCTTAAATAGATACTGATGGAATTTTTATAGCAATGTGTGATAAACAACAATGTTTTTTTTCATTTGAGGACGCTAACTCTAGATCTGAGACCAAGCGACATTTAAACTAATATTCAAGATATTTGGTTTACAATACACCGCAGCAAAATATTGACTACAACTATTGTTATCATCAAAAATTATTATACTTTGTGACCGCCATGTTCTTGTAATTTGGGGAGTTTCAGCCATTTTATATTTTTGAAAATGTTAGATAAGTATGAAATACGAGGGGTTGCACACTTTATTTGTCAAAACAAAAGCAATTTATGATATACAAACGTTTTGTATGTATTTTTGAACGATATTGCAGTGGATTGCTTGTTTTTTAAGTTTTAAAAGACTAGTTACATTTTAACTACCTGGCATCGTAGATGTGTTACTTCAACAATAGTATTGTTTGGCTGGCATGGATGCTGGAGGGGAGATAGTGAGAGAGATTTGGTTCAAAATTAAGTATTTTCTGAATTGACTATTACGTTGTAATTATTATAATTATTCAATAATACTATTACTACTGGGAACTGGTCAAGCAATCAGTAAGATAAGTCCCGGAGATAAGTCTACTATAAGATAAAAAAAAAACTATTTTTGACTCTCTGTACACCGTTTATAAAAGCAGATTTTACATTACCGCAAGCTTTGTCACACTCCCCCCCCCCCCACACCCAGACATATGTTGGGAGTTACCATTATGATAGAAGGGGGAGGGGGGGGGGTGAATATAATATAGCCTATGTATCTAACTTTGTATCATCGATATACAAACCACAGACGCTTCTGAAAGGGTGTGAAAACAGGATACAACGCTAATTATAAAATCAACATTATATCATTAACGAGTTGATAATTAATAATCTGGATGATAAATAGCCGGATAAATACATACATGTAGTACATGTAGAGTATTATATAATCCTATTGTTCTATTTGTTTGTATTGAGTTTTAAATACAGCTGCCGGAGACGGAGAAAGGGGATACCACTGAACATTTCCATTCGTACGCTCAACTGCTTCGATTCAATCACATACCAAACAACCGCATTTATTTGTTAAAAGTAAACCGAGTACGTTAATTAGTAATCAAACCAAAAGCTGTCAAGTCGACCTCAATGTTCAACCAGAGGTTACCAGTAAAGAGCTCAATATTCAAGTAGGGAGCAAACATAGTGGACGGCAGAATTTGAATCAACGTGGCTAGTCGATACTTATGGATAATATCATGGTCGTCACCTTCAATTAGTATTTTGAAAAGATTCGGATCTCTACGCACGGGATGGCCATCACAGCAACGTCCGGAGTAAGACAATCGCCGAGGGTCGCTAAAAAGTTATTTTCAGACAATACGGATATATTTCACTCTAATGTCTTCTATATCGACCTTCAAAAATCGAATATCAGGAAACGGCTGCAAGAGAAAATCCAAAAACGAGGTGGAAAAGTTGATGACTTTTTACATAAAGATGTACAGTATGTGATTACTGATGACTTTGTACCAAATAATAGCAAGCAGCCCGATAATGCTCCCAACCGCCCCGGAGCAGCGTCTACCCCCAGAGCTTTAAGTCGTGGACAGGCTTTACTCCAGAAATCAATCCGCAATACATCATCGACTCAAACTATACCTGAGAAAGCTAAGAAGATGGGCATCAAGGTTGTTAACTTAGATTTTATCCAACGGAAACTTAAAGAAAGGGGAGTGCTCGCTACAACGTTGGATTACAATAATAAGCAACCAGACGATACTGAGAACGTCATCACACATTGGAATGGGGACCCTTATATCAAGTTTGAGGACACTCAAGGTCAATATCGACCTTTCTATTCGTCATTCGAGCGCTTTCCGTACATACAACTAGAAAGTAATGTGAACTATGATCGACCTAAACATGACGCTGGAAGCCATACTATTCATCTGAAGCCAAAGGTGTGCTGTACACCCCCACAAATACATAAGCTTGTTACCAAAAATGGACAAAAGTCAAACGGATTAACATCAGTGAAAAAGTCTAGATTGGCGAAAAATGGCAAGAACGAACAAGCAGGCTATTGCGAAATGTGTGAAATAACATTCGACAATTTTGATAAACATATTGTTAGCGACGATCATAGAAACTTTGCATATAATGATACCAACTTCAAAGGACTGGATGCTGTTATTGCTGCACTGCCATCTTTAGATTCATTCTTAAAATCATTAGATACGACAGATGACTTTCGTCAACATGGCAACACAGAACCAACAGATTGTGGTGATACTTCAAGTGATAACAATAATCATAGAGGAAGAGATGCCAGCCATGCGCCACACCCAATCGTGACTTCCCCAGATGATGACAATGCCAACACAACTAAAGTTGAAACGTCCACCAGAACCACACTAGATAAAGACACTCATTCTTTGGATAATAACATTGAGTCTATAACGCCAACGGATAATGACATTACAGCTGAGATTCAAGATACTGATGGACAGGTTGATTCGGAAGTTCATCCAAGTGCTCCAAACACAAACGTAGAGAATGCTAGTCATAAACAAACTGATGAACTAGACGATGAGCTGCATAAACTTGCAGCATTTGCAAGTAAAACTCTAGAAGAATCCCACGATAACAATGACAATTCCAGTAGTTCTATAGATCTTTTTACTCCAAGTGTTCATTGGAATGAATCGGACATATACGATGATTTCTCCTCCTCGGATAATACTATTTCTTCGGGTGAATCGCCGCGTGAAAACAATAGTCCTACATGTGAAAGTGGTAAAATAACCTTAAGAATATGCAATGGAAAATCTTATGTTAATATTGATGTTGAAAAAAGTGGCTGTGATGACCATAAAATCGGAATGCCGCCAGTTAAGCAGGCGCCATCTATTGACGGTTATAGCAGTGGTGGTAACAGTCTTAACTCCTCTGGTCCTTTTTCGGACAGTGCAACGTGTGACAGTTCAGATGCCAGTGATAATTCTCCACCTTGGAACGTAGACTGCTCAAATGGTCTTAAGATGAAATTTCACAAAACTATGACTACCCCAAGACAAAGGAGGAACAATATATCCCCGTTGAAATGGTCTGTTAAGCAACTTGGAACTTGTAAACTGACATTCTCTGCGTCAAAATGTAACAGCAGAAAGCGCCATCTATCGACTAGCTCCGAGGATATATCTACTGATTTTAGAAATGATTTTAGTCCCCATAAGCGTTTGAAGTCATAATTTGTTTAATACATTTTACACTCGGTACTTGTTTTATGGTATTGTTATTTTAAGAATAAAAGTTTATTTTAATAACTTATTTCTTGTTATTCAAAATCGAATATTTATATGATTCATCAGTCATCAAACAATTGTAGTCGCCATATATTGATATAATTGTGAGTTTAGGGAGGCATCAAAAGTTGAATGTCTGTTTAAAAACTTAACTAATTGAGTTTGACTCCACCCCCTTAAAACTTAATTCTTAAAATGTTGAAAATCGGAAATGGGTCCCTATCTACCAGCAAATAATTTTTATCATATGATATTCATCACTTTTGTCATGAAATCATATAACTTCAAAATCAACATTTGATTTTGGTATAATACAAAACCAGATAGTCTACATAACATATTACACTTAACTTTAAGACATTTTGAAATGTAAAAACTTTATTATTCTATCATCAACACACCAACATCAACAAATCGTACAAAACATGAATACGTTACACGATACGTCACCTACGGATTTGATTCAACGTTAGAGAGCTTCTGTAGAGGAGGGATTTTCGGAATGGCCGCTCACTTCAAATTCAGTTAATACATCTAGAATAGTTTTTTGATGATTGCATGGTATTTGCTTTTGCTTTTGTCACCCGTGAACGTTTTGAAGTACCCCCCCCCCCACCTTCTGATACACCCGTCATGTTCCAAGTCCACCGGGGAACATTCAATTGTTATGAATTGACAACCAAATCAAGTTTCAATAAAGTGGAGTTAACGATAAATCAAACCATTTATTTCATTGGTTAACCAGACATTGTGGAAAAACTAGATGGATGGCTGTCAATTTAATTTATTAGATACTCCCTCGATTTACTTGGAATATGATGAGTGTATTGCCACATAAGGGAACACTGCAAAACGTTCACAGACAATCGAATCACACCTACATGTTTTTCGAACGAAAATAATATACGCCTCTCCATCCCCTGAACTATAACAATCAATAGTAACATAACAAGGTAACGACAACCATAAAAAAACAATATACCATGACAATGTTATTAATTTCTCCAAAAAAGGAGAACTGGCTCCCAGAATGCAAACTCGATATTTTCCAACAATGAAAATGGCGTTATTCTCTGATTTATAAATTCTATAAATTCATAATCAGCAATCCAAAAGATCTGAGCTAATATCTTGATAATTTATTCTGTGTTTTGATATTTTTGTTATGTAATAATAAGACCAAAATTTGTTTCTACAAACAAATAAATTGTATAACCTTGTAAGTTGTAATAGCATTCCATTAACAATGGTAAAACTATCAGTAATACTATATATTTCTATTGTCTCAACCGTGTAAGAATTGTCACGAACGCAATTACTATTTCAATGTAATGCACAAAAATTAGCTAGTCACTCGAGCTCACGCGAGATACAAGTCTATCTCGACTTTTACATAACATATTCTGCAAGCTTTTCCTGTACTCTCTGTACCCAAAACCATAAATAAAGGGATTGGCAACACAGGAAGTGAAAATCAACAGGTACGCCAGAACTGTAATTGCGTTGAATGGCTTTATGCCGTAATAAAAGAGGGACAAAGTCACAAGCAATGGCGTATATGCAACGAAAAAATATAAAATCACTACGCCGAGAAATAAAGTAGTTCTCCTTTCACGTCTGCCACGCTTGAGTTCTTTCATTCTAGACTTAGATCTCCGCCGTTCTTGAAAATTATGGAAAGATTCCACAAGACGTTCCCTCATACTTAAAGATCTTTTTAAAGTTGAACGTCTTAATTTTAGGGCTTCTTGTTGTTGCCCACTCGTTTCATTATTTGACCTCCGACGTGTGTTTGATGTTGAACGTATCGAATGCTCCAGTTCATTTGCTGATATTTCACATATAGAATGTAGTCTTGATCCAGAAGAAATTACACTAGGTCCATGCCGAGGAAACTCTTTTCCAGGGACGTTTAAACATTCTTTTTTCGTTTTCGGAAGAACATTTTTTGACAAAGTTACATCATCGTCGAAGACGTATGGTTCTTCGCTAACTTCCTCTCTTGATGATCTTTGAAACCACTTTCCCTGTTTTGGAATACAGGTTGTGTAATCATTTTCCTTACCTAGTGCTGGCAAGGTAATCTCGATCTCAGGTGAATCTAATTCCAATTTACCAATTACAGGGACGCAATGATTTGTATCATCTGCTCCTGCTTCATGTGGGTGCGAATATGACCTAACATTCGATTCTTCATTAAGTTGAGATATCGAGTACAGTGCCTCAACATCAGTTAATGCATTGTTATTCCTTTGTCTCGCCCGCTTTAGGGCATCCTCAAAATGTCCATCGCTAGATGCGCTATTACGTTTTGAAGCGGTCCGTTTCTTTAAGCTCACATTTTGAAATGTATGATCTTTACGTATACGCTTTCCATTTTCGTTAGATTTCATTGAGTTTTCTATTTCAGGCTTTGAAGGACAAATGTCTGCATTGAATGGTTCAACGACTGCATCATCAGATTGATCCGAATACACTTTGTTCATTCTGCAATCGTCCTCACCTTTCATAAAATGGACTTCAGCAACAGCCGAATATGTACCGTTTGTCTCAATGTCTTTATCGATTACCCGTTTTTGAACCTCGGAACACTTACGAACATTTTTCTCGTCAGTTTTGTCTTCTGAAATGAATGCATGATCTTTGTCTGATTGTTTTCTTTGGAGCTCTCTATTGTATATTTCAATCATTCTTAAATACTCGATTGCCGTTTCTTTAGGTATGTTGTTTAAATAATTGTTATCGGTGTTGGTACTTTTATCATATTTTCTGGGAGTCAATTCTTTCATTTGTATCGATATGCTACACCGTGCTTCATTATGGAAACCAAAATCCGCAGCTCCAGGTTCATTGTAGCTCACTCGCTTCACTCTGTTGTATATCCCAGGTATGCTAGCACTAGTATCGAGATCCATAACTGATTCGGACGTGTGAAATATGGCTGCTGCATTTTCAATATTAGTAGTGGGCCGTTTCTCTGTATAATCCGTCACGTCCAATGCTGCTATTCTCCTGGACTGGCGCCTTGCAACAGCCATTATCTTTATATACATAGCAGATGTAATGATAATACATACGAACATAACCCAAAAGCAAGGAATCCCTCCTTCTTTTGGAACTGCATTTTGAAAGCTACAAAGTGTATTGTTAGGGTCCTTTGTCTGTGTTTTATGGGCTACAATGGGGTATATAGCTGTCAGTAAAGAGGTTAGCCAAATTATGACAATGCTGGCCAAGACTCGACCGGGGGTGAACCATTTCAAATAAGAAAATGGTGTAACTATCGCGGAATATCGCTCTGTCGCTATTGCCAATAAAGTAAGCACTGAACACATGCAGAATATCAGAATCAACGTATAGGCCGCGAGACAAAAATCCTGATTGTCAATTTCAAACTCCGCCAAGATGTGTATCGGTATAACGAACGAGGCTATAATTAATCCAACGAAGCATAACGAGACGATGAAATAATTAGTGACTCTCCTGAGACGCTTGGTGCGCAAAATCAGGACGATGATGATCAGGTTGCCCGCGAGGCCCAAAATTGACATGATGGCCTCAATGACAATTTGAGTAATCGCTGTACCAGATAATTCAGCATAATTGATAACTGTCACTGATTTGTTCATCATCATTCAAGAACGATACATCGTCGGGTCCGACGCTCGATCACTTCTTCGGAAGCAAGATATAAGAATTAATACAATTACTAATTGTTCTTTAGAGTGAGTTCCTCGTGTGTGCGTGTTTCACTATCGTTCGTTTCCAAATGCCAATAATAATGATGCCGGTTAATGATGGTTACATAAACTAAAACGAACGTTAACAAAACCATGTGTGAGCATGTTGTCATGACAAATTCCCAATATTTACAATTTCCTGTATATTATATATAATATGTGTATATACATTGAAATGAGCATAACTCGTGAGATAGTATATTATAATGGTATCCTCTTTGTCTGCCTTGTCTATCTAATTTCGCGGTGCATTTTCTTCGATCCTGGCTCGATCCGTTACTGATATCCGCTATATCACGGTCAATGACAATGTCATCGTTTAATTAATCATTGGCGACAAAAGATCTTTCATACATACATGTTCTGTAAGAACAGATATGTCACCTTATGTAATACACTCCGACATATTTAAATGCCCAAAAAGTGTTTCAAAGGCCATTGTTCCTACACCTTTGCGAGTATTAGATTTACCATCCAATCTACAATTATAAAACACTTCTTAGTTACTTTTTTGATAGTAATGACAATAAATATATCTATCTATAAAAATGTATATTAACATATTACTTTTGTATGATTAGCTTCAGAACGTACAGGGCTATAGATCATAAATATGTGAAGAGGTTTTGGATGATGTAAATATATGAACGACAAGAACTACAGGGGCGTAGCCAGCTTTCAGTCAGGGAGTGCGATTGTAGCATAAGCAAGAGTCAAAAAATAAGATTGATTTTAAATTTTACAAATATTGATGCAACTTCCTTCAAAATTGAGCTAGAAGCTTCAAATAAAAAGCATTTAAAGCCTTTTCGTCGTCTGTCTCATGGTTTTATTTTTCATTGGTTATGGGAGTTCCAAAAAGCAAAGATGCAAATAGCCACCTGGTAAAATTCTTAAGAAACATAATGACTGATTATTATAGCGACTAGAATTTACATTCAATATTAAATATCAGAAATTATGTACTAAAAAGTACGCATATAACTCTGGAAAGTACAAATACATAAAGCAACATTGATACATGTTTGTTAATTGTTTTATTTGTGAGAGATCGACATAATGGGCAATGGTACTCTTAAACCAATTTCATGTTTCTTCAAGTACATATGATACATATTTAGGCTAGTAGTCACTAGTCACCAAGTAACCCCCATACGGAGGTGATTTCTTGTTTCTCCATGGACAGAGAATTATATGACTCATTTGGTAGCTTTGCACTGTGGCTGTTTAGCTTCATGGCCAATTTACATCCCTTTGGAGGTAATTTTATTATTTAGGGTTGGGTCAAAAGGATTGGTGCAAGACTATTTGAAGGTCGTTCCGTTACAGTGTTTAACGAGTGCATAAAGTGTTGAAACGTAGATGTGAAATACTTTCTTTTATTTTTAAGCCATATCTTAAAATCAGTTCGTTAGTTGCGTACCTTGCTACCTCTCCAGGAACCACGATTGCACTGAACGGATGCTCACTGATTGACCCTGGAGATTGTATGTAAGCTGGAAAGCTTAGCACTAAACGAAATGTACGTGAGACCCGAAGAGTGCCAGATTAGAATGTGATCTAGAGCCCTGCATCTGTCATGATATACGTGTTCTCACCTTCAATTAGCACCACCTACAGTGCTCCACTATTTACATAAGCATTCATATCTGACAGAGTGACTTGCACCAATTACAACCATCTTATCTCATGTTACAAGTCGACTGACATGAACAAAAAATAATAAGTAGAGTAGCCAAGTTCAAACAGCAGGGGAACTAACCATAACATAGGCGTAGCTATGGGGGGGGGGGGGTGCGATGGCACCCACTCATAGCCCCCATAAAAATAAAATAAAACCAGTAGATAGAAGAATAGAGCTTTAAAATGCTTTTTATTTGAAGCTTCTAGCTCAATTTTGAAGGTAGTTGCATCAATTTTTGTAAAATTCAAAACAATTTTGCCTTGATCGCATTATTGAAATTCCTGAAAGCTGGCTACACCCCTGCGTAATAACTCTGATCTGGATAATTGGACATAGGTGTTATGATCTATGCAAGTTAAATCATTCCTGGTGGTTAAACCGTTGGTTAAACCGTGAAATTGATTTTTAACATGAGGAATTACTGAAAAACGTTCACATATGACAAAATAAGACTTCAACTTGTTTTAAATATAAAAACAGCAATTTCACGGCTGGGCACCATCGTATGAAATTTAAACAAATTCCATTCACTGTTTTGAGTTATCAAAGATTATGTTTTTTACGAAAAACGGCGGCCATTTTGAAATTTCGCCGACATCTTAAAAATTCTTTCTCCAACATAACTACTGTGTCCCTGGGCATCAGCATGAACCATTCGACCCAAATCTGTTCGCTATATCTAGTATTTGAGTTATCAAAGATTACATTCTTAGAAAATTGGCAGCCATTTTAAAATACAGCTGCCATCTTGAAAATTCAACACATAAAATTTGAACTCAACCCATTATCTGATATTTGGTCAAAGATTACGTTTTACGAAAAATGGCGGCCATTTGGACAATCAGTGGCCATCTTGAAAATGTCTTCTTGAGCAAAGATCCTTTTATTTGACCCAGGGCATCACCATATAAAGTTTGAACAAAATCCGTCAACTAGAATATGAGTTATCAATGATTACAATTTTTACGGAAAATGGTGGCCATTTTGAAGTGAGCGGCCATATTGAAAATTCCTTCTCGAGCAGAGGTCCTATCCTGTCAGGTATTTTCCTGTAAAATTTACACTCAATCCGTCAATCGGTATTTGTGTTATCGCCCGGACACACGGACGGACGAACGGCTTTCCTATATCCCTGTCGAACTCCGTTCGTTGGGATAATAAATGGCGGTTCTCGTATTGTATTTTCTGTTTTACTCCACAAAACCGCCTGTTGTCTAATTTCGGTAAAGGGCAAGACACACCTCTGATTTAACATCCCGCAATTCATTCTATTAGTGAGAAAAAGTTGGAAAAGGAGGTGCTTTTTTCGTTGTATGCCGAAGTGGACGGAATCAACAACAAAAACACGGCAAATAAAAGGTTGGGCATTTTTGTGAGGCAATATATTGTTACTATACAATAGCCATCGTTTTTGTGACCACTGGCCAGCGTTCGGTGTAGTCCGGGGGTGTAGTCATTCATTGTCTGTAACATATAATGTTACACCTTTACAATCAGTGCAAGCAGGTACTGACATTTTGCCATGTTAATGATTGTTAATCGTTGGTTTTACTTCCACATGTACTCTTTATTCATTATCGAAGCCCAGAATCATGAGATTTAAAATTGATCAACTGAAAGAAATTTACAATTCTAATTATAATTTATTAAATTAAATCATATTTATATACATTTTATTTTTTGTATACGTTATTTTCGTCAACCTCCTTGCTTTCATCGCCTTTGGTATGCTTGGAGCCCGGCTTGGAAATTATAACTTATGCGCAGTCAGCCTCGTCGGCACCGAAGTCTGGTAGCTGAGTACAAACTTCAGTTGCTGCACGAATAAATCCTGCCTGGTCCACAACACCATTGCCTGAAGTCAAAGTTAATTCAAAATGACGTCATTGAGAGTTTTGTCACAAAATAGTCATTAATTTCCAATATTCAACATAGGCAGACTTTAACAAATTAACATGGTGTCCAATGTAAGAACTCTACTTGCAAAAAAAGTGGACGGGAGTGTAGCGTACCTGTAGCGTCCGCTCTGTTGAAGAGAACTCTGATATCTTCAATAGTGATGACTTGAGGATCAGAACTGCTGTCAGCGCTGGCTGTCAATTCGCAGAGTCTGACTCCATCTCTCTCACTCAGGCAGGTGGCGACATCTATACCAGCTGCGCAAACTCCATCAGCAAGGGGAATTCCATCACCATTTTCTGACACCACTTTTTATAGAATTATACACGATGTTAGAATTACCAATAAGCAAAATGCAGTTACATAGATATAAATATGTGTATATGAAACAGCCTTATTTAGAACAATCAAATGTATTGCATTAATGATAAAGTAAAAAAACACTGAGAGTCCTTTATAGCATAATATGATATAAATATAACATAATGAATCATAATATAACCACATAGTATCTCTCTATTTAAATAAATGATGAGATGACACATACGTGCAGCTAAATCAAAGAAGTCTTCCTCCACTTGTTCTAAGCGAAGCTCTCCATCAATACTGACATCTTCCCACAAAGCATTCAGATCCGTTCTACAAGTAGCATTCTGACTGCAAATTGATTAATAAAATAATCCTACATTTTTAAGTGCCAGTTATTTTATGAAGTTGCCTTCAACTTTATTTTTTGATCTTTATTCTGAATTCCCATATGCTATTAACACTGTCTGACCATTACAGCTGATATATGTATAGTTGCTGATAATCTAAATGACCTCATATGTAGCTTTCATGGCCTTTTATGGGCATAGGCTAGATAATAATATTGTAGGGTCACTCGTGTATCAGAGAACAATCCTACTTGTATGCAGCTGCTTATTTGGAATAAGGATATTGAATTATACAGCATTTTTATTTATTGTTTAGTTTAAAATATTTCATTTCCTATTGCTCCTACTGTTTTAAATTACTTCTTGTATTTTCACTAATGTTTTTGTTTATTATTGAAGAAAGGGCTTTCAGTTTTGCGTTCACTCTCGCCCTCAAGGCAGATGCAAGAATCTGATTAACCCCCCCCCCCTAATTGTGATACAACTCCACCACCCATGGAATGCATCATGATTGATCCCCCCCTCTCAATATATAATATTAGAATCAATAAAACGATGAATTAGATATAATGTAACTGCATATTGTTGAATTGAATGATTTTGAATATATTCACTTATTATTTGGCAAAGATAATGGCCCTTCAAATTGTGTGATTATTATAATATTACAACTAGTGAATATGTAAAATGTAATTGCTTTCAAATGTTATATGAATGAAATGAATGAAGAAATGAAGAAAATAACCAAAATATAAAATTAAAACTTACGCTGTTGAGAAAGCGAAAAGTGTTGCCAAGCAAGTAATGAGCATCATCTTGAAATCTAGTTTAGATCTTTAAAAGTGTTGGTCCTAAGTGTGTAGTATTTAATGATGTGATTTTTCAAAAAATGTATTTTTATACGAAATGGTTTTATAACTTTCTGGTAAGTTTTATAACACAAATTGGGGTGGACTAAAAAGTATGTTTTACACATTAGTTAGAAAATCCCTGCATCTGGATTTGTTTTTGATATCTACCGCCTTATATCTGTATAATTGGACCAATCAAAATGTGCTTCAAATGAGTATTGTTTTACTAATTGTTTACATTTATACTAAATTAAAATCACCAAATAGTATTGTGTGAATCGTTACCAACTGATCTTTTAAACATGTTTTTTGGTTCACCCCTCATCAGGTTTCCACACCTAGATTGTTTTGTAAAAAAGCTGATGAAATGTGTAGTCTTAAAGATTGAATGAACAATCAGTAGTGGGTGGTGGAAACTAACAGGTGACAAAAGTGACATATATATCATATGTGTATATACTGTATGTACAATATAAGGTTTATATAAACTTCACACACACATTTGTAATTTGTTTTATAGGTGTGTCGTAAAAGCACAAAGGGTAACATTAGAAAACAATTTTATTTATGTTTTGGAAATTTTGGAAGTTTGCATTCTTGTCACTGTTATCTTTAAATAAAATAAAATCAAACATGCACTTAAGTACCTCAAAACCACATTTCTTCAAGGTGGACTGTGTTATCTATTCGATCCTCCCCTACACATATTTATTAATATGAGTAGTCTAGCTACAAGCCTTTTTGCCCCCCCCCCCACGACTTCACACATCCTCTGTGTGAGATGTTTTCATACCCGTGGAGTCAAGTAGTCGGAAGGGAGGGGGGGGGGGTCAGTTATTTGTGTTTAAAACCAGTCCCTTGAGAAGATATCATATCTTCAAACAGTGAAATTGAATGCCCATGAAACATTTCAGATTGACAAAATAGTGAATTTTGAAAATGTTGGCTTTTACTACTTTTACTACAACACAGATTTACTTTTCCATTTTCGTCTCACCTGCTTTTATTTTGGTACATTTGCTATAAAATATTGTTGATGGATCGGATGGTTATATAGTTCGAATTATTTGTTGAAATATTAGTTTTACATTAAGTACTACCTGGGATTCTTATATTGATAATACCAAACTAGCTTTTGTTCTTGTGTCATCACTCTGAATTAGCATCATAGTGAATTCGTGCGTGACGGTTAAATTTCTAAACGCTTCAAATATAGCACTTCGACTGGCATCAAATTATAAAGAAACTAATTTCATAAAATATATAAAGTGCACCATTGTTTTATATATTGTTTTGTATGCTTTTGTTTCAATTAATCACAAACTAACTTCCAAAGTCTAGCGATTGTTTTCGTGTCATCACTCATGTACAGTTTGATATAATGGTTTTATTTAGTTTCTAAATCGAATCAGCATCAGGTTTCCAGGGGTAACATAACATGTAGAGAATATGTTGGGGTCGATTAAGCGATGATTAATCGATTAATATGTTTCGTTATTCGATTAAGTAATGTGCCATCGGTGCACACCTCTACTAGAGATATATAAAAAATACATTAGATACCACTCATCAATCAATTACATCGTATTTCAAGCATTATATATATGATATACAAGACATTTACATGCAAAATGTCACCACCTTCCATTTTCTACAGGCGCCGAACACCATCCACAAAAAGTTGGAGACCTTAAAAAATGTTTATGTCACCACCATCGCAGTGACTATTCAAAGCAATCCACTTTAAATTACCAAACCGATACACTATATGCATTTGCAATCTACTCTAAATTGCAAATTATATGGGCAAAATCACAAGACTCTTCAGTTTGCAATGATTTTATTTGCATTTCAGTGGCATTACATACATTAAATAAATATTCCATACATGTATTAAATGTCTCTCTTTTATACTTAATTTCAAGATTTGGCAGAACACCATTCTGCTTCACTGTATATCCAGTTTTAGAAGATTCTTTAGTTTTAGAACTATTCTGCCACACTGTATATCAATCCAGTTTTAGTAGTTGACCATTCTGTTTTTTTTACTAAGGCTGTCTTATTCACCACTCATTTGGAGCAAAAAAATGGCTTAGTGGAAGAACTATTTATTCTAAGATATTTCAGTAAGTGTCCACATCACTGGGTTGTCGCTTTGGTCTGAATGGGTTGTACAGGGTAGGGTCTTCCAGGAAGTCAACATCTTTGTGTACATATGGCATCAGACCTGAAAGAAGCAATTTTGTAATTGAAAGAATAACAGAAATGTTATCAATTTGTTTGCTACCAAGAACCTTGAACTTATTGGCTATTCACACATAGCAATGGGAAGGAAAAATATATTAATAAATACCAGCCAATCAGAACATCGTTCTTAAAATAACATTCTTTCTATATTTTTCAACAGAGGGAATGGCTATTTTAGATTCAGAAAATTGATGAAGTTTATCAATTTTTTAAATAAACCTTCACAAAAATGGAGACCATAACAATATGTCACTACTTTTGATGGTGACATAAAAACTGCATGTATGTCATCAAAAAGAAACAAACCAGTGTTTATTAGAGATTTCACGGAACAAAATAAAATCGTAACAGTTCGGTTCCGAACATTTTGCTTCAGAACGGAACAATTTCGGAATGGTTCGGGACAGAGTGACTGGGTGTATTTGGTTGTCTAGGTCTATTTGGTAGCGAAAAGCTCTTCAAAACTCTTCAATGAGAAGGAGTGAAAAGAATGAACTTCTTTTGCTGCAAATTATTGACAGAAAAATGCTGTTTTATGGCGATTTAAGGGCCACAAGTTGTGAAAAGGTGAGATTTTCTTGTCCCGGAACTGAACCGAAATTCTTAATTTTTGTCCAGTGTTCCGTTCCGAGAGCATAATTCCGCGGATCGGAACAAAATCGTGTATCCGTGACACCTCTAGTGTTTATCAAGTGGAATTGTTTGACTTTAATAGAGTCTCTCCCCATTATCATATAATATGTGTGTATGCTAGGGTTAGTGAACTACTAGGGTTGGGGAACTACTACACAACACTAGGAAAAGACAAATGCCTTACCAAAGAATCTGGCCCTGTTGACTAAAGAACTAACTCTGCGCTGCATGGGGATACATAACCCTGTGATATGACGCCCATATAGATTCCCAGTATAGGATGACAAGAACTGGCTCAGTAACTGTGTGTTCTGAAAATCAAACATGAAAATGACAACCAGTGTTACACAGCGTAAACAACATTGAAATTGTTTGGATTTCCATATTACAATAGTTATTACTAATGTTATTAATTGCTTTGATACATGTTTGTTTATTGAATTGTTGAAGCAAACATTCTTTACAGATTTATATGCTAATTAATAAAGTTGGAAGGTTTAATCAAATATATACCTTATAGTCTAACTGTACAGTGTGTTCACAAAGAATACATTTCCTGTGTGGTTTGGCATAAGGATTCGCCATATTCCTTACAGGCTGAAAAATATGTAACATTTATCAAATCAATAGGGTATTAATTTCTACAAAACTTTCCTTTATAGCTATATAACTAGAATCTTCACAATCATAACTAATATATGAATTGAGGGTTATTTACATCATTCTTCTCTCAACTCACATCACCTTGACTGAGCATGCAAAGTTAGATTACCCATTACTTTATATATTGAGTATGTTCTCAATGACCCAGGCTTAACAAAGTCGATGACATAATAGTCTCGAATGCAAAGGTTATTGCCTACTTACATTGTTGAATTCAAGTTTATTGGCTGTGTACCTTGGAACGACCATGGCCTTATGGATTCTCTATTTATTCTAAAACTCCCTAAATAGAACTATCTATAGAGAACACTTGAATGATCAAAAAAGCAATTTTTACCATATCTGAGTCATAGTCTGCTGTGTCCAATAGTCTGTTTTCTCCAAGCATTGTTTGAATTGTCTTTTTAGCACTTTCAAATTCTGCATGTTCCAGTCTATTTTGCTCTGAAACAAATCAAAGGCTTTATATCAGTTTGGAAGCAGTAGAAGATCCCAGGAGAAGTTGTACAGTTTATGAAAATTACCATAATGCTACGAGTTCTTGACTTATTTTTACCATCTTCTCAAGAAGGACTTCTAATAAGTAGAAAATATGATGTTAGGGAGGGAGTAAGGGGGAGGGGTTTATGAATTAAATTAATTAGATACAGATTCATTAAATAATAGATCATTGTTAGGATACTGGAGATTTGTTAAATTGTAACTCGTTGTACTTTTTCTCATTTAACTGTGTTATTTAAGACCTTTTGGTCATTCCACTTTGAGTAGTTGTGCTTAAAAATATGCTGTTACTTTCGTTGCAAATAAGGCATTTTTGGCAAGAAAAATTCCCATACATGAAATTCCTTGGGATTTTTGACTTCTCTCATATATGGGCGCTCTTTGTAATGGGTTACAATGGGAATTTTAATTTCAAAAGCACCCTGGGCGCTTATTACGGCGAATACGGTATGTATATTCATAAATAATCTTTTCTTGATATGCAAGTATATAAACTTATTTTACAAAGCTCTATAGGGTGTCCCAAAAAATTGTACAGAGACAAACATGGAACGACGTGAGTGATGAACATGAAGGTATACTCTTTTTCCCTAGGTAACCCTGTTTAGGCTAGTTTACTTTTATTGAAAAGCTTGTTTTGGTACCATCACCCATTTTTCGAATTTCCAGCAGTGCAATCGACTCTGCATAGACCATGAAAGAGGTCATTTAGAATATGTCATCTTAAATGTCAGCTTTTTCAGGAAGTAATATACATGTACAAAGTAAACATTTAATTACTAATTGGAAAATGAATTCTGTTTATCATTTTAACTCTCAGCTTCTTTCGATGAAGGAAAAAAAAGTATTCCTGTTTCATTGATTTTTGGGACTGTATTTCTCCTACATACAGGCGCTTATTTCGCCAGTACAATAAGATATTCTAATAATATTATACCAAACCATGGGCTTTCAACTAAAATGAAAGCCCATGACCAAACTCACCAGGGCTCAAAACACCATTCTCCGCTGTCGAGGAATCTACATCACCAGGTGAAGCTCCACCCAAGAATCTTAACTGAGTCGCACCTGAAAATACATTGAATTTTAGATTGAGCAAGAAATTAACATCACAAGCCCCCTGGCTGAAAATTCTTTCAAAATCATGCAGTTTTTTACCATTTTGAGCAATTTTCAAGTAATTTTGCCATTTCTGGGCCAATACTGTCAAAGTGAACCCTCCTGGAATATTTCAAAAAATGAACCCCCTTGGCAAATCCTGGCTACAGGCCTGACTGGTCTTAAAAAATGTTGCCTATATGACAATATGTCACCACTTCAGTTGTGAAATAATTAGAGGTTATGTCACTATCGTTGCATATATGCCCGAGGTTTTCAGTGATATATGGCCCGACCTTGGGAGGGACATTGATCACTGAGATCTGCGAGATTTATTTCTGAGGATGTTATCATCACAAAAGGTATGTCGTTGCCATTATTTTAAGGTGAATAATAAAAAAATATTATTGTATTGACCTCCTACTGCTACAGCTGTTAAAATATTATATCATTGCAAATCTGAAAATTGAATAGAACTAAATATTTTATTTATTTATGTACCGAATAATGTTGCTTCAACAAACACTTTGCATCCTGCGTCATATTAGTGTAATTTGGCTATTTGGTTAAGATAAACTATATGAAATTGAATTGATCTGAAAAGTAATATCAACAAGGAAAGAAATCCCAGACTTTGTAATTTCAGAAATCAGAGACATTGTTTAATGTCCCAAACATTTTGAACATCCGGATTTATAGAGAAGTACAATTGCATTTACCTCCAACCAGAAGAGCTGTTGTAAGGCTTGTGAATAATGCAAAAATATAACAACAGGAAATGGTCATCAAAACATAGCTGACATTTTCACTTTAAGTATACTCTAATTAACCTTCGGTGTTTCCTGTTTGAAAGCCTTATTGTACAAAGTAAAATGGTCTTCTTAAACCATGAATTATTTGCCCATTCAGTTATTTATAATGACAAATATTTATTTAATTCAAAATTGACAAATTTCCATTCAAAGGGGTCAAACAATCATATTTAAATTCTAGCAATATTATACTTAACATCATTCAGTTTGTGACTTGGTGATAAGCTAGGACCATGTTTCAGATCACAGTTTTGAGTATCTTTATCGTCCTTATTTTGGACATCAATGGATATGTGATTGAATCAAAAGATAAAGATGAAAACCTTGAAAAACGTGCAGTGAGATATAAATATGATCCAGAATATCAAAGAATACCAGCAAAACAAACACCGCCACCACCAGCTCGACGTGAACTCTCAAATGATGAAACTGATGCTTTCCCTGAAACTCGACAAGAGATATATAAATATGAACCAAAATATCTAAGAATTCCAGTGAAACAAACACCGCCACCACCAGCTCGACGTGAATTCTCAAATGATGAAACTGATGCTTTCCCTGAAACTCGACAAGAGATATATAAATATGAACCAAAATATCTAAGAATTCCAGTGAAACAAACACCGCCACCACCAGCTCGACGTGAACTCTCAAATGATGAAACTGATGCTTTCCCTGAAACTCGACAAGAGATATATAAATATGAACCAAAATATCTAAGAATTCCAGTGAAACAAACACCGCCACCACCAGCTCGACGTGAATTCTCAAATGATGACACTGAAGCTTTCCCTGAAACTCGACAAGTGATATATAAATCTGATCCAAAATATCTAAGAATGCCGCTGAAACAAACACCCCCACCACCAGCTCGACGTGAATTCTCAAATGATGACACTGAAGCTTTCCCTGAAACTCGACAAGTGATATATAAATCTGATCCAAAATATCTAAGAATGCCGCTGAAACAAACACCCCCACCACCAGCTCGACGTGAATTCTCAAATGATGACACTGAAGCTTTCCCTGAAACTCGACAAGTGATATATCTATTAGATCAACAATACGAAAGAACTTTCTTGAAAGGAACACCTCCACCACCTACTAAAGATGAAACTGTTGTTTTTGCTGAAACTGGAGGAGAGAAGTATGATTATGATCCAGAATATGTAAAATTTGCTGGACGTGAACTCCCTAAAGAGGACACTGGAGTAAATGCGCAACTCCATAGAGTGATAGAGAAGCTGCGTCAATTCTGGGATAAAAAAACGAGTTAATGAAGGTAAGTATGGCAACCTTTCCATGATGAACACTGTAAGTACAAATATTATACATGTTTTATTTTTATTAAAACAATAATACAGTATTGTTTACTATGTCAGAGTATTTTGGAGTTAAGTCAACTTTTTGAATTAAAATAAAACTGGCATCATAATTTATTGATAGCCTGAGTAGGGAATTTCTTATTAGTTGTATTTATTCTATCGATATCATTAATAGTTTTATCAATACCATTGTATCTATTGATCTCTGTCACAGGTGAAGAAAGGTTCTACTTTTACTGGTCTGTTAATATTATTAACTGTTCAAAGTTATAACTGATACCTAAATGCATTTATATTACAGGGCAAAGAAAAAGAAAGGCATTGAAGAATGGAAATCCCAAATCTGGAAAAGATGGACACCATGAGTTTTTAATCAATTCTTATTAGGACTAGATATCTATATTTTGCAGACTAGGTCATTTTGGTATATGATCTTGATTAGCTTTAGATTTACTACAAAGAGATTACATCTCAGTGTTCTTTGGGATGGTGACCAAACAAAAATTGGTATGGGTTGAATGAACATTATGCTGATGACAAACATTGATTTTTAGCCATTCACAAGTGAAGTGCACATTGCACTTTTGCATACAGCGGTACAAAGCCATTTAAAAAACATATCACAAGCTTACAGAATGAACATTTTATTGACGTAACAAAATATAAAATGGTAATCTCCAACATATCACCATTGCAGGTAAAGAGGATTAGTGTAAGTGATCGTAAGATGGCAAAATCATTAAAACATTTTGAGAACTTGATTGGTTGAATTGTGCGTATTGATTGAAAAATCAACTTGAGTTGATCTATTTCAACAAATCAAAATATTTCAAAAAAGATTTATTGAGTAAGAAAAAATGCATTTTTTAATTTGTTGGAAAATTGAACACTTTACAAGTAGGATAAAAAGGAGCTAATTTTGTCAGATTTTGATTTATCATTTAGCCATAGCAGTGTGCTGTCTATCCAAGAGACACTGCCATTGGGAGATTGACAAAAAAATTTAGAACAGAGTCACATTAATCGAAAGAAATAACAACAGTGCATCTGAGTACATCTTGAAGGAGAACTTGCTGTAATTAAATTAACTGCAATTTCATTTAAACTTTGGACACCATCCATAAGGAATTAATAATTATGTATTTGATATCTATCAGAAAATACAAAGAACATCACTGTAGCATTTCATCCTTCAATTTTAGATGTGGAAATAAAATAAATATGCAAAGAACTTTTTTGTTTTCTCGTTTGTGCTTGATTGGTTGATGCAGGACTATTTCTCCAATGAAGCAGATGTACATAATGTACATAGCGCATACAGTAGAACCTGTCTAAGTGAAACACATTTGGTACCTCTAAAATGTGTTCCACTTGGGAGGTGTTTCCCTTATAGAGGTTCATTTAACATAAAGGCAGTTGGTCTTGGGACTCTGAAAATTGTTCCACTTCTACAGCTGGTCTACTTGAGTAAATAATGTAAAATAACACAAGTAAAAACCCAAAGTAGCCAAGTATCATAAAACAGTGGGCCAGGGCCAGAGTGTTTGAACATGGGCTTTCATGGTTTGAATAACTAGAAAATTCAGTGGTTTACTTTTCAAAATTGCAAAAATATTCCAACATGCACCCTGGCCTAATTACAAAAGGCCACAGCACTACCAAAAGTCAATGGTAAATTTCATATGCGCCATTTTGTTGAATCCTTTGATTTGATTGGTTACCTTAAAAAACAAGATGGCCGACAAGGAAGTAAAAAATAATATGAAATTGATTAATCTTACAAATGTGATTTATCTGCACAGCTCCTTTAATTTAAATCACGAATATATCAGGCAAAAGTGTAACTGCACACAATGCTTGCATATTTTGAAATGTAACCATCGCATATATTGTCTAAAACGTATTAAATTGACGTCATCAAAACAGAAATTTACTTCTAATTTGAGTGGCAATTTTCTCAAAACCCGGAGCTTGATATCTTACAAACCATATTTTAAAGTGTGTTTATTCAAACAAATGTGTAAAATTAAAGGTTCATGAAGGTTCAAGACTCGAAATAAGCAGGTAAAGTATCCCTCCTCGCGACTTTCTTGAAGAATAGACAGCCATTTAGCTATGAAGAGATCGAAAATACTTACATCTTCAATCATTTAAACTTATCTCGACATTTGTTTACGATGTTGTGCCTCAAAAGCAAGAAATCTAGACACGATTACGATAAATAACCCCTCCTATATCCATGTTAAAAATGTGGGGTGACACCGTAATTGAAAGAAAAGTAGTTTCTTCCGGTGCACAGTGCATTGACCAATCAATGGATCGGATCAGTGTAATCTGGCAGAGAATTGTCCATTGAAATTTTCCACGCCAATTCTAGCTGAGATTCATTCTATTCTACTACTTTTTTCAAGGCCTGACTGCGTGGCTAACATGCTAAATATAAGAGTTAGCTGACGTTTGGGAGTCTGACTTACCTTCTAAAGGTTAGAACCCGAATCTTAATGAAACCATATCACCTTTGTTGCGTCGATGATGATGCATAAACATAGCATTTGATACAAATTAGCGTAAATGCTTTTCCGACTTTTTTATTTTTCATCAATGTTGACTTCCGGGAAGGCGTTGTAGTTATCACGAAATAACGCATTGACCCTTGAACTTTACTTTGTTGACGTGTCAACCTGTCAACCAAGCATGTCTGGTGTGAAAATTAAAAGAATATTAGCAATGTTCTACATCCGCCAAGCTAAGTGAAGTAGTCAATATTTAAAATTACCAATTTTAAGTGAAGTACGCAACGAACGAAACTGCGTGATCTACACTCCCACTATTGGTCTGAATGAAATGCTACGTAGAAATATGAGCCGTCTGCTGTATTAGTCGATTAATAGAGTAAGACCTGTTGGTGATGCTTTATAATTTAGACCAAAACATTGAAGAACAAACGAACCTGTAAATCGTGAAAACAACGAACAAATATTCGGTTTTCACATGTGTTCGGTAATTTTTCGTATTGAAACTTCCGGAACTTACAAGGAAATCATTCATTTTCTCGATCCATGATTTACCTCTTGGATGTTGTGGCAAATGCTCCATGGTTGACGGAACAAAGGTGATATGGTTTCATTAAGATTCGGGTTCTAACCTTTAGAAGGTAAGTCAGACTCCCAAACGTCAGCTAACTCTTATATTTAGCATGTTAGCGACGCAGTCAGGCCTTGAAAAAGTAGTATGATAAATACTGCATATGTTTGATAAACGATATTATCAGATGTAAGTATAAGATGTATTTGAAATATAGGACCGACATTTATGCTTTGAATTATGACATTTGAGATCGAAAAATACAAATTAGTTTGAGGATAATTTTCCATTGACTTTTGGCAGTGCACAGCTTTGCTCCACATTATACATAACAATCTGAAATATACAAAAGTTAGGACTTGTTTCTATTTCTTTATAAACTGTTGCAATATAGTCATTTGTTTGCTTAATTTTTAAATTACAAACATTTAAAATTTTACTGTAAATGAAATTAAAAAAATGGGCGATAATATGTGATATTTATCCTCTTCATCGATTTATCATGAGAATATATACTAAAGATCCAGTTACTTACTTTCGAATGAATCTTTAATCATCCCTCTGCGATTCTGCAATGTAGATCTTCGCCAAAGGTGTCTGGCAATAGAGAAATTCATCATAAAAAAACTTGATTTGATCGTGGTGCGAGCGGTTCCTTACTTATGGCAAGATATGAGGAGTCACGAAATGCATGACATTAAAATCTGCGTTCATCCCACGTTATCCGTGTTCTCGTTCTGCCGATATACCCAGACAATCGGCGGTTCCAATATATTAGAAGTTACATCTTGAGTTCTATAATGCATTGAGGTAGGTATCTTAAGTGTAAGGGGCGTAGATAATTCTCCCAAGTTGTAATCGTACAGGCAAATGAATGCGCTCAGTGCAGGACTACAGTCCGGGAACGGGATAAATCCCACGGACCTCCAGATTACCTCTTGTTGGTGTCTAGGGTCATTAAATATACTCATTTATTCTTTGAGCCTACTACCAATAGGTGCCTGATCTGTGGTTTATCCTTATCATACTTGAATACATGGCTGCTTGGGCATTTTTTATTTAGAAAAGGAGTTAAGCTTGCAATATTTTTCACAACCTAAACCTGAATGGAAAACATTTTAAGTGATGCATTGCGATTGGTCATACGTTTAGGATGGCTTTTCGATTTTATATGCAAGCTAAAATCCCTGTGTTGTGTTCAAATGCATTTTCATTGGTTATTAGTATAGGAATTATATTTTGATCATACAGCACGATACATATAAAGCCATTGAATTCCTCCCAACTTCAATCTAAATACTGTCATAAATTCCTTTATTTTTCAGAAATTCATCAAAAAGTAAGTTATTATAAAAAACTGAGATGATGTCAGTTTCTATCTTTAGTCATTTGAAATGGCTTCCTGTTTAACAAAAAACAGAGGTTTCAAGATTTTTTCCAATAGGGAGTGCGTTGCCAACCGTTTTCCTAAAAATTGAATGGCGAAAGGCGCGGGCCATGCGAGCGGTGAGTTTTGGCGGCTCCTCCCTCCCTCTAGAAATTAAGCCAGATTTGCATTTAACTCTACGGGGTCAGAGTTTGGTCAATTTTTCCTGAAATTTCCTGAATTTCCTTAAGACTTTAAGAGATACTTTCAAAACCTGGAACTTCTTTTCAAACCAACCCAGTTTGTTTACTTTTAAAAAATCACATAAGATTCATAACTCATGTAAGATGATACTTCACCATATAGGGAATTAATATTTTGGTGATAAAAACTGCTATGTTCAATCCATAGTTCTGCAAGAAATTTGAGATCAGCCCTATGTACCATGCTTAATAGCCCTGTGTACCATGATAAATATACAAAAACAATTAGCTTATAAAATAAATAGTTTATTTTTACATATAAAATGACTAAAATATGACATAAAATATGAAATTAAAGGTTCAGGTAGGTTATTGCAAACAATTTCAGACAGTTATATCTTGGATTATGACTATTTTCTGACCAAGAAGACAGGTATGTCTTTTAGATCCAATCATTATCTCAAAGAAATTTACATACATGTACAATAATAATAAAGTTAAACAGACTCAGAGATATTTAACAAGCAATCAACCCATCAACACACTTTTTCAAAGATGTTGACCTCATTTTCAACCAAAATAGAAATGATTTTTTACAATGTCTAATACATTACTATTCTTTATTTTGATGTATCAAATAGTTCTTGAAAGAAAAACTGAATTGCTCTAAGATAAGTGTTTCCCATGTTATTTCCCCATTGTAATTCTCATGCTATCCATTGGTTTCAGTTAATTTTGGTCATCCAAATTCAGTATCTTTAAAGTCCCTGGAGCTATCAACTTAGGTCTGATTAACTAAATTATCATTATACATGTATATACTTTTCTTGGAGATAATGAATGGGTCTAAAAGAAACATTCATCTTCATGATCAGAAAATATTCATAATTCCAGTAAGAATCGTCTAAAATTGTTTGCGATAATGACACGTTCCTCTGCAAATGATTAAATTACAAAGTTAAACCAGACAAAATAACACATGACTCATTTCCATGTGACACAGAGGACAGTATCGCTATGGAGTCTATAGCTACAATACAATGTCAATGGTTATATCACTTCGAAGACACCAATATGAGGTATTACGTAACAGCAAAATACGATACAGTTAATAGCATTAGGAGTATAGAGTACATAATTACATATGACCAAATCCCCAAAATTATAGACTCCAAGACATGTGATAAAATCTTCATCACATTTCAGCTTAGGTAATGCAGGAAATATTCCAGTATTCTCCAACAATGTGACTGCATAAAATCATCCAGTGTTCTTCAGTATTGTGTCAGATATTCCTCACCTACAATACCGCTTTTGTATTATTGACAATGCTCACTGATAAACGATAATGTTCATTGTTCAATGATAATGTTCACTGTCCAATGATAATGTTCACTTTTCAATAATAATGAACATTGCTCAATGATAATAATAATGTTCACTGTTCAATAATAATGAACATTGCTCAATGATAATAATAATGTTCACTGTTCAATAATAATGAACATTGTTCAATGATAATAATAATGTCCACCGTTCAATGTTAATGAACTGTTTGATGATAATGTTCACTATTCAATGATAACATTCCTACTTCAATGGTAGCATTCATCAATCAATGATAATGTTCATCATTCAACAACTCAACCAGCATTTAAAACAATAGATTTATAGCTCTTGGTTTTATTAAAAACTGATATCTGATAAGTCCATCATGTCATCAATAGGTGGCAGGGGTATGTCATCTATGCGCATATCTGATTCCTCCAGCAGAGTTAAGGTCGGATCTGAAATACAACATAAGCCTCAAATATAGAAACAGTAATGTCATGTACACGCAAACAAAAATGAGCCAATGGTCTTCCTTCCAATCTCTGGACCCCCCAAATCTACTTCACTGCTATATGGGGAGGTGTGTTATGGGAGGATTACAGGGGCTTGTGGCTAGACTTATGAACCAAAATCACTGCATTTCATTTTATTTAAGATATTATTAAAGAGGATTATCAATAAACATATGGCATATACTATATCTAGTATTTAATTTGCTATTAATTTTTATGTAATATTGATTCAGTGTTCAATATGGCTGAACAAAACAGAGTATAACTGGCACAATGGACACATAATTAGGACTTTAGCAAGAACTCGTAGGCAATCTGTATAATAATTGTGGAATTACCAGTGCTTTCATTAACAGATAACAGGTGATTTTTCAACTTTTCCATGTCAAATTTATGATTTCCATTAATTTTGCGTGCCTGTTGTTTTCATTTATTTAGCCTGTTGTGAGAAATTCAAGTGAAACCCCTGAATTACTGTCATTAATTTTATCACCACGATCAAAAATTTGAATGTTTAAATTACCTTCGAGAAAACCTTCACGTTTTTTATTGACTGTAAAAGATTCCTTGATTTTTGGTTCAGGGGATGGAGGGGGCACTGCTACACAAGACAGCAATGGTCCCATCTTCAAGAAGGCATCTAGGTGTACACTGGGTCTCTCTGATTTTGGACATATGTCATTCTCATAGTCTTCTGAAACATCAAAATATGAACGAGATATAGGATAGGTTGGCTAATGCTGTAAGATATGTTAGATGAGATTTATTCCCTTGAAAAACTGCCAAATCAAATAGACGCCAACTGTCTGATATCATAAAAATTGCCAAATTAAACAGCACCAAATCAAGATGAATATCTACTCATTATATTAGCAAGGATAATCCCAATAATGTGTACAGACTGTATTGGATAATCTTTTTATCTTATTACTCCTTTGTGTTGTTTGTACATTTCAAGAATAATTGACATTTCCTGGAAAATCAGATAGTTGCTTCATAAAATAGAGTTGATAGCCTCAGGACTCCTAGACTTTGACTCATGCGGTCGTCAGTTCCAACCTCGCTGACCACATTCTGTCCATCCAAACCATGCTCTCACAACGTGAATATCGGTCCTTTAGACACGAACTGCAAGTTCCTCTCTCCTTAATTTATTTCTTTTTTTGCGCACTGAGTTCCCTTTCTTCAAACATATTGCAATGTGGTTCGCAATGTGGGAATTTGATGCACGAGTGGAGAAATAAGTTGGAGAAAGAGGAATTGGTGGTTCATGATAAAAAAACAATATTTGCGTTGTGAAAACGTAGTAACGTAGTCCGGGTGGAGGGAACATGGTCAACGAGGTCGAACTGACAACCGCGTGAGTTGAAATCTAAGAGGCCTGAGCTTGTAAAGGATTTTTTCTGTGAATTTTAATGTCTTTCTTGAAACTGATACCAAGAGATTTTTGGAAAAAATGCTTTCTGAATTATCCGATTGCAGGCATATGTAATTCATCTGCCTTTTCTATTGGGTCGTAAAGCTAAATTCTGGCTGCTGTTGTTGAAAACACAACATATTACACATCTGCTTTATGAACCTCAACAGGTTTCAAAATGAAATAAAGTAGTTATAAATTTTATGTAAAAGAACCTTGATCCAAGACTAGAAAGAACCCAGGCTCACCTGTGTCATCATATATGTGGAATTTCTCAGTATCTTGGACCAAATTTTCCTGTTTGGGCACTGGCTTGAGGTTTACATCACATTTTACTTGTGGGGCTTGGGTTCTTGACTTCCCCTTCTGAGTTTGTTGATTCTAAAAATATGATTAATATTTCAAGATACGTCATTCTTATTCCATATAAAATGCACTTATTACATCACAAAATTGAACTATTAATATTTTAGCTGTCATGATCGAAAATAGATATGTTTTTTACATTCCTCCTTCATTCGATGGAATAAAAATGTGTTAGCTTTTAGATTTTGGGTTAGAGGAATTCTTTAAAATGCAATACAGGTTGAGCCACTAAAAGGGGAACTAACTTGAGTGTTATTCACTATGTTAACATTTGCAAGACGAAGTCCAATATTTGGGTTGGTTTCTGTAATAGACTTCTTTGATCCTTGTTGCTTCTTTTGGGCAAAGTTGTGCGCAAGTTGGCTAAAGGTCAGTCTGGATTCGGTGTTCACTGTTCCAAGAGCCTTACGAGATGGTCCATTAGCCTTAAGCTGGTTATTGCTTTGAAAGGTTTTTCCAACTGAAAGTATTTCAAAATTGATTTTTTTTAATTACAAGTATGTTTTCTAGTACTTAGTAAAAATAAAACTATAAATCGTGTATGGTTTCATTCAAAGAAACCTGACATCTCTGCAAGGTTGGTTAAAATGTTATCAATATAACTTCAATAGACCACTGGTTTGTGTATCTACAGGGTGTCCCGAAAGTATGGGCCCCCCCCTAGGCAGACATATCCCAGTGTCCTCATAGTATGTGTCATATATCATTTTAAAGCTTATCCAAAGTAACATTGATTTGCCAAGTATCATGGTTTAACTCCCAAATGGGAAAAAGTTACGGTCATTTTAAAAGTTAGTGTTTTGTCAAAATAAAGTTCAATTTTACCCCACATTACTAGTCAATGAGTCCCCCCTTGGCCATGTTAACAGCAGCAATTATTTTCAGATATGACCTTAAAAGCCCTTCAAATAGGGGTGTGGAATTTTATAACCCTCTTAAAACCTGTTAAGGCACTTTAGAAGAGTTTCCTTAGAGTTCCTACCCTCACGGTTCTCTTTCTCCAACTCAATATCCATCCGATCCGAAAAGATTTGCTGCTGTTAAGACAAATTGACTTGTGATTTGGTGTAAAATTGAACTTAATTTTGACCAAACACTACATTTTGAAATGCCTGTAATTTTTGCACATTTGAGAGTTGAACCATGATACTTGGTGAATCAATGTAACTTTGGATAAGCTTTAAAATGATATATGACACATTCTATGACGACATTGGTATATGTCTGCCTAGGGGGGGCCCCATACTTTCGGGACACCCTGTATATTGAATGTGCCATGCAAACTCTGTTGGGGTTGTAATGAAGTCCTAATTATCCCTTCTGTTATTTTTCAAAAGCGGACAATTTTCCATTATTTTAAAGATATCCCGGACCACCCATTTCGATACATTGTATATCATTAACAATTCTTACCTCTTCCAGTATGTGTGCTGACAAGCCCTCTTGCAGCTACATTCACGGAAGAGCTGTTCTCCTTGTCCATAAAAGGAACGAAACTGGCCATCTTTTGATATTAGTTGTATTGGGAGGCTTGTATTTCTGAAAAAAAGAAGTACAGATAATATATTAGAAAACTTGAAAGACAACCAATAATTCATTATTAGAATTAAGTTCAAGTATTACATGAGCACTCTCACCCACATAAAGTGTGAGGGGAGATACTTTGTGAAAGATTAAATGCAATAAAAATACAGTAAAATGCAATTAAATGTCATAAAATGGTCCTTACACTATAATTATAAACAGTTTTTTTATCCTGTTGCTTGTTATTGTGGGATAGCAGTTGAGTGTCCACTTTGCTAAATGATTAACAATCAAAAAGGCAATTTGATTCCTGCTAGACACAGCATATATAGGCCTTTAACACCTTTGAAATATGGTACAGTTGAATCACTTTATATACAATACAATAAATCAGGTGCATCTGGTCACATCATGTAGTGGACCCAGTATCCTTGCTAAGATGATTGCTATATAGTAGTTTATTCACTTCAATGATATCTATATCAGCAATAGGTGGAATAGCTCCTTCAAGAAGATCAGTCCTTACTGGCTTTGCATGTTCATCTGTCACTAAATTTATAGAATCCAGCGAGGGAGTAGATATCAGATTTAGGCTCACATAGATAATGATCACAAACACTAGAGCCACACACAGGTATACAGGAGCGGCAATGGCCCAATATTTTTGTGGCCAGTATGTTAATCCTATAGCATGTAGCCAAGTATCAGGCACGTAAGCCCATAGACAGTAAAGTATGAATCCTAAAATTGATCCTAGGTATAGAATGAATCCATTTATGGCTCTTTCTGGGGTTGGAAACGGAGAGTTTTCAGTCATTGCACTAATTTGTGGGATTGCCTATCGCACTGCATTACTGCATTACATTTTTAATCAATGATGATACGTCTTGAGTTCTTTCAAAGGAGGATCTTCTAATCACTAAACTGTTGATCCAAATCAAACTCGAGAGCTGGAATATGCAGACAAGATAAATAAGTACTTAAAGCTTAGTTCAGGATTCTCCATGAAACATTTTGCAGGGGGGAGCATGCCATTTATCAACATCATTAATTATAATGCAATGAGTTAAGCTAGCCATACACCAATGGGACTTTGTCCCTGTCCATTTTTGTCCCAACTTGTCCCTTGGACATCATGGGTCAATGTCCCATTTTGTTCGATGATGTCTGGAATATAGCGCCAATTAGATGCTTGGATGTTCGCATTTTATTGAGCTCTCATCAAGTAACACTTATATGTCGAAGTTAAGTTCTTGCTTTTTTTACCATGAAATAGACAGTATATCTGGACTTACTAGGATGGAGAAAATAGAGCACTGAATACACTGAGGTAAGAATTTATTACATGTGTGACAGCATGTAATTTTCATAGCAATAGTAATTCTTTATGTGTCCCACTGTAATAAGGTCTACTATATCTTAGTAGGCAAAGATCTATACACAGGCGGTACTAACTCACCGGGGCGTATCGAAACCCCTTTCTTTGGAAAATCAATGATTGTGAGTCTCATAGTACACCATTTTTCTTCAAACTTGTTCTATTAAAACCTTCACAGAAATACCTTTCAGTCGAGACATTGCTTTTGTGTACAGAGTCACTTGTTTTAGCGGCGTTTTGGTCCCCAGATGTGAAAAGATGCAAATCTTCAGAGATTTCAACCAAAAGCCTCGATATATCGCCAGTTCTTTTATTATTCTCCCCTATATTTTGCACAAGGACTCCCATTACAACCCTCCATCTCTGCATCAACATATTTATTACATTAAACACACAAATTTCCAAAGGTACAGAATGAAAGAAACAACCTCATTGCAGGCCTTCGTACTTACAATTTAAGTGACTTGTTCAATAACTACAACTTGAATGACAAATTACAATTTTTACTGTTTGGAAGCACTAACCTGGATGCTACTATGAATGAAGCTTTAATTCATATTGTTAGCTATTATATACATACAAGCCTTGTTTTATTATCTATCTAGTAGTAATTTGACAAGTCCTTTTTTCTGCAATGACCGAATTATTTTTCAAGTTCCGTTAACATCCTGGCCCATGGGATAACCTTCAGGTATTTTGAAATAACCTTAACAAATTTATCTTATTTCATTATCTAATATCTACATGTATATATAATATATATATTAAATTGCCGCTAATGTTGCAAAACCTTGGCAATTAGAATTTGTAATTGAATGTAAATGTTTATATTAGAAATAAATTGATAACATGAAAAAAAAAAAAAAAAAAAAAATTTCCAAAGGTCCTACGCATCTGTTCGAAATTGATCAAAACGCCCCGTTCTCTTCCAAAACGCCCCGTCAGATCTATACACCTTATCTATACACGTTTGTAGTCATAGACTCTGCGGGGCATTTTGGAAGACAACGGGCCGTTTTGGTCAAAATTTCAGTCGAGACATTGCCTTTGTAAACAAAGACTATGTCTCGACTGAAAGGTATTTCTGTGAAGGTTTTAATGGAACAAGTTTGAAGAAAAATGGTGTAGTGTGAGACTCACAATCATCAATTTTCCAAAGACAGGGTAGGTTAGAAATTCAAATTAACGGTTTGCGGGGCGTTTTGGTTTCGATACGCCCCAGAGAGTTAGTACCGCGTGATACAGTGAGTGGGGAAGTATTTGGAACTCTTGTTCCTTGGCCTGTGTACGACATGACTCCATATATAGGAGAATATCGAGTTGGAATGGTGGAAGCCAATCCTCCGTGTGGACTTTGGAGATTGAATATTTGATGAAAATCACTCCAAGGTCGAAGGTGAAAAAGATTTTTTGCCCAAAAAGAAAGAAATCAAGGTTCAAGCCATTTCGAAGTCTTTCCTGGTGATTTTCCTCAAGAAACGAATATTATAACGTTAACATATACATCATACAATATAAATACATATTCACATTGATTTTATTATTTCCTTTATATCTTAAAAATGGAAATAAAAGACAACATTACCTGACGATATTTTAAAAAGTGACGCTTTTCTTTTTCCCGATTTTAAACCAATCAAAATCGCTGTTACAAATACTTCCGGAGAAGCAGAACTTGATGCGCAGTAGGCCAAGTGTTTATTTTCCTGAACTTTTCTGCAGAAGATTGCCAATTATACCACTCTAGTGATACCCCTGTATTTTAGTTTACAAATTTATACTGCTATATTGTGTGTTCAAGATGTCTGACATACAAAAGCTGCCGTTAGAGGATGCTCTAGCTGATAGTCCGCAGGTATGTCACCTAGGGATTCTAAATATTTTTACAATTTCTTAAGAATCTCGCTAATGAAATTATAATTTTATTAACGAGATCTTATTAAGAGTTCATATCGCATAATAACCCTTATTATCGGATTCCAGCTGTTAGTAGTATTAATTTGAATAAATTAAAACTGAGTAGTACAGCTGAGTGGACATGTATATGCACCGATAACTAGGTCTATTGCTTAGATGCCAACTTAATATTCTGAAGCCATTGAAAAACTCACCTTACTATGAGTAAACTTCAGTGAATTCTTTGACAAAGAAAACAACTACATCCACTGCTTGTGAGATGTCCAATTTATCCCTAAAACTTTGTGGGATGCAAAGTTAAAATAAAGTCCTTCTGGAGTATAGGATATAAACCTTTCACTGTTTGTGAGATTTAAACTTTAAAACTTTCATTACAACTTTGAGAGTATAAAAATCCAGATACATAATATTTGACTTGATGAAGATTGTTGAATGCTAATTCTATCCTTCATAACTCAGTTGTCTGTGGTTATGTTCTGAAATAACACAAAACTGTGTCTTAGTGACAATTAACGACTGGGTGGGCGAGGGGGGAATATATGAACTCTTAATAAGATCTCGTTAATAAAATTATAATTTCATTAGCGAGATTCTTAAGAAATTGTAAAATTTCTATTACACTCATCTTATTAAGAGTTCATATCGCATGTTTAAAGTAAAATAACCTCAGAACAACTGATCTAAATCCTTTAATTTCCTTTATCAGTTTATCAGATTGTAAAATTGTTAAGCATTCAGAGAATTTGCATTTCCCATGACTTGGTTTGTAGATATATCAAATGTTCAAGTTTATGGTACTGTTACTGCATACCTGGTTAAATATGTCTTTCAAATGTACTTAAATGTATTTATAAATATCTATCTATTATTATTATTCTATAAAATTAAAACCTTTATGTATTGTTATAGAAACTGCTAATGTGTATGTATATGAGATGTTTTACTGGATATGTACATGCATGGCATCGCATGACATTTGACAAGGATAATTTAAACTTCCTTCTTATGATTCCCTTCTACTACTAGTAGTTTGTTTCAGATGTTTCTGGTATTTTCTAAATGCTAGTACAACATCATTAAATGGATTCTCATGAAAAACAACTTGGAAACCCAATTTTATGTGTTGACATTCTGTCTTTGACAACCATCCAATGGCATATTATTTCAGAGACCCTGGGATACATGCTTGAAATAGACATTAACATGACTAATTGTGTACTTTCAGTTGAGATTTCTATTCTGACCCAAATGTTCAATGTGAGATACAGTACAACCTTATTCACATCCCAAGTTTCATTGATTTTATTTAGTGGGTCTCCATTGTAAAAGTTTCTATAAAAACAACCAGAACATGGTATTGACTTACCTATGACTATCTATGGTTCCATTATATGCTGATTTTGCAGACTTTAAGTATCGAGAAACGAATAGCACATACCTGATTTGACATTCCAGTTAGGAAAATGGCTAAATTTGTATTAGAGGCTAAATATTAATGTCATGTTTATTAGAACATGCAGCATACCCATGTTTTTTAGGGGTCCTTGGAAGTAATTTAAGTACTTTCTTTACTTGATTTAATGAATATACATGTATTGCCAGTTTGTCACAGAAACCTCTAGTTTCAAACTTGAGGATGATAATTTGGACACCGTTAATGTTATCTAGCTTTTTTTATTATTTTTTTTTTTTTTTTAAGGCTGTAAGATTAGATATTAGTAATTTCATATGGTTTGGCAATAAGATGGGCTAATACAGACCAACATTTCCAACAATTATAGATACCGCAGAGCCATTTGCCACATTGGGGCTATGAGAGCTATATCTGTGCATTTTTTATGTCTCACTTTAACCAGTAATCGGCTGATTTAAGAAATTGGAGGAAAGTTATTTGACTGTTTATTCTGAATAAATATGTCAACTTCCAGAGTTTCTGGGTTTAGTTTCCACCTGAAATATTAATTTTCTACTGGTCGACAAAATCTATTTATCTGGACCTTAAAACTTTCAATTAGGAAAAATCTCCCAATCTTATTTCTAGTTTGATGCATCGAGGAATTTCTCTAGGTTTGAACTGACATTCAATTCTGATTCCTTGGAAGATATTATACGGTAATAATGATATCTCTTGCAAAGGTATCTGAACGATCTTGCATTGCTTTTAACATTTCTAGCCATCTCGTTCCCCACATTTTATGCACATAATGTCATCGTGGTTTTCTTGTTAATTTTATATAACATTGTCTAAGTTTTTGTGAATACTTTCACTACCATATCCATGGCTTTCATTCATATGAAACAATTTTTTGTTTAATCAATTTCCCCTAAGCTACTGTCCCGTCAGACTTGAACTTTAGCCAAACAGGCTGCTTTTTTTTTTTTTTTTTTTTGTTATTGTAATTATTGATTCGGATAACGCTATTAGTATTCTGAATTTCGACTTCTTGGACCAATCACTATCAAATTTTATATTCATTTTTTGTGAGTTATTTTGGCAATCAATGCATACATGTAGGACTGCTTTGACCTTTGCAAGTGTCAAAAAATGTAGAGGTTCAATATACAGATTACAGACTAAAGTACAATTCAAAAGTATCTCAATAACTTGAGTAAGATTACTGACTAGGGTTGATTCTATCCCTACAAAGTCTTTGCGAGAATTTTGATAGAAACTATCATTTCTATTAAGGCCTTCAAGTTCATCTCAATTGTATTGATCACAAAACTACAAAGCTCCATTTTATGATGGGAAAAATTCAACAATAGGCTTTTCCCCATTTATCAGAAACTTCAGTTTGAAACAAATATTTCACTAACTTGAAATCATGTTCATGAGTAGCAGATAGGCGAGAGCTTAATGACATCAGAGAATCAATAAAAGATTCAAAACCAAATTAAATATTCCACAATAGTGCTTATGGTATTTTCACGAGTTTGAGGGAAGCAAGGTCCATAGTAATGATCTCAAATGATGTTATATCCTTCAACGGAGCTATTTCCTGTGCCTCGAATGTATGCTTATGGTCATATAAGCATCCTTAGCATGGACTTTCACCATGGGTAATCGTTTGGCCATCTCATGTTTCTTAGAGTTACCATGTCTTCCATTTTGAAATATTCATACCAACTAAATGGTTAAGGTTTAGATTTTTTAGAGTTTAGATTGAGAACGAGTCTCTGGGAACAATCCTCTTTCTCCTGTAACAATATGTGACACAGAAATTGATCTATGCTTTTCTGTTGCATGTTTAAGAGTTAAATGAATCTCCTGTTTTTAAAGGATGGACAAAACATCCGATTGCTTAAAATCGCAGTTTTGAGAAATATTAAAGCTGCTTTCCATTTAGAAATCTTAAGCTATATTGTTATCATTTCTCAGAATCTCTGGTAACCTTGACCATACTTCATATTTCTATGTAGGTGACTTTGAAACTTCAAAAAGTATATGTAATTTACCTAAGTTTCTGTTTTAGTGAACTTCCAGATTTTTTTCTTGATCTGACGTTATGTCAAAACATTCATCTTTTTTAGATCCATTTTGGTTTAATTTTAAAAATAAAATTGACGTACCTGTCATTGGACAAGGATTTTCCTACAGCGTAAGTTTTGCTGGAGCGACATCGTCTATAATGACATTGTTTGTCATGACTTCTAGTTGTATAGCTATTGGCAGCTGACAGTTTCTGCTTTCACTGGCCTATTCAAAAGGCTGTCAAATACTTGTATTTATAATCTATTGAAAGATTTTGATCTAGAAAACTATGTTTTCATGTCTTTGACAAAATTCAAAGTTTTTGTTGAGTCATCACCAAACAACTCTTTTGCCCAGCTTTGGGTATTCTCTTTATGGTTTTGGTAATGGTATGAAGACAGAAAATTCTCCAATTCACTCTTGTCAAATTGAAATTTGAAGCATGAAGCTTGTTTCAACTACAGTAATTGGTTATGGGAAATCCTTGTTCAGCACCCGTTCAGCAACAATAGCTGTTTTAATCAAAATATTGTACGAGTATTGTCATTTGATCTAGGGCTGTTAACCCGATTTCCATGGATAAAGAGCTTTATTTCAGAAAGTCCATGTGACACACATTACCAGTATTGCATATGCCATTTTCCCATTTTGCAAGTGTACATTTCTACCTGCTTTGGGACTAGGAACATTTTAAGTTCATTTACTTTCTAGATAGCTTACTCTAGCCTTTTCTTCATATTTTGATATCTACTAGGATAAAGTTTTTGACCAATATTTATGGACAGATTTTACATGCTTGTCTGTTATCTCCAATTCAGACTTGTTCTCCTCGAAAACTGAGTCAAACATATTGAACATATAGACCGCTGAATATGAATCTATAAGCACTAGATTACTAGAACTTGAATCAAAACAAAAATGATTCTATTAATTTGAACCTACTATGAGGCTATGCAATTGGATATGCTCGCTGAAACTGTAATATGACCTTTAATATGACTATTATTCTGATGGCGGCTCATTTTGAACCTTGGTCAAACTTTGGTTTATAGGCCTTGAACTTTGGTCATTTGGACCTTTGGTGTGTGCATTCAGACATAAACTGTGGTCATTTAGACCTAAATGTGATCATTTAGAAATAACATGTGGTCATTCAGACCTAAACTGTGGTCATTTAGACCTAAACTGTGGTCATTTAGACCTAAAATGTGGTCATTTAGACCTAACATGCGGTCATTTAGACCTGGACTGTGGTCGTCAAAGACCATGGTCATTTAGACCTTCAGTATTCAAAATTCCATCTTGAAAAAACATAATATTTCCCTACCTGTCCAAGTACATTATTTCAGGAGCACTAGTGGCCGTACTAATGGTTCATAAGTCCAAACAATTGTAGTTAGACTAGTAAATAAAAGTTCCAAAAACTGCAAACAAATGACTGTTGAAAAAATTCAACAAGTCAAGCAGATCAACTGAACTAAAATCCATGTGCTATTTACAGCTATGTACAACTAGCCTAGTCTCTTAGAAAGGTGTGTTTCCGTTGGCAGCTAAGCAAAAATAGACCTAGTTATCGGTGCATATACATGTCCACTCAGCTGTACTACTCAGTTTTAATTTATTCAAATTAATACTACTAACAGCTGGAATCCGATAATAAGGGTTATTATGCGATATGAACTCTTAATAAGATGAGTGTAATAGAAATTTTTTCCGGCCTGCCCATTTTTTTGGGGTTCCAGGTTATATAGGCTATAACTGTAACTGTCAGTATTACATACCTAGCGAAGCATATGTATGGAAGTCAATGGAACTGAAGGTTGGCTATATATTCCTGTATAGCCACTTCACTTTTTCACCATGACAATCTTATGAAGTTTTTTCCAAATTCCACTCGCACACATACGTGTGGCGTCATTGATAACATAGTCATAGAAATAAAGGTATGCAATACAACAATTATGTCCGTATCATTGAATATATGCCTTCAGTCTGTCATAACATAGCCCGACCTTGCAAGACAGACCTCAGGGATATATTCTATGATAGGGACATAATGGTTAAAAATAATTACATGTACGAGTCACCAGCTTTGCTTTTCAGTCTCCTTATTCTTCATTTACAAAAGTTATATTTCTGGTAAATGCTTTTGTGAGAATTCATAATGTGCATACAATTAAGTGACTGCCAAAATAAGGCACCGGAACAGATACAATCATCCTTACAATTTCCTTGACAACTTGAAACATTTACTTATGACATAGGCGTAGCCAGGAGGGGGGGGGGGTGCGTGCAATGGGTGCACCTCCCCATAACCATTAAAAATATAACCATGAGATAGAAGAAGAAGAGCTTTAAAATGCTTTTTTAGCATAATTTTGAAGGAAGTTGCATCAATTTTTGTAAAATCCAAGATAATTTTTTGGCTTGTTTATGCCACAATCGCACCTCCCCTGACTGAAAATCCAAATTTTTGGGCAATCGCACCCCCCTAACAGAAAGCTGGTTACGCCCCTGTATGATATCCACCATGTGTCGCGATGTGCCACAATTGAACATCGATGCATCAGTAAGTTTTCTGGAGTAAACATCATGATGTTCACAGGGAAAAAATACTAACCACAACGAATAAGTAATACTTCCTGTAATGGTGGGCGAAATCAAATATAAAGGATTGGAATTCATTGGTTCATTTCGACAAGTTAAAACATTTTTAAGTGAAAGCATATTAGTGAAGCTGATTTGATATTTTAAAACCATCAATGTTTTGTTCCAGACATTGATTCATCGCAAGAATCACTTTTTGCGATGTACATTGCAAAATCGTGACAACGCTGCTTACCAGTATGTTATGGGTCATTTGACACCCTAGGTTACATTGTAAAACTCCGACAGTGAAACATCAAATTCAGGAGAGAAAATCATATCTAAAAGATCTTTCCATTTGTCAATTTCCAGTATTGCACAAAAAAGTGAATGATGTGAATTTCAATTTTAGTATTTTGTTTTTCACATCTTCTTGTTCTTAAGGATTGGTCTTTATTTCAATGCATCATTGTGGCCAAAGTCAAAGAAAGTTGGATATCTATCTCATTTGATAAATATGTTTATCATGTCATTATAATACAATTGTGTTTAATGAAGTTGACTCATTTTCAGACACGGAAGCTGGCAGAAGTTTTCCAGAAAGATGCAACCATGTTGAAGGGGTATACTGGAGGACTACAAAAAATAGGTCAACGTCTTCTTGCTGCACAGGTATTTTTATTTTTAAGAATGTGGCCTTTCCTTCTACCCTCCATATATCTAGCTATTGGAAAAGGTACTCATAAAGGAGGGGGATAATGGGACAAAACTTGCTTGCCTAACTGAAAGCCCTGTTTAACCTTGCAGCACTTTGCAGTTTTATGTCACCACCAAAAGTGTTGTTAGAGTATTGTGATAGTCTACAACCTTTTTGTGGATGGTGTTCGGCATCTGTAACAGCATTCAGCTTCTGTAACAGCTTTTGGCAGTTGGTGTCTGTAACAAATGGCATGTGGTGACATCTTAATGCCTTGTTTTCTCTTAAAGTTAATACCCTTGGATTAATTAGGCATTGAAGCCCATACATTTTTATTAAGGTCATATAAGGTCATTCATATAAACTTAATACTTTTTTATTTTTATCGATATAATATTACATAACTGATTACAGTAAATATCTATAGATTTTCACATTAGTACAAAATCTGCGAGAAAAGTTAACAACTATGAAGAAATAAAAGAAACTTTCAAGGCATTGTTAGTTAATTATTGACTTTAAAGATGTATTATCAATAGAGTTACAGATATTCTTTTGCAAATAATATACATATTCTATCTAGACTTTATTTTCGGCTGGGGGTTATCAACTTAGATCAACCTTCTTTGTTATACCTGGTTCAAAAGTGCTGTTTGAAACATTGTGTTGTCCAATGTCAATTGAGTGCAATTTATTACTGATTTTTGTACTGTTAGGATTTTTTTAAATTGTATTATTTTTATATTAATTTCAAAACATATTTTTAAATTTTTATTAGTTTTTCAAAACCATTTCTAGTTCAGAAAATGTTAGAAGATATAAAAAAATGTGAGAATTGTTGTAAAAATTAAAATTTCGAACATAAAGTTGTGTCCATCTTGATTCACAAGGTTTCGATTGTTCCTACTTAGTTCTGTATATTCCTTTCGCCTTGATTAAATTATATAATTTGTCTCAATAAGTCTTTCAATTTGTTTAATTTTGAAGGTGAATGGACAGTGATCAATTATGTCCATCTGACAAACAATGAATTTTTCGGTAAAACATGCAACATCTCTTAATTTTGGCCAATCGTATTTAATGTTACTTCTTCACCACCTACAAAGAAATGTAAATTTGTAGTGGTTCATTTCCTCTTTGGGGCATGTACATCAGTACACGACCCGACCAATATAAACTCCTTTGTGGTAGCCTACCCCATAATTGTGCAATTTTGAAGGTTTTTCTTTCTCATTAGAATTTTTGAGCATGAAATCTGCTTCTCTCTACATTAATTAGACAATTTAGATAGCAAACTGACATTTAGCAAACTGCAATAGTAGGCATTGTTTTTATTTTTTTTTATTTTTGGGCATTATTTTTAAAAGTTTGGTTCCTAAAAATGTTTGTCCCCCACCCTCTTGATTTTCAGGGTCGGCCCTGGTGTTGCTTTAAGATTGAAAATTTTTTATGTGTGGGCAGGGGGATTCGAGCTCCCCCCCTCTTACCAAAAGCTGGCTCCGGGCATGTTGCTCATATTGAATGTGAAATAGTAAAGATTGCAATGAACAAAATCATTGGAATCGATGGGCAAATAAAAATATTCTTGCACTTACAATGTCAAGTTGTGCAAGCAACATATCATTTAGGGTAAGGGCCAGACATGTTGCATGAAATCAAAAGCTGTAAAATAACTTCCAAAGTGTACAATTATGCATTGTTGTTTTTTCTATGACAACCCTTTTCCTTAAGACTGTCTACCTAGTGCAGACATCGCTCTGCAAGTTGCTCTAGATATGTTAGGAGTAAGTACAAGTAATTATTTGAGTTTTGAAAACAAAATGAACACTCACCATAGGGAATGACAAACGACATTCAAATATAATATCATGAAAAGAACACACAGCATGGGGAATTAGGAAATGAGAAACATCATTTAAAAAGTAAGTTGTATGGTTAAATGTCGATAATGGAAATAAAAAGAAAGCACAGCATGCAGGAATGTAAAGGTTACATGCATTGCTTTTCCCACAAAGTTATGGATCATAATGTGAAACTGAAAATGAAATATATTGTTTCCTGGTTTAACATTGACTCATACTTTGCCATAATTTAAACATAGAAATACGAATACATCTAACTTCTGATTGTACTTTTATACTTCACATCATTTTAAAGTCATTTTTGTATCCTCCACCACAGGGCTGTCAGAGGGGGGATGTGTTGGGTGTGACTGCACCCCCCTCTGGCACCCCCAAATAGCATCTTAAAATTGTAAAATTTTCTAGAGGAAGTGGGCTACCCATCACATCCCCCAAAAAAGAACAGTTGAAAAGAATCTGAATCTATTCTATTCATTGTCTCAGACACTTTAAAAGTGCTCAGACATCATCAAATAGCAAGCTAAAATGGTCACTGTTTTTAGGGGCAACTCCTTGCTCCCCCTCTGGCGCACCCCCCCCCCCCCCTCTGGCACCCCCCAAAAAAGTTTGAATTTTTTTAATTGATTCATACACTTTGAAAGTTTCAAGAAATAACCATTTTTAGAGGGAAAGGGCCATCCATCACACCCACCAAAAAATAACAATTGAAAAATAATTCTGAATTTATTCTATTCATTGTGATTTTTTGTCCAGAATAAGCATCTGTAAATGTTTCTGGCATCCCCTTAAAATAAAACAATTAAAAGACTTTTACATGTAATTCAGTTCCACTTATAGACCTAAATACACTGAGTGACATCTTGAATTGGTAATTTGAGGGTGCTACCCCATGCACACAAAAATATTATTGGAAATTTTTGGAGTTGTATTTGTTAATTCAAACACTTTAAAAGTGGCCAGCAATCATTTATTATTTTTAGTAAAAACCACACCTCCCTTGAAGAAAAGTGTCTGACCTTATAAAGCAGCTGTCATCAAAGGCAACATGACCATGAATTAAGATAATGCCACATGAAGTATTGTTTTATTGTTAACAAAGTACTATCAACATGTATATGAAGTACTCTCAAAGATGCAAACAAGACTGTCTAACAGACTGTTTTTAGATAATGCTACATGTAAAGACACGATTCACAATTTTGTGTGTGAATGAATCCTATACATCAGCATTATACGTTAAATGACAAAATGTTTGAGATGAGTGCAGCGTTGAAAATGCAAACATACATACAAACAAAACATTTTCCCTTAAATGTCTGAATAAAAATCTTTCAGTGAAGTCAAAGCACTGATTCATATTACAGTGCAAATGTTGAACCTCATAAACCTAACTGCATATAATTTTGTCATCTTTGTTCACTCCGCTGTCGTCGGTCAATGTATGCACTATGCAGTGAAGACCGAGCGTGCGAAGATGTAATTTTCTAGGTTCATATGTATAGTAATTGAATACTGTATAAGTGGTAATTTTGCCTAATCATTTAATTTGCCTATTGCCTAATTTTTAACAGCCTCGGAAAATTAAATATCGGAAATATTGCCTTCATAATGTTATCTAATGGGAAGTTTCTTTTCATTAGGAAAATTAAAATTAGGAAATTCATAAAATTTGATAATTCGGCAAATTAACCACTCGGATTAAATACCACTTATACAGTAATTTGAATAATTCCTCCATTTACATCTACTTAAACATGGACTTCTCATTGTTTTTTTGCAGAATGAGATGACAGCAGCCACACAACAGCTTTCAAACCATCTCAAGTCTTACGAACTGCAGGTATATTTAAGGGATCATCTCATCTTGTCCCAAAGTCCAATTAATAATAATTTAGTTTGAATAGCATCCTTGTATTTTAAAAATCATTCAACACATAAGCAAGATGTAGTCAATTTTACTCCCTCCTCAAATGCAATGATTAATTATCCCAACGAACGAAGTTCGGTAGGGATATAGTGAAGCCCTCCATCCGTCCGTCAGTCAGTCCGTCCGTCCAGAAGATAACTCAAATATTAGTTGACGGATTTTCTTCATATTTGGTGGAAAGATGTATATTGATGAATAGTTTTACGCAAAAAAAAATTTTTCAAGATGGCCGCCGCTTTAAAAATGACGGGACTTTTTTGCAAAAATCATAAATTTTTCATTCTAAACCAAAGTAATTAATATTATTGTTTGAAATTTTGGTAATATATTCGCAACATCTATCTATTTCACATATATTCCGTGTTTTTCATCCTGACCCCCAGGGGCCGTGTATGGGGGGTCAGGAAAACAGAAATTTTCGCTAATCTTTAGATCTTTCTGAAGTATAGCTTTATTATACTCAAATGAAAGGCAATTAAGAGTAAATTGCAAATATTGTATCTTTTTTCTGATTCGAGCCTCGTAAAATTCAAAATGGCCGTCTAATGTACGATTTCGCAATAATTTTTCGATCCCTTCAACGTATGGCTATATAATACTCAAATTGAAGGAATTTTGGAGTTGATAACAATTATGGTATTATTTTTCAGATTTGTACCTCAGAAAATTCAAAATGGATTTTTTCAAGATGGCCGCCGCTTTAAAAATGACAGGACTTTTTCGCAAAAATCATAAATTGTTTTTCATCCTGACCCCCAGGGGCCGTGTATGGGGGTGTCAGGAAAACAGAAATTTTGCTAATTTTTAGATCTTTCTGATGTATAGCTTTATTATACTCAAATGAAAGGCAATTAAGAGTAGATTGCAAATATTGGATCTTTTTTCTGATTCGAGCCTCGTAAAATTCAAAATGGCCGTCTAATGTACGATTTCGCAACAATTTTTCGATCACTTCAACTTTCTTGCTTTTAAGACGAAAAATGAAGCTTCATTGAAACGTTGCAAGTAAGGATTCAGTAATGGATAAGTCAAGCAGAATTTGAGTAATATACATGAATATGTTCAATATATTCAATAGTAAATTGGAGAAATTTAGGTAAAAACTGGAGAAAATCTTCTGACATGAGATGACGACCTCTGAGCCTGTCAATATCTTGATCATATCTCATAAGTGAAATTAATAATTCAAACATAATTGGTTAATTATTTCACAGATGTTCTGTTACAAAATTTTAGAAAAATGTTTTATATTGAAAAGTCGATCAAATCGATATTCTCCTTTTAAATATCACTCCAGTCAATAATCATTTCATAGTTTTGTCTCTAAAATTGCTCTTTCTAGTAGAGTAACAATAAAGTGTTTTGTAATTCAGTTTCTAATTGTACATGTTTTCCATTTCAGAGGTTTCCACTAGAAGAAAGTGATGACAGTATAGTTGGCTCAACTCTGTCTCAGTTCACATCATACCTTGATGAGGTAATAAATCAGTGGCTGACAGCCGGACTATTTCTTCACTCTGACCATGAATGTGCATGATTTCCTTGCATTTTGTTCAGTCTAAAGTTTGTACTTTATTCCTAATGTCATGGTAATGTCACTGGTACTGCACTTTCTGATGGTGATGAAAATGATGTGGAAATTCTGCCTATAACTCGTAAAATTAGGAAAAAAAGAAAAATTGTAACTTCGATGTTTCGACGATTTGTTACTGAAATGGACTGTGCGGTAACTAGTTGAAGAGTGCAATACCATTGAATGTAGAACTAATTTTGAGATCATTTTGCATATGCGGTTGGTTGCAAAAGGGATTTAGCATATAAGAACGTCAGGTAGACTAATGATAATAATGTTTATCAAATAGTGATTTCATATATTTCAGTTGAGCTCAATGCATCAAGTTATGGCGACCCAATTTGCAGATGGAATGATGTTTCCACTAAACAAGTTTCTACAAGCTGACCTTGAAGAGATCGCCAACATGAGTGGCATGTTTCAAATAGCTTCTCAAGGTGAGTAATGCATCAGTTTGTTTGTTTGTTTGTTTGATTGTTTGTTTCTTCTCCTTTTCTCGATGCATAGGTAAATTCTGATAAATATTGTTCAGGTTTGGGAAAAGATGGCAGACATGTCTGTTTGTGTGCCTTTTCTCATACAAGTTGATACATTTGAAAATAGTATTATATATAGGGTAATACCTGATGATACTGCCATCTTTATATTTGAGCTGAATTTATGTATCTAACATAGCTTGTAAGAAACAGGGGTAACAGTCGACTCTGGCCATCCCTTAATATCTCTGATCTCTTCTATTAGAGGGAGAAGAGAATGTTGTCAGGGCAACGTGGGGACTTGATTTGCAAGATTTCGTATTGGCACTGATCTCCCTTGAATAAAAGCAAGTGGGCTTAGAATCTGATCTACTTGAGATTTTGAATAAAGGCATGCATCGCCGTGGGAATACTAAAATAGGCATGAATCTACTGGAGATTTTGAAAATAGGCATACATCTGCTTGAGACTTTGAAAATAGACATGCGCCTATTTGAGATTTAAAAAAAAGGCATGTATCTACCTGGAATTTTGAAAATGGGCATGCACCTAAGATTTTTAAAATAGGCATGAACTTCTTGCGATTTTGAAAATAGGTATCTACTTAAGATTTTGAAAGTGGGCATGCATCTACTCCAGATTTTGAAAACAGGCATGTACCTCTTGAAAATAGGGATTTTGAAAAAAGACTTTTACCTACTTACTTCTTGCAAACCCTTTCACAGTTCTCAATTGCAAATGACAAAAATCATGAAAATGGCATGTTGAAATATTAGCAGGTTTCTGAGCATATATTTGTGTTATCCATAATGTATGTTTTTATTCTAGAGATGGAAAGTTCCTATCACAAGTATATGAAGTTGCCAAAAAAGCGTGACAGTGAACGTATTCGACATGAAGCCAACAATGAGTTATGTGCAATGAGGAAGAAGTTTCATCAGGTAAATGAACTTATTTCATTTTGCGAGAGATTTCCCAAGCACACCTATTGTATTGTATTTTTTTTTGTTTACCACCAATGAAGGTGAGCAATACCTCTTGGGTATGTCCCGTATATATACGGTCATAATTCACATAATTAACATGGAAGATAGACCCAGAAACCCCTCCTTGAAGGAGCCCTGTGTTCTTTTATGTGCACTTATACATAGACATACAAGTACACACCACAGCCTTTTGTACGAGTTGCGGACCACTCAGTCAAACACCCTGAAGTACTTCACGCAAACAAGCAAATTTAGTCTTGCCTGAACCGGGGATCGAATCTGGGACCTATTGCGTAAGAGGTACCTGTGCTACCGCTGAGCTACATGGGTGGACTATTACTCAATTTTGTCTCACTTATATAACTTCTATTATGAAGATTATTATTACAATAAGGGAGTGCTTTTGTTGAAAGCAGGCTAAACATACATGTGAGGGAATTTCAGGAAATCTTTTAAACATTGAGAATTCAAGTGGATGTTTTTAGTCAGTATTAATTGAGCTTGTGAAGTCTCTCTATTATTAACATCATCACCACCGTCAGATGAATTGTAATGTGAGGAATATCTACAGTATACTTTCAGGAAGTCTTTTGTAAAAGCTTTCACACTGACCTGGACCTTGTCACCACTATTGCTTTCAAATAGATCTTGTTATACTCCTTGATGGTGACATTTTTCATTGTTACTTTTTTTTGAACAGTGTTTGGCGTTGGTGGTTGTCATTGGTGTTTGGTGGTCAACAAATTGTAACTCGTTGTTTCTAATTATTTGCAATAGCTTATCAGGCCCTTGTGGTGAAATTTTGTCATGTTAATGCCTTGTTTGAAGATTTAATCCATCATTGGGGGAGGGGCAGATGTTCTTACTTTTAAGTGATGCACATGGCTTCAAAATTCAAAATGATACAAGTATTTTGTGTTGTATGATAATTTATTTATTTGTTAATTCAAGACTGCGCTACAGTACAGTAATACTAAGTATGACCGGCTAAAATAGATGAACACTAAGAAATACAAATGTTTAAAAAGTTCACTATGTAGACCAATTTAAATAATATAAATAATGAACATAGTTTGCAATCTTACTTAGTGTCAACTTGTCATAAAAATACAGGTATATCAACTTCTCAGACACAAAATGATGGATTATGTTCTCAATAAGTATTTCAGTTAATTACACGAATTCTTGATGTAAGAGTAAATCACCAGCAATGTATACAGGGGCGAAGCATAGATTTGAATAAGGCCAGGTAAAAATGGAAAATATGTAGGTGAGATTAATTAGGCATAAATAAGGGTTATGAACTGGGAGGTTTTGGATATGGGGTTTATCCAGAGGGAGATATGCATATCTACCTGAGGGACCGTAGGGACCGAAGGTAGATGTACATATCTCATGAGGGATGAACCCAATATCCAAACCGACCGTACATAACTGCTTTATCCTATACCAAGTAGAGTTTTCCGTGAAATTATCGGAAGCGGGAAGATATGCACCGAAGCGGGAAGATATGCACCGAAGCAGGAGATATGGCGGGAGATATGGAGGTTCTGGATAAAGAAACCTCAAAATCAGGATACGGGATATATCTTACCAACTTATCTCCCTAAAACTCTACTTGGTATAGGATAAAGAGGTATATTACCACCTTTGAAATAATGTCTTGATGTGAAAATAGATGCTTGAAGTGTAATATTTTGGTGAGGCAGTTACCTCGCCTGCCTCTTGTCTGGGTAAGTCCATTGTTATGTCACCACCACAAGTGGTGACATATTGTCAACTTTGGATGGTGTTTGGCATCTGGCACCTGTAACAAATGGCAGGTGGTGACATTTTGCATGTCAGTACCTTAAAGCAGGCCTACTTTGGCCATAGTTGTAACTAGATGGTGACATATTGTTATAGTCTCCAACTGTGGATGGTGTTTGGCATCTGGCACCTGTAACAAATGGCAGGTTGTGACATTTTGCATGTCAGTACCTTAAAGCAGGCCTGCTTTGGCCATAGTTGTAACTAGATGGTGACAATTTGTTATAGTCTCCAACTTTGGATTGTGTTTGGCATCTGGAACCTGTAACAATTGGCAGGTGGTGACATTTTGCATGTCAGTACCTTAAAGCAGGCCTACTTTGGCCATAGTTGTAACTAGATGGTGACATATTGTTATAGTCTCAAACTGTGGATGGTGTTTGGCATCTGGTACCTGTAACAAATGGCAGGTGGTGACATTTTGCATGTCAGTACCTTAAAGCAGGCCTACTTTGGCAATAGTTGTTACTAGATGGCACACTGAATATCCTTTATATGAACCAAGTAGAACTAGACCTATACAAATCGGTCCTTAATTCAACTTCTTGGGGCGGAATCGTATTTGTACATCTTTCTCAGGGGGCATGATACCAAGCCCTGCTCTGGACTTAGATATCCCAGGGTTCTCACATTGGGGATCAACGAATTCAAGATCAAAGTAGCGTTTTAGAAAGATAATTGTTTGTTTGATCTCCAGGTTGGCAAAAAATCGACCTGAAAAAACAAAACAAATCTGTATTCAATAGATCCTCAATAGTAGGGTTATCAGAGGTTTCCAAAATATGAAAGCAAAAGTGAAGTTTGAATTTATTGAAATAAAGGTTTCAATGCCTTGCATCTACCCTTTATGCGTCTTCAACCCATAATATACATGTACAAAGGGAAGATAGATTGGGGTATATACATACACAAATAGGTTATGGAAATAGATGGCGGACCAGAGGCTTCATACAAGATTATGGCATTCTTATTATTTCCCATTGAGAAAAATCTCATATATGATTGTTACCTGGGCACATGCTGCTCCCGCCTCCATACTGCAACATATTGTATCGAAGGCGACTTCCATTTTTGTAGAAGGTCTTGTTTCTTAGAAATCTGTCATATTGGAATTCCTGGAGCAAAGAAATGAAACAGATCTTCCATAGATTGACAGGGTTATAGGTGGTACATTTTTGCCCTTGATGTCAATTTGGATGTGTATGGGTCAAATGTTTACTTTGTAATTTGCCAGTTTACCCATTTTTCCGAGCTTATTAATTTATAAGGTAACCCATTTTTTGAGCTTCTTAATTTGCCAGGTTACCCATTTTCCGAGCCTATTAATTTACAAGGTAACCCATTTTTGTGAGCTTATTAATTTGCCAGGTTACTCATTTTTCTGAGCCTATTCCTTAAAACAGTTTGAATTACATAATTCGTGCTTAATTGCTTCACCAGGAAAATGCTACATTGTGAGATTACCTCAACTGAACAAATATTCCTGAGCAAGATACTTTTTGTTCGGTAATTGTCAACTTTATCTACACTCTTTATTTTTTGATACATTTTTTTAATTTTGAGGCTATTTTAAGAGATTTAAAAGTTCAAAATTAGGGCCCAAAATTATTGGGCAGAAATATTTGGTTCCCACCAGCCTCTTGATTTTCAGATCAAGCCCTGTTAAATGCCCTGAAAGTATATATCCCAATCAAAATTGTAAAGTCATCTGTAATCAGAGGCCGTCATCTGTTTCAGAGGGTGTCACCTTTGTCAGAGAGTGTCTTCTGTATCAGAGAATGTCACCAGTGTCAGAGGATGGTGTGACTAGTCAATGGGATTCAAAGTACATGTATTGTCTTACCAATGGGTTTTCATATATTTCAGGGTCTCTGTGTACCATACATGCTTGGAGAGCCACTCTATCCCCTCCGCGTAATCCAATCACTTCCCCTGTTGTAAGCTGCAATGTGACATCCTCGACTACATCTCTCACAATCATTGAAAAACTGGTGAGACGAAGAGTCTCTGATATTATGCTATCTGAAAATGGATTAGAAACAGTGATATTCCATCATTAACAAATTAAAGCAAGTATTTGCAGCACCCACCTGAGATTTTAAAAACAAGCTTGTACTCCCTGAAAATCCACTTGTACCTACTTGAAAATGAGAAAAATCTTGAAAAATTGGCATGTTTTAACCAAATTTGGTCTGAATTGTGAAAATGAGAATTCTGCACCCACTCAAGAAAAAATACTGTGGAGATCACTGTGACTGAAAAATCTTCTTCTCGATACTTAAGATATCATGCTTTTGAAGAGAGAAGCACTCATTTGACGAGCGGCACCCTTTTCTATTCAGTATTATTGAAATATTGAGATACAACAATATATGGAATTCATTCTCACCAAATATTTCCAGTTCATCATACTGTTCCTTAGTATAGGTGACATATTCCTTGGCCTCATCTATTGGACCCAACTTCTCTCTCACCTCTTCTAGAGCAGCTTCAGTAGCTTCAGGGTGTTTGATTGTATAGTACAGTGACCAGAAAATAGCTGAAATAGAGAAGATTCAGTCTGTTTATCTAGCTGTTCATAATTATACGGTAAAACCTGTATAGTGGAAAACCTCTGTTAGTAAAACACCTCCAAAGTTGAACACTATTTTTCAGAGGTACCATAGGGATTCCACTTATATAAGTTTCACACTATCTGTGTAAAGAACACCCTAAATTATCAAAGTGATTGTCCAAGCTCTTTCAAAAGGAATTCAATAATTAAACAATCTAAAATATTTTAACAAAATCACAGTAAACTCAGAGATCAAATAGACAACAACTCATTGGTATAAAACATTGTAAAATGCATATTTCACACATCCCATGTAAAACGTAAAAATGTAAATTCTGTGCAAAATTCTGCGTGAAAATGTTTGCACCTTTTCCTACGTAGAGTGCCACAAGCATATTACATGATTTAATTCAACTTCAACAAACTTCAGAAACTGGTAGGGATTCCTTGATTATTCTGCGACAATGCAGAAAATGGAATTCCAAAATGTGTGCTATGTGTACCTGGTATTGTATTTCCTTGTGATGCCCATAGGAAAGACAGATTGTGGGGACCATGTGCAGAGTCTGGGAATATTTCTTTACCAATAGCCTCAAATGCAGCATGACGTAACTCAAGAAGTTCTGAAATGTTTCTCCTTTTCTGTCCTTTTTCTTTGCATAATAGATCATGCAGGTACTCTCGGGCTTTCAGTGCCTTCTTCAACATCTGTTTCGGTAAACCACTCAAGAAACCGACAAACGAGTTATCAAACTCTCGAAAGTTTTTTATAATGGTGGACATGTTCGCCAAATCTTGCTCATTTTCTCCAAAGATTGAGATAAAAGCAGTGCTAAAGACAGTTAGATAACAGAAGTCTAGGAGTTCCATAGTCTGCCATTCATTCCCTACTAAAGTTAATCCCTTTAACATTTTGTGTAGGTTCATCTGCATCGTCTGTGACAAACCCTCTAGCCCTTCCCCTTGCAGACCCTTGGTCACAGCTGGGCGAGTGTGGGTCTTGCTATATGGTGCGGTATCTATTACAACTTTTTGATCAACCCCAAATACTTTTGTAAGCGTTGTTCTTGCTGCAGTCCTAAATGATAATACATCAGACGACTGCTTAAAACAGACTCCATAATTCCTAGGATTTAGGATAAAGGTGTAATATTTTCCAGCTAAGTATATTGTGAAGACATCTCCGTATTCTTTCTGGCAGTCCGACAGGAACTTGTATGCATCTTTGTTAAACTCTAGACCGCTTCCAAGGAATGGGACCTTATAAGGAACTAGGGGCGGTTCACCAGGCTTCCTGGAAAATCAGAAATACTTGATGCTGAGGCAAAACCTTATGAACCTCAAACGCATGATAGAGATGACTTGAACCTTATTTTCAAAATTTTGATACCAAAACACATTATCGAGCATGTAGTTAGCTAAATCATCACTCAGTTTGGCATTATTTAGAAAAATAATGCCTGCATTAAAAAAGAAACGCTCAAATTTCACCAAATGTTGCTTTCTTCCTTGAAATAGAAAAAAAATTCTCTAAGAAAGCAAAAATGTAGGTCCATATTTCATTTTTATTTTTTCACTCTCTTTCTCAGACTTCACATCATATGAGAACTCAGAACAGAGAAAATAAGTACATGTATATCTACGTATCAGAAAACAAGATATTCATTCAAATTGCAAGATTGATACCATCCAAAATAAGTCAGCGTGCTCTTCAGTTATGTATGTACATGTTTTGTTTTAAGAATGTTATTTTCAGTTCCAAGTCACTGTAACTGCAACATGTCAATAAGTCTTGCAAAAAGCTCAGTTTTCCCTCTCTTTTCTCCATCATACTCTTGGTTGAAATTTATAGGGGGGTGGGGGACCAGCAGGCCTATGGCCAGCTCTTTCCAAGGGGCGGGGGGGGGGGTCTGTTTTCAAAGAATTCCTGGAAGGGGGTCAGATTCAAATATGACAATTTTGGCCCAAATCACTCTAACAGTGCTAAAAATGATGAAAATAATTGTGAGTGGGGGGGGGGGGGGGGCAAATACTCTAAACTAATGTCAAAAATTGATTATTATGTTATTGTCAGATCCCCCTAGAAATATTAGAATTATAGATTTTTCTTACCTGTGTCTTACAAAAAATCTCATGCAGAGATACAAGACAAGTGTGACAAGAGCAACTATGTACACTGGATACATATTGATGTTTCTTTTTGTTATGCACGTATCTTACTGTTGTATAGATCTACTTCTTTATCCCTGTTCAGAGACCCTGTGGCTTATTTCATATCCCCGTCTGCAATATAAAAGTATTTGCAATATGAAAAAAATTCTCGAATATAAAGGTGTTTTTGTTAATGGGAATTTGTTTGATCTTATTATTCTGTTTGCATTTAATGTATTGAATGGAAAATAATACAATGAAAATTGTTCTTATCCCATTATCCAATGAAAGAGTACCTGTCCTTACATGACCCTGAAACTCAAAGGCTATAATACATGTAAAATATAATAAACATGTATAGTAGATTCAGTAAGAGTCCTGTGAAAGCCCTAATGCTACAAAACAAAACACTTTATACAGTGTAAAATTAAATGAAACGTTTTATCAACCTGCTTCACTGAAAGTCATGCACTACTTTGTAGATATTCAGTTATTCTCATTCAGTTATTCTTCTCAAAAGAAAGTGTAATCCTAAACTTAACATTTGTCCATTGTAAACATAGACCAGCATCATGTAAATGATGGAAATGCATATACTCACATGATTTCTCTATTTTCCTGTAAACAAGCCAAATGTTTTTGTGACCTTTTACTTTGTATGAGCAATTTATGCCAGTCTCGTTATATTATGAATCACAACACAGTTACAACATTTTACTATTAACCTTCATATTTCAACCCTTCTAAAATAAGAAATGTATTTCACACTTAGTTTTAGTATAACATATATATGAAGTTATTGTGTGTCCAATTTTCTCTTGCAATACTTACGTAGAATTTTATATCCAATATTTAGGGATACAATGATGCTCTGACATACATAGGATACTATTCTCAACTTTCGTTTTTCTACACTCTGTCAGTAGATTGATTTCCAATTTAGTCACCACACATTCACTAAGAGTATCTCAATATAATATTTTAACGCCAGTGCCTATTTCCAATGTGCCATTGTATTATATTTACATCGTCATTCTATATGGAATCAATCAATGTGATTATTATTCAGCTTTCAGTGCAGGTGTACTCTCACAAACAGCAGTGACATCTATACAATCAATTTGAAGCTCATGGAACTGAATTAATTTCCTGGAAAAATTTCATTTCATATTTGAATCAAAGTTGTCAAGTTAGTGTGATATACTGGTAATTAAGGATTAAGGGCATTAAGGATCTCACCGGTATATTTCCATTTCCTTAAGTTCATGTACATATGTATATATATATAACTTTTATATATAACTTTTATTGACATATTGTATCATAACATGATTACATTAGTCATAAACTACTCACTAAAACTACTATCTGCTACTAAACTACTTACTAAAACTACATCTTTATAAAAATATACATGATTTGATATATTTTTTACAGAAAGCATACAAGAAAGGCAAAATATTTTAAAGTGTGATGCACAAATTTTGCTGATTATTCTAAATTGTTAAATGATTGGTATATAAATTTACCAAGATGTCGTTGGAAGATGATATTATCATTAGAAATTATATTTATAAATAAATCGTTACTATTCAAGTCAAATGTTGGTAATATATCAGGAATTTTACTGAAAAATATTTGCCTGTGTTGAGAATGCTTTGTACAATTTATGATAAAATGAAATTCATCCTCCACACATTTACATATATTACACAACCTTTCATTAACTGGTTTAGGTTTGGGTTTTATGTGTCTTCCAGATTCTATTTTTAACCGATGTGAACTTAACCTAAATCTACCTATTGCTAATCTATATTTTTTATTATCTAGTTTCAAATATGGTTCTAATTCAAAATCTTTCTTAAATAGCTTATATGTTCTTAATATAGGATATTGTAAAATATCATTTCTCCAATTATTTATAAATGCATTCTTTAGTTTCTTGTCAACCAAGTTTACTAAGTTGTCTGTATTTTGACTTTGGTCATCCCAATACTCTGTTAGTTCACATTTGTGAAGAATATCATAAACTTTTTCAGACCATGATTTAAACCCTAATTCATGTTTTTCTTGACCATATAAATAAGCTTGATTTAAAATATTAGATTCTGGTAGTTTTATAAGTCTTAACCAGTATTTTATCAAAGATAATTCAATTTTGATAGATAAGGGAAATCTACCGAGGTCACCATATACTGCAGGATTAGCTGTTTGAGTTTTGACTCCTAGAATAGATTTTAAAAAGGACAAATGCAATGTTTCAATAGATTTCATCTGTTTCTTATCATACCAAATCTCACACCCATAACAAAGTATTGGACTGACTAATGAATCAAAAAGGTGAAGAGCAACATCGGGTGGTACATCATTGAATTTCTTATACTGTTGTTTGATTTTGAATATTGCCTTTCGTGATTGTTCTTTAAGATAAGCAGTGTTAATATCAAATTTATTGTTATCAGTAAGAATAACACCGAGATATTTATATTTATTTACACGTTCAATTTCTTGATTATTAAAAGTGAAAGGATCTGAATATTTAGAGTTAAAAATCAGTACCTTTGTCTTAAGGGTGTTGACTATAAGTCTATTAATTTTACAGAAAGCTAAAAGTGAATCTAATAACAACTGTAGTCCATTGTGTGATTCTGAAACAAGTACAAGATCATCTGCCCATAGTAGATGATTAAAATTGGCATCATTCAAAGTAACACCACATCTGGGTGGTAATATTTCATTTAAGTCATCTATGAAATGATTGAATAAAAATGTACTTAAAACACTTCCTTGTAAAACTCCTATTTCAGTGTCAAAAGTATCTGTGACTCCATTTTCTAACTTGAGACATGATTTAGATTTAGAGTACATGCTCTCTATTATCTTGTACATTTTAGTCTGTGGATGAATTCCAGATTTACATAGTTTATATAACAGTACCGAGCGATCTATATAATCAAACGCCTTCCTAAAGTCAATCATACATGTATACAATGGTTTCTTATGCTGCTTGAATTTGTTAATTAGTGTTTGCAAAATAAAAATATTATCAGTTGTACGTCTATTTTCTTTATAAGCACCCTGAAGTGGGTCTGGCGAATTTTGCACTTCAGCATTAAAGACAAGACGATTTTGTATAACTGAGTCAAATAAATTTCCTATACAGGCCAGTACATTAATGCCTCGATAATTATCAGCTTTAAAACGGCTGCCTTGTTTATAAAGTGCACTGAGCATACCAATGCTCCAGTCACTTGGATATTCTCCTTTTTCAAAAATAGCATTAAATAGTGATGTAAAATCAGAAATGAGAGATTTGCAATTTTTAATAATATTAGATGGAATACCATCAATACCAGCTGATTTGTTTGTATTCACTCTTTTCAAAGCACGCTGGACTTCGGCTTGAGTAATTTTCATGTTGACAGTATCATGGCAAAGTTGTAAATTTTTATCTTCAGGGCAAACTTGATAATTTATAACATACTGATTCATTTCCTTGAGTGCATTGTCATCAAAATATTCTATATTTGGGGGTTTAGATAGACTTTTAAAAAAGTTGAATAAATCTTTAAGTGGAACTGGCATCTGTTTAATTTTATTTCCTGGCATTGCGTTTATCAGTTTCCAGAAATCTGTAGAGTATTTGCTTTTATTCTGAATTAAACTATCAAGCATTCCTGCTTTAAACTTTCTCTTTTCTCGTTGTTTAGTTTGATTATACTGTTTGGTTAAACTATTTATAAGATCATCACTAAATTTGTGTTTTATTGCCTCATGTACTTGTTTCTTTAAGGACTTACACTCATCATTGAACCATGAATTGATGGGAAAGGTGTGCATTTTCTTAGCTTTTAATTGTTTAAATTGAAATGTGTTATTAGATGCATAATGAATTACGTTAAGGAGCTTATTTACAAGTTCATCAGATCCAGTATCATTACATCCAAGTTCAGTGTAAAAAGATGTTAAGAGATCAATGCTAGTATTATCAGTTAATTTTTGTTTAAATTCATTTTTCTTCTTATGATCCCATTTGTATGATTTATATGTTTTAATGTTCAGGGGTTCTGATTGAATGTTTGATGATTTACTTTGATTTTCAATATCCCTTAGTAAAGATTTCCAATTGAAGTAACACTTGTATTTGTCAAAGATTGCAGTTTAAACAAGGCCTTCAAATATGTCAAAGGGTTGTACTGTGTTTACCTTTCCTGGTGTTGCTAGTTGAGCTTTTTAGAAAAGTATACGCTCCTTGATAATTGTTAAAGAGGGGCTCTAAGTAACCAGAAAAAATCACAGTAACAAGAAAAATCGCAGTAACAGGAAAAATCAAAGTAACAAGAAAAACCAAAGTACAAGAAAAATCCTGTCATGTACTGTTTGATTTCTCAAATACTAGGAGTTAAGGAACCTCCCCCAAGCATCTATTTAGGGTAATAACATCAGAATATGTAGTTCATCATCATGTTGTAAGTACTGAATGACCTTTGATGGTAAATAGCAAAAAAGTAAGATATTTGCATATGGGAAAAGGGAACAATAAAATAAAAGAATTGAATGGTTAATAAACAAAGTAGCGTTTTAGAAAGATAATTGTTTGTTTGATCTCCAGGGTGGCAAAAAATCGACCTGAAAAAACAAAACAAATCTGTATTCAATAGATCCTCAATAGTAGGGTTCAGAGGTTTCCAAAATATGAAAGCAAAAGTGAAGTTTGAATTTATTGAAATAAAGGTTTCAATGCGTTGCATCTACCCTTTATGCGTCTTCAACCCATAATATACATGTACAAAGGGAAGATAGATGGGGGTATATACATACATAAATAGGTGAGGGAAATAGGTGGCGGACCAAAGGCTTCATACAAGATTATGGCATTCTTATTATTTCCCTTTGAGAAACTCAATATATGATTGTTACCTGGGCACATGTTGCTCCCGCCTCCATACGGCAACATATTGTAGCGGAGGCGACTTCCATTTTTGTAGAAGGTCTTGTTTCTTAGAAATCTGTCATATTGGAATTCCTGGAGCAAAGAAATGAAACAGATCTTCCAGAGATTGACAGGGTTATAGGTGGTACATTTTTGCCCTTGATGTCAATTTGGATGTGTATGGGTCAAATGTTTACTTTGTAATTTGCCAGTTTACCCATTTTTCTGAGCCTATTAATTTATAAGGTAACCCATTTTTTGAGCTTCTTGATTTGCCAGGTTACCCATTTTCCGAGCCTATTAATTTACAAGGTAACCCATTTTTGTGAGCTTATTAATTCGCCAGGTTACTCATTTTTCTGAGCCTATTCCTTAGAACAGTTTGAATTACATAATTCATGCTTAATTGCTTCACCAGGAAAATGCTTCATTGTGAGATTAGTTCAACTGAACAAATATTCCCGAGCAAGATACTTTTTGTTTTGTAATTGTCAACTTTATCTACACTCTTTATTTATAGATACATTTTTTTAATTTTGAGGCTATTTTAAGAGATTTAAAAGTTCAAAATTGGTGCCCAAAATTATTGGGCAGAAATATTTGGTTCCCACCAGCCTCTTGATTTTCAGATCAAGCCCTGTTAAATGCCCTGAAAGTATATATCCCAATCAAAATTGTAAAGTCATCTGTAATCAGAAGCCGTCATCTGTTTCAGAGCCCGTTGATCATCTGTTTCAGAGGGTGTCATCTTTGTCAGAGAGTGTCTTTTGTATCAGAGAATGTATGTCATCAGTGTCAGAGGATGGTGTGACTAGTCAATGGGATTCAAAGTACATGTATTGTCTTACCAATGGGTTTTCATATATCTCAGGGTCTCTGTGTACCATACATGCTTGGAGAGCCACTCTATCCCCTCCGCGTAATCCAATCACTTCCCCTGTTGTAAGCTGCAATGTGACATCCTCGACTACATCTCTCACAATCATTGAAAAACTGGTGAGACGAAGAGTCTCTGATATTATGCTATCTGAAAAATTGATTAGAAACAGTGATATCCCCAGCATTAAAGCAAGTGCAGCACCCACCTGAGATTTTGAAAGCAAGCTTGTACCCCCTGAAAATCCACTTGCAACCACTTAAAAATGAGAAAAATTGGCATATTTTAACCAAAGGACCTTATACACCCTCCATTGGGATCTCCCCATGGGGAAAAAATAATTCATCTGATTTTTCAAAATGAGTATTCTGCTTCAATTATTACATTTATATGCACACTAGTATCTTGTTGACCTATATTCAGCACTGTATTGATGTATAGGCCACTTATTAGGGTCATAATTCAATCATGAAGTGTAGAGGCATAGATTCCAAACCAGGGAGTATTTTTGTGTCTGTCAAAATCCATTTACATCCTACGCATCCCTGCATCTTATCCAAATATGTTACTACATAATGAAATATAATAGTATACTCTTTGGTTTTACAAACTTGTATGATATTTGATAAGTGTAAAAGTTGTTTTTGGAGCATTTTTCTATAGCCATTTTGTAGGGAAAAAAATGATGAAAAAATGTACAATCTTTTAATTTTAAGTATGACCTGAATCGATTGCAAACTTCATATTTGCACATTTGATGAGATAAACCATTTGTGTCGTATTGTGAAATTATTAAGTTTGCAATCGATTCAGGTCATAGTGTATTTTTGGTATTTCTGTGATAATCAATGGAAACCAATGGCCTCTATTGGGATCTGCTGATATCCTCATGTTAAGTCAATGGTGCACAGCCCCATGTAAGTCAATACAACCTTACTGAACGAAATGATCCCTATCTCAGCTTATGTGTGTCCGAGCACTTTAATATTTTCCAAAGTATTATATGACATTTTATTCTTCATGTTACACCTACGAATGATTCATTTTGACCATAGGGATATTTGCCAATAATTGCACCTTGTCCTTTGGTCTTGGAATTGTGAAATTGTGAAAATGAGAATTCAGCCCCCAATCAAAAAATAATAATTTGGAGCTGTGACTGAAGTCTTCTTCTCGATACTTAAGACATCATGCTTTTGACGAGAGAAGCACTCATTTGACGAGCGGCGTCCTTATCTATTCAGTATTATTGAAATATTGATATACAACAATACATGTACATGTACATGGAATTCATTCTCACCAAATATTTCCAGTTCATCATACTGTTCCTTAGTATAGGTGACATATTCCTTGGCCTCATCTATTGGACCCAACTTCTCTCTCACCTCTTCTAGAGCAGCTTCCGTAGCTTCAGGGTGTTTGATTGTATAGTACAGTGACCAGAAAATAGCTGAAATAGTAATCATTATTTATAATTATAGAGTATAACCTGTAAAGTGGAAAACCCATGTAAGTGACACACCTCCATATATTGAACACATTAAGTTTCATTACCAATTCTCTCAATATAGAATGAACCTTTGTAAGTAAAACACCTGCCAAGTAGAACACGATTTAAAAGTATCATAGGGATTCCATACAGGTTTTACTGTATCTATTCAAAGAACACCTCCTTAATTTATTCAAGTGAATATCCAAGTGTGCCATAGATCCTTCCAAGGAATTCAGTCATTAAACAATCTAAAATATTTTAACAGTCATAGTAAAGTCATAGTAAATTCAAATACCAAGTAGACAACAACTATTTGGTATAAAATGCATACTTCACACATCCCATGTAAAAATGCAGATTCTGCACAATATTCTGTTTAACAAGCATATTATAGCTGTCTGACATTGTTCAATGCAATTGACAATCACAATTTATCAAATATGAGATGCAAATGTGCAGGATTTTTGTGTGAAAATTTAATTCAAAGTTGTCTCAATATTTTTTGATATATCCACAAACAGAAATTTAATTTTGTATAAATTCTACATAATAATTCAACTTCTACAAACTGAAAACTGGTAATTCTTTTATTCTGTCATAATGCAGAAAATGAAATTTCAAAATGTATGCTATATATACCTGGTATTGTATTTCCTTGTGATGCCCATAGAAAAGACAGATTATAGGGACCATGTGCAGAGTCTGGGAATATTTCTTTACCAATAGCCTCAAATGCAGCATGACGTAACTCAAGAAGTTCTGAAATGTTTCTCCTTTTCTGTCCATTTTCCTGGCATAATAGATCATGCAGGTACTCTCGGGCTTTCAGTGCCTTCTTCAACATCTGTTTCGGTAAACCACTCAAGAAACCGATAAATGAGTTATCAAACTCTCGAAAGTTTTTTATAATGGTGGACATGTTCGCCAAATCTTGCTCATTTTCTCCGAAGATTGATATAAAAGCAGTGCTAAAGACAGTCAGGTAACAGAAGTCTAGGAGTCCCATAGTCTGCCATTCATTCCCTACTAAGGTTAATCCCTTTAACATTTTGTGTAGGTTCATCTGCATTGTCTGTGACAAACCCTCTAGCCCTTCCCCTTGCAGACCCTTGGTCACAGCTGGGCGAGTGTGGGTCTTGCTATATGGTGCTGTATCTATTACAACTTTTTGATCAACCCCAAATACTTTTGTAAGCGTTGTTCTTGCTGCAGTCCTAAATGACAATACATCAGACGACTGCTTAAAACAGACTCCATAATTCCTAGGATTTAGGATAAAGGTATAATATTTTCCAGCTAAGTATATCGTGAAGACATCTCCATATTCTTTCTGGCAGTCCGACAGGAACTTGTATGCATCTTTGTTAAACTCTAGACCGCTTCCAAGGAATGGGACCTTATAAGGAACTAGGGGTGGTTCACCAGGCTTCCTGGAAAATCAGAAATACTTGATGTTGAGGCAAAACCTTATGAACCTCAAACACATGATAGAGATGACTTGAACCTTATTTTCATAATTTTGATACCAAAACACATTATCGAGCATGTAGTTAGCTAAATCATCACTCAGTTTGGCATTATTTAGAAAAATAATGCCTGCATTAAAAAAAAAAAACGCTCAAATTTCACCAAATGTTGCTTTCTTCCTTGAAATAGAAAAAAAATTTCTAAGAAAGCAAAAATGTAGGTCCATATTTTATTTTTATTTTTTCACTCTCTTTCTCAGACTTCACATCATATGAAAACTCAGAACAGAGAAAATAAGTATATCTACGTATCAGAAAACAAGATATTCATTCAAATTGCAAGATGATACCATCCAAAATAAGTCAGCGTGCTCTTCAGTTATGTATGTACATGTTTTGTTTGAAGAATGTTATTTTCAGTTCCAAGTCAATGTAACTGCAACATGTCAATAAGTCTTGCAAAAAGCTCCGTTTTCCCTCTCTTTTCTCCATCATACTCTTGGTTGAAATTTATAGGGGGGTGAGGGACCAGCAGGCCTATGGCCAGCTCTTTCCAAGGGGGGGGGGGGGGGGGGGGCTGTTTTCAAAGAATTCCTGGGAGGGGGTCAGATCCAAATATGACAATTTTGGCCCAAATCACTCTAACAGTGCTAAAAATGATGAAAAGAATTGTGAGTGGGGGGGGGGGGGCAAATACTCTCCTGGTCAGGGCTGATGAGAGATTTGATGCTAAACTAATGTCAAAAATTGATTATTATGTTTTTGTCAGATCCCTCTCATGTTTAATAACTAAGGAGTTGCAAAATAAAAAAGCTCCCCAAAAAGCTATATGAGAGATAGGTACCCCTAGAAATATTAGAATTATAGATTTTTCTTACCTGTGTCTTACAAAAAATCTCATGCAGAGATACAAGACAAGCGTGACAAGAGCAACTATGTACACTGGATACATATTGATGTTTCTTTTTGTTATGCACGTATCTTACTGTTGTATAGATCTACTTCTTTATCCCTGTTCAGAGACCCTGTGGCTTATTTCATATCCCTGTCTGCAATATAAAAGTAAAAAAAATTCTCCAATATAAAGGTGTTTTTGTTAATGGGAATTTGTTTTATCTTATTATTCTGTTTGCATTTAATGTATTGAATGGAAAATAATACAATGAAAATTGTTCTTATCCCATTATCCAATGAACGAGTACCTGTCCTTACATGACCCTGAAACTCAAAGGCTATACATGTAAAATATGATATTTAGTAGATTCAGTAAGAGTCCTATGAAAGCCGTAATGCTACAAAACCAAACTCTTTTACAGTGTAAAATTAAATGAAACGTTTTATCAACCTGCTTCACTGAAAGTCATGCACTACTTTGTAGATATTCAGTTATTCTCATTCAGTTATTCTTCTCAAAAGAAGGTGTAATCCTAAACTTAACATTTGTCCATTGTAAACATAGACCAGCATCATGTAAATGATGGAAATGCATATACTCACATGATTTCTCTATTTTCCTGTAAACAAGCCAAATGTTTTTGTGACCTTTTACTTTGTATGAGCAATTTATGCCAGTCTCGTTATATTATGAATCACAACACAGTTACAACATTTTACATTTAACCTTCATATTTCAACCCTTCTAAAATAAGAAATGTATTTCACACTTAGTTTTAGTATAACATATATATGAAGTTATTGTGTGTCCAATTTTCTCTTGCAATACTTACGTAGAATTTTATATCCAATATTTAGGGATACAATGATGCTCTGACATACATAGGATATATATATATATATCTTTTATTGACTCTTTAGATGTCATGACCTGACATATTAGTCATTACAAAATGAAATTTCACAAAACTACACTACACTACACTAATATATACAATTTATACAAAAAACTTGTTATTTACATATATGTTATAATATACTTTAGGTGTGATGCATCCAAAATGTTAATCTCCAGGCAAGTTTAAGTTTTTGAATGATTTTGTAATAAAACTTCCAACTTGCTTTTGCACATATTTATCTTTTGAAGATATTAACATAATGAATGTATTTTCAGGATCAAGTTGATCAACATTAATTTTGCTAGTGATGTTGTCAAACAATATTTTTCTATTTTCTCTATGTAAATGGCATTTAATCATGAAATGAACCTCATTTTCTATTTCCCCACAAAAGTTACATAATCTTTCATATTCAGGTTTTGGCCGTGGTTTTACATGTCTACCCAGTTCTATTTGTAATTTATGTGAACTTAATCTCAGTTGTGAAATTGATTGCCTGTGATTTTTGTTTTGAAGGCTTAAATATTGTTCTCTTTCAAAAGTTGTTTTGAATTTAATGTATGTTCTTAAAACTGGGTATAATTGTAAATCACACTTCCATTTCTCCTTATAATTTTGGTACAATATTTTAGTTAGGTTCTTTTTAAATACATAGTCATCCTCAACAACTTGTTCATTCCAAGTGCTTTGGAGATTACAATCTTTTAAAATATTATGAACCTTACTTGACCAAGTATTTTTAAATCCTAAACTGTACATTTCATAATCATATAGATATGCTTTATAAAGGAGGTTATCTGGACAAAGTTGTATAAGCCGTATCCAATATTTAATAAGATGAATATCAAAGCACAAACTAAGTGGAAAACGACCCAGCTCTCCATAGACTGCTAGGGTTGCAGTTGATGTTTTCACACCAAGGATGCTTTTTAAAAAGGACAGGTGAATAGTTTCAAGTGACTTGATATGTTTTTTACTTGACCATATTTCTGAACCATACATCAAAATTGGTTGGACAAGTGAATCAAATAAATGTAAGGCAACGGATATGGGAATGTCATTAAACTTGTGATATTGTTGCTTTATTTTGAATAAAGCTTTTCTAGATTGTTCTTTAAGATAGCATATTTGTTTATCAAAATTATTTTTACTGTTGAAGATACACCCTAGGTATTTGTAGTCTTCTACACATGCAATCACTTCATCATTGAATTTAAAAGTTTCATCTGATTTAGAGTTAAAAATAATAGCCTTTGTTTTAACTGTGTTGACAACAAGATGATAGTTTCTGCAAAAATCAAAGAGAGAGTCTAGCATAGATTGCGCCCCAGATTTAGAGCTAGCCATTAATACTAAGTCATCAGCCCAAAGTAGATGGTTTAAAGAAACACCTTCAAACTCGATACCATGTTCTGAGGGAAGAAAATCTTTCAAGTCATCTAAAAAATGGTTGAAAAGATATGTACTGAGAACAGAGCCCTGCATAACTCCAATTCCAGTATTGTACATTGGAGTAATGCCATCTTTAAGTTTGAGACATGATTTCGATTTTTTATACATGTTATCAATAATTTTAAACATTTTTGAACTTGGATGTATCCCTGATTTACATAATTTATAAAGAAGTGCTGTCCTGTTGACATAATCAAACGCTTTCCTAAAATCTACCATTATACAATATAGGGGCTTTTTCTGCCTCTTAAAATGTGAAATAATAGTATTTAAAATGAACAAATTATCTGTTGTACGGTGACCAGATTTGTAAGCACCTTGTAACGGGTCTTGAATATTGAGCATTTCTGCGTTGAACACTAATCTTGTTTGAATGATTGTATCAAAAACATTTCCTAAACAAGCAAGTACATTAATTCCTCTGTAATTATCTGGATTGAAACGTGATCCTTGTTTGTAAAGAGTGGAGAGCATACCGATACTCCATTCTTCAGGGTAATCTCCTTTATCAAAAATAAAATTAAAAAGTGCAGTAAAATCCAATGATAGAGCTTTACAATTTTTGATAATATTAGATGGTAAACCATCAATACCTGGCGATTTATTAGCATTTATTCTATTTAAGGCATTTAGAACCTCTTTTTCATGTATGACATTGTTAAGTAAATGATCACTAATTTGTAATGAATCTGTATATGAATTATGCATGTTATATTCCAATATAAAGATTTGCATTTTCTCTAAAGCTTCATAATCAAAAAAGTCATATTTAGGTGCTTTACCAAGGTTTTTAAAAGTATCAAAAAGTACAGAGGTTGAAATTGGTATATCTCTGCTTTCATTTTTACCAGGGATAGAATGTACCATTTTCCAAAATTCTGTGGGATTATGAGATTTAAAGTTTAATAATGATTTCAATAAGTCAGTTTGATATGCTCGTTTTTCTCTTTGCTTTGTTTGATTATATTTTTTCTGAATAATTGAAATTTCTAAGTCTGAATAATTTTCCTTAATTGCATTCCGTAATTGTTGTTTTAATCTTTTGCACTCATCATTGAACCAGGGATTAACTGGGAATTTCTTTTTAGACTTTTTAAGTTGCTTTAACTGCAGAGTGCTTTCAGACGCATGATAAATAACACGTTTAAGAACATTCAACAAGCTATTTGAATCAATGTTTTGTCCCATTTTACAATAAAAATCATCTAAAATATCAGTGCTAATATTGTCATGAAGAATTTCAATAAAATTATATTTTGCTTTAAAATCCCATTTAAAATATGAATATGGCAAAATGTTAGTTTTAACATTTTTATCTGATTGGGAAGTGCTTTTTGAATGCTTAATATTAAGACTAAAGTGAATTGGTGCATGGTCTGAGTCGGGATGCCTGTCATGAATCTTAAAATCGGAGAAAAAATTAAAGAGTTCAGGTTGTGAAAGTACATAATCTAATACTGATTTCCCAACTTTCGTTTTTCTACACTCTGTCAGTAGATTGATTTCCAATTTAGTCACCACACATTCACTAAGAGTATCTCAATATAATATTTTAACGCCAGTGCCTATTTCCAATGTGCCATTGTATTATATTTACATCGTCATTCTATATGGAATCAATCAATGTGATTATTATTCAGCTTTCAGTGCAGGTGTACTCTCACAAATAGCAGTGACATCTATACAATCAATTTGAAGCTCATGGAACTGAATTAATTTCCTGGAAAAATTTCATTTCATAATTGAATCAAGGTTGTCAAGTTACTGTGATATCCTGGTAATTATGGATTAAGAGCATTAGGATCTCACTGGTATATTTCCATTTCCTTAAGTTCATGCACATATGTATACAGATTTCCAATTGAAGTAACACTTGTATTTGTCAAAGATTGCAGTTTAGACATGGCCTTCAAATATGTCAAAGGGTTGTACTGTGTTTACCTTTCCTGGTGTTGCTAGTTGAGCTTTTTAGAAAAGTATACGCTCCTTGATAATTGTTAAAGAGGGGCTCTAAGTAACCAGAAAAAATCACAGTAACAAGAAAAATCGCAGTAACAGGAAAAATCAAAGTAACAAGAAAAACCAAAGTACAAGAAAAATCCTGTCATGTACTGTTTGATTTCTCAAATACTAGGAGTTAAGGAACCTCCCCCAAGCATCTATTTAGGGTAATAACATCAGAATATGTAGTTCATCATCATGTTGTAAGTACTGAATGACCTTTGATGGTAAATAGCAAAAAAGTAAGATATTTGCATATGGGAAAAGGGAACAATAAAATAAAAGAATTGAATGGTTAATACAAATAAAAGAGAGCTCTAAACAAATAACATTTATGGTTAAACCACTTTATTCACAGTATGTATTAAAAGTTTATTGTGATTATATGTGGTTACTATGGTCACTATGTGGTAGCACTCATACAGTGGTTAAGCAATATTTTTAAGATCCCCTTGGAGATGTTGCTTATTTGTTATTAAATACAACTATGTAAGATCTCTTTTAAGTACAGGGTGAGCCAAAAAAGGTAAACCATACAACCGATGTTAATTAATTTAATTATATATAATTGGACTGTAAGTCCATGCTGAATGATTGAGTTATTAACATTTGTTTTGGTTGCCTTTTTTGGTTCACCCTGTATATACTCATAAATTTATTCTGATACTCAGACCATATCTGTCCATTCTGCTGATACTCGGATCATCTCTGCCCATTCTGATATTCAGGCCATATCTGCCTATTATGATACTCAGACCACATCTGTCCATTCTACTGATACTTACACCACCTCTGTCTATTCTGATACTCAAACCATCGCTACCCATTCTGATACTCAGACCTTATCTGTCAATTCTGATACTTAGACCACCTCTGTCTATTCTGATACTCAAACCATCTCTACCCATTCTGATACTCAGACCTTATCTGTCAATTCTGATACTCAGACCATATCTGCCTATTCTGATACTCAAACCATCTCCACCCATTCTGATATTCAGACCTTATCTTTCAATTCTGATACTTAGACCATACCTGCCCATTCTGATACTCAGACCATATCTGCCTATTCTGATACTCGAACCATCTCTGCCTTCCTAGAAAGTAACTGATAAATGGTTTTAATCTCTCATGTTATTCTAACCCAGTGATCTCAGATATTTTTTCTGATACAAAGTTAAGAATTATGTTTGCCTTAGTTTTTACCATTTTCTCTTAAAAACCTCAGTTGTCTATCTATCACCATTTGTATATTTGAATCTTAATACATGTACATTGCATATAAGTAATGTGACTGTGCTATACAATTGATTATCAACATGCATAGGCAGCCAACCAGTCTATTATTGCCTTCTCATTCTTATCCATCCATCCAATATTTCTCTGAATATCTTGGATCACTGCCCTTTGCTCGGCTTTACTAGCTGCCTCAGGAAACTGTTTTAGAAAGGCCTTCACTTCTCTCAATTTCACAACAGTGTTAAAATCCCTTGTTATAATCAGTACAAGCCATCTCATTCGTAAATTAATGATGCCAAATTTTTTCACAAGTTTGTTCCAGTTGTTTCGGTACCAATCCCATAATATTAGTTTCCCAATTGGATTCCTAGCTATCATGGAGAATACATTGAAGGTAAGTGTTGAAGATATTTTTGTCTCATCCATTGCGTAGTATATTAGCTGATTAAGAAGCCAAGGTTTTCGTGTTTCAGATAGAATTCCCAATGTTTTAAAATCTGTAATATTGATTCTGTCTAATAAGAAGTTCCATTCCATTTTCCCGTCATTTTGTTGAAAACCATATTTCCAGATAAATCTCTCCAGGTTAAAGGGAAGTTTGAGGGTTCCATTACTTTTAATCCAGTCCAGGAAATATCTAGTCGCACCATCGAGACATCGCTGTTCACCAAATTCACATGCAATTGCAACTATATCTTGACGGTTCAGCCTTTCAATATGGGTCCCAACATCTTCAAAGGATAGTTGTCTCATTGAGGGCTCAGTAATTTTTTGAATGTGTTTACGCAAACAGAAATACATTGGATGATTCTGGAACATTGAATTTAAAAATATCACATTGTTTCTGAGAGCCTTCCATGGAGCAGGGGAGCGTTCTTGCGCCATATATCTAGTCACATTTAGAGCAGTATCATATCCAATTCTCAATGACATAGCAATTTCAAATGCATCATCAATAAGATTGGCTCTATCGCCTGCTCCAAACGTGTCATGTTTCTGCATTAATTTATCGACAAGCTTAATCCACATATCTCTACTGTAGTTTACTCTATAGAAGCCACGATTTCCTTTATTCAGCTTAATCACATCATTCACAGGGTCAAAAGAATTAATCACAAATTCTGACTCTCCTTCTGCGTTCCATTTTAACCATGGGTTTCCATTTTGATTATTTGAAGTCACCCACATTAGTGGGACAGACCACTTGTATCCCCATTGAGAATCATTTTTATTGTATGTAGCATTAATATCCTTCAGAAAACGACTCTGGGAAACTTTTATGGTGTCGTTCATTTGATGAACCTCTAGAACCGGATAACCAGTCTGGCGAACCCAAGGATCAAATGACTCTTTGAAATCGAAACCAGGGGGCATAACTGTCTCCAATTCTGCCCATAGCTGATCTGTTGTAATAGATTTGTATTCATATTTCTTTAGAAGCTTCTGAATTCCCTCTTGAAATTTATCATCTCCCATCACAGCGTTTATCATATTGACAATAGCTTGTCCTTTGCTGTAAGTGACTCTATTGAATGTCCCTCGTATTTCATCAAGTGTCTCAGCCTGCATGATGACAGGATTAGAGGGCAGTAAAGAATCAGAGAAAAGCATGTTTTGTGTACTGGGTACAATTTGTTCCATCATATCCCAGTCTTTATATAGCTCCATGTCACCCATTGCTTTGTGTTCGAAATAAGAAGCAAACCCTTCATTGAGCCATGTATCATCCCACCAGTAGCATGTATAAGTGTTACCAAAGTAATTATGAGCAACCTCATGGACGATTACACTAGCGAGGCTTTGTTGACGATTTGTTAATTCTGTAGTTGGATCATAAAACAACCTCCCCCGGCCATACGTTATTACCCCCCAATGCTCTGTAGCTCCAGTAGGATAATCAGGAATGTTCACATGGTCCAATTTCGGAAGCTGATACGTCATGTTAGTCCATTCATTGAACCACTCTGTTGTTTTGATAGCAGCCTCTAGTGCGAATCCAGTTTGATTGATCATATCTGGACGTCCATATATCCTCACTGGAAGTTTATCCTTGGTGTAACCTTCCACATATTCGAAATCACACACAATAAAGGCAAGAAGGTATGTTGGCATTGGGGGAGACTTCTGGAAGGTTGTTTCAATGAAGCCATCCAATCTTGTGATATTCTTCTCAGGAGGCATGTTTGACAAGGGAACAAACCCCTTTTTATGAATAAGTGTCATGGTAAATGTTGCTTTTAGAGCTGGTTCATCCAAGCATGGGAAAGCTTTTCTTGCATCAGTTGGTTGAAACTTTGTTGTAGCCAGTGATCTCTTTTCTCCAGTCCTTGCATCTTCATAATTACTTCGGTAATATCCTACAAGGCCATTGTTGAGTGAGCCATGAAATTCAATTTGGAGAAAGACAATACTCCCAAGTTTAATTTCTTTATCCATTTCGACCACCCAGAATAAATTTGGCTCATATGCAAATGTTCTGTTTATGAGTAAATCATCTCCATTGGCAGCTTTAACATTCGTCTGCCGTATTTCGAGGTAGTTGATGTGGATCAGTAAAATCTTAGTGTCCTGTTTCACCTGGATCGAAACAGAAACATTCCCATCAAATGAACTCTCGTTATGTTCAAAATGAGGAAATTGCGTGAGGTTGTAATGTATTGGTACTAAGTAGTCTGGGAGTCTCATGTTGCACCAGACTTCATGGCACGGGGGTGTTGTCGGGGGAGGTACAGGCAAAGTAGTTGTCGTCGACATGTTCTTCGGGGTAGCACCAGTGGACAAAGGCTCTGATGTAACAATGACATCACTGGGGCATCCCTGCTTGATAAGTCCTGCCATTAGTCCAATTGTTATACAGATAAACACCAATAAGATCAGTATGATAATTGATGTGCGTTTAGAAATAAAAATCCCTGGTGTCTTTTTATAAGACATTGCACGATCCTCTTGTAATTGCATAACTTTTAATGATGCTCTTGCTTCTGGAAAGCTAGACAGATCCTCCAAGTCCTTGGTTTGTTTTATTTATTTTTATTAATTTTTTTGGATGTATATTGTTTCTCTGGCCCTGGCTGTGGTTTTTGGCTCTGGCCACTATTCACACTGATACTTCTGAAACCAGATCAAGTAACCAAAACTAAATTCATCCAGATGTGATGTCAATGGTTTACCCTTTGAAAGAGCTATTGACTTGTCTCATACTCTTAAAAATGTTGATAAACTTTTGAACTTCCCCAACCAATCAGTGCCTTCTCCTGTTCAGCAACATCAAATTCCATATATGGTTTAACAAGCGAACATGTTAGGTTCTCTCTGATTGGTTGAATGACAAACTGTTCAATGATTCATTTTAGTTAGAGGAAAGAATACATGACAATGGCTCTGGGTAGCTTTGTTACAATGTCTAAAAGAGTGCTGGTGTCACTCTTATCTTGGAGTTGATTTAAGATAAACAGGTTGCAGTAAATTATGGCTACCTCCCTCAATGGTTTACAAATCATAACACAAATTCATTCATTTCAGTTTTCAACTATGGAGAACCATTAATCATTTTGCGTGTGTGATATATTTAGATTTTGGGACATTTTACCATCAACTTTTGCTTGTATCAAAATTTGGACAAGTGTTTTATATGTTTTCTCTGTTAATACTCTATTATGATTGATATATCAGAGGCATATAATTTACCAAGTCTACCGGTATCAATATCAAGAGTAACAAAACAATTTGAGGGTTCTGTAAACTGTTATTAACACTCCTCAGTCAACATTGGAATTAGCTTATCAGGTAATGGTATACAATTTGGTCACTGGTGATATATCATCATGCCCTTGTATTGTGAATTTGCCAAATGATTTGCCAACTGGAACATGATTCAGTCATTTAAATTTATTTGCCAGATGCTTTTTTTTTCGACATACTTTTTGAGGATTTTAGTATAATTTTGTGTACTCGGTTGATTTTATTATGTCACTTTCACAAGTGGTATCATATAACATTCTCCAATATTTGTGGAGGTTGGTCAACTGTTGGTGTTCAGTGGTTGATGTTGATGTCATTTGGTAGTTGGTGGTTGGTGTTTGGCATCTTTAACAAATGGCTTATAGCCAGAGGGGGAGCTGGGGGAGCGGAAACTCCCCCCAGCCAGAAATTCTTTCAAAATCATGAAGTTTTTCACCATTCTGAGAATTTTTTGCATGATTTTTAGCCAAAATTGTTAAAAAGCTCCCCCCTGGAAAAAAGCTCCCCCTCCTGGTAAAAGCTGGCTATGGGCAAGTTAATGCCTTGTATTGATGTTACTGTAATCTTTGAAAGGGATTTACTTTGACTTCTTTGAAGAGCTGATTTAAACCATTTTCTATTGGTCAAGCGTGATCATGTGATCATTAATTTTAAGACAAGATTTTTCAGAGCCATCCAAGTCAATAGCAAATATTAGTTATTTCTTACAAGGGATAGGTATCTGTATCATCCAATGACCTACTAGACGTGTGTAGAACACTGATTTAGGCTGATTAATAACAAAAATGATACAAAGTTATCAACTTTATTTCATCCAGTGTAAAAATGTGACTTTGAATTCCCAAGAACCTTTTTTCACGCGACACACCATTTTGAGGGGGACACCATTCTGATACTCATAGCATCTTTCTGTTTCACCCTTCTCAGGGTTGAGAAGAAATGAGATGTCATGGTTAATCATGATGGGGGAACACAGTTTTGTAAAATCAATAAGTCCCAGGGACACTCTCTTGGACAAACCTACTGAAAATACTGTATATCTCATACATATTCTCATGTCTGTAGCCAGCTTTTGCCAAGGGGGTAGGGAGTTCACATTTGACAACTTTGGCCCGTAATAAAATCACTTCAAAAGTGCTCAGAATGGTGATAAACTGCATGAATTTGAAAGAATTTTGGGCTGAGGGGGGCTCAAACCTTCCAAACCCCCTGGCTATGGGCCTGTATTCTTGATGCTCATTGGCTTATTTTTATTTTTACCCGAAAGATTCTAAATATTGAAGATGGAAAGTAAAAATGCCCAGTTATACATGTGACCAGTCAATACTGGTCTATTTTGATAATATTTTTTAACTGTGCACTAGTCTATCTTGTTCAAATACTTTTTGTTGCATTCCCTGTATAATATATGAGTGAAAGGGGTATTGTTTATAGAAATAACTAAAAATCAACACTTCCTGTAAATATTAGCATTCTCAGTTTTTGTAAGTGAGCCAAATACAAATATTATTTTTGTCAGATGTTTAGTTTAAGCAGATACAGTTGTAAGTTATAAGTGTGAAGAATTCTCTCTACTAAACAGTTTATTATAATAGATGATAGGCACCTGCTTTTAAAGCTCATACTCCAGCTTAGTTGACTGTTAAGCAAAAAACGCTAATTCTTGAATGTGATGTCTTGAGTAACTTTTCACCTGTTAGACTTGAGATTGTCAATTTGAATATGATTCTTATAAAAATAGCTCTAAAATGTTTATAAAATCTTACTGACATTAAGGTTCAGTTGAAAATTACAGATTGAGGAATCATTCATAACCACCTCTTTTGCATTCTCATGTTCTAGCATTTGCATTTGGTCACTACTTTGCTTCTTACCAGAGACATGAGAGAGCTTCTATTTGTCTTCACTCTCAGATTACAATAAATCTCTGAACTCATCGAGCCAATCAGAGGTCACTGTCGAAATATGAACGACTCTCCATATGATCCTGACTGTCACGTGCATCGGTCGTAGGGGTGGGGCTGCTAAACTGTAAAACAGTTAATACGAGACAGAGGGTAACTAGACTGATTGTAGGGTATTGTATTTCCAGATCCTTTCCAGAAGTTATGTATAGGGTGTTCCAAAAATTATACCCAAATTAATAAGTCTTTTTCATCTAAAAAGTTGATTATTTTACATGATAAAGAAATTCATTTTTATTTGGTGAAAATTTCAGATTTTTATGAGAATTGAATTGTCTGTTAGATGACTAAATTTCAAGAATATTCCTTCATCCCTCAAAGAGTCATTGCATGTTTTCTTGGTAAAAATGTTTTGGAACACCCTGTACATTGATGAGAACAAGTGCTGTTAACATTATGTGCAAAATCAGACCTGCTAGAAGTATATTGCACTTTGTTAATGTCAGCAAATATTTAGGTATAGATATAAGCACCCCAAACATACATATACAGTACATGGGAATGCAGTAACTTAAACTGAACTCTAAACTTTATGACTAAAAATCAAAAAACTAGATCCTTGAAAAAAGATCAACATTTTGAAAAAACTGGGCCTTTTTCAAGTATTGGTCCTTTTCAAAAACCCATGTTCCAAGCAGTCGCTTTCCAGGTTCACTTCTGCTTTCATTCTTTATATCAACTTTTTCTACCAATCTGGCAATATTAGCAGAAATAGAATAACACATTAATTTAACATAATACATCTGAGATTATCTAAAGATGGCACTAGTCTACAGTGTTATAAATTCTCAGTCTTTGGAATAATTTTGAGCTCAACTGTTTATTGTATCTGTTATATCAGTGTGTATTATAATTTGTTATATGTATTTTTAAACGAGGTATTTTTCTTAAATATTTTAAAAAATGATTTAGGACCCCTTCGGTCATCTGTACCTAAACTAACCGAGGTGATCAAAAATCTATAATTCAACTTGATATCTTCTCAAACTTTAGAAAATAAATTAATTTTGAGCTTCATATTTTATTTTTATTTAAAAAACTTTGTTATAAGGGTTCTGGTGGCACAGTAGAACTAAACAAGGCATTAACTTGCATAATGTCACCACCTGTCATTTGTAACAGATGCCTAACATCGAACACCAACTGCTGACTGCAGCCATAAAAAATTAAAGACTATAACAATATATCACCACCGTTGGTAGAGACAGGAAGTTCGATTTACATCCTGGTTTTAGTGACTCAGCTTCTAATATTGATTGGTGATGCTGAGGATTTGTTTTCATTTTACCATGAATAGGTGACTTTTTTATTGCGGCTGGTGTTTGGCATGAGATTTGAATACCTTTTAAGTTTTGTCTTTATCCAGAACTAGGTGATCTAGACAATTAACAATAGATGATACAATATTTTATTATCTCCCTACAAAAATTGATGAAACTTATTTTTCAGTACATTTTATATGTCTGTCTGTTTGTCCGTCTAATTTTTGTTGTATATCTAAGCCACACAACTTGAATTCCACTATATTTTTATGTCTGACATATTGATATAGTCTCCAAGTTTTTTGTAGACAGTGTACAGCAGTCAGCATTTTGTGGTTGATGTTCGGTGGTCAATATCTGTAACAAATGGCAGGTGGTGACAATTTGCATGTTAATGCCTTGTTTCATACATCATACACATCATCTGTAGACCATGATTTTAGTTTTTGAATGGCCTAGAATAAACTGTCAAGTCTATAATTTCTTACATTCTATGGCTTAAGATATGGTATGACTAGTCTACTTTGGAAATGAGTTAGGGGAAGGGTATTTTTGTTTAGTGCATCAATACGTGGAGCCATCCCTATCTTTGTTCTTCCATCAGTATAGGTCTTAACATTAGATTCATGAATTACATTGTGATTATTTGGAACCTCACATACAAGATCCAACAGATTTCCTAATATGGTGTTTGTTTTAAAATCTCCAAATGATCTTTCTATCTTTGAATAACTTTAAAAATTTTATAGCACCTTTTAAATCATTTTGAGTTCTGATATTCATCAAAAGTGCCTCATTTATCACATATTATTACAATATTCTCATCTGGTATAACTGATTATTCCAGCACACAAAATCAAATGAAACTCTGAACTTGTGATAACTGGGGAATTATGCTTTCTATTAGAACTCTTTGCTAAAACAGCATTACAAAACACTGCAAAAACCTGTTTTCAGACAAAAATAATCATGAATAAAACCTCTTGTTTTAACTGATATTAAATAGACTTGAATGGTTTGGAAGGTCAATTTTTCTATAAATATGTTTTAACTGAGAAATATAAAGATAGAATTGATCAATTTTTGGTCGTTTTTCTTCAAACTTCTGCCATTAAAAGCAAAACAAAAATGCCTCTCTGTCGGTTTTGCGGGACGTAGTGGTTTCGATACATCCCGTATAGTTGGTACCCCGTGTACATGCATGATCTGATTACAGACATATTTAATTTACTCTAATGAATTCTCATATTCTAAAATATAATGGTACATTTTAGATTTTTATTGAACAAATATATTCGGGTCTTTGATACATAACATGTGCCACATATGTGAAACTGAATACTAAGTTCCATTGTACCTTTATGTATTTGCAGACAGCCTTACACTACTACTCCTCCCTTAATAACCTGCAATACAAGAGGAAATATGCATTTATAGAGCCGCTACTTGGCTACATGCACGCCCAGAAGGCTTTCCTGCAGATGGGCTCAGAATACTTCCTGAAGACACAAGACTTTGATCAATTCCTAGGAAATATACAAGCAAGTGTAAATGGGTCAGTTGTATTGATTTATACAAGCCAGTGTAAATGGGTCAGTTGCATTGATTTATACAAGCCAGTGTAAATGGGTCAGTTGTACTGATTTATACAAGCAAGTGTGAATGGGTCAGTTATACTGATCTATACAAGCAAATGTGAATGGGTCAGTTGCATTGATTTTTTATACAAGCAAGTGTGAATGGGTCAGTTGTATTGATTTATACAAGCAAGTGTAAATGGGTCAGTTGTATTGATTTATACAAGCCAGTGTAAATGAGTCAGTTGTATTGATTTATACAAGCCAGTGTAAATGGGTCAGTTGTATTGATTTATACAAGCAAGTGTGAATGGGTCAGTTGTATTGATTTATACAAGCAAGTGTAAATGGGTTAGTTGTATTGATTTATACAAGCAAGTGTAAATAACCTTATATTGAAATAATATATGCTCATGTACATGGGTGAATTCTTTTGAAATGTTAATGAGTGAATTTAATGTAAACATGTGAAATTTTGTGGCCATGTCACTTCTAGTTATAGCAGTTATATTTAAAGAAATTCCAAAATGCAAATTCTACTTCATTGATATTACCCTGTAAACCTTGTGCTCTTATGTATTGCCATATTTTATTCTATAACCGTAATAACTCAAGAAAAAAACCATTTTTAGAGTCCATTCTGAGTTAAGTTCAGAAACACAGAAGACAGTTGAGTTCATCCAGAGTATTGAGCAGCAGAGTCAACATTTATACCATGGGGAACCTGTTGGTGACGCCCCCTATATCTCCAACATCAATATCAGCCAAAAGTCTGGCTATCTTATGATACGCAAGTAAGTGTGTGTTTCTTAATGGACATTTTGTGCACCATTTTTTACCACAAATTGTAGCCATCTAACCCTCCACCTACATGGAACAATGACTTGTTGTTTTTGGAGCTCTGTGCTACTTAACTGTACCATTTTGAGAAAATATTTGTCCAGAAATTGTTGAAATAGATTTAACTTACCAATACTCCTGCAACAAAATGTTAAGTATACAGTAATAGGAATATTTGGGTGTGTGAACATCTAGTATTCAGTTGTACTTGTATACATGAATCATTCTATGTTATTCAGTGTTTAATATCTGTTAATTTATAAAAAACACTAATTATGTGTTTGCAGACAAGCCATGCTGGGTAATAAATGGGAAAGAATGTATTTTTTTACTCAGGGAGGGAACCTTATGTGTCAGGCTGTTGAAGAGGTAAACACGTTTATAAACTGTATATATAATTCAGCTTTAATGTATTATTGCTATAGATGGTTGATTATACATGTACATGTATATACAGGGTGTCTGTCTAACTTTTAAACACATTGTTGTGGTTTGACAAAGATTCCCCGATTGTGATCTTATCTTAAAGTAAAGGGAAGTAAATCTCTGTGCTTATATGTTCGATGTTTATGGTATCTATTGGGATTTAGAACTCCTGTATTTATATACTTTTTGAAGTTTATTTTGAAATATGAGACCTTAACAAATTTGTATTAATCCATCTTAATCTGTTGCCCTCAGTATGTTGTAATATGGGATAAGCACAAATTTTCAGACACCCTGTATATCATACTATTTAGCTACATGTACTACTATAGTAATTGTTATGGTGGAACATGCACTGCCTGGTGTTCATTTACAGGTTGGGACATAATAGTTATTAGTATACTAGCAGTCTCGAATGTTATCCCGATGTTATTCTCTGCTATGTTACTGTAAGCAGATATCTTGTAATGTCTGCCCACCTTCTAGGCTATAGGTGTAGTAGTTCAATAGTATGTTAGAGATAAGGTGGCGATAAAAAGAAATTTATAACCTATATCAATTTAAAAGCCTTGGTCACATTTGCTCTACGGCTGGTGTACGGCGGGCGTAGTTTTACAAAATCGATACAAAAAATCTACATCGTACAGCCTATCCCTATATATTTCATGCTGCATATTTCTCTCGATTTTGGGAAGCTACGGCGCAGTATGGTTGACATAGATCAAATGTGACTGAGGCATTGGGCCATAAATGATGTATTTTCAGCTTTGAATATATAAATGTTACGAACAAATTTTAAATTTAGACATTTTCTCATCTTTTGTGTGTCTGTCTGTCCCATCTTAATCTGTTTGCTTACAGTTTCTTTATAGTACTTTAATGCTATTTTCTGTTTGTATCAGTTACATTATTTTAAACTCTTTGTTAGACTCATTGTACTGATTGCACCAGATCTACCAACATTAACATAGTTAAAAGTAGTTGTCTTGTGTATTCTTTGGATGAAAATGTTACTGTTTTTACCAGAAAAAAATTGCATATTTCCCCATTATTGTTATGCAACTCCAACCAAATGGAACTCGCAAGTGGTTTAATTTACTGATAATGGGAAAATAACAGTAGATTCTAATTTATGTTTTAGAGTGGTCAGAAGTCCCTGCATATGCAACTTATTAACCATGTTAATACACTAATCCAAACCAAGTCTGATAAATATATAGAGGTTTGTTACTGTAGTCTTGCATGAAGTCTCTGGTCTCCCTCGTGATCTATTTCCCTCTTGTTAGAGGGATAGAATGTGGGTGGAAATGGTTGGGGATAGCCCAGGGGCTTGATGCAAAACTATGTTATTATATGCCACAGCTGAGTCCTTTCATCAGTTCTTGTATCAAGTTTCTTAATAGACTATATGTTTCTTAGGGACAAGGTCAATATATTGTTTGATGTACATCCACAAACTTAATTGATTGTCATAAGAAGTGGGGGTCCATTTCATTTTTGTCCCATTTACTCACTTACTCACTAGTCTATATCCCCATCCTTGACCTCATCCTTACACAGCCAATATAATTCAGCGTCGTTTCGGCATCGAAAACATTCGGCACTGTTCCGGCACCGTTTCGACACCGTTCCGGCACCAAAATTTTTTACCGGACTAGTCAGTCCATTTGGTGCCGAAACGGCACCGAAATTTGGCACCGAAACGGCGTCGAAAGAATCAGAATCAGAAATCAGATTGCATTTTGGGGGTGTAGTTCACTGGTCAGTATCAAGTGAAGGTAACGGCAAAACGGCCGTTGCCTTCGCATTAAAGATGGCGGATGGTAATTGTCGATTTCGATATTGACGTAATGCTTTGATATTTGAATCAGATCAGGCTTATACGACATGGAAGCCCTGAAGTATTATGAATTGCTCATATATTGTGCGTGGGCGCCACAGTTCAATGGTATCTTCCACCCTTAATGGAAGGTAACTGGAAATGTATGATGCGGTAACGGTCAGTTAGTTTTCAAGATGATGCTACTGGACATCTTAGCTTTCCATTTTAAACTCTCATAACGTTACTGCATCACCACATATCAGTTACCTTATCATCTGTCAAACCAAAATCCCTTAAGCTGTGGAAGATATCGTTGAACTGTAGTGCCTACCTATGGTATATGAAGAAATGATCTTACTCCGAAGTTTCCATGTCATATAAGCCAAATTTAGTTCAAATATCAAAGCATGCTTTCAACTATAAAGTAGTTTAATTCGATGAAAACTAAAAATATTGAAATCCTCACTTTCTATCCGCCATCTTAAATGCGAAGGTAAGGGCCATTACCTTTGCTTGATACTGACCAGTGTAGTTGTCCCATTTACTCACTAGTCTATATCCACATCCTTGACCTGATCCCTTAGTTGTCCCATTTACTCACTAGACTATATTCCCATCCTTGACCTGATCCCTTAGTTGTCCCATTTACTCACTAGTCTATATCCACATCCTTGACCTGATCCCTTAGTTGTCCCATTTACTCACTAGTCTATTCTACATCCTTGACCTGATCCCTTACGTCCCATTTACTCACGTCTATATCCACATCCTCGACCTGATCCCTTAGTTGTCCCATTTACTCACTAGACTATATTCCCATCCTTGACCTGATCCTTTAGTTGTCCCATTTACTCACGTCTATATCCACATCCTTGATCTTGTCCCTTAATTATCCCACCGAACGAAGTTTGAAGGGGATATAGGAAAGTCTGTCCATCCATTTGTCCGTCTCTTTGGGCAATAACTGAAATACCGGTTGACAGATTTGAATCAAATTTTATAGGCGTATACCTTATGGGTGTAGGACCTCTGCTTGAGAAGGAATTTTCAATATGGCCACTCACTTTAAAATGGTGGCCATTTTTCGTAAAATATATAATCTTTGATAACTCAAATACTAGTAGACCAGTTTGGTTGGGTTCAAATTTTATATGCTGATGCCTAGGGACATTGAAGCTCTGCTTAAGAAGGGGTCTTCAATATGGCAGCCGCCATTTTTGGTAAAAGTATGTAATCGTCAATAACTCATATAAAAGTTGATGGCTTTTGGTTCAAATTATATATGCTGATGCCTAGAGACAAAGAAGTTCTGCTCAAGAAGACATTTTCAAGATGGCCATTGAATTTCAAAATGGCCACCATTTTTCTTAAAAAAAACGTAATCATTGATAACTCAAATACCAGTGGATGGATTTGGTTCGAATTTTATATGCTCCTGTCTAGGGACAAAGGAGATCTGCTTCACAAGAAATTTCAAAGGCGTCAGCTGAATTTCAATTGGCCACCATTTTTCATAAAAATGTAATCTTGGATAACTCAAATAACAGAAGATGAATTTTGTACAAATTTTATATACTCATGCCTAGAGATAAAGGAACTCTGCTCGAGAAGAAATTTTCATGATGGCTGCTATTAATCGAAATCTCCGCCATTTCTCATTAAAAATGTAATCTCTCATAACTCAAGTACAAGTTAACGGATTTGTTCGGTGGGATTTGCTACTCTGTGGAGTTGCTGTTTTTCTAGTAATTCCCTTTACTCACCTTCATCCTTTTTACTAACGAAAGCTCATCTCTCACTATCTTTTTTGGCATTGCATATCTTAAATATTCAAGCAAATACTTTTCTTTAAAAGCTTATATTATCCCCCTATTAGATCCAAATGCCAATGTTCACCCCTTCCACACTAAGGACTTGATGCAAAGCTATCTATGTCTTGACAAAATGAAGTTAAAAAACAAGAATAATGCATGCTGAGAGTAAATTTGCTTTATAATTGATCGGTTGATTTTTTTTTGTCAAAATTCAATTGAACTGTTTAATTCCAAAACCGTATTTCCAAATATTGCTGTCGCACAAATAAATATAATATTCTTTCATAAATATAAGAAAATAAGTGTAATTTTTGTCAAAATTTTGAAGTAACCCTTTATCTGTTGGGACTTAGGAAAACCTGATCTGTGCATGCATATTGTATACTCAAATCCACGAGGCTTCACACTCACATTGCATCATTGTTTATTTTGCTTGTAAGCTTCATGTTCCTTTTCCTTTTTGGCTCATTTGGTAAAGGTTTTGTATTTTATCCTAGTTTTATGTGCATTAATGTGTAAATAATTATGTGTCAATTTGCCAACTGAACTATTCAATGGTTATAGCTATATAATATAAAATTTGCATTTGCATTGCAGTTAAAAAATGAAAACGTTTCATCATTCTGCATGTATTATTGGTTCTAGAGCTATGCACACTCAGATGTGTATCAGATTGAAAATCTTTCTTAATAATAATGATAATCTTTCTTGTCATGAACCTTTTTTGCAATCTCGTAGTGTATGTGTGGAGTAAATTTTTGTAGTTGTTTATTCACAGTTATTTGGTCTGTTTCATCCCAGGTTGCAGGCAGCCTCATTTTGGATTTGAACGAAGATGGCACTTACGCAGCAGAAGGAGACGGGGATGACAGAAGATATGTGTTTGTTATTCACTCCCCTAAAGTCAAAAAGTAATTTTAATTTTAAAAATGATCTTTAACTAAAATGAATATGCACTATCAAAATTATATTATAAGAGATCAGATTGACTTGCAAGTTTTACTGTCTATACATGTTTCGATGTCATGTTTTATATACAGATGTCAGATTTTGAGCTATATATGTTACCGAGGCAACAAATTAGGGAACTTAAGGACATGCATGTTATAGACAGCTTCACATTTTGGGAAACATTGGTTACATTGGTTAGCATCAGTTATTTGATAAAATGTTTTGAATGGTATCAAAGGCAATTGAGTGTGTAGGGCAAAACTGGTATTTGTTATGAAACAGTTACTATGAATAAAGGCATTCATTTTTTTGAAAGTCTAAACAGTTTTGAGATCAAGATTTTAAGATGATTAGTGTAAAATGTTTGTTTGCAGAACTGTCCATCTTCAGGCAGAGAACCAAAGGGAGAGGAATGAGGTGAGCCAGTTAATCTGTCAACTTTAAAGCTTCTTTCTGTTTAGACAATGTTACCTATATGGAGAACAATTGGGTTTAATTGTTACATCAAATGAATGATAGTTATTCAAATACCACAGCTTTTTGAAAGGGAGATTGTAAAATTCATGAGGAGCATCCTTTAGTGCTTCAGTTACTTACTTAGTGATAACTCAGCATTAACGATCATATTAAAAATTTTCAAGATTTTGAGAATGCAAATGCACTCACAAAGCCAAAACAAACATCAGACAATCCTCAACAGCCACTTTTCCCTAAATAGGTAAAATGGGTTATACAGGTAGTTAGGCTTGTGACAAGCCTTTAATAGACAATAGTTATCCCATTGAACGAAGTTTTGAGGGATATAGGGAACACCTCCATACGTCCATCCGTCTGTTTGTCCGTACGTACGTACGTCCTTCCGTCCGTCCGATCAGTAACTCAAATACCATTGGCCCGATTTTGTTCATATTTTGTATATTTAAATATGGTGGCCATTTTAGTGCTGATTTTACAGTAGTTTAGGTGCAATATGTAAAACTGTAATAGCAACATGTTTTAAATGTAAAAAAATTATATAGGACATTAATAAAGCTAGAAATGTAGATATTGAAGAAGCACATGGCAGCCATCTTGAAAAATGGCGGCATTTACTCGTTATTTTACGATTTTTGCTGTAACTTTATAGTAGTTGATAGATTTTGTTCATATTTGGTATATGAATGCTATAAGCATGGCACACTGTCTAATGACACTTTTGGTAGAAGGCGCCCATTTGAAAAATGGTCGCCATTTTAACATATTTTACTATAACTCGAAAAGAAGTGGAGCGATTTTGTTCATATTTGGTATGTTAATACTAAAAGCATGGCACACTGTCTAATGACACTTTTGGTAGAAGGTGGCCATTTTGAAAAATGGCCACCATTTTACCATATTTTACTATAACTCGAAAAGCAGTGGAGCAATTTTGTTCATATTTGGCATGCACACTGTCTTATGACACTTTTGGAAGAGGGTGGCCATTTTGAAAAATGGCTGCCATTTTTTGCTATATACTTTGTCTGTAAAAATGCCAGCCATGGCTGTTCGATGGGATTTGCTACGCTTTGGCGTTGCTGTTGTCTAGTTGTTTCTATAACCAACAGCTTAACCTCCTTCTGTTCATCCTACTAACTTTAATGTTCATAGGCAGTTATTGAATTTTGTTTAGTGGAATGAAATCATCTTGGTAATGCTGTTATTATGTTATTCTCTCTACCAATCGAGTGACATGTTAATATCCTGAGTTTATCCTAATTAATTAGGCATTTCAAGTGTGAACAATTATTTTTTGTCTGCAATCAAAACCAGGAGGTTTTTCACTGCCATATATCCTGTAGATGATTCACGAGAGTAGTAACTCGTGATAAAGCAGCTGATAGACCACAGATTTAAACAATGGAGATACTCAAAAGGCCTACGTTTAATATGTTTTACACAATACTGTTGATCTATGTGGGACTGTGTCAAGGTGTAGCCTTATTACCCAATAGAAGTGATGTACAAGTAAATACAACATGCTGTCACACCTGTAAATGTGACGGCACTGAAGTGTACTGTGACACTGTTAGTTACCAACATTTCCGCTAGATTGCCCGCAAAATACAACACTACTTAGTCTCGTAGATTGTGGAATTACGGACCTTACAGATGGAGAACTTGCGTATTACTACAAACATTTAAGATCGCTGAACATTTCTGGTAATCACATTGCAGTGGAACGTAGAACATTTTCCGGGTTATTAAAACTAGAAATTTTAAATATTGGAACAAATGTGTATTCTATGAAGAGACTCGATCCATTCGTGTTCAGTATGTTACCAAATATCAAATACATTAAATTGACAAGTTTGGGCGATCGTTCAAGTGCCAGAGGAACGCAAACTGTTTTGGCCACATTTCAAGGACTTGAAAATTCTTCAATTGAAAGCATCATATTTGAAAACATAAATGACAATGTGATTTTTCTCGAAAAATCTCACCTCAAATATCTGCGAAATTCACCAGTTAAACAGCTTGTTTTGAAAAACACATATATGACTGGACTTGATTTTGATGTGTTCCAATTTATACCTAACATAGAAGAGCTTGACTTATCTATGAATACATTAGAGGTTAAAGGTTCCGTAGGTAAAATGATCCTGTTCCTTCTTTCCAAGGTGACCAAATTAAAAAAGATCAGTGTAACTGATAATCTTAAAAGAAAAGGCAATGTAATCTTGGAGCTTCTCCCCAAGATACTAGCTGAAACAGTGGTCTTCCCATTTCCCAAAAATGTTGAATTCATTGATATATCCAGATCAGTTTTTGGATTCAATTCATACCTTTTGTCATATGGAATCAAATTTCAAAGTAACAATAGACTGAAGAAGGTTGAATTATCCAATGTGAAGCTGGTTCGAAAAATTGGCAGCGAGATTCTTGGATTTATTCACCTAAAGGAAATTCACGCCCGAGGTAATCGATGTGAACTTCACCCATCTTTTTTTTCATGCAAGGAAGGGGCCTTTGAATCATTGGAAATCTTGAATGTTGCTCATAATTATGTTGAGGTGTCATCCACTGAACATGAAACAGAATTGACTTTCAAAAACTGTACTAGGCTTCGTGTTCTGGATATGTCTTACAACAGTATGAATCACGTTCCTACTAAAATGTTAACAGACACTGTTAATTTAAGAAGTTTGAACCTCAGTGGGAATAATCTTAATATACTCAATTTGGACTTAAAGGGGCTGAAATTTCTAAAGATGCTCAATGTATCTTACAATAAATTAGAATCGCTACCGAAAAATATGCAGGAAGACATTGATGTTTTGAATACGAATTGGAGCATTGTGATTGATATAGGAGGTAATCCATTAATTTGTGGTTGTTACTCATTTGAGTTCATTCGCTGGATGCAAAAGAACAGTAAGAGCATACACCAGTGGGAGAATCTACAATGCTCTTATCACAAGAACACCTTGGTGCATATGCACTCAATAAACATGCTAAAATTGAAACTTTCTTGCTGGCAAAATGTGATTCTTGCAGGCACGGTACCTACTGGAGTGATTCTTCTCACAATTCTTGTTATAATATTGATATGTAGGCACCGATACAAGCTGCAGTACTGGTACCTGCAACTAAGAGCAGCCATGAGATATCACGGAAAGAACAATTTGGAACAGGAATATAACTTTGATGGATTTATTAGCTACAGCTCCCTAGATAAAACTTGGGGGCAAAAAACATTGTACGCAAAGCTAGTAGGTGTCTACAACTACAGAATATGTATCGATGATGTTAATTTTAGACCAGGGGGCTATATCTCTGATATCATTCTTGATGCCATCAACAGAAGCAAAAAAGTCATTCTGATCATAAGTCAGAATTTTCTTCGAAGTCGTTGGTGTGCTTATGAAATGAACCTTGCAAGAGGCGAATTGGCAAATAGAGGGCGTGACTGCCTTATACTAATTCTGAAAGAGCCGATTTCTGTTCTTCCGCCAGAGCTGATCAGCCCCACACTAAGATCTCTCCTTGATACGAGGGTCTACCTGGAGTGGAGTGAGGATGCCGACAAGAAGGCAGTGTTCTGGAGAAAACTACATGATGCCCTTGGTGAACCTAGACCACAAGAATCAGGTGTTCGGCATATTGACAGTGACTTTATCACAGCTCAAACAGAAGAAGATGAGCAAAAAGTGCAAACTTTTATTGCACAAAGTCATATTGACAATGATGAAGGAGAATTATTGTTGTAGTCTCAATAAGCTCTAGTGTTTCCCCAAGAGTTGTATGCAAATTTCTCAGTTGAATCATGATTTTTCATGATGTGTCTTATTTCATATTCTTGCAGTTCAATGCTGGGGTGATCGAAGATGTTGATCAAAATATTTTAATCCTATCAAAAGATAAATATTTTGAAACATATTTGGAAGAACATTATTCGAAATTCTTTCAAAATATGATAGGGGATCTGATACGGGATTTTTTGAATATCAGTTCTATTCCCTGTTTATTTCTCATGGAAAACATGTCATTATGGAATAAATAAAGATTATCCTTTATGATGTTCAGGATATTGGTATTTTCCCTAGGCCGGTATAATATATTTGCCCAAGGGCTGGATCAAGGAAAATAAATTCGAAATTAAACTAAATAACCTTGAAATCCAATATAAAAAGAATTTTAAGACTCAAATAGAGAAATTGAATTTCTTTCTTTTTGGCAGCTCAAAATTTAACTATGCTACAAACATAACTGTTCTTGAAACTAGTGCCTCTTTTCTCCAGAAGTGTGTAAGTGTCTGAGTGTTAGCAGCTATTATCAAACCTTCTATGCTTAATTTATTCACCAATTTGCTTCACCAAATGGTTTTTTTTTGTTTTTTTTAAATAAAATTTTGTTAATTAACCCTGCGACTTATAATGTTAAACAAAGTCGCCTTTTTGGAAATTTTCTTTTAACATATACATGTATTATTGTATCAAATAAGACATGATAAATAAAAAAAAGGAAAATAGTATTTTTTCCAAATAAAGGTGTTCCAGATATATTACAAAAATAAATAGCTAAAACATTCATTCCAGTTGAACTTCATAGTTAGGCTCATAACTTTTCATACGACCCTCGTATATCTACTCAGTCTGCTGGGATGTATCCTGCCCGCTGTTAATAACATAACATTTTAAACCTGTTTTATGAAAAAAAGTAAATGTAGTGTCACTAGCAAAATATGTCTTCATGGTTTAGCGCATGAGCAATGATTTGATGCGTGTTTGGGTTTGGGACATACGAATTAGGGGATAACATAGTTTAGAAAAATGTGGATGGATTTAATGTAGATAGATCCTTCCTCTGTTTTTTGAGGGATATTGTTTTTACTTGTGAGTGGATATCAACCATCTCCATCAGTAGGCATAGAGAGAGTAGAGTTGGGCAATATCCATGAGTAGATAAAATGATAGCTGAGAAAGTCATAGTATATCATATTTATCAAGGATATAGGATATCATATTTATTAGATCTTCATAATAAAATCGGTTAAGACCTATAAACATTCAAAAACTCAAATATTTACTTAAACTGAACAGGTGTTATGTTGAATGAAAACATTAAAAAATTTTTAATAAGCCTTTAATGGTCAGAACTAAATTCAAAATGATAATCTGTCAGATATTATAGGAATATCCTATGGTTTTGAAAAAATATCATTTATATCCATGATATTCAATCTGTATCCTTGCAACCATGGGATAAGATTGGATATCACATCCAGGTTAATAACTACATTAATGTTTTATTACTGTTTTACAGTGGATTGCAGCAATCAACAACACAGTTAGATCTGGAGGTTACGTAAAGGTGAGTGAAGTATATCACTACTACACCTTGCATTTGGTGTTCATGAGCAACCCATATGGCTCATTATGGCCTAGTCACATAGCCCGGCCGATGAGGTTACGATGAGCCAGCGATGCAATTTTCACCGAACTCGGCCGAACACCGGCCGGACATCCGTGGCGTTTGTTGCTTAAAACCGCATCGGTGGTAGCTCGGTGAAATTTTAACTTCGGAGTTAAATTTCACCGGGCTCTCACCGAGCTCCCTCATCATGTCATCGCAGCCCCATCGTAACCACATCGGAAAACACGTCGGCCGGTGCACGGCCGAGTATAGGCCGGTGTCCCGTGCATCTGAGACAACCAGAGGACGAGGTTTTTTAAAGGACAGCGGCCGAGCTCCGACCGAGCTCCGGCCGATGTGGGACAGAGCATCGGCCGGTCACTGTTCAAAGCCCGTTAACAACCCGGCCGGCGATCGCACGGTGTCCTGTTACCTGCTCGGGTACCGGCCGTATTCCTTCCGATGTCCGGCCGACCTCCGGCCGGTAGTTGCTGCAACATCGGCAGAAAAAAACTACCATTTTGAGACAGACTCCGTACGGTCACTGGCCGGTGTTCGGTCGGTCGCCTGAAGATGTCCGGACGGAGTCCGTTCACGTCACCGAGCTCTGCTTCCGATGAGGAGAGCTCGGTGGCACCAAAAAAATCCACCGAGCTCTACCGATGCCGGACATCGGCCGGACTATGTGACTAGGCCATTAGTAATGATTATGTTATTTTTTTTCATTTGTCTGTTCCTTATTACAGTAAAACCTGTCTAATCCGAACACCCATGGGACCAGCTAAAAGCGTTCAAATTGGCAGGTGTTCAAATTTCGAGGATTTTGTTGGTCGGGGGGGGGGGGATTTTCATTGTTCAGTGCACTATATTGAACGCTTAATACTAAGTCAGAAAACAATACATGTTGTTGATGAGTTAATTCTACAATAGACCTATAGCCTATATGCTATGTTTTATTTATATTTTGAACAATTTCATCATTTTAGTAAACATAACTCTTATATTTTGGCAAAAACTTTGTAATACACTGTAAAAGTATATGATAGTCTCGTACGAAATCTTATGCTTATCAAATGGCTTATCCCATATTATGGTTATATAGCACTGCTTTACTTTTGCTTGAAAAAGTCCTTCATTGTTGTTTGTTTCTTGGCACTTTTAGCATTAGCAATATTTGAGTAGATATCCTCTTCAAGTAAAAATAATTTTTCATGAGTGTTCATTCGAGATGATGTATAATCCTTCAAAATATCAAGGGCATTCAGGATGTCAGATGTATGCGAATATTACGAAGTTGGATTTTTTCTCCTTCTCGTGATATAATCGTGTCTGCAAATGGCGTCTGTGTTGTCTTTGTGATTATAAAACATTTACTGATTGAATCTTAGCTATCATAACAGACCCATGGGATATAAAACAGTTAAGACCTGTTCATAATCCAAATCAAAAACATCCAGTTAATTTACAATAAGGATAAACCAATTATCTCCCAGACTCTCACCTTTCTCTTAATCCAAATCAAAAACATCCAGGTAATTTCCAATAATTATAAATCAATTATCTTCTTGATTCACACCTTTCTCTTAATCCAAAAATAAAACATTCAGTTCTTTTCTAATAGGATAAACCAATTAACTCCTGTATTCACACCTTTCCAAAACATCCTGTTGTTTTCCACAAATTAGGGATGTCACTGAGACTAAATAAGTTAATTAGGACGATTGGTTCTTTGATTGCATTTGTATATATGTAGATAAATAACAACTATAACACTGACTCAATATGTGGCTTTAATTGAAATGTCCAGACATTTGATTTCTGATAAAAATGTTCAGATTAGACAGGTCACTTTTTCAAATCTGGTTGTTCACTGTTCAAATTAGGAGGTGTTCAGATTTCAAGGTTTTTTTAACATGGGAGTCAATGGGAGGAAAAAATGGGACCGAAAAAAAGTGTTCAAATTGAAAGGTGTTCGGATTAGCCAGGTGTTCAGATATACAGGTTTTACTGTAATGGTTTATCGAATGACTGTTAGATGCTAATAAGGTACTTTCAAAAATATAGTAAACAATACAATTAGCCAAATTATCTTATGCATTTCTAATGGTTAGGTATAGTAGAGTGATGTACTAAAACAAATTATTATCTACTGAATGCATTTTGTTAGAAATGTAGAGAAGCTCTCCATTTGTTAGACCATTTTAGATGGGGGGGATAGTTGATAAAATATGTTTTTGTTTGGTACATTTTGCTGCTCTGTGTGTAAAGTTGAAGTTGCTGTTTTTTCTATTATTCACTGGCATCTTTAATTGCTTAAATATCACCAAATTGGAAATTACGCTAGAACAGTTAATTGAAGTTCCATTATTTTTGACCAATCAAATAAGAGATGCTGATATTTAAAGAATCAACAAAATGGCTTCTACACATTATGTGAAAATTTCATGAGAAAATATCAAAATTCTTTGAAATGAGAGCATTTTTCCGTGAACTTATTGAACGACCTGGTATTTGCTCTTGAGAACACCAACATTATAAAAAGCAATTATATACAAAAAGTGAACTGTGATTATGTGTAATCATCATCAAATAACTGTTAAGGAACTAATAATTTTAGGAAATTTACAGGTAATTATTTATAGGAAATTAGGTAATTATTTTTTATCTATTTAGGCTTGCCTGATCAGAATTAATCAAAATCTAGTTACCCAATCACAAATCAGAGTTGTAGTCGTTGGAGTTGCGAGCCATTGTTTTATATTCGAACTCCCATAAAAGGCATGACTGCTACTTTTTATCACACTTATTGTATTCATCTTGTGCTGATTAGTGTGCGCCTGTGCATTTCTTTGTGCGGGCTGGCGCCACAAAAATCTTGTCATCAAAATTCTAGGAAAACCACTTATCCATTGAATTTTTTACATATTCAAGAGTAGATCTGATATTCATCACGGTTTGTCTTTTTAGTCATTTAAGTCTCATAAGCATTAAAAGGCTATTTAATGTAATAACCCTCTAAAGCAAGTTGCTACTACAGCCCAGCTGTAGTGCCTAGCCCCTATTGGCCGGAGCGGTAAAGCATCGGACTTTAGAGCAGAAGGACCCGGGTTCAATTCCCGCATGGGACATTGAATTTAGTACTCTCCTTTTAATGTCCAGTATGTGTCTTGTCACACCACAGCTTCCCATGGGTCATGACATTAATGTCTCACTTATATATGTGTTTCAGGACAGAAGCTCTAGCAACTCAAGCAACAGAAGTCGTAGCAGCTCAGATTCGCAGCCAGTAAAACCAGGAGAACTACTGTAAGTTTATGAATGTAGCTTGAGTACAGGAAATATTTGGTTTCTAGATTAGCATGGTAATCAATTTAAAAAAGATGCCTTTCAAGTAAAAACAGGCAATGAAGTGAATACTATCTTTGAAATACATTGATGAAGATTTGAAAGGAAACATGTGGCCACTTGACTTAAAACAAATGGCTAAATTTGGTACTTGGCTACCTTGATTTTAAATGGTAACACCATCGTATCAGTTTAACTATGGTCATGTATGAATTCGAAGAGTACAGTGTATTCCTTCAGTAAACAATTTACAAAACAACCACTTCATTTTACATGTACTTTTGTGCAATTATAGGGTATGTAATTGAATTTTGCAGATGTTGTGTCGTGTGATGTGATGCATAAGTTGCTTAATTTTTTTAATGATTATATGACTTAATTTAAGTATTCATTCAGGAATTTAATATTGATAAAATGATGAGTATGTGGTTCACTTTGAAATGAAATACTTGGGTTTCTTTGAAATGCATTGCGCATGTGTTGTTGCTATAGGCACACCATCTTTGTTGCTTGGCACCCATATTTAAATGGATCCACTGAGCATTAAAAATGAAATTGTAGCATTGTACTTTAAAACAGTCTTGATGCACAACCTCATTAGGTAATTGAGCCTATTGGTCAGTATGAACAATTTATCATCACTGCGCTTTAGACTGAACAAGCAAAACAGAACAGATGGAAAAGTGCCGTAATGTTATGTACTGTATATAGCATGGCTAGAGTCACATCATGTATAAGGTGCTCCAATTGTAAGTTAAGTGTCTTAAAATGAAGAAAATAACATCTTGCATCATTCTTATGTCACTATCGCAAATGTTGACATATTGTTATTGTCTCCTTTTTGTGGATGATATTCGGTGGTTGGCTTTGACAGTTGGCGTTTGGAGGTTACTGATCGGTGTTTGGTGGTCGGTGTTTGTAACAAATGGCAGGTGATGACATTTTGCATATTAATGCCTTGTTTGACTTTCACTTCTAAAATACTGATCTTTACAGAGTTACCTGAATTGATGATAACAATTTATGTTCCAAATCTTCAGTATTTGGTAACTGCGAGTTACAAAATTGTTGAAAATTAAACGAGACCCTTGAAAATATTGGAGCATTGCTACATGAGATGAACTTTGTAAGAATTGATTTAACGTGGTAGTGTGTGCTAGACTAATGCTATATTTTGCTTTGTTTTATTTAGCGTGTCCCCCAGCTCAGCCCCACCCCAGGTTTCCCAGGTAGGGGAGAATGATGGCTACTTCTTTAACACTCCCATACAGTTTGATATGATATCTCCATCTGATGAGAATAGGGAACTTACTGGTTCCAAAGAGGGCCCAGTGAAGTAAGTGCATCCATAGTCCAAGGGTATTTCACTTCTTTTCATGAGCTTAGCGAAGCCTGGTCTTGAAGGATGAAGTAAGTGATTTGCTGGCATATATGCTCAGTTTGCATTTTTGTTCCTTCATTAACTGCATGATGTTTGATATTATTTTGATTTAGTTCACAATGATTTGATGCCTTTGTATTTGAGCCTAAGACAAAATTGGATATTACAATTGATGATGTATGAAAATGAGGGTGTGTCAGAAAAATTGCAGACTGACTGGTCAGATTTGAAATTGCTATACAGTAAAACCTATTACTGTTAAGTGGAACACCTTTGGTACCTCTGAAAGGTATTCCACTCGGGAGGTGTTCAACATTCAGGGATTCATTTAAGATTGAATCAATGGATCATGGGACTCTTAAAGGTGTTCCATTTCCATTTACAGAGGTGCTCGATTTACAGGGGTGTTCCATATAACAGTTTTTGCTGTATTCCAATAAGGCAATACATGTTGAAAAAAAGCTGACGTTTATGTCACATCCTGAAAAAACTTTCAGGAAATCATAACTTGTAAAGATGCTTGTAAAATATTTTATATTCCAGAAGGATTAACCCATTTGACCAGTCAACGATAGCAATAGTGAATGATAATGTAGTGGACAATGCTGCCTTTTCCAAGTCCTTTGTAGTCCGCTTCCTCGGCTCAATGGAAGTAAAATATGACAGGGGTAAGTGGCATCCTTTGTTAAATATTAAGCTGATTTTAAGTCCAGTGGTTGTAATAAAGTCACACCTCGTATACTGTATAGCTTTAAATGCCTTATTTGTTATGGAATTTCCACCAGAAATGTTGCACAAATTAGATTACAATCTATGAATTTTCCATGTTCAAATTTTCTGCAATTTTTATGTGAAACTAAATGTGCATACAATGTACATATAAGTAAACTTTTTTAGAAAGCTTTGTCATGCATTTTTCAGGTGATTCATTAGTGAATGAAACAATTCGTCAGATCATGGCTGCTAGAGCTATTCACAACATGTTTAAAACTACAGAATCCCTTCTTTTAGTCTCAAGTGAATGTATGAGGTAAGATAGCTCATATAGATCGTTTAGATCATTTGCACATTTTTAATTGTATGGAATACATTTGTTTGCAGAGCATGTATTACTTAATTGTATTTCATTTGTTTCAATCAGTTTGATTCTGAAGTTCTAACACAGCCGGTGCCATCTTTTTACTGTTGTTTTAATGTTTAATAGCCCTTCACATATTTGTTGAAATATATGTCCAATTCCAGATTATTAGACCCATCAAATAAAAGTGTTCGGGCAGAGTTTGGTCTTGCTGATATATCATTTTGGGCCGCTCACAGAGAAAGTAAAAAGTAAGTTATTTTCATAAAGGTCACAGTTGTAAACTTATATTAGTAGTAGACTTTGTCCCACTGAGCCTGGAGATTAATTGCCTTACACACTCCAGAGTAAACGACATAGGTTTGAAATATACTAAAGAGACTGTCCTGTATGTAGTCAACATTGTTTCTTACCATTTGTGTGAATAATTGAAACATCATAATCATTTAAAAATACTGTATCTCTTCATATATCTGAAGTCACACAGCAACATATCTTTACAAAGTTCACGTTCACCTTCCTGCCCTGCATAGGCAAAGCATCATGTTTGTGAACATTATTAACTTTAATTAAAGATCTTGGTTTTGGGATGGATAAAATACATAAATATTCTCATCCTCCGACATCATCCTACATTCCTTCCTTCTTCTTGGAAGAACAAGGTATGAGTTCTGGAGGCCTGCATTTAGAGGATGAAATACTTCTTAATTTGAAACTTGTTTTATATCGCAAGCATCTTATCGAAGGAGAGTTACTGATGTAGAGTCTTGGCTGAAGCACAACATCTCAACAAAATGATAGCATTGAATTTCTTTACATTTTCAGACTATTTGGTTTCATATCTTGGCTGAAGCACTGCATCTCAACAAAATGATACCACTGAATTTCTCTACTATTTTCAGATTGTTTGGTTTCATAACAAAATTAAAAGGAGGGAGCCAGAATACGCCTTTCTCATGTTTTGTCTTTGAAAGTGACTCTTTCGCAGAGGAGGTAACTCATATTTTAAAGTTTGAATATTTCTTGATATTTGATATAAGGCTGTTCACAAAGAATATAGTCAGACTTTATGTGTATAGATCAGAGTTTCCTAAAATTTTGGTTTTATGTACAATTTTAAGATTCTACAAATGTATGTTCACAAAATCAACAAGATATTTATAAGATTGCCAAAATTCAATGGTTTATAAGTGTATGTCTAAATTTTTATGGATACTCTGACTTGTAGGTGTGCCATGCAATAAGTACCGCTACCCAGTTAGCCTTTCAAGCTCTTATGGTGAGTTAAGCCGTAAAATATCACTCATTTAAAAGAAAGAAGAATTAAACACACAGTTTTACAAGCAACATAAACAAAATCAGAGATTATTTAGACATTTTTTCAACAAAGCTCAATGATAGTGTTATATCTAATATAACCAAAATTTGCATTTTGCGTCACCTATTTTTTCAATTTGCCTCACCTGTTTCATTTGCGTTACCTATTTTTATTCGCCTCACCTATTTTAAGATTCTGGCTACACCCTTGCTTTATACTATAGAAATACATATTCAATTAAGTCTCATGTGTTGTAGAGTAAGTCAGAAGGATCAGGGGGAGCTGAGGGGGCAACAAATGCTCAACCTGAGCCCAAAGAAACTTCCCCAAAAGAGGGCTCTGAACACCAAGATACCAAATTAACTGAGCAGGTAACATAATATATCTCATACTTTTGTGAAGTAACAGTAATATAAGTTGGATTAGTTGAAACAGGGCCTGGGATAGGATAGGAAGCTGTATTTGTTGAAATCAGACAAAAACATGCGCTTTATCTTATACTACCTAGAAAATGTGGAAGAACCATTTCCTTAACCACATTTTTATTAATTTGTTTATTTTCATAGATCTCCATTTAATATGAATGATATAATCTAAAAATAAATTTTTTTTTGAAGTGAGCCAATGTCACAGATTGAAATGATCACATGATTATAAATCAATATTTGTTATTAAATACAACTTTTTCAGCTCCTACAAAACATTATTATGTCAATATACATATATTGTAATATTTTCACAAATGTTGAATAATCAGATGTTGCAAAGAATATAATTGAACATATTTAAAATAGAACATGACTTTGTAATACCGTTATCAGCTGCCTTATGATAGAATGAATACCATTTTGAGCAAATTTAGATTTTAACTCCACATGTGCAATAACACTATTAATCTAATATTTTGGTTTTAATTTTAATGTGGACTGATTTCATTTGGTTAAATTACCTTCACTAACAAAGAACATAACTTACAATTTCTGGTGGGTGTTTGTTGTAACATTCTGCACTAACTGCTACTATATTGGGTAATATTTGCTGCCATATGGGGTACTATTTACTGCTATATGGGTACTATTTACTGCTATATGGGTATTATTTACTGCTGTACGGGGTACTGTTTACTGCCATAAGGGGTACTCTTTACATATAGGAGACGATTGTCAGATAATATAGTGCTGTTTTGAGTATTGCGTATAAGGCTCCTATTCTACTGCTATATACAACACTAGGTACGGTAATATAGGGCACTGTACTTCTACATTGGGCAATGTATCCTGTTATATTAGGCAATATATCCAAGTATATACTTTATTTTTACAAGATATAGTAAAACATATATAGTACTATATAGATGTATTTATTTGTATATGTAAGCATATATAGTTAGTCAATCCTACCCTTTTCTTGGACCTAACCCTGAGTGCCATCTTTCTGTGTTTTCCTGAACCATAATCTGACTGTGATTGGGTGTGAAAAACGAGAGAGAACTTTACTTTCATAAACTATGATGTAAGAATTCAAGAATGAACTGAATTTTGATCATGAGATATCTATTAGATATCTGCACTAGGAAAGCACTATACTAGAGAAGCACTAAACTAGAGAAGCACTAGACTAGAGAAGCACTAGAATAATGGACTCAACTGATAAATATGGACTAACACACTCTAAAACACCTGAATGCAGCTAATTAACAGATTTTACTAACACATAGTAATTAAGGTAATTATATTATCTTCTGAACTGGGATTTAGGTGCGACATTTGATCAGACGAAACGAAGAAGAAATTCTGTAAATAGTTTTTGGTATCAATTTACCTCGATCAAAGGGAAATCACCCTAAGCAAAATCTGCTCATTTTATTTAGATCTTTGAATGGAGGTCTCTGTGATTCTGATTCTTTATCATCCCAAAATGTTTAATTTATAATGTGATTTGTAATGTGATCAATCAAACCTTCTTCTGAAATTGTGAAAATACCAAAGCTCAAAATTAAGAGAAAAGAAGGTCAATATAATAGACGATGTAAATTACAGATTATTCTGCATTAGAAATATTTTGGGGTGATGAAGTATCAGATTTATAGACACTGTCTATTTAATGTTGTATTTTGTTGTGTTCAGCTCACGTGGTTAAAAGTAATTTTTGGAAAATGCCATAATTTGAACTTGCGCTCATAACCTTTTTATTGGGGTCCATACTGATATCGGTCATGACTCCTACTTTTGGAGAAATCAACTTTTCAATATATTACATTTTTCATGATTTTCATTTTTCATGATGATCATAAGCGATCACCATGGGAACCTGTCAACATGTTGCATTTTACGTCTTTTTATCTGTTGCCCATGATCTCCACTTGTATAACACATGTTCCATAGTTACGGGGGGTGATCCAAAAGTATTGGACGCCTCGCTCTAACTTTGCTTTTTTGTTAAATACCATTTCAGGTGACAGGGTCCCTATATTAAAAAATACTTTGAAAAGTAGCTCAAATAAATTATTGTCTGGTGAAACATAAACACAAAGTTGTTATCTTTGTTATTGGAAAGTTTCATGTAATTTCATTAAAAAATAGCAAAGAGCGGGCGTCCAAGATTTGAGCTTTCGTGCTTCGTGTGTTGTTTAAATGTTCCTTCATATTAAAAACCGTGAGTTTGGTTTTCTATTAACATTCACCTAGCTTAAGTTAATTTCAAATGTGAATCTTGCTGCATGTAGATCTCAAATGGATACTTTTTATTTTAAGGATGATGAACAAGCGCCACCTTTACCTACAAAGGAACCTTTGCCCCCATAGAATGTCTACAGTAATAGACTTATAGACAGTATCACCCATTTGCCAATTTATTAACTTTATAGTCTTCTGTTCTCCAAATATTTATTTATTACAATCTCTGCGAGTGATATATGAACTGCATGAAATAAAACATTCTCTCTCTCTGGAGAAAGTTTCATCACATAAAATGGAATGTGACAAAATCTCAAAGTAATAGAGGAGGGAAATGCTGAATGGATTTACTCAGAGTCTGCTGAAAACCTGGGACAGTTTCTTTTAATTCTTCAAATTAAAAATGATGCATTGTACAAGTATAACGGTGCCATCTATATGTGCATGCTTAATGTGACAATGTCCATGCATGTAGGGCTAAATTCAAATGCATATGACTAAATTCATGTGACTATTTCATAAATGTAACTTTTCATAGATCTTGGGAAATGCTTTAAATAATGTGGCATTTGCACTGTTAATTGGATCATGTTTACATGTTTCTATACAATCAGGGATATTGTATATTGTTTGCCATTTGTTAATTTTTAATCAGGTTTAAAGACAAATGTGAGTAAATGCCAAAAGTGCCTATTGTCAAAATAACAAAAAGTGAGCTTGTGATCTGAGGTATTAAGTACATTATAACTGAAGAGCATGTCAAAGCATATAAAACTTCTTGCAATACATGTTTGAGGGATGTCAGGCAGAGTAACTCATGAAAATGAAAACAGCTATCACATTAAACAATTATCGCAATTTAAACATTTCACTCTGCCGTAAAAGAACATGAATACTATGTCTTTCCGCTACCCCCAACTGCCTCCCCCCTTGCTACAGGCCTGGGTTCAATAGAGTTTCATCTATCCAGGCCTTAACAAAAATGCTACCATCTTTATATTTTATGATTAAGTTTTGTTAAGTTATGTTATTCTACTATTTCACTCTGCCGTAAAAGAACATGAAAACTATGTCTTTCCGCTACCCCCAACTGCCTTCGACCTTGCTACAGGCCTGGGTTCAATAGAGTTTCATCTATTCAGGCCTTAACAAAAATGCTACCATCTTTATATTTTATGATTCAGTTTATGTTATTCTACCATGCATGAATGATAATAAATGTGCAAAGAAATGCATGGTTGATATATTGCATGCATGGTTGATATATTGCATGTTCTGCAGTTTGCACAAATTGCATGCATTAGTTCCTCAATTTTAATGAAAATGTAGAAGACATATGTAAACATTATCTTTGTTGAAAGCTTTATCTCAAAGAGCTATTTATTTGACTCCAGTTGCGCATTTGATTTGAGTTTTGCTGAATACCATTTCAGCAAAGAATTTGGTTGTGATGGAGAATGAAGGTTATGAGTGTTTATGGATTATAATCAAACAGAGCTGTTAGATGTGTAATTGTGTTCTCTCTTATGCCCTTGCGTTATGATTGTGCAATTGATTTTGACCTGTCTTTGTGATTGTGCTCTGGGATTTGTGATTGTGCTTTCGACTTTATGATTGTGCTCTGGATTTGGATTGTGTTTTCATGTTGTGGATGCCAGAGTTTGAATCTCAATTTTCCAATATCACTCTGCTAGGGTCTTGTGTCATATACATATCTAGAACCTCAAATTTTTTTTATTTATTTTAGTTTTATTTCAAGTGCAATGATATAATGAATATTTCATTTTTTTCACTGAAATAAGTGATTTGAATTGTAAAAATGAATAGTGTTTATGTTATGTTAACATAACTGTTTAGATGTATGATATAATGAACATGTTGTATAATGTACATTTTCTTTTTTATACATTGAATGTAAGCTATTTCACATGAGTTCAAATATTTATTACTGTATTGTATACTAAAAATAAATGTAAAAGCAGAATATGCTTATTAATATAGTAAAGAATAATTCATTTTATTGAAAATGCTTTTCCTCTGTCCCATTCTAGTTACAACTTCAAACTTTTTTTGTTGCAGCATAGTTGTTTGATTGAAGAATATCTCACAATTAATAAGTAGCCTATTCTTACCTTATCACATATCACATTACAAAAGTTACAAGAAAGCAAGTGGTAAATGGCAACTTTATAAGAACTGATAACTTCTACCATTGACCTCTATCCATGCTTCTACTGGTAAGACCCATCGTGATGCAACAAGAGTGGGGACCCATTCTTGTAACTAAATTTTAAGAATGGGACTGGACAAGTATCTTGAATAATCTCAGCTTTTAGACAATTTCAATGTCTTGAACTTTGCTACGCATACATATATATGGCATATATATGGACGATGTATCAATGCAGAATGGAAAACTATTTGTGAAATATTATCCAATATTAGTGTATTATGTGTATATAATGCACATTGCTATTATTTATTCTGATGTGTGTTTAACATGCTTTTGTTAATAAAAATTGTAAATAAATAAAAAATAATGAATCAATAAATTGTTGAAACTACATCAGTGATTTAAATGTTTTTAGATTTACTATTATAAATCACGGAATTTGCGATAGAATTTCACTGAAATAGCTTCAATAATGGAACTACAAATCAGTACTTCCAATAGAGGTTATGAGCCCCCCCCCTAACTCCAAATCTCCCCACAAGCTGTGTTGGTGAAGTAAATAGCGGGTCCACAGTGTTTAGGGGCTATATATGCTATTGTACATGATTGAAATGTGGAATCCCATATATGAGATGGAAAAATTATTCATTACATCATTGCTTCAAATGAATAAGTTTATATTGGAAAAAATCTATGAAATGCAAAATAGGTGGGGTGTCTAATTGTCTCACACACAAGAGTTTGCTCAGTTTATTCATAACGTTAAAATGAATAATCTACTGATAAGGTATCTATCTATGTAACTTGCATATATAAGGGTTATGTACTGGGAGGTTTTGGATATGGGGTTTATCCAGAGGGAGATATGCATATCTTCCTGAGGGACCGTAGGGACCGAAGGTAGATGTGCATATCTCACGAGGGATGAACCCTATATCCAAAACCGACCGTACGTAACTGCTTTATCCTATACCAAGTAGAGTTTTCTAATTTTCTTTCAATTTCTTTTTATTTTTTCAATTTCTTCACATTTTTCTAATTTTTTTTCAATTTATTCAATTTTTTTTTTCAATTTTTTATTTTTTTCAATTTTTTCACAATTTTTCTTTTTTTCAATTTTTTCTTATTTTTTCAATTTTTTTTTTCAAAGCGGGAAGATATGCCCTGGAGCGGGAGATATGGCGGGAGATATGGAGGTTCAGGATATGGAAACCTCAAAATCATGATACGGGATATATCTTACCAACTTATCTCCCTAAAACTCTACTTGGCATAGGATAATGATGTTTATTATACGTTTAATATTTTAAATATTACATGAAATCAGAGAATAGATTAATGGTCTTAGAAATCTTGGTTGTCTTTGGTATTCCTTAAGAAATTAGTGACGAAATCAATGGCTTGTGACTTCATTATAGATTAGTTATTTAACCTCTTAGGTGAACAGATAAAATCAGGCATGGCCATGGACAAATCTGAAACCACTGATAAGGCTTTGATAAATCACTCCCATTGTCCTTAAAGGCCCCATATAAAGTTTAAACCACATATTTTCAAACTCTAGATGGGGCCTTTAATTGTGCCTTTAATATTTCAAACTATTTAATGAAAAAAATGCTCTAATTTACCCTGTATATTCTTATTAATAATGAGATGTTTACATTTTCCAGCAAATTCTGCTCCAGAATATTGGACTCTTGGATGAGGTATTGGACGATGAGCCCTTAATTAAAGATGATAGCAATTTCGTTCTTGTACTTGACAAATCAGCTGATACAACACAATCACATGATCTTAAAGAACCAATTAAAATGGATGAAAATACAGAAGGACATCATAGTGAATCTGAGGCATAAATACAACTGCGGCTGAACTATAAGGGGAACAATATAGAGGTCTCTCTGTTATAGCAACAAAATATTTTTAGTGCGCTCCTTCCACTTAAAGGAATAAAGTCACCTTATGACTACCTGATGGAGTCCATTATTAATGCAGAATTGAAGAATTGTTCATTACTTGAAGAGAATTCCTGATAGTGTTCATGAAATGCCTCGTAACGTTTTTTCTTAAAATGAATCGCCGCGTTCTTTGAAAAAACAGGAATATTACAATATGATTCTTTTGAATATATTTATTGGATATACTTTTGGTTGTGCATCTATGTTCAAATAGTTTTTTATATCAGAGTTCTGGAATTAGTTAAAAAATATTGGCCACAGTCTTAAGTTTAAAATTCATCAGTCACATAATTAATTGTGAGGACCTGAGCCAAGTGAACCACAAGCGGAGCATGCAAACTTGATGTTACTGAAGTACACTATCATTTTTGTGGACTCAAATAGGTTTCAACTGATGATTTCATTCCATAGAAATGGTCGGATTTGCCAATTCTATATAAATAAATGATCTTTATCAAGTACTCGATCAAAGCCAAAAGTAAAATAGATGTTTAACATCAAGTAGCCGAGAAAGTGCAGATTATTAATATAACCTGTGCTTAGACTTTATTCACCACATAGGGTCCCCTTTTCAATTTTTTCACCCAGTTAATTTTTATTCATCAATGGCGAATAGTGACTGTTAATTCAGAACTCTGATATATAGAGACATGAAACAGAAAGTTACATCTAAAAGTATAGAACTGGGCATGTGAGTATGGCTCAGTGGGTAAAGTGTTAGAATGTGTTTTAACCAATACTCAAAAATATTATATAAAATTAATTCAAAAGCACTAAACCTGAATAGGACTTTTCATTTTTATGTCACCACCAAACGTGGTGACATAGTCTCCAACTTTTTTGTGGACGGTGTTTGTCATTAAGCAATCGGTGTCTGTAACAAATGGCAGGTGGTGACATTTTGCATGTTCATGCCTTGTATATTTTAGCTTTGGAAGAATATGAAGCATAATATTACAACCTGTACAATACATCATGTACTTAGCAACCATTACATCCCCAGGTGTATTGAAACCAATTTTGGCCAGGGATTCTGGTAGAACATAATTAGGAACATGGGTTAAAATAGAACTGGGTGTTGGTGAATTAACAGGAATATAGTCATTAGCTCAAGATTATATTTTTCATAGTCCATCAAGTAGTTCTGCATTCATATTCATGGTGACTATCCAGGGCCCGTATATCGCGAGCAAGTTCCCGCTGACATCGCGAGCAATGACCTCATATTAGAAGCAGGGCCTTGAGAGATATGATAAAATATAGTTATATTTGAAGAACGTCATTGCCCTGCAATTGAAATAGCCATTGTACTATGAAACAAAGTTGTAGTGAGTTTTACTCACTAAAGTTTTATAAAAAACTTTGTATTTCAATTTTATCATATCTCTGAAGGCCCTGCTTCTAACATGAGGTCATTGCTCGCGATTTAACCGGGGCCTGGATAGTCCCCTTGATATTGGTTATATACAAATTAATGTACCAGGAGACGTTGAATCAAATATTGGCTCTAATGTTAGATCATTTACTGGCAATACGTAATATAGGAAAACTAGCAAAGGACATTCACACTGAATATTAAGATTAGCCTTATATCAGACACAAACTGCTTGGGCAAATGGTATCGCTGATATAGGGAAATGGTATCTCTGATAAAGGGAAATGGTATCCAATTGTTACTTATGTGTGAATAAGATGTGTGGTGTGTTTTAATAGTAATACATGTACTACAAATATATATTTAGATCTCCCAAATACCTGAGTATAACAACTAGTGATCAGGTATATATTTTTGTAGAGGAAATTTCATCGTGGAAAAGTGCACAATGTTTTGATATTAAGATATCATGTCTCGTATCTTGGATTACAATACTATAAAATTGTGCTGTTTTCCCCAACTGAACTTTCCAAATATAAAAAATTATTGGAGTTGTCTACAGTAAAACTTGCATATCTGAACAGCTCTCTAATCTGACCATCTCTCAAGTTAAGCAGTTTTTTCAGACCAATTTTTAAATGTCTGGCACAAAAACATCGAAATGTGAACACCTGCCAAGCATTCAGATTGGACAGGTTTGATTGTACACAACTCTTAATTTATGATAGCATAATAGCAGGTCTATATAATTAGGTTTCCAAATATACAGAGTCTACAGACCTAGTTTGTACTCTAATAAACTTTTCTTGTGAACAGATAGATTGTATTAGGGGGGAGGGGTGGTTGGGGGCAACATGGGTAATGTAACATTCTGCTCCCTCTCTTGAAAAGATGCATTGACAGCTTTTATACATCACTATAGGCTGTAGACAATATAACTTTTACTTATGATTCAACTTTAACATGATACAGAATTTAACATTTTAATCATTTACTATATTTATTTTATATGCTTCATGCATAATACTGTACATTAGTCAAAAGTACATGCTTATTTTTAGACAAAATGTACTTGGGATAGAAAAACTTTCAGAATGTTATGGTTCTAAATAAATATGCCAGTGAAAACATTATAGTGATCACTTATGTTAATTGTTCTTTTCACTTGGATGTATTACTTTAGAATGTAAATGTATCAAACAAAGGGGGAGGGGGTCATTCCAATGTCATAACATTGATGTTGAGTGTATGATCCATTATATACATGTATCACCAGTGAGAAATAACTCAGTATTCTTGCATGTTAGCTTTTATCGAGTTTGGAGTTTCACTTTTTTAACAACTGCTCCAAAGAATTTTATCATCACAGTAAAAACTGGAAAGAACACCTCAAAAGTGGAACAGGTTTTAAAAGTCTTGCAGCCCATTGACATGATAGACTCTATGTTGATGGACCTCTGTAAGTGGAACACTTTTTGTGGTTTCAAGGGTGTACCACTTACACAGGCTGTACTGTACTTAATTAAAAACAATATGAAGTGGCAAATAACTTTAATTCTCCTTTTCGCGGTTCGCTCTTTGAACCAGAACGTTCGCAAATATGCACTGAAAAAGCACTCAAAAAGGACAAAATTTGATTGGTCAATCTTTTCCCACTATGCATTTTGCGTAGCTATTTGCATGACACGAAAGTTCTAAATCAAACTAATTACTCAATTTTGTTTTTACACCCGCACGCTAAATAAAACAATGACACCATCGGAAGTATTCTTCTTTGTCATTGCTTTAATAGTCAGTGTACCGAGTTTAATCAATAAAAGATTGTACAACGAACAACAAAATTCGGAAACGAGTACTATAGATTTGCTTTCGGAACACTGAACGGATTGACCTAGATAATAGCGACGCGTCTTCTTTGGTCTACTGCTCAGTTGTTTGTGGGTTTTCAACGTAACTCTATAATGTAATTTGAAGATGAATATTTTTATTCAGTTGTTGCATCGATGTCGCAGTTTGTAGTGCGGTAAAATTGGCATGAAAGTATTGAAAGTCGAGTGGAATTGTTTTTTCCAATATGGCGACTAGTCTACTGATCACGTGACCTTCTCTTCCGGAATATTTTCTCACTTTTCAATCATTGTTTTCACCACGCTATGAATTAATACAATGAAAAAATAGCTGTTATATTAAGATTAATGAGAGATCAATCGTTTCTAATAATTTTTTCTGTACTCTCGTACGGGAATATGAACGAATATATCGTTTGAAAAATAGGTGTGAAAATCCCCATGTTAAACCTATGAGGGAAAATAAGGAAGTATAAATTTGTTCCTCCGCGAACTGCATCATGGGAAATATTTTGCCCTTATAAGGAAAGATTTTCGCGTCTTCTCTTTTGAAGAGGGAACAACGATTTCGAGAATTATGTTGACATCTACTTTTCAAGTCATGTGCACAAGGGGGGGGGGATTTCCCAAAGATGAGCATTGGTACTGGCATGTTCAATAACCGGGCCTCATATTGAACTCAGAATGTCCGCTGTTATTTTATGATTATTCTCTACAAGTGTGGATGGAGCAACTCAAATAGTTCTACCATAGTTTAGAAATGATGTTGAACTGAAATAAACCTTGCCATTTCCACGATTTCAAATACTTTGTGCATGTGCAGCTCTGAAAAAACATGTGCTTATGATGTTTCATATCCTACAATTTGATTGGTCATCATGTACTGTTGGGCAGGATTTAAATAAATTATGTTCATGAATACCAAGGAATACTGAAGAATTATGGGAGCTACCCACTTCTTTCATGTGTGCAGACAGATCTACAGGACAAAAGTCAACAGAACCAGAGTAATTTTTTCTGTTTTTCTATTTTTATTTCTTATTCATTGCAAATTGTATCATTACAACAACATAAGCCTATTTGGCAAACTGATTCACAGAGCATTTCTAGAAGTTCCACCACACTGGGTTATACATACAGCATATATTCTGTAAACCAAGTGAAATTATTTCAGCTGCCACCCTTTTATTCAAAAAATTCAGCCTCCCAAGAACCATTAATTTTAGCTTCGAGCCAATTTTGAATTATTTATCCTTGTATGGTCCTATTTTGAGATCATTCCAGAAGTAATGGATTTTTATAAGTGTGGCCTAACTTATGGTCTACGCACATGTTTTTAATGCATCTTCTTTGACCATGCTACAATGGGCTACAGGAAGCTCATGTACACACATAAACATGCAATTCATTCCTTGGTTGATGCCTTATATGGTAAAAACTAAAGGTACAAAAATATTCAGCACAAAACAACACTTTTACCAGCTTTAACAAAATATATCTTAAATGCATTTTTGTATTCCACGACCAAGAATAACAAAAATAAATAAATCATTCTGTACAAGAAATTGCAAAATGGGCAAAAGTCCGGAGAGAGTTAACATTAAAAAGATGAATTCTACCTCTCAATCAATTTATTTTGTGTAATTGATTTCCAGTACATCATTTTTATAAATAATATATGGCAACAAATTGTGAGCCCTCCTTAAGCTGTCCATAAAAGGACACTGGCCATAATGACATCAGATTGCTCATATCGTAACCTTGACACAATATCAAACAAATGGTGACATTGATTGATAAAGTGTCAAGATGTGCAGGTTACTTTATTATAAGTATTGAAACACCTTAAGGGGAAATGGGAACACGAACTCTCAATGCAAGACCACCAATCAAATCATACATGCATGCATTTTAGAAAGATCATTCATAACAATTCTAACAAATCAAACCCGTTATACCAATCGGATATCTGTACACTATATATACATATGATAAGTGTAAATTGTATCATGTATACATAACAACACTTGATTATTATTGATTGAATAGTGTATCAAAAATATTGCTACACTGTAATAGATTCATCAAAGGCAAATATACAATTCTCATATCAGATATAGTATATTATAACATGAGTATAATTATTACAATCTCTTGTATAATTTTGATTCAACCCAATAATGATTTGATGGTAGAGGTGTCACAGGTAACTCTCTTCCATGAGCCTTCAACAGTTGCTGTGGTTATCAATATTTTACGCTATAACAACACTGAACAAACTGAATAGTTTTCAAAAGCTCATGGTACGAAAAGGCTGCATATTTCCAGCCAAGTTTATTTTTGAGCTCTACTCTGTTTAGGCCTTCCTGAGTGAAGATCCCAACAGAGATATGGGTAATTTTCTCATCCCATTCAAAAGCCCATGAAACGAAAAGGCTGTATATTTCCAGCATAGCTTATTTATGAGCTCTACTCTGTCTTGGCCTGAATGAAGAGCTCTTGAAACTAAGATATGAGTAATTCCCTCATTCTCTTAGTATTCTGGAATTGCAACCGAAATCATTCCTTTTCAGACGAAACTATTGATCTGTCCCATTGTATCTCTTTACTGTTCCTTGACACCTCTACTTGAATTGCTATTTACATACGAACATGAAGAAAATGTGAATTGGCAATATGAGTATGTGGCATATGGTTCTAGACTGAGAAGAATATGATGATTCAATTATTGAGAAAACATATCTACTTTATCAATTCCGTCTCCTGAAATATATACACAACACATACAGGCAGGTTGCTGAAAATCGCTGTATACTAGTTCCCATATATTGATTTTTTTTCCATTTATCAGTCAGTTCTGGCATTTCACACTTAAAGGTCTTGTGGAGTTTCAACTACTTTGGCAATTCATGAGACATTTTTATTTGATGCAATTTGTGTTCCTAAACTTTGATGTAATGTGATGTGATGTGATGAAGAATTCACAAAATTCCTGACAGGGGCAGTGATCACGCATCAAGTTCAATTCACACTTGCATCCAATCCACTTTATACATAAAAATAAATCCTCTCCCAACCGGTCCCAGGTGCATATGAATACTTCATACATGTCCTTTATTTAAATTCAGAATAGTGAACATTTTCTGAATATTTCATACTCCAAGGTATAGTAAATAAAAAAGAGAAAACTATGTCAGGAGCATATTCATTTCTCAGGTTTTGCTATTTACATTGAGTTTTGTAGTCTTTATTGTGGTTTAGTGGTTTAGTTCGGTTTCCTTGACTTTGCCGCCATCACCCTCTGATACGAACCTCTTTCGTCCTCTGAAAAATAACCCAGTAATATGTGAATGTAAAATTTAACTGATCTATTGCTGAAAAGACAAGGTACTAACAAACAAAATGTCACCACCTGCCATTTGTTACAGACACTTACTGCTGAACACCACTAAATGCCAAGTGCTGATCACCATCCACAAAAATTTAAAATGAAAATGCAATCAGAATGATCACTTTCATATGTTACTTACCTATTTGGTAATTCTTTAGTAAGCTTATCCGTGAATGCGCCATCTCGTTGCAGGAAGTTGGCAAATCGTTCAAGGAGCATGTATGCTGCAGGGACATCTATACTGATTTCTGGCATATTTTCGTAGATTCTCATCATACCCTAAAAAAATATGTATACATTTCAAAATTACCTCAACCCACCCTGAACATTGCAGTCTCCAAATTATCTTAAATACAATATTTAGAATTATCAATATTTAGTTTTAACACTGAAATGATCTTTAAGACAAATAAGGCAATAAATATATATATATATGATTGATATACATGTACTATATTGCTGAACATACCGTTTCCATTTGGTCCTTGGTAATTATGACACTTTTGTATAGGGAGGCCAGAAGAGAGGACATCATTTTGGCAGATCTCTCACTGGATTCCTCAATGACTATCACAGTAGCCTGAAAATGTAGAATTAGATGGTCAAATATGAAGTACACACATATATTGAGAGCAACATAGGTTGTACATATAACACTGTTTCATCAGCGAATTACTCAATTACAATTCAAAATTAAAGAAAATATCTTCCACCAATCTCAAACAAACAGGGACTACAGGTAGTTTTGAGGTAAAATAAAGGAATTATATCAGTTCAGTTTAGATCTCAGCTATGTGAGTGAATATATGCTACTCACCTCATAAACAAGCTCATGGTGAAAATGGGGGACTTCAAGGTCTTTGAGACATTGCGTAGCTTCAGAGATATCCCCGGAAGATAAATATTCTTTCAGTAGTAGCACCATCTATAAAAATAAATAGTATATTGCTTTTTAAAAAAAACCAGTGGGTGATTACAACATCTCGCACCATGTGAGCTAAAAACATCAATCAAATGATTTGGTTTATAGTCATTCTTGTGCTTTGCCTAGAAGTGAACCAATAATAATTGTAAATGTTCAACAGTAACATGGTATAAATGCAGAGATTTTATCACATACTCTATTGATGAGATACAGACAGTGACAGAACCTGTATTTTACAAAAGCATTTTCCTGTGAAAGCGTACTGAATTCAAAGATTTTATCACATACTCTATTAATGAGATACAGACAGGGACAGAACATGTACTTTACAAAAGCATTTTCCTTTCAAAGCATACTTTATCATGTCATATATCACTCACTCTATTTATGAGATACTTCACAGGCCTGATGCCACCTCCAACACCCCAGACATTATCAAGGCGCACTATTCCATGTTTCATGTTCAGCAAAACATCAGTTTTCTCCAAGGCTTTCCTGCAAAATCAAAGAATTATTATGACGAATTCAACAAATAAGATACATCCATGCATTTGTAGTTCAATTCCAATGTCCCATAGACTTGATTAGAAAGAATAACATTTCAAAAAAGTAGAAAAGCATGTTGATTGAATATCTATATCGAACTCACAGTATGTGCTTATTGTCCACTTTGCCTTTGAAGCTGTGAACAAACTTTGGAGGTAGACAGTCATCTGCCACTGCCCTGGCAATAAACTGGCCTAGAATCTGAAAAGTAAATACCATACTTGTTTGACTTCATTAGCTTTAAGGTCCTAGGGCTAAACATGACCTCTGAACAGCCAATCCATCAATTTTCATCAAAATGGACACAGGGCCACACTGTATGTATTATTGACTCACTGATGTCAAAACAATGTCATATTGGTAACATGGTCTATTTCATTCAATTTAGGAATAAAGATTCTTGTCAACATTCACAATATAATTTTTATATATCAAATATTTGAACACATAATTAACTTATGGATCAGCTCTATCCACAGGAATTTGTTTCTTATATTACATGTGTTTAAAAAAGTGTAAAACGTTTATTTTTTCATTTTTTTATTCTTATTTATTTTTTGCGTTTATATCTAGAAATTGGACAAGACAGAATTCAAAAATCCTGGTACATGGTACAGTACTTACATCACATGCATCAGGACAGTCAATGACCAGCTCTGGCAGCTGGTGAAGAAGTTTATCAAAGCCCTGAGCCATTTCCCCCTGAGATAGGACCTTACTGTATAAGTCTGAGATCAGAACAGAGATCAACTCCCTACAATAAAACATAGACATATCAGGGGTTTCACGAGAACTTCTCACAACAGGCTAAATAAATGAAGACAACAGGCCAAATTAATGAAAATCATGAATTTAACATGGAAAAGTCCCTAAAAACAACAGGTGATTTTGTGAAAACAATCGGTGAAAAATGCCTGCTGCTATTGAAACCCCTGCATAAACTATAAAACGGGACTTTTAGTTAGCATCTGAATTTGGCTGATGGATCTACCAGCCCTCTATTTGTTAAATGAGAATGTACAAAATACATAAATTTTAGGGATCCTTCATTTCTAGAATAAGATTTGAACAAAATTAATGCTGGCAATAAATTCTATTTGTAAACTAGTGATTTGGATCATTGCTGTGAATCGGTGAAGTTGACATTTAGGGAATCAAAAACCTGAAGTGAAGGATTCTGATATGAGGCCATATGTTTTCAAATCAAATGAAATTTGAAACAAAACAAACAAAAAATTCTTTGTCGTATACAACAATACAAATCAACTTTATGTTGATATATGAAAATATAAAATCTCTAAAAGTTCCAAAACCTTTGGATTCAATTAGTACATAAATGCTGCAAAAGGAAATCATTTACTGTTTATCCTATAAGTGGAACTGAGACAAAATGTGAAACCAGGAAAAGATGTTGATGAAAACCAGTTGCCACATTGAATGCTTTGAGTTGCTGGCATGGATATGCTTTTATTCAATGAAAAAAATAAAGTTATCCAAGAGATATGCTATTATGGATCCAAGTCTTGGGCTGCCTTAAAAAGGCCAAGTTTGAAAAAGTGGGCCTCAATCTTTGAAAATTAACAAAATAAAGCTTGGGGATATTTTCAGATCTGCCCTTAATTCAGGTCAAGAATATTTTGACTGTTTATAAGCTTCAGCTAAATCCACGAGATATAACAGTTTGAGTTTACCTGTGAGATGCCTTGCGGTCCATGGCAAGGCTAACTGCAAGTTCAGTAATTTTGTGTTTCTTAGAGCCAATGTTCATTTCCTTAAGAGATGCCTGTAAAGCAAAACAATTATCATTATGTACTGTTGTTTCATTATGATTTACAATACCAATAGGGAAAGGTTAATTTAAGAAATTGAGATCTATGAGCAAAGAAAACATGATAAAGCGGTAATGAGGTCTATTACATTAGTCAGAAGGAAATAAATCAATATTCAGGAAAAAATAAATGAATCGGAATAATGGAAATTGATTTGCCATTCAAAATGTCAAACTGACCAAAATTTGTTGAAAACATACAGAGAAGTGTCAGAAATAACAGCTTCTACAATCTTGGGAGTATTCTAATGAATATTGACTTAAGACTGTTAGTTTGATTCAATCTTTGTTTTAAAATGTAATTATCCATATATTTTTCTAGAACTAGAAACACAATAACTCCATGGAGTAGCAAATCCCACCAAACAGAACATATTTCATCAAATTGCTCATCATTTTGAATATGACATGACAAAAATAACCAGGAAGTAGTATTGTCTCCTTTAGGCAAAATCTACACCCATGATGTGATGCCATATATCTTTAAGTAGAGGTCTATGAAGCCAATACAATTTTACCAAATCTGATATAGTCCAGTTGCCAAATAGGAAAATAACACCAAAGGTCGTTTTGTGGTAGAAAGTTTTTTTCTTTGCATTTTTGGATACCTTATTGTGTCTGCATAAAATATTAGGAAGATGCAAAATTGTGCAGGTTGAGCATTTTTTATAAAATGCCATTGAAATTATGTAATCATTTCAGAGGTGGGTGTGGCACTTTACTTAACATATTATAATATAAAGGTTGCATCTTCACCTCAATAGACTGATATCTTAAAGTGTAAGCATGCTAGTAATAACTACACATAGCTAGAAATGATTTATGAGCACAATGTAAAGCAATTAAATGATATATTACGTAACAATTTCAGGTGGATATGGCAATTTTGCTTCTCTTTACTCATTTTCACTTTTTTTAACTGAGCTTCCTAATATTTTTGTAACAATTCCCAAGATATGACCCAGGTATTCTATGTTTAACAACTGAACAAATATTAGCAAGTTGCAAAATACTGCAGGTTTTTATTTTTCATAATTAGGCATTAAAATTATGTAATGATTTTAGGAGGCGACGTGGCACTTTACTTCAAAAACTATCATATGAAGGTTGTTTCTGCTCAAGAACCAAGTGTTTTATTTAAGTGTAAACATGCTAGTAATAACTTCAGATAGCTATAAATGATTGATGTGCAATATGTTAATTAATGACGTAACAATCTAAGGGGGGTGTGTCAATTTTGCCAACATACCAGGGGCATGCTGCTTTACTTTACAAACCACAATATCAAGGTTGTTTCTGCACACAAACCAACTGGTGTATTGAAATTAGGATGTTAGTTATAAATTCAGCTACAGGTACAAATGGTTCATGTGTAAAATGTTAATTAATTACATCATGACATTACAATCTAAGGTGGGAGGTTCAATTTTGTCACTGTTTTCACTTTTATAGCAGAGTTTCTTCATATTTTTGTGACTGCTAAAGTATGACCCAAATATATATCTTAATCAATTGAAAAGGTATTACCAAGGTTTCAAAATACTGCAGGTTGAGTATTCTTCATAAATTGGCATTGGAATTATGTAATCATTATAGATGGGGGTGTGGCACTCTCTCCACTTAAAAACACCATATTAAGGTTTTCTTTGCGCATGAATCGACTGATATTTTAATAAAATAACTACAGATATTTATAAATTATTTTATGTGCAAAAGTATAATTAGTTGCATCATAAATTACATCATTTTATATAAAATTGTGGTTTATAATGCTATATCACCTGTTTGATTACCTAAATGCAGATTAATATGATAATAGCCCCAGGTGCTGTATAAATCAGTGCCATGCTACAAACATGTTTCCTGACCAAACCACTGACACATGCTCAGAATCAAGGCTTTGATATCATCTGACAGGGAGATTCATTCCATAGTATGGTGGCCACAATACAAAGTTAGCGATAGATAAGGGGCTTACTTCATCACTGTATATCAAACCCATTATGAAGTCAATGAAACTAACAACAAAAAATGGTATTATTGATGGAGGCTCAGAGATTTAAGCTATGATTTTGGCCAAGAGTATATCATATCTATAGGTCCACATTCAATACCAGAGCCTAATCTGACATGCTACACTATCAAATATGCATTTTGGAGGCATTCCATGTCATTCAGATAAATAAGGGTTATGTACTGGGAGGTCTTGGATATGGGGTTTATCCAGAGGGATATATGCATATCTACCTGAGGGACTGTAGGGACCGAAGATAAAAAACAACCAGAAGCCCCACTCCTAAACATTGGGTGTAGTCAGAACCTAATTAACCAGTCTTCACTATGATGACTTTAACAAGAGCTGAGCGAGAGGCAGAGTAGCTGCTATATATGGGACAGTTAAAGATATGCTTCCCCATGTCACATCAATTATGCCAGATATGGTTATCTATCCTATGCCAAGTAGAGTTTTAGGGAGATAAGTTGGTAAGATATATCCCGTATCCTGATTTTGAGGTTTCCATATCCAGAACCTCCATATCTCCCGCTTCGGTGCATATCTTCCCGCTTCCGGTGCATATCTTCCCACTTCCGGTAATGCAATAAAATGACTTTGCATATGAATGATTTGTATATTTTTATACCTTGTAGTATTGAAATGACCATATGCCCCTGAAAACTCAACTTGGTATATATAGGATAAAGCAGTTATGTGCAGTCGGTTTGGATATAGGGTTCATCCCTCGTGACATATGCACATCTACCTTCGGTCCCTACAGTCCCTCAGGTAGATATGCATATATCCCTCTGGACAAACCCCATATCCAAGACCTCCCAGTACATAACCCTTATTTATCTGAATGACATGGAATGCCTCCAAAATGCATATTTGATAGTGTAGCATGTCAGATTAGGCTCTGGTATTGAATGTGGACCGATTTGTTCTTAAAACAATGTTTATCAAGTGTGGATGTGGACAAAGCGTTACAATAACTTTGAAACCAGGAACCATAAATCTGTACATACAGTATAGTCTGAATGTGTGTAGTCAGCTGAACAAAGATCTTGTGATCTTGATGTCAACCTTTTATTTGAGAGTTGCTATGAAGACTACCACTGGGATGCACACAGTCATCAGGCAACAGAGGTGTCTGCAAACAGAATCCACAACCTGATCCCAACAACCCCTCTTTCTCTGCAAACTCCAACCATACAATTAGGAGAACAGGATATCAGAAAACTGTAAAACGCATACTTGCATACTGCTATGGGGTCAAACCCAGTATTCATTAAACTATATCGGATCCTAATATGAGTTAAGAGAAAGAGATCTTGATGAGTTGGCATATGATTATGAAAGAGATGATATTGTCCAAATTTTACTATAAACCGAGTCAACAATTCAGCAAACCTTTCTTTGAAAGATTGCCCCTTTTGAATCTTGTAATGTTATTGTTAAAACTCATTTCTTGGACATTAGGTAGATTATATATTTGGAGGCACAGTAAATTTAAAAACATCAGATTTGTATCATATCTCGAAATATCAAGCAACGCATTATGCAATATATAATCTAAATATTGAGTCTACTAGTGTATTTCATAATTTGCCATGTCTATTTGAATCGTAATTTATCTAGAATATGATACAGTAACCATTTACAAAGAAAAAACTTCCATTTCAAGTGCGAACCAACCCATACCTGCTGGTATATTAACAACAATACAATGCCCATTTTTGAGTGATTACATACTTCCAATGCTCTTTATGAAATATACTCACATAATAATTATGATAGTAGAATTACACATCAAATATCATATCATAGTTACATAACTACACGGTACAAATTTTAGGAAGCTCTGCTGAAAAAGTGAAGATGAGGAAACAGAAATTGTCACACCCACCTGTAATTGTTACATAATTTATTATGCAATTAATTAACTTTCCACATATTTCATTTTAGGTATCTATAGTTACAACAAGCAGGCATTACCTTTGAAAAACGGTTATTTCATGTACAGGAACAACCTTCATATGATAGTGTTAGGTAAATAGTGCCACACTCCCTTCTCAAATAATTACGTAATTTCAATGCCTACTTAAAAAGATATTCAAATTGCAGGAATGTGCATTAAGCTAATATTTGTGCATAAACATGCACACTTGGATATTCTATTCTTAATAGGAATAGATACAAAGATATTAAGCTCGGCTGAAAAAGTGAAAATGAGTAAAGAGAAGCAAAATTGCCATATCCACCTGAAATTGTTACGTAATATATCATTTAATTGTTTTACATTGTGCTCATAAATCTCATAAATAGCTATCTGTAGTTATTACTAGCATGCTTACACTTTAAGATATCAGTCTATTGAGGTGAAAATACAACTTTTATATTACAATATGTTAAGTAAAATGCCACGCCCACCTCTGAAATGATTACATAATTTAATGTCATTTTATAAAAAATGCTCAACCTGCACAATTTTGCATCTTCCTAATATTTTATGTAGACACAATAAGGTATCCAAAAATGCAAAGAAAAAAACTTTCTACTACAAAACGACCCCTACTGTGTCTACCGCTAGACTAATAATTGTTATTTGCATTATCTGGAAAAAATCATATTTTTCCTAAGAAATGGCGGCAATAAATTCCGAATTCCTTCTCAAGCAGTCCTACGCCAATAAGGCCTAGGCACATAAAATCTGAACTTATCCGACAACCTGTATTTGGAACTATGTTTGTTAGGAAAACTGAAACTCTTAGGTAGCGATCTGAGGCACTTCGATCAGGGTGTTGTCGGGACAATTTCTCTTGTGACTTAGGTTACGTAATTAGGTCTATCTCAACAGATTTTACTGGTCTTATGCGCCGCAAATGGTGCGAAAGATGTTAAAATTGCATTTTCGACCCTAAAATTCAGATTTCTTGGGGGTACATTATTATCTAGCTATAAAACAAAAACTAAACAACCAATGCTTCTTTCTTTTGGTGTTTCTGTTAAGAGTAATCATACTTACAATGCATATGTAAAAAAATTGAAGAATTTTAACTTTATTTAAAAACTGCAACATTTTTTCACCCTAAAATCATAGAATTTAGGGGGGTTGAGAGTCACTGATTGGTATTGATTTTTTAATTTCTCAATCAATCTTAGTTTAATATTAATGGAACTTTCCTAAAAGTAGCACCAACATGTCCCCAACACATTACTATAAAAAAAACTCAAACTCTAACATGTTTTTTGCATATAGGGGTCAATTTACCTCTTCCCTCTTTCCCTTTTTAGAAGGGCGTGGCCATATTGGCATGTTCATCTAAAAATAAAAACTTCATGTTCATATCCATTCTCTGATCACAGGGCTTCAAAATCCAGAACATATTCTTTCTTTTTACCCCCAGCGATAAGCAGTTACCATTGCCCCGATTAAGAACTCGTAATCTGATTGGCTGTCGCAACACTGCGACAGAAATCATGTATAAGTCATTGTGCATAATTAGATCACCTGATTCAGTTAAATCAGGCGCGTCCAAATTGGTTATCGCAGGGGGAAGAAGGAGGTAAGGATTCTGGACACCTGAGGATGGTTCATATCAGGTTATCATTTTTATGTCACCAACAAAAAGTGGTGACATATTGTTATGGTCTCTGTTCTTTTTTGACGGTGGTCAGTGGTCGGCGGTTTGTGGTTGGTTGTTGGCAATTGGGGTCTGTAACAAATTCTTACAATTTCCAATAATTAACAAATACTGTATAGACTGACTTCAATTGTTTTCAAAATCATCTACATGTTTTCAGATGTTCAAATCTGACTTTATATTTAAGATTTGACCTTCAATGACCTTTTCAAGGTCAGAAAGGGTCTTTTTTCAACTTGCTTCAAATTAACCATTTTTTTCAAAATCATCTATAAGTTATCGGAAGTTCAATTTTGACTTAAGGTTTGAGATTTGACCTTCAATGACCTTCTTAAGATTTAAGAATACAGATTTGATCATTAAATGTCATTCTAACGGTCAAAATAGATTTGACCTCCTCAAGGTCAAAAAGGTATTTTTATCTTGTTTCAACTAGGTGGTGACATTTTGTCATGTTAATGCCTTGTTTTACTTGTAGCTAGTGAATGTCTTTGAAATGACATAAGCCTAATACAATGGGACCTGTGTTAGTGAACACCTTTCTCTAGTGAACACCTGTGTAAGATGAACACCCTATTTTCAGCACATACCTTGATTCCAATACAAATTGTCTTTCTGTATTGAAATCTACCAATAGTGAACACATTTTTTGTGGCTCTATAGATGTCCACTGTACACAGGTTTTACTTTATACAAAATACCTTTAGATTTAACTTTAATTAATAAACTGATTATCTAATTGCAATTATAAATTGCTATCCATTATTTGCAGGGAACAGGAACATGTAGCAAAACAATAAGGGAGAATAGTAAGCTATTCAAGGCTTATTACTGTCTGATGTTCTATTATTAATTAATTTGATTGATTCAATTGATGGCTTTCTCAATCCATTCCAAATAGAGGACAATGATCATTTATACTGCATATCATCTGGAATGCCAACACCCTCTAATTTAGCAGATGCTCTCTTAAATGCAGCATCCAAGGGCACACAAGCCTTTAAGCAATTTATTCAAGACCAATTTGTGCAGAAGGGAAAAAGTTTTCATGAAACTGAAAACATCTGAATTCAATGCTGGAGTCAAAAAGGTGAAAAGCTCTGGAAACAAACTGATTGAGATTAGAGCTGAGTGCAATATATGTATTATATATGATATCAGAGCAGCATAGTATCAGTCTAAAGCGAATATTGGAATATCCCCGGAGTCCAATACCCTGGGCTCTTGGAACACCTGATAGGCACTTGGTTAAAACAGAAAAGTCAAAATTATTACATGAGCTGGAAACATATAATATTACATGGACCCAAACCAGAAAAAACCATTATAGTCTATGATGGAAATGCATTGTTCCATATACTTCCTGAGCGACCCAAAACATTTGGATTATTGGCAGAGAGGATCCTTCAGATGCTTCCTATAAGAAAGATTCAATTAAAGAACCAGAAAGAATAAGCAGGCGTGTCTCCAAAAAGCTAATAATAATAAAAGGACCTAATACCAGGATTCCTAACAATTGGAAGGAATTCCTTTTAAATGGTGAGAATGAAATGCAGCTGAGTCAGTTGATCCTTGAAGAATGAAAAAAGATAAAAATGCTCCTTAACTCAAAGAAAGACAGATTCATGTAGTGAGATCTGTACAGTGCACCAGTGATAGAACTTCTGTTACACATAGAGTTGAACCTAGTCTGAAATATTCCCACAAAGAGGCAGATACAAAAATTATACTCCATGCAATTAACATGAAATGAACCTGAAAATACAGAAAAAACTATAGTTGTGAGATCCCCAGATAGCGATGTTTTTTTGTACTTCTTGTGCACTTTCCAATCTCATTCAACTCCATTAATTTTTGACACTTAAAGGTGCAACAATTAGTGCAGGGGGGTAATTCAACGATCATCGACCAGTGTCAAAATATATTTAAGTTTGGATATGTCATCAAGACTAACATATATTTTTATTATCTACAAAGAAACCCCCTGGATGAACATAATTTCAGCTGATATTCCTCTTGAAACGTGGTGAATCTTAAAAATCAAATATAGAAGCCTTGAACTGAATTAACACTTCTAAATTGAGAGTTTATCCATACATTTTCAGAAAATAGGTATGTCAAAGAAGATGTAAAGCCAAATATTGACCTGATAGCTCAGAAAAAATAAAAAATTCGAATTTTCTCTCTAGTAGTAGGAAATGCGCTCAGTTCAGACATTTGTAAATTTGTAATGCTTTACCAGCCTTCCATTCATTCACTGGATGTGATTCCTTCAGTGCCTTTGTGAGAAGGGGGACAGTGTCCCCCCCCCTAAAATTACTTATGAGATCTGTAGAATTTCAAAAAGATTTCGGCGCCATTGGAGGCCGGTCATTAGTGATCAAACTGCTAAATGTGCTCAGAAGTTTACTTGCCAGATGTATGGAAACAAAAAGTGTTCAAATATAAATGAGCTGAGATACACCTTATTCGAGAACAAATTCCAACCAAAATCTGCTCCAAGTGTGATAACAAGCTATGAAGGCACTGAGATGTTATCGTATTAGATGATACTTTAGAAGATCAAAATGAAGAGGAAGTTTATGAAATACAAAGTTTTGTGGATGAAATATATTCTGGTGAATAAAAACTACATTTGTGATGACAGAAATTCATACAATGAGTAAAATTAATATTATGACTGAGTCGAGAACTGTGTATTAGATAATGTTCAACTTCAGATTTTTAATATTCTTATATCTTGAGCCTACATAGAATAAATATTGTATTATAAATAATTCACAGGTATGTACTATATGTATACACCTAAGTGAAAATATTTTATGGTAATATATTTGATAAAATACATGATATGTACTTGTATTCATTTAATGTGACATTATGCTACTGTTTAAATCCACATGAATTAATGGCCACACCCCTTTAATAAGGGAAAGAGGGGAGAGGTAAATTGACTCTAATAGATAAAAAAACATCAGAGTTTGAGTTTTTTGTTCATGGTAATATGCTGGGGACATGTTGGTGCTATTTTTAGGAAAGTTTCATTAATATTAAACAAAGATTGATTGAGAAATTTAAATATCAATTCCGATCAGTGTCTCTCGACCCCCCTAAATTCGATGATTTTAGGGTGAAAAAATGTTGTTTTTTTTAAATTAAGTTAAAATTCTTCAATTTTTTTACATATGCATTTTAAATATAATTACTCTTAACAGAAACACTAAGAGAAAGAAGCATTGATTGTTTAGTTTTTGTTTTATAGCTAAATAATAATGTAATCCCAAGAAATCTGAATTTTAGGGTCGAAAATGCAATTTTAACAACTTTCGCACCATTTGCGGCGCATAAGACCAGTAAAATCTGTTGAGATAGACCTAAATACATAACCTAAGTCACAAGAGAAATTGTCCCGACAACACCCTGATCGAAGTGCCTCAGATCGCTACCTATCTGTATAATGTGTATTAGAATTCTGATCTATTTGATAGATATTGGGATACAGGTACATTATTTTATATTTCTAATTTGGAGCCTTATAGATGTATTTTCTGATTTATTTCAAAATATAATTCCCATGATTTTTTCACTGCAAGAAAGGCAGTGCCAGTTTTAAAGTACTTAAGAGTATAAGAAGTACTCAATGAGTATCTAGTGAACTCAATGCTTATTACATGTACTCACAGCAACTTCATCAGTATCTCCATGTTCCAGGTACTCCTGTAGAATTGGTTCTACGGATTTGGTTAATTCATCCTCTGTCACCTCAGGCACTACCTTCTTTACAACATAGTCTCCATTCTAGAACATACACCACATGCATGGTCAGGTCATTCTACTTTACATCTTAATAGTTATTTGTACTTTTTACAGTGTTTATTTCTCTGTGCTTCAGACCCGAAGATCTGGAATGTTTCAAATTTAAAATAGTCTTCAAAATGTCTGGTCCAATGGAAAAAGTCATATACCATAAAAGATTATTCAAACATTTTGAAAATATCAAATACTTACACTGTCAGAGTCATAGTTGGGGTCTCCCTCATCATAGACATTCACTTCCTCCATCTCTGAACCAGGAGTTCCCCATGTTCCTTTGCCACCTGCACCACCTACAGAGATATAGAATAAAAAGTTATTGATTACCCCTCGTATAATAAGAGTTCCCCATGTTCCTTTGCCACCTGCACCACCTACAGATATGTATGATAAAAAGATATTGATTACCCCTCGTATAATAAGAGTTCCCCATGTTCCTTTGCAGCCTGCACCACCTACAGATATGTATGATAAAAAGATATTGGTCCCTCCTCATATATAGGAGTTCCCCTGTTCATTTGCAGCCTGCACCACCTACAGATATGTATGATAAAAAGTTATTGGTCCCTCCTCATATATAGGAGTTCCCCTGTTCCTTTGCAGCCTGCACCACCTACAGATATACATCATAAAAAGTTATTGACCACCCCTCGTATAATAAGAGTTCCCAATGTTCCTTTGACACCTTCAGATATATATAATAATAATAAAAAAAAGTTATTGATCACCCCTTGTAGACAGGAATTCCCTATGTTCTTTAGCTGCCTGTACCATCTCCAGATATACATTATAAAACTAATTGATCACCCCTCCTATATAGGAGTTCCATATGTTCATTTGGAGCCTGTACCACCTCCCAATATATACCAAGGTTATTGATCATCTCTTGTCTTCTAGTAAAATGACAAATTCCCCATTGAATCGCCTGATAGTTTTGAAATATGAGGAAACAGGCATGGTTTGATTGTTGATTTGTAACTTTTCAACATAAGCAGAGAATACAACTGTATGTATGATCATTTCATGGCAAGTATGACTGGTTCAAATCTACTTCTTCTTGACATGTGGGTAGGATGGTAGAGATATTTGTTTTGTCTTACGACAAACAAATATACTGAGGCCCAATGTAATGTTGATATTGTGCCAACTCTTTCTAATTGATACTGAAAATTACCGCTGGGGTAATTTTTATTTAATTGGAAAATACTTTTGACACAGGAGTAACAAAAATTTATTTACCCTGAGACCTACAGGACAGAAGTTACATATATAGCAAAATGATTAAGTTTATAGTTTGAATAATGATAGGATTTTAATGACTCTAAATGAAGCTTTAATGGCCTTTCAGGTTGATGAATTTCATCAACATAAATTGAATAAGGCAATATCAGAATATTATCTCTTATTCAAATGTTTAGATAAAGCTCAAGCTTTTTAAGAATCAAACTTACTGAAAAGGGTAACACTTATACTACCATGTGCAGAGAGACTTAAAGTTGACATATACAACAACTGGATGAAGATAAAAACAATACTAATAGCCTGAGGCCTATCATATAACAAGTTCAAATTGAAGTGATGTTTTACATCATAAAGAGACAGTTCATTGTTGTTTACCACAGTCAAATCATATAAGAGCCCTATATGTAGAATTAGGTGATCACAAAAGTTTCAAATATCACATAATCATCCTCCAATCACAGGGCTTCAAAATCCAGAATACTTCTTTCTTTTTACCCCCTGCAATAAGCAGTTAGCATTTTCCTGATTAAAATGAAAAAATTCTTTATTTATTAATACAGAGCTATATGTATGCTGATTTAGAATTTTTATTTGTCAATGAAGTAATTTTGTTGATTGTTATTTAGAAAATTTGCATTGGTAATTAACAGTCATAAACACTGAATGTGTTTCAAAATATGTTGATGACTCCTCTTGTAAATATCTGATTTGATAATTATATGTAGTAAACTACATTATTAACTCAAAAGTTAAAACCAAATTGATAAGGTCAGATAAAAAGTTTTACTGCACTGTTCACCAAACTATGAGCAGTTTACTGTGTAACTTGCAATAATATTACACAGGCCCGTAAGACACTTTTCTCCAAGGGGGGTGCGGTTTTTAGCTTACTAAAGAGAATATAAAATTGTCAATTTTTTTGCCGCGTAAATCAAATCGCGTAAGACAGAGGGGGGGGGGGGGGGTCAGTTACTCCCTATATTGGTTTGGAATTAACAAATGCAACTTCCAAACGTTCCATTTGTTTTGTGGGGGGTGTGAGGAGTGGTCCACTCCCCCTAGAAAATTTTACAGTTTTGAGATGCTATTTGGTTCTTTCTGGGCACTTTCAAAGTGTAAGTTTCCAAGTAGTACGCCACCACCACGGGAATAAGAGTTGAGTGAAAAAACGAGCATTCAGGGGGGTCTGGGGTTCTCCCCCAGAAAATTTTTGAAATTTGGTTGTATTTGGAGCGAATTTGCAATCATCTGGTACACCTGTGCGTTATGAGTCAATAAGAAAAATGTGATTTTTTTTCAAATTATTTTGGGGGTGTCAAAGAGGATGAGAGGGTGAAGTGGGGTGGGGTTCCAGTAGGGGAGCAAGGGGTTGTCCCCCAGGGGGAGCAAGTATCAAAATTTACAATATCAAGGTGCTATTCGATGAAGTTTGGGCACTTTAAAAGTGTCTGTGCCTAAAAGTGCCTATTTCCCAAGAAAATTTTACAATTTTAAGATGCTATATGGTACTTTCTGGGCACTTTCAAAGGGGGGGGGGTGTTAAGGGGGGGGGGGGGGCTGCCAGAGGGGGAGTGGGGATGCCAGAGGGCGAGTAAGTGTTAGTCTTCCAGAATCGTTAACTTTATCAAGGAGCTATTTGATGATGTCTGGGCAATTTAAAAGTCTCTGAGACAATACATAAAACAAATTCAGAACTTTTCCATTGTTAAATGTTTGGGGTTAAGGGGTGGCCCACTCCCCCTAAAAAATTGTACAATTTTACGTCGCTGTTTGGTGCTTACTGGGCACTTTCAAAGTGTATGAGTCAATTAAAGAATTTGAGAAAATGACAATTTTTTTTTGGGGGGGGGGGGGTCAAGGGGGGCGCCAGAGGGGGGGGGGGTTATGCAAGTGCAAGATGCAAGAGGGGGAGCAAGTGCCCCAGAAACACTAACTATATCAATGAGGTATTTGATGATGTCTGGGCACTTTAAAACACTAAAATAAATTTAGAACTTTTCCATTGTTTTCTGGGGGGTGTGAGGGGTGGCCAATACCCCTAGAAAATTTTACAATTTTAAGATGCTATTTGGTGCTTTCTGGGTACTTTCAAAGTGTATGAGTCAATGAAAAAAAAATTTCAAAAAAAAAATTTTTCAAAAAAAAAATTTTTTCAATTTTTTTTGGGGGGGTAACAAAGGGGGGGTGCGGTCGCACCCATCGCACCCCCCCATCTGACGGCCCTGTTACAGTATATCAAAAATGAAACATCTGTTAAATCATGCCTGTATAAGGTATTGTTTACCAGTTAAATTGTTTATACCTGGGCCGGGAGGCAAACAGATGTCTATACAGTATAAAGTACTGAAATTATCTGAATGTACACTTGACCTTCTCATAATAGTCGATAAATTACTAGTTTTCTGAGTGTGAATAGTAGCATAGCAAAACAAGGTAATAACTTAGAGTAGTTCTTTTAGAAAGACTGTGTTGTGACCTAATGCCCCAGGATGGACATCCCGGGCTGATATATTTAAAAGAAGATTCATTCACAACTGTTCTACATGGCTGAATATAGAGATATTATAGTTGCTTGTTGCTCTTTACCATATAACATAATGAAGAACACATTTAATTCTTTAAGACCAATCTATGTTTCTTTATTTGCCAATTTTGCTCTTGCATGAATCTATAAACGGATGAGCATAATGTACATCCCTTACTCGAGTCTCTAGCCAAATTACTTGACTAGAAGACCCAGCCTAGCATGTGGACCACCGTGCACTAGTGAAAAGGATCATTCGGAGTAAACATAAATTCATGTGTTATTTTAAAAATCGTAATGAGAATATTTCATCAAATAGGATGTAAACAAATACTATCCTTTGTGAGATATTGCAAGCTTTCGTCTAAAATTAAATCAACGGCTCCAAGAAAAATGGTGGATGTTCAACGACAACGACAAAAACTGGACGAATATGTCGTTAATGTCTGACATTATAGCTGGCTGTAAATTCAAGCAATCTAAAAGACTTGAACTAATACACTGATCACTTCCTGTGTGTTTTGAAAGCTTTTGTGAGGTAATAAGACCAAAACTTGCAATTCAAATTGTGAAGTGAAAAAATGGCGGCTGGTTGATTTCAAATTTTATGACCACGACGAGGCAGAACAAAACACACAGGGATTTATGCATGGCATAAGGCTGCAATATAATGGAAGCATTAGAATAAGGTAATACATGCCACACCTCCCATATCAGAAATCTGATTGGTCAAATTGATTTTTAAAGCAATTAATTGTATATAATGCTACTGCCTTCTTCAAAAGTATCTCTATTCTAGTTTCACTATACAGTACAGTATACATGTAAACATGTAGTTCAGGTAAGTGTTGACACCACCTTTTCAAGAGGTCATTGGCCTATATCCGTTATCCATAACAAACCCTTGCAAAGAATTTAGCATCACCTTTTTTCATACAAACCAAACATTCACCAACCAAAAAGGTGTCAGGCAATAATGAAACCTTATTTATGCATATAATAATGAAGCTTATGTGAATTCACATATCAAAAACATATAAAAAATACAACAAAAAACTATCTCTATTCATTTTACAACTTATGAAAAGTAGGTCAAATCCAGGGGCCTCTAAAGAAAATCACATGGTAATTTCAGAATTCTGCTCAGGCTTGAAGTGTTCTCCTAAACTATGAACTTTATCACTATTTATCTAAGTTATACATCAAAATTATATTTCATAAATTACATTATATAATAATCAAGGTTTCTACGATAAATAAGATCACATAACTGTTTTGTCAGGAGGTGAAATTAAAATTTAAAATTTGTAAACAAGGTTACCTTTCTTTGGCAAGCCCCTTCCAAAACCAGTGCGAGATTTACGACTATTTTTCTGCAACTGTTTTGGCACCAAACTTGATATGTCACCATTAACAGCCCCTTCAACAACATTGGGACTCTGTCTTAGTGTTCTCTTAGCTTTATGGATAACTCTTCCTTCCTTAGTTGGGGTGATATTTGGAGATTCTGAAGGCACGTTGTTGTTTCCGTTCTTCAAGTCAACCTCGCCATTTTCAACAACTGGAGTGCTCTCCATATCCGACATTTTTCTGGCCTTTTCTGTATGTGTTTCGACTCAGAATTACTAGCTTCACAGACTAAGGCCTGGAGTCTTAGTGCAAACAATGTTACTTTTAGCAATTCCACGTGGGAAAGTAGTTTAAAGTTGTATTCAATATGCTTCAGTTTTTCAAAACAAATATGGACGTCTTCTTGGTTGTTTTGGTCAGGTCACGTGACAGGATAAAAGTCAAACTCTGACAGCTCAATGACTAACGAAATCATTCAATTTTCTATTCATAATTCACTAAAACTCTCCAAAGATTATTAAACTGATGCAATAATATTTATGAAAATTATATCAAATTACACATATGGACACTTAAGTCGTTTATTGGTAAACTTGATCAGACAGGGTCAACAGGTGCTTGTCTGTTCGTCCACGGAAGAAGATGGAACAAGAATCAGATTTGATTCAAACTGTTCAAATAAGTTCTGCTGATGCTGCAGTTGTACTGAACGGTAGTATATTTCCACTGAATTCCTTAACCCTAGACACAGATAAACCTGAAGATCTGGCAGTAGATAAGTTTGACGTCCACAACCCAGAAAATTTGACCCAAGGTGGAGGAGTGATTTTGGACACAAGAAATGGGTAAAAAATCCTTCACATTTCTTATTCTAACAGCTACATATGCACTGTAAGCTTAAGTACAGTACACTTGTAACATGATGATGTTAAGAAGCCTGTTGTGAAAAAAAGCACAATCAAGACCCCCCTTTTGCATGTTGAATCCGCTTTCGGGTCTGCTGATGCTCGTGCGCTTGTGTGTTAGACTAGATCTAGAGTCCATTTCACTGCTTCATTCCGTCAGTAGAACGGCAAAAATAAGAAATTGGGAGACCATTGTGCAATAATATATGGAAAAATATATTCGTAATATACATGAATGACATTTGTATATCTTGGATTGCTTCTAGATTGACTTATAAAGTGTGTGGCCTCTTAAATTTGGATGTTTCTCTGCCATGTTATTTTCAATAAGATTAACATGGCTGAAATTCTTCAAATTACAAGACGGCACAGGCTTATTGCACAAAAAACTAAAAAATCTGAAATATACAAATGTCATTCATGCACATTATGAATATACTTTTCCATATATTATTGCACAATGGTCTCCCAATTTCTTATTTTTGCCTTTCTACTGATGAAATGAAGCAGTGAAATGGACTCTAGACTGTGTTTTAAATACTATAGTCAAAACATAGACTATATCGTTATTGTTAGATATCGGATATAAAATGCATATAAAATTGAAACGGAAACCTATAAATCGCTTTATACAAATGCATGTAGTTTTTTCACATAAAACAATCGATCGGTTACAGTGATTACTTAGTCCGTTACTTAGACTACATACATGTACAATGTATCGTTGTGTACTATGCCATTGATAGTTATATAGCTGGTTTTCTATGATTCATATTTTAAACAAGCTCGTTTCCTAATATAGTTGGAGCTAAAACTTATATGACATACATTATTTTCTTCAGAAAGCATCATACTATGCATTGAAATCAAAATGAAATGTTTTTTCCAGTTTGGTCCATCTAACAGTCAATGAAGCAGCAGGTACATCCCTAGATCAACTCAACACAACCAGCAAGGATCTACAACAAACAGGTATTAAGTGAGGAATGTGAGGGCACTGGACACTCAGAGTAATTTATTGGTTCCTTGTTCTTAGATGAAATATCCAAAGCCATTGAGTCAGTTTAATGACATCAATTCACATGTGGTAATAAATGAAAATCTGCATTGTTTATGCCATCAAACATTTTTTCCTCTTAAAATTAATAGTGAACTTAACAGAAAGTGATCAGATTTTCAGATATTCACATATGTTCACAAACACAGGTCTATCTGTATTGTTGAATTTTATAGTATCCCTGTACACCCAGGAACAGCTGGCGGCAGCTCTGAGCAATGCACAACTACTTGAGATAGCAAATGAATCAAATCAGGAACTCGGAGATATAGGTGTCAGCACAGTTTCTTCACAAAATGTTCTGACCTTGACCTCATCACAGGGCATTTTCACAACAGCGCGAACCAATTTAAGTTCATCTGAACATGGCTACCAGATTGTTACAGAAAAGGTACAGTTACACCAAAATAATATTTTCAAAACATTGAACTTTGTAATCCATTCCTTGAAGCTGTGTACTGGTGTATTACTTCAGATAGACACAATGCAATAGACCCACTGACCAGTAGTTTTGGACTCAATTTGATTATCATATTCAACCATAGAAAGACTTTCAATCCCCAAATCTGTGATGATCTTGATTTTGGTTACAATTGACAGTGATTTCAAACCAATTTATTGTTTCAGCAAAAGAAGAAGGGAGGATGGCCAAAAGGCAAGAAGAGAAAGCCAGGCTTGAGAGAGAATAATGGTCCAAAGGCACCAATGACTGGGTAAGTTACATATTATTTTGTGTTTATTTATATGAAATCAGTTACAATACACCAAGGTTTCAACAGCAACAGGCAATGCTTTCCAGTAATCCAGTTGTTTCGTCTTTGTCTGTAGTTTTGTGGGATTTTGCAACTGTTTCTAGTAATTTTGCCTGACTTTTTCATTCATTCCCCTGTTGTAAAAAACTCTAAGCTGGTGTCCAGGTAACACAAATGACAATATTGAAATAACATTACATTTCAAAAGCATTACACTTCTGACTAATATTTTCATGCTTTTCAAATAGGATTGTGTATATCATTTTATGATAAAATCACTTGAGGGTGAGCATGGCTCGTTCAAAATGTTCAAAAATCTGCATGATGTCAGTATTGTTTGAAATTTTATTTTTTCACAAGGTATACATTGTATGCAGTAAATCGACGCAAAGTCATAAAAACGCTCAATCCAGAGATGAAGTTCACGGAACTGACAAAGATCATTGGTCAAGAGTGGACGGCAATGGCTGCTGATGACAAACAAGTAACTCCATCTTTAAATTGATAATTCAATGATTATTATTTTCTCAACACATAATGCTAATCTCAGACAGAAGAGTAGTGCCTCAGTCACACTTAATCTATGGTGGGCATACAGTAGCCCTAGCTTCCCAAAATCGAAAGAAATGTGAAGCATTAAATAAAGAGATTATGAAGTCGATTTTTTATATCAATTTTGTGAAGCTACAGCCCCCATACACCTGCTGTAGAGCAAATGTCACTGAGGCTTAACAGCGATAAATGAATTCCTTAGTTTCCACTGTATTTCAGAATTTCATTTCATGTGATTTTTTCAGAAATACCTTGATGAGGCAGAAAAAGATAAAAAACGTTACATAGAAGAATTAGAAGTTTACAAACATTCAGACTCCTACCAAACTTATTTAAAGAGGAAAAAGCTGAAAGAACTTTGTCAAGGTAGCCATTTTTTCTTGTTATAAGCAACATGAAATGCATAATGTATTATGTCAATGAAATAAATGAGCCAAAAGAAACCCAAAAACAAAAAAACATGAAATACATATAGCATATTTTGTTTTGTAAATTGAGTTTGGAACCACATTCAGTTGCTAAGATTTTTGTTTTGTTCTGATATTATATGATTGAGAAAATTGTAGTTATAGATTAATTGATTATCATTGTATGTTGTAAATAATCGAACTAAAGTGTTGTAGATGCAAAAAACTATATGTTGGATGTATTGTCTGTGTTGTAGATGCCAAAAAACTATATGTTTGATGTATTGTTTGTGTTGTAAATGCCAAAAAACTATATGTTGGATGTATTGTTTGTGTTGTAGATGCCAAAAACTCTAAATGTTGGATGTATTGTTTGTGATGTAGATGCCAAAAAACTCTATATGTTGGATGTATTGTTTGTGTTGTAGATGCCAAAAAACTCTATATGTTGGATGTATTGTTTGTGTTGTAGATATGGACACAAGTGCAATACAAGATGCTGACCTAGATCCCCTGTCAGACTCGGATAATGATGAACTTTATTGTAAAATTTGCAATCAATACTTTGTATCGAACCACAACAAAAGGGAACATTGTCTAGGAAAGGTGCATCTACAAAACCTGACAGGTCAGTGAGATATTAATGGAAATGTGAACAAATTAATTTTATTCTCATTGAGAAGTACATGTTCATCATACATGTTAGATAGATATACACAGATGGATTTAGATGATATCTTAGGAGTGGGCAGGAAATCTATTCTTTATGTTTTGGAAGATATCTCCTGGGAATTTCAGTTTCAGTTTGCATTGCATTCATTATTTGTGTTCTCATCAATAAAGTCTCTGTAATTCAAAAGTATGAAATACAATAACATTCATGGCCTGTTGTGCCAATAAAGTATGTTTTTTTCTTGACAAAACAACAATTTGCTATCATATTGTTACAGGGGAGTATGAGAGAGAAATGCGTGAGAAGAAAAATGCTGGGTTGATTAATGGCAATGGGCTCACAGATGAGGCCTCCAACACAGCTGATAATGTACATCTCATGGGCCCTCTGAATTGCTCCCCATCATCTAATGAGATAGATGTAAATGGATTTATGATGGGATTTATGCAGAAAAATATAGGTGAGATTCAGCTACTACAGGTCACAAGTCAAAATATCAATGTTTTGCAAAAGTACAGATAAGCAAGGATGAGGCCCCTCTGCGCTAAAGCAAATAGACATTGAAAACATTTATTTCATAATTTGACCCAGCTTAATTGTACACGAGAAGTATGACATAGTGATCTTGTTTCATCTGAACAAATGCTCATACCCACTCATACTTCATTCAAGTATGGAAAATGAAGGTCGAGTTTAAAATGATCATGTGGATATTCTACTATTAGTGCTGTCCCTAGGTCTGATTTCGTTACTCGGCTCGGAAAAAAGGTTTGTGGATATCATTTTGTTCCAGACACTCTCTAGAATAAATTCATCTTGGGTGGAGTAAAAATGTGTGGTAAACGAATTTGCTATGGGCAGTTAAAGAGGCGCCATCTATTCATTTTCAAACAGGGGGTAGGGGTATAAAATAATTTTTTAACACATTTTAATAGTAAAATGACATTGAAATACTAATAAAATCTTATCAAAAACATTATTTACAATCAGTATGAATTTTCTTGTGTGGATTAGGGTGAAAATAAGGGCATATCTTGAAATTCACTACAGGGGCGCCACCTATTTTGGTACTTCTACCACGTGTAATAACTTATTTTAGATTCGTTAAGGTACGAAATGTACTGAAAAAATTCATTCTGAAGGACCTATATATGTTCATACCACATACTTAAAATTAGATCAATAGCTTATGTACCGGCTGAGAAAAAAATTATTGAAATTTAAAATTGTGGTATCATGCAGGATAGGGGTGACCATATCTCACATTATTAACTTCCAAAATATGGAGCATATGTATCTCAAATGTGCTCAAAATGTTGTATGTACTCTTGCTTTGTCATAATATTATTAATAAGAAGTAGAAAAATGATTGTACATTTTAGAAATTATTAATTCTCATTTTGGCTTCTGACGTCCCAGGGGTGACCATATCTCACCTTTATAACTTCCAAAATATGGAGCATACATGTATGTATCTCAAATGTGGTCAAAATGGTGTATGTACTCTTGCTTTGTCATAATATTAGTAATAAGAAGTAAGAAAATGATTGAACATTTAAAAAAATATTAATTCTCATTTTGGCTTCTGACGTCCCATGGGTGACCATATGTCACCTTAATAACTTCCAAAATATTGAGCATATGTATCTCAAATGTGCTCAAAATGGTGTATGTACTCTTGCTTTGTCATAATATTAGTAATAAGAAGTAAGAAAATGATTGAACATTTAAAAAAATATTAATTCTCATTTTGGCTTCTGACGTCCCAGGGGTGACCATGTCACCTTAATAAGTTCCAACATATTGAGCATATGTATCTCAAATGTGGTCAAAATGGTGTATGTACTCTTTGTTTGTCATAATATTAGTAATAAGAAGTAGAAAAATGATTGTACATTTTAGAAATTCTTAATTCTCATTTTGGCTTCTGACGTCCCATGGGTGACCATATGTCACCTTAATAACTTCCAAAATATGGAGCATATGTATCTCAAATGTGCTCAAAATGGTGTATGTACTCTTTGTTTGTCATAATATTAGTAATAAGAAGTAGAAAAATGATTGTACATTTTAGAAATTATTAATTCTCATTTTGGCTTCTGACGTCCCAGGGGTGACCATATCTCACCTTAATAACTTCCAAAATATGGAGCATATGTATCTCAAATGTACTCAAAATGGTGTATGTACTCTTGCTTTGTCATAATATTATACTAATAAGATGTAGGAACATGTTTATACATTTAAAAAATTTTAATTTTAGCTTCTTACGTTCCTGGGTAATCATATCGCAACATATAATAATAATAATAACTTCTAAGATATGTAACATATACGCCTCAAATATTCTCAGAAAAGTCTTGTCTTTCATATTACTAATGAAATGTAGAAAAATGATTGCATTTTTTTAAAAATTTTAATTTTAGCCTCTGGTGTCCCACCTTGATAACTCTCACAATATGCAACTTATGCATCTCAAATGTGTGCTCAAAATGGTATAAATATAGTCTTGTTTTGTCATATTTATTTAGAATCATAAAATCAACAGTTCAGAATCAATGGATGTTGACTGTCTCCTCTACAGCTACATATAATTCAGGGCAAATAATATCTGCTTTCAAATATTTGCATCTGCTCCCCAAACACCCCCTACAGGTACAATGGATGAGATTATTCCCTTGCATAACTTGGACCAAACATCTTTTGTAATCCATACAGGAATCCTTTTAGCCTATCAATAGTGGGAGTACTTTACTCCATTTATGAAGTAATGGCAAATGTTGATAAGATGTTAATATGTTATCCTGTGGCCTGCAATATATGCACCTTGGATCATACACTGAATTAAGGGATTTTGAGTACGTAAAATACGGGAAAAGGAGCTCTTTGTAATGATAAATCTTTCTAGCCATATTCTCTAGTTTTCATGTTTGTCATACAACATACATTGATTGTATTGAAATATTAATTTATGATTGTGACGTCCCGCACTTCTAGGGTCCCAGAGAAGAGCTTAGCTTTTGGAACACTTGCATTACTCTTGGCATGATAGGCCATACAGTGAATACAATTGTTGAGATGGGGCAAGAACAATATAGCACATTCGACAAAAGGCAACTTGAAAACCTTACAGTACCATTTGATAGAACCATATCCAGGAACAAAGTTCTTCAGTTTATTAGGCCTCCAAAACCTCCATTCATAACAGATTATGGAAAACTATAGTTCCTCCATTAAATTAAATTTAGAATGACCATGCCAAAAATTAGATCATTAACATGCTAAAACCCAACAGTGAAAATATGCAGAACATGAACATAAATGATTGTGCAAATTAAGTAATATTTCTTCCCCACATATAAAACATAGAAATGGAACAAGGGAGAAGGTATATCATACTAATTCTCTTGTAAATTTCCTAAGATGTGCCAAGAACAAGAGTGATCTGTTTTCCTTCCAGACATCAAAACTTTATGCTAAAAAAACTGAAAGTGTCAATTTGGATTGCATACTGAAAGAGGAAATCTTATCAGTATCTACCTTCCCATGTTATTATTGCAGAATATGGCCATGGCAAAACTTTAGCCCTTTCCTAATGCAATCATTGCATGTGATGCCATATCTGCATTCTAATACTGTTCTAAATCATCCGATTTCCGATCTGGATTTCTTCTGATACATGTAGCATAGAATGAGACATTGCAGTTATAAAGTCATTTGTAATTCTGATAGACAAAACATGCAAACGAGAGAATGTCAATCGGGATTAGAAGTGACTTATCGCCCTTGTAATTTAGCAGTGGGACAGTTTGGTGTATGTTTGGGCATAAATGCGCCTTTAAGGCCTAATTTTTCAGGATATTTTCAAAATTTCGGGTCAGATTTGGGGTTAAGGGGCCAATTTTGGTAAAAGAGGCTAGGCTACTCATACTACTGATAGGCTACCAGTATACAAAAGATGTTGCATCCAAGGCATGCAAAAGACTTATCGTCCATTGTTCCTGTAATATAAGGAGTGTTTGGGGAGAAGATGCAAATATTTGAAAGTAGATATTATTGTCTCTGGGCTATATGTAGCTGCATCTTTCAGGGGAGACAGTCAAATCCATAAATTCTGAACTTCTGATTTTATGAATCTCAATAAATATGACAAAACAAGACTATATTTATACCATTTTGGGCACACATTTGAGATGCATATGTTGCATACTGTGAGAGTTATATCAAGGTGAGATATAGTTGCCCCTGGGATGTCAGATTCGGAAGCTAAAATGAAAATTTCAATTCAAAAAAGGTGTAATAATTTTTTCTACATCTCATGAATAATATTATGACAAAGCAAGACCATATGCCCCATTTTTGGTATATTTGAGTTGTATATGTTACATAATTTTAGAAGTTATTGAGGGACCTCAGAAGCTAAAATTAAAATTAAAATTTTTTAAATGTATAATCATATTCCTACATCTTATTAGAATAATATTATGACAAAGCAAGAGTACATACACCATTTTGAGTACATTTGAGATACATATGCTCCATATTTTGGAAGTTATTAAGGTGAGATATGGTCACCCCTGGGACGTCAGAAGCCAAAATGAGAATTAATATTTTTTTAAATGTACAATCATTTTCTTACTTCTTATTACTAATATTATGACAAAGCAAGAGTACATACACCATTTTGACCATATTTGAGATACATATGCTCCATATTTTGGAAGTTATAAAGGTGAGATATGGTCACCCCTGGGACGTCAGAAGCCAAAATGAGAATTAATAATTTCTAAAATGTGCAATCATTTTTTTTTCTACTTCTTATTAGTAATATTATGACAAAGCAAGAGTACATACAACATTTTGAGCACATTTCAGATACATATGCTCCATATTTTGGAAGTTAATAATGTGAGATATGGTCACCCCTATCCTGCATGATACCACAATTTTAAATTTCAATCATTTTTTTCTCCGCCGGTACATAAGCTATTGATCTAATTTTAAGTATGTAGTATGAACATATATAGGTCCTTCAAAATGAATTTTTTCAGTACATTTCGTACCTTAACGAATCTAAAATAAGTTATTACACGTGGTAGAAGTACCAAAATAGGTGGCGCCCCTGTAGTGAATTTCAAGATATGCCCTTATTTTCACCCTAATCCACACAAGAAAATTCATACTGATTGTAAATAATGTTTTTGATAAGATTTTATTAGTATTTCAATGTCATTTTACTATTAAAATGTGTTAAAAAATTATTTTATACCCCTACCCCCTGTTTGAAAATGAATAGATGGCGCCTCTTTAACTGCCCATAGCAAATTCGTTTACCACACATTTTTACTCCACCCAAGATGAATTTATTCTAGAGAGTGTCTGGAACAAAATGATACCCACAAACCTTTTTTCCGAGCCGAGTAACGAAATCAGACCTAGGGACAGCACTATATGAACATACATGTGGATTACCTTTTTTCAGAAAGAGAAAAAGAAATCAAACAGCTGAAAGAGACACTTGAGGAATCTAAGGCAAAGTTTACAGGGTACACTGAAACATCCAAAGACCTCAAGGTATTCATTAAGATCACCTGATTATGTAAAGATGTCACTCTTTTGTCACTAATGATATTTTTTGGTCAAAAACGGGAATTTTTATGTCACAAAGGTTATTTTTTGTCTCTAATGATATTTTTTGTCACAAAGAGAATCTTTATGTCACTAAGGTTATTTTTATGTCACTAAGGCTATTTGATGTTAATGCCTTGACATTTACATGGTACTTTTGTGTTATACTTATAAAGTAAATGAATAGCTTTCTTACTGAAGGGGAATCTGTCCATTACATTTATAAAGGCTTAGCCTACATGTTTGTATAAAATCTTATTGATCAACTTCAGGAGCTGGAATCGAGACTTGAATCTGATTTAGAGAACTTCCAAGCATACGGAGCCGCTCTTCAAGCTCAGATTGACTCTTTAAAAATGGTGCCGACTTTATTTGGAGTCATAAACTTTGCTCATACAAATGAGAAACCTGGTCCTGGACATACAGATAGTGATCATAATGTACTGTGGTAGCACATGTAAACATGTGGAGTTCCTAGTTGTGTTATGGTTGGCTAAGTCTCCATGCTGTACAGGGAACAAACAAATCAACCAGGTTCCAATTCAGTTCTGAAATGTTCCTAGGAACATAATAAAGTGCCGACTTTCCTTTGATACCTGCTATAGGGAATGGTTTGCAAGTACGCAATTTTGGTAGATATTGGACTGCAGGATTAAGCCCTGCATATGTTGAAGTTCCCAAAATATTTAAAGTGTTCCTGATAAACTGATGCATGTATTACACTGTAAGTGATACCTTGGTCTATTGGTCTCTATTGAATATGCTTTTTTCTTTTTTTACCTTCAGCTGATCCAAGACTGAAAAATATGTATTCAAAAATGAATTTCTGACTTACTATGAAATTATTTAAAAGTCATTACCCTAAGTCTGGAGTGGGCTAAAGGCTAATTTTTTCAAAATTTTACATTCACCATGTTAATGATATACAATGAATGAAATGCAATAATTGGTTTATTTTTGCCAAAAGTGTATCGAATCAGTATTGATTAAATAACATGAATTAAGGTCACCAGATAGCTACTGTTGGAATAAAGGTTTTTTCTCCTCTGGACATTGCTCCTTTTTAAGCCTTTCCTGTGTTGATCAGGAATGCTGTGAAGTGACTGACGGTGTCAAAATTACCATTTCTATTATACAAAACATTCTAGTGATAGAAAACCAGTAAAACTCTTGATGTTCTCCACCCTAAAAAACTGTTATGTCTTTGAGACGTCATGTGCCATGTTCCAAAATGAGCATTTCGATAGTTTGTTATAAAATCAGATTATCGTGATTAAGTATTATACATTAGTGGCAATGATGTAAACATGTTGTTAATTATGATTGAGAAATATTTATTTGTTTTATTTTTATAATAATAATATTAATAAATAAAATCAGAAATAAAACTTGAAAGTAAAATATTTTGTTACCACTTACAGTATCACAGGTATTACAGACTAGTGCACTTTTTATGTTGTCATGACAAGTTATGCCATATTGCTATGGTCTCCATTCCAACTTTTTGTGGACTTTGTTTGCCATTTGGTGGTGGTTGGGTTGATGTCTGGCATTTGGTGACATTTTGCATGTTAATACCTTGTCTATATATTTTCTGTTTAGCCAAAGCAACTTTTTAATAACAAATCGGGACAAGGACAAAACAAGATAAATGTAGAGTTCTGTACCTGTAGGCGAAAATCTTCAACATGGGTTAACATGCAAAGTATAACCACCTGCCATTTGTAACAGACACTGTAAAAATATGTCGCCCCTTGTATTGTAAAAGTCATGCATGTTTACTTAACATGGTAGATATCTCCATACTACAAGTCTGTGATCTCGTAGTTAAATCCATGACAAACAGTGTTGATTATGCTATAGATATATAATTTATTTCAATATAATTAACTTTTATAATATGAAATTTTCTAAATGAAACTCTGATTAAATAGGTCTGTTCATAAATTACAATGACTATTTACACATTCATATAATGAATACTAAATTGTACTTCATTATTTGAAAAAAATATAGAAGCACTAACCAATGATAACTAAATGTGAGTCATCATAACCATGGTAACAGTAATAACTTAAGAATCACTCCTAGCTTTTTGGCATTTCATAGTCATCATTTCTAAGAACCATAACATACATAATTGAAAAACAACTTGTACATTTCTTGAAAAGGAAAACATTTGAGAAAGTTCTCGAGCCATGATAGTTCAGGTGCATATCTGAGAAATAAAACATGTTCACGTATGATGATGTCATGGCAACATATCCAGTCAACATATCTACTGGATATCCACAGTAAAGTACTTGTAAAATAACAAAGTTTTCTGAAATCCTAGAGGTACATGCTGAATGCTGATATTCAAAATACACATGAATACTAACGAATATTAATCTTTCTACTTTGCCTACCTTAAAGGCCTTAAAAAAATATTGAAAATAATCTGTTACATAATCATTACATGAAATCCACCCTGGTTTTATATTGGGCAAAAAATAGTGTTGCTTAATTATCATAAAGCAATTTTACATTTACATAATTTAACATAATTTTACATTGACATAATTTAACATAATCTTACACTTACCCACATGTGATAAGAATTTAAATAGGATATAATTATAACTGCTTTCAGTTCATTACATTACTTATTTTTCCATGTTTTTGAGAAATCAATGCATTTCTAGGATCAACCATAGACCTCTTTTTTACAAACTTCACAATTAATGTGTCAACTAAATTGTTATCTTCTGTATCTACATACTATCCACTTGTTATTTCATGAAAACCCTTGGTTTAACATAATATGAGACGAGCAGTCATCTCATCTTTGTAAATAACAATTCAAACTAAGTAACAGAACATGACTGGTTTGGCATTGTATGAGATTCACAATGATTCAATGTCAATAGAATAATCTGTCCCATTTTTGGGAGCAATCATCAGGACTCAAAAACAATGTTACATCTGTGTACATCAGTCTGTTAATTCAAGTTAAAACTTACCTTCTCTAGAGATCATAATTGGAAATTGAAAAAAAAATTGCTTTTCAAAATTGACAGTATCAGGCCTCCTAGACTATCATCAACGTGACATCAGTTCTGACCTCGCGAACCACAATTCTCACATCGCAAACATTAAATCTTTAGTCGCGCACCAACATTTCCTCGCTCCTGAACGTATTTCTCCAAAGATCTCTGTTCGCGAGTGGAGAAATATGCTCAATAGGGAGAAAATGGAGGTGCGTGACTAAAGATTTCACGTTTGTGATGTGAGAATCGTGTTTCGAGTGCAAGGAACATACTTTGTGAGGTCAGAACTGATGTTTGCATTGATGGAAGTCTAGGAGGCCTGAGTACGTGCATGTATTTTGACAAATAAAATACATTGCCCCTATTCCAGTATTGCTTTGAGGGCTTGTGCTGAGGGCTGGTCCATTGGTCATTAGCCAGTTCACTTTTGATGCGGACCAGTTGATTTTTCCAGTAGGTATAGGAAAATAACATAGCAACTGGTCCGTGTTGCCATTTTGACTGAGGGCTCTCAGAATCTTAGCTCAACCCCTGATTGCTTAAATATGATACTGTTACAAGGTATGTTAAACAGAAAACATGATTGTCAATCTTGTGATTGTGTTGAGTTAGACTAGCATTAATCTCAGATGATTTGTCATTTCATCATTCATGTAAAATTGGGAAGGGAGATCTAAACTAATATGCCAATGTGTCAATTTAGTTTTAAACTAATTCATATAGCAATCCATATGGCAAAGTGACATTTAATGTCTAAAATAGTGACATTTAATGTCTAAAATAATCCATATGGCAGAGTGTCATCTGAGGTCTAAAATAATCCATATGGCAGATTGTCATCTAAGGTCTAAAATAATCAATATGGCAGAGTGTCATCTAAGGTCTAAAATAATCCATATGGCAGAGTGTCATCTGAGGTCTAAAATAATCCATATGGCAGAGTGTCATCTCCATCAAGTACACCAAAGAATGCATCATTCCCGACCACAATACCCTTATCAGGAGTACCTTGATCAGTTACTATCGCCTCCTGTAAGTAGAGTAATAAAAGACCCTATGTAATGATTAATGCAAAGGCCCCATATAATGCTTAATGCAAAGAGCAATTAAAGGCGTCATGTAATGATTAATGCCAATAGAAATCAAAGGCCCTGTGTAATTCTTAATGCAAAGATCAATTAAAGGCCTCATGTAATGATTAATGACTATAAATTAAAGACCCCATGTAATGTTTAATACAAAGAGCAATTAAAGGCCCCATGTAATGATTAATACCAAGATCAAATATTATAAGGATCTTATATGGCTATAATCAAGAATAATATTTGGTAGGGTCACTAATTAGTAATTACACTAATAATCATCATCTTTTTTATGAAATTTATTTGAAGATCTGTTGATCGATGTTGAAATGGAGGCAGCGTAATAACTTTATGAATATTGTGTCATTTCAGATCTAAACTAATTCATATGACAATGCGTCATTTCAGACCTAATTCCTATGGAAATGTGCCATTTCAGACCTAACTCATTTGAAAATGTGTCATTTCGGACCTTATTCAGATGGAAAGTGCCATTTCAGACCTAATTCATATGGAAAGTGCCATTTCAGACCTAATTCATATGGAAATGTGCCATTTCAGACCTAATTCATTTGAAAATGTGTCATTTCAGACCAAATTCATTTGAAAATGTGTCATTTCAGACCTAATTCCTATGGAAATGTGCCATTTCAGACCTAACTCATTTGAAAATGTGTCATTTCGGACCTTATTCAGATGGAAAGTGCCATTTCAGACCTAATTCATATGGAAAGTGCCATTTCAGACCTAATTCATATGGAAATGTGCCATTTCAGACCTAATTCATTTGAAAAGATGTCATTTCAGACCTTAATCAGATGGAAAGTGGCATTTCAGACCTAATTCCTATGGAAATGTGTCATTTCAGACCTAATTCAGATGGAAAGTGCCATTTCAGACCTTATTCAGATGGAAAGTGTCATTTCAGACCTAACTCACATGGAATGTATTACTCTTCCAATATGATAATACCACAGTATGCATGTAAGTACGAAATACATACCAGAGTTGGAACCTCCTGGACTTCCCCTAAATGTATATCTTCTGTTGGCTCACAATTGGGCACCTCTGAAGAAAGATCATCCTTGAAAACAAATTATTTAACATCATATAATTAATCATGAACATGTTTATTTAGCGGGTTTTTAAGTCTCAAATATTCGGCCCATTTTTCAAAAATCTGACTGGGTTTTGGGGGGCATGCAGGATAAATTACATAGCAGCCACTTTGCTCTTTAAAGTGCGTGTCTTGTTCTAAACAAGGCTCAAAATAAGGAAAATAAGGAAATCCATAAATTGAATCTATATGGAATGGATCAGTGATGTCATTTCTATACAAAGAATAATGAGAGTTCTATCACCAAACAAGCAATAAGCTATATTAAACTTTCACTTGACCCACCAGGGCATATCGTCCGGTGTGCTCACTCAGAATCGCCATCTCATCAGTCGCGTTGAGGTCTGTAAGTTGCCATAGCTGAGGGTCATCAGGCAGAGTAAGGTCAAATGATGGGGATGCAAAACATGATGCCTCATTCAATAAGAAAGATGAGCAATCTTCTAAGAGACCTGCAAATAATGAAATATTGTGAACAGTTTTACTGTGTTCTAAGGAAACATGGCTATTTGGTATTTGGCCCATTGTAATTTTAGGTTATTTTATAATAGGACACAGGGTGAACAATATCGCATTCATGAAAAGGAATTACCCAGTATGCAGATGCCACCAAACGAAATGAAGTCTTCACCCTGCATGCAGATGCCACCCAAACAAATAAAGCTACACCTATGAACAGGCCTACTAGCACACCCTCCAGATCACCAAACTCTAGACAAAATTGCGTTATTATTGGTTCGTCGATCACAAAACACCTGGATCCAAATCGCTTCTCCTCCAAAATTAATACAGAGAATATAACGGCCTATACAGTGGAAGAGGCATGGGAGCAAGTGAATAAAATGGCCGACAAGAAAATGCAACCAGATTGCATCGCTTTCCAGCTGCTAACAAACGACGTTAAAAAATATGAGCCTGAAGTCTGTGTTGAAATGTTCGACGACTTAGTGAGACATACCCTTCAGCTTTTCTGTAGAACCAAAATTATTGTATCGCTTCCCATAAATAGGGGGGACTACAGGGATCTGAATGATGACATTAACATTATACGCCGTAAACTGGCTCAGTTATATAGTGGTTATAACAACATTATAACAATTAAAAACAACAGCCTTGCATCAAGAGGCACAATCATACCAAGGTTGTACTCCAGGGACAAGTGCCACCTTTCAGAAGAAGGCGAGCGCTTACTCTTTTCCAACATCAAACGAGGAATTTTCGACATACTAGAAATATGATTTTATTCAAATCAAAATCAATATGACTGCCAATGTGTGCAGTGTTTTATATGATAGTGTATGTGAACATTAACAGTACTACAGTCCTTTCTCGATTTACTTCAGTGATCATTTATTATATTTGATTCATTTCTTATTGCTTAACAACTTAGAAATGAAGCATGACATTAAAATTGGTCATCTGAATATTGAAGGTATTATTAGCAAAAATATTGGTAACAAGCTAAATGATCCATCTTTTTTAAATTATATTAACAACTTAGACATTATTGGGTTGTCTGAAACCCACACCGATAAAAATAGCAATTTCGAAATAGATGGATTTATTTCTTACCCAGTTCATAGACCAAAAACTAAAAAGGCAAAAAGAAATTCAGGAGGTGTTATTATATATGTGAAGAATGGCATATGCAAAGGAGTAATACCTCACTATTCAGAGACCAGGGACACGCTTTGGTTACAACTAAAAAGAGACTTTTTTGGTTTTGAAAATGATTTGTATTTATGTGTTACCTATATAACACCAATCGATTCATCAGTAACACAAAGATCAGATATTATCAGGTTTGCTGAACTAGAAAAGAACATTATCAAATATTCTGAGTTGGGAAATGTCATCATTTTGGGAGATCTAAATTCACGAACAGGGGAGGAACTAGATTTTATTTTGGATGAAGATGATAACTATGTACCATGTCATTACAACTATTTTCTCGACAATGATAATATTATCAGACGTTTGAGTCAAGATAAGCATGTAAACACTTTTGGGAAAGAATTATTAAACTTATGCAAAAGCACCCAACTCAGGATACTTAATGGCAGAATTTTTGGCGACCTTACTGGGGCATTAACTTGCCATCAGTGGAATGGTAGTAGCTTAGTTGACTATGCTTTAGTGCAGCAGGATTTAGTGAACAAAATTAGATATTTCAGAGTTCATGATTTCATGGGGACTATATCAAACCACTGTCTAATATCCCTAAGTATCAAAGTATCGCTTAATACTCTGTGCACTACTCATTGCAATTATGACACAGAGGTCATACATAAAGAATTACCTTGCACATATAAGTGGTATAAACAGAATACAGAGAGCTTTAAAAATTCATTACTGAATAATCTGAACCAGGCATTCAACTCAAAAAGTATCAATGAATTAGAAACCGATGAAGCAACAGAACTATTGACTAACGCTTATAGATTATCGGCAAATGAATGTCTCATTAAACGGAAAATCATGTCAAAAAAACGATTGATTAGAAGAACCACTCCATGGTTCGATAAGTCATGTAGTCAAATGAAGAAAGAGGTGAATAAACTAGGAAATTTGTTAGCCCGCGATCATAACAATAATGAAAAGAGGCTGAATTATTTCAAGCTTAAAAAAATATTTAAAAAGAAGTGTAAGCAGTCAAAGAAAAAAGTTAAAAATAACATTATTAATCAGTTACATATTATGAGTGAAAATGACCCTTCAGAATATTGGAAATTAGTTGAGCAACTAAAATCAGTGTCAACAAATACAAGTCAGGCACCAAATACAAATCATATCTCCTCATCCGAGCAATTACTTTATTACGAATCACTGCTCAACACAGCAACTACAATAGATAATGACATTGAACAGAAAATCTCTAATCTAAAAAATGAACCTTTTTTTAATGATCTTGATTACACCATAAATGATGATGAAATTCTAGGTGCTGTCAAACATTTAAAAAATAAAAAAGCCTGTGGATTAGATGGAATATCAAATGAAATGGTGAAACACAGTATTAATCAATCCTTGAAATTCTTAAATAGCATTTTTAACAAGATTCTTAATTGCGGAAAATATCCAAAATCATGGAATGAAGGTTACATATCGTCCATTCTAAAATCTGGTAAACCTTCAGATATGAGTAACTATAGAGGAATAACCATCAATAATTGCTTAGGTAAAGTGTTTAACACTATCCTTAATAATAGAATTAAATCATTTCTACTCAAAAATAATATATCTAGTAAGTATCAAATTGGCTTCAAGGAAAAAGCGCGTACATCTGATCACATGTTTGTGTTTCGAACATTAATCGATAAACACTTATCAAACAACTCTAAAGAGCATCTCTATGCTTGTTTCATTGATTTTCAAAAAGCGTTTGACTCGATTTGGCACAGGGGACTAATATTCAAGCTTTTAAACTCAGGAATTCGTGGTAAAACATTAAAAATCATTGAAAACATGTATGATAATAATAAATTTTGCATCAAAAACAATGACCTCGGGAAGAGAACTGTATTCAAAGTAGCAAATATTGGTGTAAAACAAGGTGATCCATTGTCCCCCTGTCTTTTCAATTTATTCCTAAATGACTTACCCGATACTATTGGCTATAAAAATGACTGTCCATCTATTGGAAAAGAAATTATTAACATGCTTATGTACGCTGATGATATTGTTTTATTCTCGACTTCTAAACATGGATTACAAAGATCTTTAGATTCCTTAAAAGAATATTGTGACAGGTGGAAACTTAATATCAACATAAATAAGACCAAGATAATTAAATTCCAAAAAAACGGGCATCTCTGCACTGACTATTTCTCATACGGTAGACTCCAAGTTCAATGTGTACAAGAATACAAGTACCTTGGTGTGATATTTCGAGCATCAGGCAGCTTTATATCAGCTCAAACACACCTACATGAAAAAGCTAGCAAGGCAATTTTTAAACTTAAAAGATGCCTTCAACAGAGTGATATAAAACCACAGCTTGGGCTTAAACTGTTTGATCAAATGATAAAACCAATTTGTCTATATGGGGCTGAAATATGGGCCCCTTTCAGTCTTTACAAAGTATCCAGTTCAAACCTAGAAGAAGCATACTTAAACCAAAACAAATTCCCCTCAGAAAAATTAAACATATCCTTTTCCAAATTCCTACTTGGAGTTGGTAGAAAGGCCACTAATATGGCTGTTTATGGGGAACTTGGAAGATATCCACTATTTATAGGTATATTTGGCCAAATTCTCAACTTTTTACATCACATTAAAGATACAAAAAATGTTCTAATCAAGGCAGCTTTTGACTGCTCCAAAGAACTACAAGAAAACTCATGGGTTTCAAACGTAAACAAAATAATTTGCTCTATTAATGAAAATTGCTCTGAATCTGTGGATTCTACAATTGATACCTTAAGATGTACATCATTACTTAAACTAAAATTTGACAGGTACTGGAAGAATAAATTAAACACTGACACTAGGAAAAATGATAACGGCAATAAACTACGAACCTACAGAACCCTCAAGAAAGATTTTAAATATGAACATTATTTAAATATAATCGACAGACTTGATATGCGAAGAAACTTTACACGTTTGAGAATAAGTGCTCACAACCTCCAAATTGAGCAAGGGAGATATACAAAACCAAAGAAAACCCCAATTGAAGAAAGACTGTGTGTCCATTGCAATATTATTGATGATGAAGAACATTTTATGATGAAGTGTAAAAAATATCAAAATGAAAGATTATTACTTCAAACTGAATTATCTGATACGGCAAAAGCACAAACAAATCAATTTATATACCTCTTAACTTGTATAAATCAAGATTGCATCAAGGTTGCAAAATATATTAGTGATGCCTTCCGAATTTTAGAAAGCAATACTTAATTTAGAAAGGCTAATTCCTGCTGCGCAAAAAAAGCATTTTGTAGTAATACATATTTTACATTTTACAGTATTAAGCATATATTATATGTAGTATATAGTAGTCTAGTGTTAAATCATATATATTCTTTTTGTGTACTGCACTTTCTTGTACCTGACCCTCAGGGGTGTGAATGTACTCAATAAATATTCTATTCTATATGACGACCCCCCCCCCCCCCCCCCCCCCCGGCAAACCAACACATTCTACCACCCAAGAGTGTGTTAAAATATATTAAGGAATAATAACATTTATGGAGCATTTCAGAAACCCCAAAAAATGACATTCATGCCGAGGAACCAAAGAATTTAAGTACATTGGCCTTATTTTATTATTGTATTCCTGAAATACATATGTAAATTGTATTTTATTTACATTTGATTCCCTAATGTCTTATGACCACTACTTTTCACAATGAGATCCCTACACAAATTGCAATATTTTTAATAAGTTACAATTTTACAATAAAATTGAATGTAAACAGTATAATATTAAAAATTACTGTAAATTGAAAAATATCAAAATGTGACATTAGAAGTAATACTGATTCGTGATTTTACAGAAATTTCCACTTCCTTTTGTGTTAGTTCAATATTTTTTGTCAAAACAAACATTAATTTATCATCCAGGTATTGTAATTAAAACTGTCAGTACACTTCAAACACTTTGAATCCATTTTCATTTCGATCAAGAAATACTAAATACAATAAGAATAAATAAAATGTGACACTTTGATATTTAAATCAAACTTGGCAGTCGGAATCTGTAAACAAATGCAATAAAGATATGGTAAATAATATGTGACACATTTTAAATTAAATTTTCTTCGACACCCACATCACGGTAATGGTTGGTAATATTGGAATTTCAATTATGAAAATGAACTTTCTTTGACACCCACTGCAGTGTAATTAGTATATAATTGATGCATCTAATAAGACTTCTTCACACATCCTTACAAGATCAAGACAGCAATTTGCAGAAAAGCAGAACCAGAGGACAATATGCTGAGATACGCAATTCTCATTGCTTTAGTAGTTGTGGCCTTTGGGGAAGGTAAGTCGATTGAAAAACTACTCATGAAAACATGGTTATGCATGTACATACTTGTATAGGAATAGGCATTTAGCCCCTTGATTACCATTCAATTCAGTGTTTGGACCCATTGTGGGATCCACAGCCTTTACTATCCTTTTGGAATAGTTCAGACTGTGGGATACTGACTGTAATAAATGTTTCTCTCAAAAGCGTTAGGTAAAGAGGGACTCTGATAAATCAGAATGGTTTGGACCCCTTTTGGCGCTTTATATTGTTGGGTTAATGTATAATTGGCACGTGAGAGGCGCAAATAATATAACTATCTATGTAATGTAAAGGTCCATGTGCAGTATGGCAATAGATTTTAGAAAGTCATATCTTTCACCATGAGTACTTTCTGGGCATAAGTACAGTGGTTTTTATTAAAATAATATGTTTTCTCATATGACTAACAAAGATACAGCCATCTTTACCCCATGCAAGATATTGCCATCTTTCATCCTAAAAAGTCACACGTGCAAGATGAGATTTACTTGTGACATCACTGGTTTATAAACATGCAACAACATGGCAACAGGTACACCGTTGCTATGCATATTCATGCTCATTCTACAAAACTAAGCTGTGACGTCATAACAATGTAGCTTTGTTACCACCCGTATCCATGTATTTTCTACAATATTGGTATGACGCCATAACAATTGAAAAAATTTTTCAGCTATTTCAAGCTATTTTTCACTTAGTTTTATCATAAAAAGGTGAAATTATGGCATAATGCAGAGTCATATGAGAAAAACTTTCTTATACTCGTACCTGTGCAACATCGTTCATTCTTGACTTGCTTTGATAATGTTTGTTTATCTCGTCTGTGACTCGATAAAGAAAAATTATTGAAGCTCATCAAGAATGGACGATCTTGCACAGGTACTCATATAAGAACCTCTATTTCTTTCATGCATAATGCCATAGTTCTCTTAGAGATCGTCAAAAATAGCTCTCATTACCTGTTATTTTTGGACACCCAATAGGCGGAAGGTTGAAGGTCGAAGGTGCAGGTCGAAGGGTTTTTAGAGCATTCCATTCTTATGATAAAACAATAACATATAATTCGAGGTTTATTCAATCAAATTTTCAGATGAACTAGGCATATACGAGAGATGGAGTAAAGGCTACAAAGGAAAAGTATCTGGGGCAGAGACTGATTGTAATGGAAACGTTATTGATGCTGGTTGCACCATTGACCTCAAATTCCCAAAGAAGCTTGAAATGCTCAATGTAAGTTATATTGAAAATATTACATGTGTTACAATATCAGGAAATGTTGAAGTATTGTTTAAAAACCTTGTGACCCCCACCTTCAAGAGTAAAATAGGGGTCCACTGACACATTACACTTCATGCAAGACCAAAGATATTGTACAAATATGTACCACCAACAAACCATATATTTTGATACAGTTCAAGCTTAACAGCCCATGGTTCAGAACTAAACACTGTAACACCAATGTAGTCCTTCAGATTTGGTTGTAAGCAGCATTTGGTTCGCTGCAGAACAAAGGTTATACAACAATAGCCTGAATTATAAGAAGGATTTCGCGACTCAACTATAGCATGTTTATTATTCCCGTTAAATGCAATGTGCATTGTGAAATCTCTCTTATTACAAACAAATTTTCTATTTTAAAAGTACACATGAATTTAATTGAACTTTGTTTGAGCAAATCTAACTTTACATATAAAGTCAAAATTTCTCAATATTTCAAAGGTTTGACAGGGTGGCAAGTTTAAAATTTTAGTTCAGCACCAGTACCCATTTGCTACGACGCTTGGCTGAATAGTCAGTGTATGTGTGGTAAAACAGGGGTTAAATATTAGTACAATAACGTCATTTCGAAGGGCAATATAGAGAAATATTGAACTGAGGGCCGAAGGCAAGAAAATCTTACGCACTGAACGATATCTAATTTCCCGGGGAAAATTGCATTCTTGACCGGGCAATATGGACCACCACTATGACGTCACATATTGTTCAGGTCGATATGGTAAAATAAAATGAATGCCTTCTAAACTAGCACTAAAACTCCTAGAACTGGCCCGGCAAGGTGGTAATAATAGGGATTCAAGGTAACATTTATCATCATATTCTTTTCATGCAGAGTGGTATGGCCTTCCCCACAGAGATACTCAACAATGACCGAACAACATGGAGGATGAAGGCCAGGAATTGTGACCCTAATGTACCAACAATCTTTGATTTCACAGCTGATTTCAAAGTTGATTTCAGAAAGGAGAATTTCGGTGAAGGATACTTTGAGAGCATTCCGGGACCAACTGTCATATAAAATGTAACAAAGTGTGATTTTATTAAAAATAAATATTAGCTGAGCACAGTTCATTATTGTTGGATGTGACATACTGGTTTTCATTTCATTAATGCTGTGGATCAGGATGGAAGTAGTGTAATTAATATACATATTACATGTACAAGTATTTTTTTCAAATATGGTACTTTGTCAATTGTTTCAGAAACAAAATAATTCTGACAATTAAAAAAAAATCAAACATTTTTTCTTTTTGAAGACAGACCTACTGTAAATTGGTTTTATTTTGCAGTACTGCAAAATGAACAGTAAATGAAGAAATATATTTTCCAAAATAATCTTGTGACTTTTTTAATTGCATACTTGTGAAAAAAATATCAATAATAATTTAATAGGGTAATTCCCAAATTTTGTACAAGTTAATGATTTGCCAAATCATCATACCAGTACATGGACTCTGATACTCATTGTATCGTTCTGTTTCAGACACATGGCTAGGAAAAAATGACATGTCATGATTTTTCATGATGCCATACATGAGCTGAACACATTGTGAAAAACAAATTCAATTAAAGATAAATAATTTACAAAGAGAAAATAAAACAAAAAATCATTTTCAATAGTAAACAATATTTGTAAAAAGATATCAGACTACACATTTTATTATACATTTTAGATAAAAGGTTCAGTTATAATTTACCTTCTTCCTTCTCTAGTAGTGGTAGATAGGGATCTTTGAGGTTATTAGAAACATGTTGGTCTCCTAGGGACTGGTGAGCCCTCTCTCTGTACATGTCTCGTTCATTCTCAGACATGGAGCCCCAGATTTCAGATAACGTGACAGTGACGTTTGTCAGCCCTGTGGCGCCATCTATGTCTGCCACCATGTCTTTGTAAAATTGCAGATATCTGGAATGAGGAATCACAGCAAATGACTTCGCCAAGATTTTACCTATGAGACATACATAACTAACAAACATATGGAATTATATATAGGGAATCATAAATATTTTACAATGGGAACAGAATTCAAATTTAGCTTTAACAGGTCCATATTTGAAATAGAGACACATTATCCTTGTCATACAAAATATGGCAAAAGCCATTGTTACTGTAGAAATCATGACAGAAATTATGATCAGAGAACTGTAGGACTGCAGTATTACTACTATAGTAATTTATTTTAGTAATTTTGAGAAATACAACAGGCTTGTATATACCCATCAAAATCTTGGCAACTTTGATCAGAGGAAGGAGACACTCTATCAGGTTCTATTTCTCCATCTTGCGTTATTTGGTCATACAGCCTACAAAATAATCAATCCCCATTGTGAACTTGAATTTCAAATTATTTTCTAATCACTAGTTGGATTTGAAATTGCTTCTTGTTTTATATGAATTATTGCATTTTATATTTTCTTTGCAAGTCAATGCCAATCCTAAACACGCATTCTCAAAGCAAATAAAAATAGTCAATAGAGATATTTCGCAACTCACTTATAGCATGTTTATTGTAAGTGAGTTGCAAAATATAATATATCACCATAAGATGACTTATTCTGGTAAGAGATCATATATTGCTGATGTGCCAAGAGTTCCTCTATGACTGAGTTTTAAATATCTAACTAATATAGAATCAAGCTTATTTTTACCAGCATCTATTCTATAAATGAGTGTATGCATTCTGAAATTACTTACTGGTCCAGCCTCCTACGACATCTAGGTGAGGGGGAGAGGGAGATCGGTGCCACATTGTCATATACATTGAACTGCCTGGAACAATAAACATATAATTGTAATGCTATGTCATTCATAATATTATGATGTCTCACTTACACTACCAAAATAGGGAGGGAAGGTGCAAACTTATGGGTTTGCATCACTGCTAGAGAAGCGAGCCCCTAAAGAGGGGTAGGGTTCATCCCTCAAAATTTTTCAAAATTTACATTGTATATGGTGCATTCTAACCATTTCTAACTATAATTTGTTAATGTTTTTTCACCCTCCTGGCTAAGCCAACGACATTATCCATTTTCGTTCCAATGAATCTCTGTTAGTGAAGTATGATATATATATCTTAACTTGTTATATGCCATAGGTAGGTTTAAAGGGAAGCAATCAGTTAGATTTAATATGATTCATGGCATTAATTTCTGAAATTTTCTGAATGGACACAAAAATACATGTCTACAACATACCTATAAATACCCTTTTTTTAACTAATTGGCAACTTTTAAGAACTTGCAAGTTCAAAAGTACTTCAAAAGTGAACATATCAAGGGGTTTCAGAATTGTCTCCGCTGTATGAATTCAATCTGATTCTAATAGACAAGAACCATACCTCTCTGGGTTGCAGTTCTCCTTCTTGCTCATGGCATCATTGCTAAACTCTGAGCTGTATAGATGGCGCCTGACACGTTTCCTCCCACTGGGTCTTGCTGTGCTAGTTCGTGGGGTCTGCTCTAGGCTCCTGGCAGTGAAATACATGGATAAGGTTTTATTTCATTTCTTTATATAATAATTCACATTCTTAACAATTTTTATTAAAACTTCGTCTTCAATTGTTTTTTTTCTTCAAGCATCTCAAATAAAACTGAATTTGCAAAAGTAAGCATGCATGCTTAGTAAAACAGCCATAAATATCAACACATATCTGTAATACAACCTGACGTAAAAAAGCTATCACAAATATGAGACCAGGCATTAACATGCAAAATGTCACCACCTACCATTTGTTACATATACTGATCACCAACTACAGAACATCTTAGACAAAAAGTTGGATGCTATAACAATGTCACCACTGATGGTGACAATAAAGTGAATTGCCGCATTAGCATTAGTCTACATGTTTAAGTTCAAGAAAAGGAGAAGGGAAATAAACATGAAAACTTGGTGCAAAGAAATGACTTCAGGGCTCTCGGTAGGCGTTTAGACTGTGGCGCAGCACCACACTCTATTTAGCCGCCACCACAACCTATAGGCAAATCATGATTGTTCCCACACTTTAAACTCGACTAAATTCACAATAATAGCATGTAAAAAGGATAAAATATGACATAGCGATGATTTATAAAGATTGAACGGTTATGCTGAATATATTTGCACCACACCCTAAATATATCCTGGTGAGAGCTCGGACTTTCTTCCTGACTTACTTGTCCCAGTCTTCCAAATCATCAAGAGATTCTGTACACAACAAGAGATCTTCAACCTGGAAAGGATTTACACATATCTTCGATATAATTCATTTTTTGCACTGGACACATTAGACATTGACCTTAATATGTTTTCCATTAATGTGGGACAATTGAAGTTAGATTGACCAGTCAGTGGTGCTCCATTGAATAGAAACTCAATTCTACATCTTGTGTTTTTCAAAGAAACTCTTTTGAACTATTGCCCCGAACTGAAGAAATCATACATGTATATCATTTCATTTACTATGTATTTATGTGTTTTTTAAACTGAAAAACTTAAGTGATATTCAATGGAAATAGTTTGCACAGAAATTCTAAGTATGGTAGAACTGTCTGTAAATGCAATATTTCCAGAAGCCTACAGGCTACAAGTGGAATACCTATAAAATGGAACACTGTTTTAGGGTACCCGAGACATTCAAATTTCACAAGCTTTACTGTATACATGTATTAACTAATTTCCATCAGTTCAAAAATTGATTTTGTTCTTACTTGGTTTGATGCTGCTTGGGATGGTGTGGAATGGTTTAGTTGTACATCATTAACTGCTTTCGTTGGTGTTAACACATGAGACAGTTTTACAGGCGAGGGCCCCGAGACAGGTTGACTAGACACCTACAATATTGAATAGGTAGTACTTAAAGGGGATCAACCTCTAACAAATTTCCCTAAATAAACAAGTCACAGACGTGAACAATATCGTACCTAAAACACAGCATTGTGGTCTTGTTGACCAAGAAAGCAAGATGGCCGCAGAAAAGTTAATCAGCACTAGAACTTATCACTGTGTAACATATGTAAAAATTTGAACGGTTTGGCTGGAAACCTGTAGACAAGCCTCGATAGACAAGATTTTAGGATGGAAAATCTAAAATGGCAGCCTTAACATTTACCCAGAATGCCCAAAAACTAATCAGTTCTTGATGTTGATATGTAGAAACATCCCTGAAAATATCAGATGAATCCCTCAAATGGTTTGGCTGAAAATCTGTAGACAAGTCTTGAAAGTGAAGATTTTAGGACAGAAAATCCAAAATGGCCACCTTAAAATTTAACCAGAATGCCCAAAAACTAATCAGTTCTTGAAGTTGATATGTAGAAACATCCCTGAAAATTTCAGATGAATCCCTCAAAAGGTTTGGCTGGAAACCTGTAGACAAGTCTTGAAAATAACGATTTTAGGACGGAAAATCCAAAATGGCAGCCTTAACATTTACCCAGAATGCCCAAAAACTAATCAGTTCTTGACGTTGATATGTAGAAACATCCCTGAAAATTTCACATGAATCCCTAAAATGGTTTGACTGGAAACCTGTAGACAAGCTGAAAAGTGAGACGCTGCCCGCCCGCCTGCCCGCCCGTCACCCGTCAAGCTGACTACAATATCGTACCTCTTGTTAGGTACGATAAAAAGTGTACATGTACTATATGATACAAATCTTCTTTTCTAGAAGTACCAATTGCTTGCAAAATTATGTGACCAACCTACCATTCTAGAAATGGTACCCTATATCGTGACATATATCTCTGGATTGGTTCTATTAATTTCTAGGTTTCATATTTGCAGTTGCAAGTTAAGACTTATATCAAATTGATTTAAGTTCCCTTGTGCCTTTTGTATATAGTTTTCATGTTTAGCAAATCAAAATTTTGGGTGTTTTTATTCATTTAGGTTTTCTCTAAAAGCAAAACACTTGTATATTCATTTAGAAATTACTCCCGTATTGAATACATGCACATTTTGAAGTATGCCATCTTCAGGTTTAACTTCTCCTATTCTGAACTAGATTTGAACTGTTGATATCACATACCCTGAAATGTAACCCTGGTTTATCATTGCCTGTTAGTACACACGTCACAATTGGGGACTTGCTTGCGCTTGCTTCTTTCAGTCGGGTGTTGAATAAACTGGTTGGCTTAGGTGGTCTGCCCTTTACAGCTGGCCTCACATTGTAGGTTATTGTCTGAGTGGGTTGTGGAAGTGGAGGACAGGGGGGCCTGCTACGTTTCTCTTGGACCACCTTAAAACATTGACAACTTTGAAATAATCAAATTAGACAACAGCAACGCCAAAGCATAGCAAATCCCATCGAACAGCCATGGCTGACATTTTTACAAAGTATATAGCAAAAATGGCAGCCATTTTACAAAATGACAGTGTGCCATGCTTACAGTATTCACATACAAAATATGAACAAAACTGCTCCACTACTTTTCAAGTTATAGTAAAATATGTTACAATGGTGGCCATTTTGAAAAATGGCCACCTTCTACCAAAAGTGTCATTAGACAGTGTGCCATGTTTATAGCATTCACATACCAAATATGAACAAAATCACTCCACTACTTTTTGAGTTACAGCAAAAATCGTAAAGTAGTAAAGGCCGCCATTTTTCAAGATGGCTACCATGTGTTTCTTTTCTACATTTCTAGCTTTATTAATGTCCTATATAATTTTTTTACATTTAAAACATATTGCTATTACAGTTTTACATATTGTATCTAAATTACTGTAAAATCAGCACTAAAATGGCCGCCATTTTTAAATGAGCGGCCATTTTGAAAATTGGCTTTAGAGCAGAACTTCTAGTCCCATAGGGTATTGTACAAAATATGAACAAAATTGGGCCAACGGTATTTGAGTAAATGCCCGGATGGACGGACGGTACAGAGGGATGGACGGACAGACAAAGGCGTTCCCTATATCTGAACTTTGTTTGATGGGATAATAAAGCATGAGACTGTATGGAAGTGCACTGAACTTACTAGAATTACTCTTAGATATAGTGTAGTCCTGAGATTATTTTTAGCTGAGTGAAGCATTTGTTTATTCCAAGCAAGTATTTGTTTTTGTCCTCTCAGATTTCTTTACTTATCAATGCACTTTCACTAGGAGATGATTTTAAGGTATAACAAAAAGGATTCTGAATTTACCTTTGTTTTAAAAGAATAACCACTTGATTTGTTGACATTTTTAGCAAGTTGAGATTTCCTCCTAGTGGCAACCTTGTTTAGTCTCTCATTGATCCCCTGTCTGTGTTTGGCTGTTAATTGTTTCTTCCCTGCAGAAAGTGGGGAATCCAGAGTTATATCTGGCTTCAAGATTCTTCTGGTGTATGGCCTCCTACAAAAGTAACCTAAATTGCAGAATGCGTGCATACAATTCAGGCCCTTACCCAGCTTTTGCCAAGGGGGTTCACTTTTCAAAAAATCTGAGGAGGGGGGGTTCACATTTGACAACTTAGGCCCAAAATCACTTGAAAAGTGCTCAGGATGGTGAACAATTGCTTGATCTTGAAAGAATTATGACTCAAACCCCCTCTCTTCTGGCTACAGGCCTGCAATAGACTAGGTGTGAGTAGAAATAATCTTGATTTACATCATTAAATATTCAAAATTCAGTCATACTGATGTCATATTTGAAATCTACGTGTAAAAGTACTTCTAGAAATATGGTTGTTTATCAACTTTGAAAATTAAATTTGTTTTGAAAATGTGACTTCTAGTTCGGGTTGATTCCCCATAGACCCCATGTTACAAAATCACAAAAAGTGAAATAGCTTTTCTTGTATTGGACAGATAACATTTTCCTTTACTGGACATATATTAATTTTCATAACTTTTAGATAAATAAGGGTTATATGAAAATTGAACCACTAAAACAGATCTAATTTATGTTAAAGGGAACTTTCTACTATACCCGCCATGTTATCTGACCCGAACAAGTCACCTGGTGGTGAAATTGGTAACTTCCTACTCGCATCTATGTTATTATTCAGCAATTTATCAAAACCATAAATGATAAATTTCAGTTTATTCAATTCATGTACGTAATTTCTGAATTCTAATTCTGAAAGGTTTGAGACTTGGTCAAAATGTCCCTTTTATTATCTAGACTTACTTTGGGATGTATTTGGAGTTTTCTTCTATGAATCTGGCTTTAACAGCAGTCAAGGAATCTTCAGGTGGAATCTTTTTCAATCCCAAAACTTTCGCTGAAAGGGATTCAAAACATTCTGATATTAATCACATCTTTCTGTTTCACTTAAAACATACCTCAAATCTGGGCTCTCTTGGATCACCAAATCTAACACCCAAGTCACATTTGTCGTACAGAGGCCGTGCGTCGACCGCAGATCAATTAAATCAGTGAATTTCTTCGGCGAGCGTAGAAAAACTACATACGGCGTATCCAAATTTTTACAGGCCGCAGGGTAGCCGTAGAAATTATAATTCAGAGTTATAATATTTGTTCAGTTCTGCGGCCCTCGTAGAAATCAAAAGGCCATTGCTAGACTGCAAAAAGGTCCAACTGTGGCCACACGTCGGGTTTGCCCTTGACTTGCACTTGCTGTAGGGTTTGATGGGTGATGTACCTTTGGAAACAGTTTTTATGTCAGTTTTCTTTCATTTACAATATAATACAATACGTGTACTGTTTGATGTAAAGTAACTGATTCCACAGCAACTTATATTTCACTTGCACTTTTTATTTGATACTAAATTATATCCTAACACTACAAACGACGTTTATAAATTGCACTGAGGTAGATAAAATAAAAGGAAGAATTAATGTTTAATCAACAGCAAATCAAAAACTCTCTGTGCGGCTGCCATAGGAAATGACTGCAAAAGTATCCGACCACAGAAATTCCACAGCGAGCGTAGAAATGTTACTGACCGCAGAAATGATAGACCGCACAGTCGACGTAGGAAATGTGAGTGGAGTGTAAAGCACAATATGATGTAATCTCATGGCTGAGGAAAAAAGAAATTATATGGATTATCATGATGGATCATTCAAAAGATTTATTTATGTACTGTATATGCAATTCGAAAAGGAGTGATGTGGGACACAAAATGATGGACATATAATCTAGTCATTATTGCCACTTTGACTAACATTTTGAGAGAAGAACAGAATAATTTTATTTATGGATGTATTTTATTTGAAAAGCTTACAAACCTTTTTCACAGAGTAGACTCTCCAGCAGATCTTCTAAGAAATTTCTATGGTTTTCAGTTTCTTGAAGAATCAGTGCCTGAAAAATTCATATGTAAATTTAAATTAATATTTGAAGGATATCATTTTGAATAAAGATTTATCAGGTAATCCAATTTTCAAAATGTCTGCATTGCATTGTAATGACATAATATAAATGCAAAAATAAGATGTTAGACAGTTAAACCATTCATTGTTAAAGCAAGTCAAAATAATCAGATACTAGAATTCCGTAATTCTGCGTCGTTGCAGAAAAACCACAGAATTTTGGCTTTCAAAATTTTTGCAGAATTTGATTGAATTCCCTGCAATTTTGTGAAAGTTCAGATGAAGCCGCTGCTTGCAGAATTTATCGCAAAATTCGGGATTTCATGCAGAATTTGCATTTTTCTCATGCAGAAAACTAGGATGTGTGAATAATCTCTGAAATAATCCCATCCTCTTATCGCATCCTACGACCCCTTTAGATTGTGCAATCTAAAGTGGTCGGTAGGATACGATAACCATCCTCCATGTTACTTGTGACAATGAAATTCTCATCTTTAAAATATCAGAAAAACTCACTTTTGACACCTTCTTCCTCACAGGTGTCTTATTCATCAGTACAATATTCTTCAGGCTATTGTAGCAGTTTGCTATATTTGCGCGCCATTTCGCATCTGACTCACGTCGTCTCTGTTTCACTGCTGCAGAACTCGACATGATAGACAAGATGTAATAACTGAACTTCTGAAATATAAATTCACATACCTGGGTTTCAAAAATACACGATTTTTAGAGATCTATATGTGTATATTGAACATTATTTTGCCTATTTCATTTCAATTTAATCATGAATAAAAAATCAAATCAAAATTTCAAAAAATTAAAAATACCAAAATGTGTCTTGCTTTTTTGCTTACTGTTTATTCCCGATCTTTCCAAGGTGACATCCAATACTTCTACCTTTAAGAAAATAGCAGGTAACTTCTAAATTGAATAAATATTGTATTCCATTTCATGTATTAAAAATACAAGATGACAAAAATGATAAGGTTAAATTTAAATGCAAAAAATGGCGCCACACGAACTTATCCAAATGTCAAACTTGAAATACAAACGAAACAATTTTATTTTAAATTAAAAAGTAACTTTTTAGTCAAGAAAAAACAGTGGAAAAACAACTAATATTTATCATATCCAGGCTGTAGGAATCAATAATTTTCTTCATTGGCTCTCAATAAATAGGGCATTATTTTCTGATTCCGGTGTTATTGCTGCACTTTTTTTCAGTGGGGGGGGGGGGAGAAGTGAGAATACAACCAATTTTTGAACTGATGAGGAACAATAGAAAAATAATTTATGAACCTTATCAAATCATGAGAAGTATGATTAAAAAAAAACTGTCACTTTGAATTTACGTTTCCAAGGTTAACATTGCCGGTATAGAAGAAATGATGATATGGGTATTATTTACTTGTAAGGATATGGTATTTACTGATGAAGATAAACATGTACACTGGTTTGTACAGTGATGGTGGTGGGGATACTGTATATGCGCTGATTATGATACACACTGGTACATACTGATAAAGATACACACTGGTCACTGGTGAGAATGACACTACAATCTGACAACTGACTAAAACATTTTATATAGCATTGTATTAAATAACAATCTTGTGGTACATAATTTTAAATGCAGCATAAAATTCAAACATTTTGCTGAAAGGCTAAAAATGAACATCCTGAGTTATTCATATTATCAATATTCATACCAATGGATCAGACCATTGTATTGTAACGAATTTTTCATTTTTCAAAATTTTATTTTTGGAGTCCAGTGCCGTTTTTTAGCACTTTAGACAGTTTTGACAGTAGGAAAGTGTTTCCCAGTCACAGTTGACAGCTTATATAGTTATATTTATGAATAGAACACTTTAGGTGTACTGGGAATAGTGTAAACTACTCTTTTCTGGGAGATTTATTTTGCTTGCGTTCTTGTGCATTTTCTCACCTCCTATTAGAGAGCTCTGTTGACCTACATTCAATAACTCGTTTTTCCTTGCAATTTCGCCATAATTGGAGCCAATGATGATTGGTTTTTGTTATATTTATCTAGTTTATATCTTAATCTAGCTAGTTAATTAGAAGATATATGTTTGTTCTGTGTTAAAAAACGGAGATCGTGATTGTTAGGTGAAGCTAATTTTCTGCAAAAGTTATGTCATCATTGCATCATATTAATTAATTATGCACTAGTGATATCCTGCCTGGGATTCCAGTGACTGGCCAGGTATTGCATCAGCCGCTCGTGAGCTATGATTGGTTAGGCAGATAGTTTCGTGTGCAAAACACATGTTACATACATGTTGGGGTATAAATACAGTGGCGGACGTGACTCGGGGGCTTTCGGCGCATTGACTTTTGACGAACGGGACTATGTGGCTCGGGTTTATGGAATCTTTGGAACTATGAAACTTTTTCGTTTTTGCTAACTGCAAAACTTAGATGATTCTTGGAACTACAAAACTTAGGAAGTTTTCTGCTAACTGAAGGATGGCATGGGATGATTGACTTGCCTAATTGAACTTCATTAGCCTGAGGTAGTAACCATAGATGATTATAAGCCACTGGTGTTGGATTCTAGGTGAATTAACTGGCTTATTGAGGGAAGTTATTGAACTACAAAACTTAGGAAGTTTTCTGCTGACTATTAGCCCGAGTGAACAGTCATATATGATTATAAGCCACTGATGTTGGAATCTAGATGGGGGCTTCTGACACTCTGACTTTTGACGAACGGGACTATGTGGCTCTGATATACGGGAGTTTTGGAACTACAAAACTTTGTCGTTTTTGCTAACTGCAAAACTTAGATGATTCTTGGAACTACAAAACTTAGGAAGTTTTCTGCTAACTGAAGGATGGCATGGGATGATTGACTTGCCTAATTGAACTTCATTAGCCTGAGGTAGTAACCATAGATGATTATAAGCCACTGGTGTTGGATTCTAGGTGAATTAACTGGCTTATTGAGGGAAGTTATTGAACTACAAAACTTAGGAAGTTTTCTGCTGACTATTAGCCCGAGTGAACAGTCATATATGATTATAAGCCACTGATGTTGGAATCTAGATGGGGGCTTCTGACACTCTGACTTTTGACGAACGGGACTATGTGGCTCTGATATACGGGAGTTTTGGAACTACAAAACTTTGTCGTTTTTGCTAACTGCAAAACTTAGATGATTCTTGGAACTACAAAACTTAGGAAGTTTTTCTGCTAACTGAAGGATGGCATGGGATGATTGACTTGCCTAATTGAACTTCATTAGCCTGAGGTAGTAGCCATTGATGATTATAAGCCACTGGTGTTTGATTCTAGGCGAATTAACTGGCTTATTGAGGGAAGCAATTGGAACTACAAAACTTAGGAAGTTTTCTGGAACTACAAAACTTAGGAAGTTTTTCGCTGACTATTAGCCCGATAGTCCTAGATGATTATAAGCCACTGGTGTTTGATTCTAGGCGAATTAACTGGCTTATTGAGGGAAGCAATTGGAACTACAAAACTTAGGAAGTTTTCTGGAACTACAAAACTTAGGAAGTTTTTCGCTGACTATTAGCCCGATAGTCCTAGATGATTATAAGCCACTGATGTTGGAGCAGATAACACATTGACTTTTGACGAACGGGACTATGTGGCTCTGATTTACGGGATTTTTGGAACTACAAAACTTAGGCAGTTTTCTGGAACTATAAAACTTTGTCATTTTTGCTATCTGCAAAACTTAGTCGTTTTCTGCTATCTGAAGAACATAGTCGATCTGCTACATGGGATGACTGACCATTGACTATTGACTTCACTTAGCCTGATGAAGTAGCCATTGATGATTATAAGCCATTGATGTGACAACCTGGATGAATTTATTGGCTTATTAGAGGAATTTTTGGAACTACAAAACTTTGTCATTTTTGCTAACTGCAAAACTTAGCTGATATTTTGGATCTACAAAACTTAGAAGTTTTCTGCTATCTGAAGAACTTAGTCGATCTGCTACATGGGATGACTGACCATTGACTATTGACTCTTGACTTCTCTTAGCCTGATGAAGTAGCCATTGATGATTATAAGCCATTGATGTGACAACCTGGATGAATTTATTGGCTTATTAGAGGAATTTTTGGAACTACAAAACTTAGTCGTTTTTGCTAACTGCAAAACTTAGCTGATATTTTGGATCTACAAAACTTAGAAGTTTTCTGCTATCTGAAGAACATAGTCGATCTGCTACATGGGATGACTGACCATTGACTATTGACTATTGACTTCTCTTAGCCTGATGAAGTAGCCATTGATGATTATAAGCCATTGATGTGACAACCTGGATGAATATATTGGCTTATTAGAGGCATTTTTGGAACTACAAAACTTAGTCGTTTTTGCTAACTGCAAGACTTAGCTGATATTTTGGATCTACAAAACTTAGAAGTTTTCTGCTATCTGAAGAACTTAGTCGATTTGCTGCGTGGGAATCTACAGGACTGGACAGCACTTCAAGAGGGTGAAGCTATCCCCAGCATAGAGCTTAAAGAAGTGGTGTCCAGCCTTCATAGATCTAATTCATGGAATTGGATGTTCCTTTCTTCGCCTTGGTCTTAGTCAGTGTTGTATTCATAGTTACCTGTTTGATTGCGGTTATATGCATCCGTGTGTGTATGAGGACTGAAAGGGACTCTACTAACCAGGAACCTCAAGTAACCCTTGCACCTAGGCCAGCGTTACAGTCATCATTGGGATTCAGTTTGGCCACTGTGAACTTTGAATAGAATTCTACTTTGAACTATTATTGTACCAGAGAGTGATCGTATATAATTAACAACAACAAGTTTATTTGGACATTTCAAATTTGTTTGTAATAATTAAGGTTATAATATATGTGAAATAAATCTATATTGTTTGTCGTGTTGTAATTGCTGTATAACACAAGTACATTTAACGTGTACCAGGAAATCCCAAAGTAACCTAGCCCTCACACTACCATAAATCGGCTAGTTTGTTACACTGGTGGCAGTGGTGGGATATTGTGATTGCAGACTTCGTGATACAACATAACAATATGGAACAAATGCAGGATCTTCCACCTCGAGTGTCAATGAAACGTAGGGAAGATAGTGAGCTAGAGAAAACAGTTTTTCTGAAGACTGATAAAATGGAGATAAACAACCCAAGAGGGGGTGATGATACTTTGCCGGTACCGAGAAAGAATATTGCACGCACAGAGTCTCCTGGATCCCAATTTAAGACTAGAAAATCGGGCACAAGAGAAATGGATTTGCCAAGCCTTTGGAGTACAGGATATTGGAGTGGAAAAGTGTTGGATAACACTTTCATCAGTAGTGATGAAGGAGACCCTCCAAAAAGGCAGAGATTTCCCCTTACCTCGACTACTGACAGACCCTTAGTACGTTTAAAGAACGTAGAGGATACCCTGAGACGAGATTTGAGTATGGTAGAGGAGAACGTTGAGGAAAAGATGTCCATTTTGAATGAGACTATTGTGGGCCAACAGAGACAAATACAGAAGTTGGCTGAAGCTCAGCAGAGAAGTATGGCCCAAGTGGTGGAGACTCAACAGAGTATGATACTGGGACAAAGGGAGTTACAACAGATGATGATGGGGACCATAAATAAAGTTGCAGAGCAGTTTAGGGAAAACTTGAATCATCAGGAGATGAAGACACGAGAAATAAGGAACCAAATGGAGGGTTTACAGAAGACCATTGTTGATTCAATTATAGAGGAATTGCATGACAGTTTAATGGTCAACACCTCTGAAGTAAATGTTAAACCCCAAACAAATCAATCGAGAAAAGTTTCAAGGCAGCCAGGAGACCAAACAGTAGATCCTGTCAAAGATTGCTCAGATACGACATCACCTAGTGGCCGGATCACCAGAGACCAGAGTGTTATCAATTTACAGGAGCACCAGGATAGTGAACAGAAGTTGAGTCCTCCTGAAGATGATTATTTGCCAGAGGAACAAAGACACTCCAGATTACAAGAAAGTGAAAGCCACCCGGAAACTAAGTTATCTCTTGAGTTGGTTAAAATGTGCAACAGTCTCTGTGAAAGACTGTCCTCGGATAACAGGGAGAAGTCGAAAATTCGGATTAAGCCTGATACTTATGATGGCACCACCCCTTGGCAGGATTATAGGGCTTATTTTGATATCTGTGGAGATTTAAACCATTGGTCAGAAGCAGACAAAGGGAATTTTTTAGCCACGAGCCTGAGAGGCCAAGCACAAGAAATGGTTCTAGAAATGGGACAGAACTATACTTATGACCAACTCCTCTTGGCACTTGAAAAGAGATTTGGTCCAGGTGGCAAGGCCGAAGTTTATGAGGCAGAGTTAGTCAGCAGGATTCGTAAGCCTAAGGAAAATCTGCAGACCCTGGGCCAGGATATAAGAAGGCTCACTGCACTGGCTTATCCAGAGATGAGTCGTACTGCTCAGGATCGACTTGCCCGACGAAGTTTTGAACAGTCCATATTAGAGGAGGATATACGAAGGGCAATACATTCAAAGGAATGTAATACCTTGGACCAAGCCATTGAAGTAGCCCTTAAGGAAGAATCCTATCTGGAATCTGAAAAGATAAGGAAGGGACAAAAACCAAAATGTAGTCGGGTGATGGCTATTGAGGAAAGGGACGAGGATGAAAATAAATTAATAGCCCTGGAGAATAAGATCGAAACTCTGATGGAGAAAATGACGGAATTAGTGTCCAAACAGAACAAGCCTGAGCCTGAGATGTCAAGGCCAGCTTTCAAAAGAATAGAATGTTTTTACTGCCACAAGCCTGGACATAAAATAGCCGAGTGCTTCTCTAGAAAACATGCTGAAGAGCGGGCTAAGGAAGCCCAAGACAGCTCCAGCCAGGTAGCCACAGTTGAGTTTCTATCCCATCAGGGTAAAGATGTCAAGGCTTCCAAACACACCAATAAGATAGTGGCTCATGGAACAGTCTGCAACACAGATGTTGCGTTTCTAGTTGATTCAGGAGCAGCTAGTACCATAATAAACTCGGAGGTCTACCGAAAGATGCATGAACTTATAAGGCCAAAACTTGAGCCATCGAATAGAGTTATTATACAAGCTGGTGGAGAACCATTGAGTCAAAAAGGTGTTACCTGTGTTGGAATAAACATTGGTGGCCATGTCGAGAACTTAAAAGTAGTAGTGGCAGATATTGAATTCGATGGCATCTTAGGTACTGATTACCTTGCTGCTTCAAGAGCCATATTAGACTATGGTCAGTGTAAGATGACCATGAGATCAGGAAGTTCTAGTGATGCTGAGGTACGTGTTGGAGACACATACAAAAGAACATCTCGGAGAGTGACTATGGATGTAGTAAGTAGTCATCCAGTCCGAGATAAGAGATATAGCCAGAGAGTTAGACTGAGTGAATCTTCTGGAAACATGAGAGGTGTGGGACAGGATAGTCCAGGCCTGTCCAGTACTCGTCCCAGTAAGGTCCCACTAGCAAAAGTCTATAGATCAAGGTACTCAGGACCCCGACAGAGATGTGACACAGATTATGATTGGAGGAACCATCGTTGTTTGCCTCCCATAAACACTAATTCGAGAGCACAGCCTTGAGAATTATGAAGGTTGTCAAGGACATTTAGTGATACGAATGAGTAGCACTTAGCTGCGAGTTAAACTTGTGAAGATAACTGTACATAGTAGTTAGACGTTCAGTAGTTAGATTTTTAAACCAGAGTTTAATGAGTTTATGATAAATGATTCTCATTGCACCTCGTAAAGACTGATAGATAACCCCGGGGTTAAACAAACCAGATAGATTATAAGTGTAGGAAATAGCTAGTTAGGAAAAATTCGTTATTTTTTTTATAACTTAGGCTTGGTGTTGTTAACACCAAAATCATTGGTTGGGAGGAGTGTAACGAATTTTTCATTTTTCAAAATTTTATTTTTGGAGTCCAGTGCCGTTTTTTAGCACTTTAGACAGTTTTGACAGTAGGAAAGTGTTTCCCAGTCACAGTTGACAGCTTATATAGTTATATTTATGAATAGAACACTTTAGGTGTACTGGGAATAGTGTAAACTACTCTTTTCTGGGAGATTTATTTTGCTTGCGTTCTTGTGCATTTTCTCACCTCCTATTAGAGAGCTCTGTTGACCTACATTCAATAACTCGTTTTTCCTTGCAATTTCGCCATAATTGGAGCCAATGATGATTGGTTTTTGTTATATTTATCTAGTTTATATCTTAATCTAGCTAGTTAATTAGAAGATATATGTTTGTTCTGTGTTAAAAAACGGAGATCGTGATTGTTAGGTGAAGCTAATTTTCTGCAAAAGTTATGTCATCATTGCATCATATTAATTAATTATGCACTAGTGATATCCTGCCTGGGATTCCAGTGACTGGCCAGGTATTGCATCAGCCGCTCGTGAGCTATGATTGGTTAGGCAGATAGTTTCGTGTGCAAAACACATGTTACATACATGTTGGGGTATAAATACAGTGGCGGACGTGACTCGGGGGCTTTCGGCGCATTGACTTTTGACGAACGGGACTATGTGGCTCGGGTTTATGGAATCTTTGGAACTATGAAACTTTTTCGTTTTTGCTAACTGCAAAACTTAGATGATTCTTGGAACTACAAAACTTAGGAAGTTTTCTGCTAACTGAAGGATGGCATGGGATGATTGACTTGCCTAATTGAACTTCATTAGCCTGAGGTAGTAACCATAGATGATTATAAGCCACTGGTGTTGGATTCTAGGTGAATTAACTGGCTTATTGAGGGAAGTTATTGAACTACAAAACTTAGGAAGTTTTCTGCTGACTATTAGCCCGAGTGAACAGTCATATATGATTATAAGCCACTGATGTTGGAATCTAGATGGGGGCTTCTGACACTCTGACTTTTGACGAACGGGACTATGTGGCTCTGATATACGGGAGTTTTGGAACTACAAAACTTTGTCGTTTTTGCTAACTGCAAAACTTAGATGATTCTTGGAACTACAAAACTTAGGAAGTTTTCTGCTAACTGAAGGATGGCATGGGATGATTGACTTGCCTAATTGAACTTCATTAGCCTGAGGTAGTAACCATAGATGATTATAAGCCACTGGTGTTGGATTCTAGGTGAATTAACTGGCTTATTGAGGGAAGTTATTGAACTACAAAACTTAGGAAGTTTTCTGCTGACTATTAGCCCGAGTGAACAGTCATATATGATTATAAGCCACTGATGTTGGAATCTAGATGGGGGCTTCTGACACTCTGACTTTTGACGAACGGGACTATGTGGCTCTGATATACGGGAGTTTTGGAACTACAAAACTTTGTCGTTTTTGCTAACTGCAAAACTTAGATGATTCTTGGAACTACAAAACTTAGGAAGTTTTTCTGCTAACTGAAGGATGGCATGGGATGATTGACTTGCCTAATTGAACTTCATTAGCCTGAGGTAGTAGCCATTGATGATTATAAGCCACTGGTGTTTGATTCTAGGCGAATTAACTGGCTTATTGAGGGAAGCAATTGGAACTACAAAACTTAGGAAGTTTTCTGGAACTACAAAACTTAGGAAGTTTTTCGCTGACTATTAGCCCGATAGTCCTAGATGATTATAAGCCACTGGTGTTTGATTCTAGGCGAATTAACTGGCTTATTGAGGGAAGCAATTGGAACTACAAAACTTAGGAAGTTTTCTGGAACTACAAAACTTAGGAAGTTTTTCGCTGACTATTAGCCCGATAGTCCTAGATGATTATAAGCCACTGATGTTGGAGCAGATAACACATTGACTTTTGACGAACGGGACTATGTGGCTCTGATTTACGGGATTTTTGGAACTACAAAACTTAGGCAGTTTTCTGGAACTATAAAACTTTGTCATTTTTGCTATCTGCAAAACTTAGTCGTTTTCTGCTATCTGAAGAACATAGTCGATCTGCTACATGGGATGACTGACCATTGACTATTGACTTCACTTAGCCTGATGAAGTAGCCATTGATGATTATAAGCCATTGATGTGACAACCTGGATGAATTTATTGGCTTATTAGAGGAATTTTTGGAACTACAAAACTTTGTCATTTTTGCTAACTGCAAAACTTAGCTGATATTTTGGATCTACAAAACTTAGAAGTTTTCTGCTATCTGAAGAACTTAGTCGATCTGCTACATGGGATGACTGACCATTGACTATTGACTCTTGACTTCTCTTAGCCTGATGAAGTAGCCATTGATGATTATAAGCCATTGATGTGACAACCTGGATGAATTTATTGGCTTATTAGAGGAATTTTTGGAACTACAAAACTTAGTCGTTTTTGCTAACTGCAAAACTTAGCTGATATTTTGGATCTACAAAACTTAGAAGTTTTCTGCTATCTGAAGAACATAGTCGATCTGCTACATGGGATGACTGACCATTGACTATTGACTATTGACTTCTCTTAGCCTGATGAAGTAGCCATTGATGATTATAAGCCATTGATGTGACAACCTGGATGAATATATTGGCTTATTAGAGGCATTTTTGGAACTACAAAACTTAGTCGTTTTTGCTAACTGCAAGACTTAGCTGATATTTTGGATCTACAAAACTTAGAAGTTTTCTGCTATCTGAAGAACTTAGTCGATTTGCTGCGTGGGAATCTACAGGACTGGACAGCACTTCAAGAGGGTGAAGCTATCCCCAGCATAGAGCTTAAAGAAGTGGTGTCCAGCCTTCATAGATCTAATTCATGGAATTGGATGTTCCTTTCTTCGCCTTGGTCTTAGTCAGTGTTGTATTCATAGTTACCTGTTTGATTGCGGTTATATGCATCCGTGTGTGTATGAGGACTGAAAGGGACTCTACTAACCAGGAACCTCAAGTAACCCTTGCACCTAGGCCAGCGTTACAGTCATCATTGGGATTCAGTTTGGCCACTGTGAACTTTGAATAGAATTCTACTTTGAACTATTATTGTACCAGAGAGTGATCGTATATAATTAACAACAACAAGTTTATTTGGACATTTCAAATTTGTTTGTAATAATTAAGGTTATAATATATGTGAAATAAATCTATATTGTTTGTCGTGTTGTAATTGCTGTATAACACAAGTACATTTAACGTGTACCAGGAAATCCCAAAGTAACCTAGCCCTCACACTACCATAAATCGGCTAGTTTGTTACAGTATCTTGATAAGCTTAGAGCTAATAAAACCAAAATTAAATATACTACCAATATCATCCTCAGGGTTTATAATCACTAAAATGCCTAAATAATAAAACATTTGAACAGTGAGGTAAATGTCATTCCACATGTTTCTTTCATGGCTTTAAATACTGTAATTGCACTAAAAGTTTTTTATTGTTCATATAAAATTGTATCAATTGGCACATCAGATTCCGTCACAGGAATATCATCAATAATCTGTTCCTTAAAAGCCAGAGCAACAGTAATTGGCTTCTTCTTTGTGATGTTGACACATTTCCTTAAATAGTTGTCATAGTAGCCCTTTCCGCGACCCAATCGAGCCCCTTCTTTCGAAAATCCCAGTCCTGGCATAAGAATCAAATCTAGACCTCCAGTTGTCAATGCGTTTTCTCTATCATCATCAAAGTTTGGTTGCTTGATGTTCCATTTTGTCACAGGTAGACTATCATAATCAGCCATGGAGTTCAGTTTTAACATATCCATATTATCACCATGGTAACATGGAATAAAACAGATTTTTCCACTTCTGAAAATGTCTGATAATATGTGCATTGTGTTGATCTCATCTTGCATGCTTAGGAATACAGAAATACGTGTACTTTGTTGATATACTGGCAAAGCTATTAACTTCTGAGTTATTACGGATGATTGTCTCTCTTTTTCTTCCCTTGACAGAGCATTGATTGTATCCTTGATTTTCTTTCTTAGTATTTTCTTAGCTGCATGGATTGATGCCAGTGCCATTGTAATCTGCAATCACACAAGAAACTTTTGTACATTGAGTTATATAGAGCATCGTACAAATAAGTAGGATCATATATATTTACAATACCTTATCTCAAATATAAAGAACCTTAGTTAAGTCGGCATCCACCAAATTTGGAATCTAACATTTCAATCAGTACTATACAAAACATTTTCTCCATCTCTGTCCATCTAAACATCTATGATTCAACAGAAAGAGATGCCCGGAGAGATGCTATGACTATGAGTATCAAAATAGAAGAATACATGTCAAGAGTATAGAACCACACACTGTCATTCAATACCAACATAACCTAAATCTAAGCAATACCATGGAGAACTATTTACATACAAGTATGATTTGTATCGTTTTTACTGTTTTTACTCTTATGGGATTAAGTACTACCCTAAAATACTGTACTCTGAGATACTGTACTCAGAGTATTTTTCATGTGTGATTTAGTTTCGCGTTTCCCGATTGAGGTTAAATTGCAAAAATTAGTCTTCGCGAAGTTGTCAATTAAATCCAAAGGATTTTGCAGAAGCACTCGATGCTGGGTCCTGTCAATGTTTGCCATCGACCCTTTCTCGGGATTTGTGAAATTTTTTATTACCTGGGACTGTACTTATAATAAAATTTGCGAAACCGTGTTTTCTCAAAATTTGTGAAATAAAAACTCGCGAAACGCCGGGAGTGGATGTAAATAGTTTTCTCTGAGCAATACTGTATCACATACACATACACATGCAGCAGCATGAATATTACTTAAAATGCAATATGCACTTGTATATGTTGAAAATTTACAATAAAGCCATGCAATAAGCTGAAATACAAACCCGGAAGTCCAAATAACTGAAATATTCTCTGACGATGCAGAACTGTTTGATATGACACGGTGAGATCAATAATTAGTTTGCCATTCTGGTTAATTTATTATTTGGTCTAAATGATTGTCTCATTTAAAATTGAATTTGTCTCACAATATGGATGTAATTACATTTAATGTTTTACTCTTCCTTAGATTCATAACTCTACCATTTTGAACAGTCACATGATTTGATCTCGTTTGAAACGAGATTTCAGGACGAGAAGTAAAACCACTTCCTGATAAAGTTTTTAACTTTTTCTAACTTTCGTTTTTGTAATATGTAGAGTACTCGGATGTTAAAATGGCTTTACAAGCCAGTCTTCAGAAATTCCTAGCTAAAGTTGAGCGGTTGTCCATACTAGATAAAAACGGGATTGATGGGTTTCAGAGAGAATTTACGGTAAGAACCAAGATTTTTTTGGCCTCTTTTGAGCTTCATCAAATTCATGTACTATTTTTTTCATGGCCTGAGTTCGTCGCTAACATGCTAAATATAAGAGTTAGCTGACGTTTGGGAGTCTGACTTACCTTCTAAAGGTTAGAACCCGAATCTTAATGAAACCATATCACCTTTGTTCTGTCAACCATGGAGCATTTGCCACAACATCCAAGAGGTAAATCATTGACTGTAAATACTGTAAATTGCACAGCTGTATTCAATGGAGTCTTGTCATATTCAATCAGCCTCAATTTTAAAGTGTATATTTTATTTTTAACATGATTTCATCGTTTTTTGTCGACTGGTAAGAATCCGCTGGGCAAATGGCAAGATGGATGACTTTTGACCTGACCTTGACCGATGGCGGTGACGTCATCAATTTTATCTTGACGTTGATTGGTTAAATGATGATTGTTTGGGAAATTTGAATTTAGTTCTCGTAACCTCCCGTGACCTCCCGAATAGGTCTCGTGACCTTGTGCCAGAAGTCCGACTTTTTTGTCAGTCTACCTGTTCAAAGTACATTTAGTAATAATTATCGCTTTTCAGAACAATTTAGGAAACAATATTTTCTATCTATGTCGATTACAAAGCATCTAAGGTACGTAAATTTATATGAACAACTGAGTCAATAGGGATAAATAGCCCAACTAGAGTCGGCGGTCTTGAAAAATACTTGGATCTGGATGCCAGTCCTGTTATTGATATAATTCCAGTTCGAAGAACGTATTAGATGTCCGTGGTTTTCTTATTTGTTATTATTTGAGGCCAGCCTTATCAAATGTCAAAAGATTAAAAAATGCAAACCGAGCACACATTTGTGGGGATAGAGTCGCCCATCACCATTGTTTTTATTTTCTTTACCATGACTCTATTGCTAGTAAAATAGGTGTAAGCTCTTGCCCGTAGCCAGCTTTTACCAGGAGAGGGAGCTTTTTTCCAGGGTGGGGAGCTTTTTCACAATTTTGGCTGAAAATCATGCGAAAAATTCTCAAAATGGTGAAAAACTGCATGATTTTGAAAGAATTTCTGGTTAGCGAAAGCTCCCCCTCTGGCTACGGGCCTGAAGCTATTGCGTCAAACCCAAACACCTGACCTAAATAATAGTTTATCTGCCTATTTGGCATCTAGTAACACTGACTTACTATCTGCTTGCTAATTTAACTGATTGGCTTTATTATAATCGATCCTTACAGTGGCTTAAAAAGTCATGTGATCACTGTTGACTAACAGGTTGTATATTATTTCAACTTCAAAATGATGACTTTAATTTGATATGCAAATTACCTATGAGTTGAAGGTCACACCAGCAGCCATCCTCCGTATGCATGCCTCCAAAATCCAGAATACCTTCTTTAATGAGTTAGGATTCTGGGCACCTGCGGAGGACAATCTGCAGCCGGTTGCTGATAGTTGTGTTAGCATATGCAAGATTTTTTAAAGTCACCAAAAAGTATTCCATCTTCATGACTTTTGTACAGTTTGTCCCCCAAACACGAGTGGTCAAAATGAAGCAAAAATAATCAATATCTTATAAGATTTGGTTGATTTACTATGAGGGAAATACTAGTAAGCTGAAAAAACAAAAATTAAGTTTAAACAAAAATTGAAAGATGAGAATATTATATTAAAAATTTTAATTTTATAATTGCTTGGCCATTTCTTCTTAATTGAACCACTCAAGGTGGAAAACCCCCAATAAGTGAAATACTTTACAGGAATTTATCTTGCTGATTTTGCAGGTTTTTATCTCAAGATGGTAGCCTTAATCCCAAATACATCCAACACAGTGAAACTGAATGTTGCTGTTGTTATTTGTTATGGTCATCTTTAGCTTAAAACATTTCTCTTGCAAGGATATTGATGCATTTTGACATACATTCCAGGCCCTTAAAGACAAAAGCAACCAGTACAAGGTTGAAAAGACATATCCCACTACAGAGGGAGAAAAGCAAAGCAATAGGAAGAAGAATCGTTACAAAGACATACTACCCTGTGAGTACACATTCCTTTAATATGTTTCAAGTGTCCATCTTCTGGGACTTATTTTTGACTAGCCTATCACCAAATCCAGGGTTGCCAACCACCAAAATCACTTGTTTTTAAAGTAAGGAAATAAAAACATGAATGTTTACTTTCATTTTAAAACTTACTGATTACTCATACTTGGAACAGTTAATGAAATGTTTTTTTTCTGTTTCAGTTGATTATACCAGAGTCCCATTAGAAAATATAACTGGACATCCCGGGTCTGATTACATTAATGCAAGCTTCATTAAGGTAACAGTTAAAAGTTAATTTAGAGGTTGATTCATAAGTAAAATCAAAGATGTTGCCATTTCAATACTGCTGGACCACGAAATCTACAGGATGATCGAGAAGATGATATTGCCATTTTAATACAGAGAGAAAAATGGTTTTTCATAACACCTTAGAAAATGTAATAGTAAAATTATTGAAAATTATGCACACTCTAAACTCGAAATTTGCCTCAAAATTTGTTATTTTGTTAATGAAAATAGTTTGAAACATGGGTTATATGGGTTATATCACCCATACACCAAACGAAACTATATATTTGAGTAGTCTGAGGTTGCAGAAATCAAGGTTTGTGCAAAATCTCATTTTGAGTGCTATATAATATGTATGTACAATTGGCAGAAACATGTTTAGAAGTTGATTATAGGCTGAATTGACTCATCAAGGGTTTTGAAATTTTTCAAAAAACAGTTTTTATTTAATTGACTAGTAGTAGTAGTCCAACAAGGTCTTTCCTAGGACGCTTAATCTGAGCGTCTGTCATTCAAAAAGTTTGAAGAAAGTGAAAATATTGATCCTTGACAGCCCACCATTGAGATTTCATCTAAGATAAGTGACATATCTTACCAGGATTACATTATTGTGGATGTAACTATGGAAACAGTATACCAGATGTACATCATTGTGGATGTAATTGAAGAAACAAAACAGAAGTACAGTGTTGTTGATTAAAAAAACATTTATACCAGATCCTTGATATTTTTACGAGATGCTTTTTAAAGATATAAGTTGTTTCTAGGTCAGTTTCATTCATTTGCAAAAAATGAGGAATATGCCATTAAATACACAGTCTGTACTTTAAATATACATGTGAATAGCTTTCTAAAATGTAAGCTGCTTTTACAAACATGTATGAAAGAGATTATTGTCAAATAAATAAAAGGTAAAGAAAGAAAATGTGGCAATTCATGAAGAAATTTATTTGGCGAACTTGACTTAAACTCATTATTGATTTTAAAGTGCAAATCTACATGCGTGTAATTGTAAACTTTTGATGTGATACTCATACGTATAATCAATGGCCTTAACGTTCTTAGAACTATATTTTACAATAGACAAATTCTAGTTATCATATTAAATGCTTGTGACAAATTGCCATTGCATTTTAACTTCCTTGTTGCACATAGTGTTAACATGAAGGAAAACAATCATAACTCTGATTAATTCAAAGATAATGATACAAGTTTCATGATGGTGAAGCTTATATTGACAGATCCTGTTTGTATTAAAGCACAACTGAAATAGGTTTTCTCAACTTGCAGCTACAAAAATGCGATTTTTTGCATTGTAAGCCCAACAAATGATAAATAACTATTGTAGTCTAATAACAACGAAATAAAATTAATGGATCAGTTAGATTGGCCCCATGCCGAAAAACACCACAAAGCATAAAAATATTGCTTATTAAACAGCTACCATGCTCAGTAGAAGGAAACAGTTGCCACATTACTGATTAGATGACATGTCCAAATACATCTATTATTGATTCCTTTAACAGCTATTTTAGTTGTAATGTACTATAAATACACAAGGCAGTATACTAGTATTGTAACGAAAACAAAAGAAAATGTTTCCAAAAGAAGTTTTGAGAGACCATGCCTCTTATCTTTTGATAACCGGATGTTTACATTTGATTAATACATGTATATATTATGCTTCATGGGTGTAGTACCTCTGATCGAGTAGGAATTTTTAATATGGCCACTCAATTCATAATAACAAAAAATGTAATCTTTGATAACTCAAGTACTAGGCTAGTGGATGGATTTCGTTCAAATTTTATATGCTGATGCCTAGAGATAAAGGAGCTTTATCCAAGAAAAGATTTTCAAGATGGCCCCTGATTTCCAAAATGGACACCATTATTCGTAAAAATAAATCTTTGATAACTCAGGTACCAGTGAACGGGTTTGGTTCAAATTTTACATGCTGATGCCTAGGGACACAGATAGTTTATTGGAAAAAGTAAGATAACGGCTGAATTTTAAAATGGCCACCATTTTTCGTAAAAAACGTTATATTTGATAACTTAAATACCAGTGAACGAAATTTGGTTCAAATTTAATATGCTGATGCCTAGGGACACAGTAACTCTGTTTTCGAGAAAGAATTTTCAAGATGGTGGCTGAATTTCAAAATGTTTACCATTTTTAAAAAAACATAATCTTTGATATCTCAAGTTCCAGTTGATTTGAGTTATATGCTAATAAAGTGATATATGCTCTGTTCAATATTACATTTTTAAGATGGCCTCTAATTATCAAAATGTGTTTCATTCCGCTGGGATTTGCTACTCCTTGGAGTAGTATATTTTATATATAGGATAGATGGTGCTGATTGTGGTTTCAACTTAAAAGAAGTAAAATTCTTGCTTAAAATATATTTTAGAGTGCAACTGGGAAGAAATCATACATTGCATCCCAAGGACCCCTTCCACACACTGTAAATGATTTCTGGAGACTTATTTGGGAATATGATGCCTCCATTGTTATTATGTCCTGTCGAGAGGTGGAGCTAGGAAAGGTACATTTATACTTTGTTTCCATTTCTTTCATTATGTAACTTTATTGTTTGTAAAACAAAAGTACCCTCACTCATGTTAATGTAATACTTAGAATTCAACTTCCATGCTTTAATGTATAAATATTTAAAATTTGACAAGAGAGCACACAGGTCAGAACAATAAGATTAACAACTATGTCCTAGTCAGTTGTCTCTCTCTCTCTCTGTGTCTCTCTCTCTCTCTCTGTTGTACTAAATTATAATTTTTAGTTTTCCTCTGTTTTAGCCAAAATGTGAGAGATATTGGGCTGAGAAGGGAGAGCCAAAATTGTATGGAACAATCGAAGTAACAATGGTAAGGACTGTGGAAGGTGTTTTGGGGTCGGCATTCAGAGTTTGGTGTCTGTAGCAATGCATTTGAAATAACTTACAAAGTGGTGACATTTTGTCATGTTAATGCCTGGTTTGAATATTATATTTTATCATGTATTCATAGAATAATTTGTTTTAATTTAGATTTTTGAAAACCCATTACCAATTTTGTTTTTACAGTAAACGCATAGCTTTTGCCAAAAGGTGCAGCAAGGATATTAACCATTTTTTCAAAAGTGACATTTTTACAACATCATGCTGTAATATTATACATTATGCATGACATGTTGGCATTTCAGGTTAAAGAACAGGACCACTATAAAGAGTTTACCATTCGAACTTTACGGGCTACAAAGAAGGGAGAAACACGAGTCATAAAGCAGTATCATTACATAAAATGGCCTGATCATGGTGTTCCAGACTCTGCGCTTCCAATATTGGACATGATTGCAATGGTGCGAGAAGATCAAAGCCAGGAGGAACCACCACTTGTAGTTCATTGCAGGTACATCAGTTAGCTAGATTCTATAAACCGATTTGTTGTGGGGCCAGAAAACATTTACCAATTTTGTAAGAAATCAAAGCATTGGTCATTTTGTAAATCAGACTCGTAGGCCAAAAAGTGTATTCAGTTTCGTAAAAAATGGAATATTGATCATTTTTTGATTCTCTGCATTGGACTGTACAGTGCAACACTATGTTACTTCTATATGAATTGTATAATATTGAATGAAGCCATTTTGTGGAAAAGCACAGGCTACAGTGGTATTTGGGTGTGCTTAGACAGTGTAACACCAATAATATCCTTTGTATCATTTTATTTCAGTGCAGGTTGTGGGAGAACTGGGGCAATTATTGCAATAGATTATGCATGGACACTGCTCAAAACAGGGGTAAGTGACTGGTTTGTTGTCATGGGGTCAAGTATACATATTGGGTCAAGTGTACAGGTGTGGGTCGAGTGTACAGGTCTGGGTCAGGTGTACATGTATTGATAATTAAATGATCTGATGAAAAATGCCATTCCTCACAAAAACAAGGAAAAGATTTATTTGTTATTCAACATGTTTTTTGAACTGAACTGAACATATATCATGGGGAACCTCAACATATTGTATGCGTCCAGAAAACGAAAAAAATTAAGGTCCAGGTTATAGACATTATGTATACCTTATTGACATTTCATTGTAATTTTAGAAACTTACTGCTGACTTTGATATATTTGATATCCTGTCCGAGATGAGGAAACAGAGGCTTGCTTTTGTTCAAGCAAAGGTTAGTTTCACGCTGTATTTAATGATAAGGAAGATAATTAAGGATAGGGTTAATAATTGAGCTACTTAGATCAATCATAATCAGTTATGTGCGATTAAATGTTGTTTCAAACACACACCTGACCATCTATTTTCAATTGGTCACGATTTATAGTAAACTCTATATATTGGAACGCCTGGGTAATCTGAACACCTACTAATCTGAACACTTTTTTGGTCCTGTATTTTCCTCCCATTGACATCCATGTTATAAATTAATATGTGAACACCCCCCAATTTGAACAGAGTCATATTTGACTAAAAGTAAAATTAACCTGTCTAATTTGAACACTTTTCATAAAATATCACATGTTTCAAAATTAATAACAATAAAATGAAAAACTCTCCCCCCTCTTTGTTCAAACACTCCCCCTTCAATGTTTGAAACACACATCGCCTATGTTTAGCAGCAATTATTAACACTCGTTAACTCCTGCAGGACCAATATGAACTTGTGAATCGGGCAGTAGCTGAACTGTTTGAGCGCCACCTATTGCTGATGGATAAACATCTCTACGAGAATATGAATGTAGAAAAGGTATGAGAATTTGTCCTTATAGGTTTCATGTATTTATCATTTGAAAGTGTTAGTTTCTACTTTTATTATGAAGTGTTTATTGTTGTTTATTTGATTTACAAGCTATATACATATACGTATATGCCTTATCTTAATATAATCACCATGCTAGTACAATTTTAATTTTGAATCAAACGTCATCCTAGGTAGTACATACAGATTTGCAATGTTTAATGAAGGACCATTTACATGAAGACTTAAACTAGTTAGTAGTTATTGACAAACAATTATTTCATCATGACAGTGGGCTTGTCTATCAATCACAGTCCGTCCATCGCCATATTAGGACATGTACCCACCCACTTTGTATTTAACAATGCTTGTTAAAATGACAGTGTTTTCTTGAATATCAAACTCTGTGATACATGAAAAGAGTTCATATTTTATGTTATTTGATTTCTAGGAGAAAGATCCTGCATATGGTAAGTACAGTAAAATGTCAAGAAAGTTTGTGTTTGAAAATACAACATATGTTGAATGAAGAGAGTGAAATAAGCACAAAGTGAACAAGTTACCGAGTACACATTTTGAAATACATGAAGTTTTGAAATGTAGATATTAAATTATGAAAGGAATAGTTCTTTATTGGTTTCCTTAATATCTTTTTATCACACCATCGGTGGGATATAGTCATCATACTGGTCGTGGTCGTGGTCGTGATCGTCCCGCTTTTTTTGTCATCGCCGTTTAAGGAAAACTGCTCATCAGATTTTCTCAGAATTCGCAGAGATGATAGAGCATATGAAGTACTAGAGCTGATTAACTTTTGGGTGGCCATCTTGTTTTCTGGCGGCTATTTTGAAGGTTTTTCGAAAAATCTTGTCATCGTCATTTCAGGAAAACCGCTCATTGGATTTCCTTCAAATTTACACAAATGATAGAGGATATCAAGTACTAGAGCTGATTAACTTTTGGGCGGCCATCTTGTTTTCTGGCAGCCATTTTGAAGATTTTTCGAAAAATCTTGTCATCGCCATTTCAGAAAATCCGCTCATCGGATTTCCTTCAAATTTACACACATGATAGAGGATATCAAGTACTAGAGCTGATTAATTTTATGGCGGCCATCTTGTTTTCTGGTGGCCATTTTGAAGGTTTTTGAAAAATCTTGTCATCGCCATTTCAGGAAAACCGCTCATCGGATTTCCTTCAAATTTACACATCTTGTGTTCTGGTGGCCATTTTGAAGGTTTTTTGAAAAATCTTGTTTCTTGTTCTTGAAATTTGTAAACATGAGAACAGTTTACCTGGTTTATAGTGTCTGCCTATTTGATGGTGTGATCTTGTTCATGTCCTGTGCCTTGTTTTTATAATAGGCTAGATTTATTCCTGAAGCGCATGTATATTTTGCTGTAGTTGAAGAGATGGTTTGGAATGAAGTTGGAATATTAGTTCACATAAGCCAGGTTTTAAACCAGGTCCCTTTTATATTTGTTTAACATTTACAAAGTAGCCCAAAGAAAATGACACGTGCAAGTTCTTTTTACTGTGCTTTTATTTTGTGATCGGTGATTCTTTGTGACTGCAAGAAATTGTTACACCTTTGTAACAATTTGCAATAACTTACCAGCTGGTGACATTTTATCACATGAATGCCTTTTTAGAATTGTTTACATTTCTTAGGTTATTTCAGATTCCCCTTGTGATGTTAAGCTGCCTCATACAGAGGAATCAGAATATGAAGATGTGCATCCCTCCCAACTTGCAATACGACGCTCCATTCATGAATTGCTCAACAACGATGGATTAAAGATTTTCTTGCAATCGTCTCCACCAAAGCCATCTTTAGCGAAAAAACCTGATACCCTTTCATTTAACAACAGTAACTCAGACAATGCAAAATCAAAAAATTCATCAAAACCTCCGATTTCTCCGCACAAACCCCGATTAGATCAGAAACCAAATGACAATGATGTATTTTCTAAGCCAAAAGGGTCCGAAAAGAAAGATCCTATTGATCGATTGCTGCCCAAATTACCGAAGAAGACTGGGTCATTCCGTATTGCCAACAGAGATGACCCTGGCCTCTCAAGGTCACCTAGAATGAAAGCGAGGCAGCCTAAACCTGACCTCGATGAGATTGAGACGGAACATTTAACCCGAAGTAGTGGTAGTGTTCGAATAAAGAGATCAAATGGTCAGAGATATAACTATGAGAATATGAAAATTGACAGTGATATTGACATAAGAGGAAGAAATGATGACCTCAGTGAACTTGATGATTTGATGAACTTTGTCACTACAGACACATCCATTAATGTTTTAAAGCCCATACCTGTGACATTGCCAGACACGAAGCTCAGTGATACTAAAAGTGCATGTAAGCCCCCACCCTCTCCCCACGAAGGGGAGTATTCCAATGTAGAGTTCAAAAAGCGACCTGTACAAAAACCTGTGATAGAAGAACAGAAAGTGCCTGACAAAAAAACACAGTTTGACCAATTATGGCATTCCAATAATAGGAATGCACTTGAGGCAACAAGTCTTAAGAATCAGAAAAAACAATTCAATGATGAGGATGACTCTCAGTATGAAGGGGTTTGGGAGGCTAAAGTTGATAGTGGGAAAGCAGTCTCTCTTACTAAATCTAGACTAGCATCAGACAGTAAATTACTAAAGCAGAGTCAAGAAAATATTGACACCAGGCGTCACGTCTCAACAAGCAGTACAAAGAGTGCCACAGAGCTTATCATTGATGCCTATAGTGTTGAAAAACCAGTGGAAAATAAGTCTAACATTGCAGTATTTAAAGATACAAAGCCAAATAATCAACAATTGAAACCCAGTAGACTTTATTCAGCAGAAAAACCAGTAATAACCACCTCAAAATATGTTAATGAAAAACCAATAGGCGAAACACAGCATACAGTACAAAACTCAGCTAAACCTTCTAAGGAAACTTTTGTATATGATTATGCATATGCAGAAACTTCGCAACCTGGTCAAAAGAAGCCGGAGCAGGATTCAAATACACATTTTAAATATGACTATGCTTATGCTGAAACTTCACCAACAGGAAGGGATAAGGAACCATCACCAAGTAACAATGCTGCCAAGACAACAAAACCTGAAGCCATGTATGCATATGCTGATCCCGGGAAGGTCCGTGCAGGATTCATGCCAAGCGAAACAAAGTCTGATGGGAGCTACTCGTATGCTGATCCAGGAAGGGCTCGTCCTGGGTTTGTGCCCGAGTCCCCCCAGGGTGCAATTGACTCTCCGACGACCCCCCATTCTGGACCAATGAAACCACCACGAAAAAACAAAAAGGTAATAATATAGGATAAGTATTTTATGTGCATAGTGGTAAAGACTGTTTCATAAGCTAAAAAGTGCAAAAATTATTGAAATTCCCTTTCTAAAAAATTTGCAGTTCAATAAAGTCTGCTTGGTCAACTAGAGTCTCACAGGTTGTTTAGAATTGCTTGTGTATAATGGAATGATCCTGAAATTCAGCAGAAAGACATGAACATGTATTAGAATCTGTATGACACACTCTTAAAAGATTCATGCGCAATTGGAATAACTTGACTGCTTATAGTGGAATAGCTAATGACTGCTTATAGTATTTCTCTTTATTCATCGAAAATACACAATCATGAATTTATAAAATTGTATTACAGGAATTCAATGACCTATTGCTTTGCTGGGAACTTAGAGAGAAAAGTTATCAAGTATAAAATATTAATTTATGTATAACAAACACCTTACCCAATCCTTCACTTTCATATATACTGCATGTTGCATCAAAATTTATATATTTCTGTATATTTTCCATTTTTTAATGTTTTATGTATCAAACAGATTCTTATTTTTTTAATTAAGGAATAAATAATGATAGGCCATTCAATATGGTGAAATTCAGCACGAGTTGGACAGAATGTTGTACAAAGCACGAACCGAAGGTGAGTGCATTTGTACTAACATTCTGTCCAACGAGTGCTGAATTTCACCATATTGAATGGCCTATCATTATTTATTCCGATTCAAACATAAAAATTAGTAAAAGCCGTGTCTGTGGAACGGGCATGAAGGAAGAATACGAACAGCTATCCCCGGACAGAGCCCCAGATGTGCAGCTGAGATGTGACGTCACTCAAAACAATGCAAATTGCAGATTGAATAGAGCATGGTCGTGCATCTATGGAGAATTAGAGAACGTTCTATATTGGCTATGCTGCATTCTGATTGGTTGAGAAATTCGAATAGAGCACGGTCATGTTTGAATGCTATATATAGACTCTCCTTTTGTCAGATATTAGGTCATTTAATGGCAGGAATTACATTGTCGTTTTCTGAATCCTAATTGCCTTCTACAATCACATGAGTTAGGCCTCAGTCACATTTGCTCTACCGTATTGCAGGTGTAGTTTCAAAAATTTGATATAGAAAATCTACATCTTACTGCTTATCTCTGTATTTTATGCTGCATTTTCCTCTCGATTTTGGGAAGCTACAGCTTCTGCATAGTTGCCGTAGAACAAATGTGACTGAGGCATTGGCCTTCTTCACTCAGTGTCAGAGGGTAATTTGACTAACAAATGGAGAGGGTACTATTTCCTCATATTTTACTCAGTTTTTTGTCTGTGCTTAACACCCAAAATTTAATCTTATTCTTCTTTTACATGTTCAGTAAAACCAGCCCAGTATCATATAACATGATATGAACTAAAACTCAATTTGAAAATGACTGCTAATTACTAATTATTGATGAGCAGTAGCCCAGATTCAGTACCATCTACATATTCAATTCAATTCAATTTTCAATTTCAAATAAATTTATTAAATTTTTCGTACAATAATAATTAATACATAGAATATACAGGTATATATACATGTGAACTGTTCTGCATTTTTAGCTCACATGAGTGAGGTATTGTTATGAGTGATTGTAGTTGTCCATTTGTCTGTCCATTTGTAAAGTAAAACATCAGATCAATTCTGACATCAATAATATGGGTAGATTTGGGGACTATTTTAACTGAAAGTGAGGTGTTACAATAGAGCTAATCTAATTTGACTATCGTTCTATTTTGCAGTCAAGTAGCAGTGCATCTACTAGTAGCTTTGATGAGTACGAACCAGTATCCATGTCAAGTAGCCTCCCAAGTCCATCTGATGTTGAACTCGTGGAACTTAGGATCGTGGAGGAAGGGGATTATTCTTCCGTTGGTAAGTAACCTTTGTAAGAGCTCGACAATATTTACCCTCTTTCATTTAAGATAACTCAGATTTTGAATGGCACCAGCACATCCAAATCTTCTGAAATCTTATTTGGATGAATATTTTAAATGAAAATACCACTGGTCATGAATGCAGGGGTATTGTAGGAGTTTGTATTGTTGGAGATTGTCGCACTCCAACATTTATCAACAGTTCACTATTGAATAAGCATGATTATTACAGAGATATTTTTGGTTGTAAAGATTGTTAGCTTGTGAACTGTAAATATCTTGCAAGATAGTTATCCAGACTTGAAGATGATATGGTTTTGATGCTTAGATATTTGACCATGAAATATCTACTGCTTGTTTTTATGTCACCACCAGAAATAGTGACATGTAGTTAGTCTCTAACTTTTATGTGGATGGTCGTTTGCAGTTGGCATTTGCTGTTGGTAACCAATGGCAGGTGGTGACATTTTGCAAGTTAATGCCTTGTTTACTTTGGTTTTTATAGCACTGTTTATGATTGTATTTAGATAGCAAAGATATGCATGCAGATCAGCCACCTGTGCCTAGGAAAACAAAAGACTCATTGACGTTTGTCTCATATGATGCTGACCCAGATCCAGGTGTGGTAACCTCCCCTAAGTAAATACGCAGGAAGGACATGCCTTCTAGTCTGCAACAAAATTGACAGTTCATTTGCACGATAGAGATGATTTTAGCATGTAGTTTTCAGATGTCTTTTTGTAAATTAAATCACTATTTTAAGAAACAAAGAAAGTATATACTAAGAAAAGCCTGAAAATATAACCAGACAGTAATTACTTTTTGTGTGACCTCTTGAACCCAGTTACTAAAGTTGCATCAAGCCTTGAACTCCCCCCTCTTTCCTGTCTACTCCACCTCCATTTGGAGAAATGTTTAGAGGGGTGGGATCGCAATGGTTCTATGCAAGACTACAGTCAACATACATCGTAATATGATGTCTTTATATGATATAGCTAGGGTTTGAGCTAAGGGCCAGTCCACTGATCATTGCCAGGTTACTTTCTAAATAGACCAGTTGAATTTTTCACTAGGTATAGGAAAATAACATGTCAACTGGTCAATAATGCCATCTTGATCAGCTGCTCTCAGAGCCTTAGCTCAACCCCTCGTCAAAGCCAATCAGAAAATATGTGTGTTCTGTTCTAGATGAAGACAGCATGTATTCATCGATAGGTGTTGGTGGGGGCAGGTGGAAGCAGAAAGGGGTATGTTGCTGTCTTATTTTATATACAAAAATCAAATCACAAACGTGACATATATGATTTTTTTTTTCTCTTATAAATGATAATGATTCAGCCGTCTTTACATTGTGTTGGACAGTCATCATCATCATCATTTGGAAAATGATTTGTTCATTCTTATTCTTAATTAGCATCGTCACCACCATCTCCCTTGACCATGATCAAAATGCTTTCCTCTCTCAAGAGTTCACTGTATCCACTGATCATGATTGAGATGAGTTTTTGTCACCACAAGGAAGTGGTGACATATTGTTATAACCACCGTCAAAATTTGGTAGTCAGCATCTCTATATAATTGTTACACATTTACAGCGAATTATCATTTTGAGCTGACTGTCTCAACTGATCATGATCAAGATTGTTTTTACTTTCAGGGGCCAAGTCTTTCAACTGACACTGATGTTCCCCCAGTTCCAAGGAAGACTCAAGATTCTTTAACATTAAGAGATCCAGAAAGAAGTGAGAATAGAATTATATTGTATCCATAGTTACATTGAAAATGAACTCATTAGAGTAAAAGTGAATTGAATGTTATTTATCCAAACTTTGAATTTATACAGTTATTCATTTGCATCATTTGGAATTGACGATTTGAATTGTTTACTAGTGCCCCCATCCGCAACAGATCAGGCCTCTGGTGGAGTGAGCAAAACATTGAACAGAGCCTTTAAGAATGTTAAGATATCACTGCCTAAGGTAAACTATTACACTGTACTATTTGATGAACTTTAATAATGGACGCATGTTTAATATTATAAACATACAGGGTGAGTGAAAATTAAACATTGGGCCTAATCAAGTGAAATTTGATGTGTAAGCTTGGGACACGTTTTTTCACTTACCCTGTAAAACAAGAAATGATTAAAGAGCCACTGTATCTTTAAAACCACAAGATTGCATGATTGCATTATCTGCTTTAAATTGTAAATATACTTGAAATAGAATGGATTTAATAAGTGAAAAACTAAATTTGAGTTCACAGAATAACACTGTTCACTAAGGGGTCATGAACAAATAATTCTAGAAATAATTGTCTCAACCAGACAAATGAAAATATCTAGCTTTAAAATGATGTATGATATTAAGCTGATCAGGAGCTTTTGTTTGGACTATTTAAAACTTTAAAAGACATAAAATATCTTACTGATTTAATAAGAAATAATCACATCAATATTTTTGTTTTACATTTGCAATGTATAATTGTAGCTTGGAACCAATTGGAAAACCATGGGAACAACTACAACTCCAACTGATCGTAAGTTAGCTCACCTTGAGCTTAAAAGTACATCAAATTCAGAACAATCTGTAACTTGTACAATCAATGAATGTAAAATTTTGAAAAAATTGGTTGATTCTCGAACTTTTATATTAAAAACAACAAACAGAAAAAACTAATTATTAATGGTGTATGGCATTGTGCTTTTAGAAATGCTTTGGTATTTCATGTTGAGTTAGAGACATTTAAGCCTGAAGTGCTGATTCTATATTATCTTGATTCTATCATAACATTGTAAGATTTTGGAGATTGGTTTGAGTAACATTTGATCACTGCACGCATGTAATACCCATATTGAGTCAAAGAGCAAATTGAATGTAACATACAAACCTAAGCTTAAACTGGAAAAACTCATGGTTTTCTATTTGCAGCTGTATCACCAAATGCAAATCCATATGTGGTGAAAGGCATTGATATGGGTAAGTCCCATATAAAGTCAATGAGTAGAATATCCAATGTACAATTTATATATTTTACTTGCTTATTTCAAACCTAAAATAATGAAATAGTTCCATTAAAACAAAATAAACTATTGTATTAAGTCCTCAATCCAAATTCTAAAAAATAAGTAAGTATATTGCAAAAACAGTTGACACATTTGTACTCAGTAAAATATTCATTCAGTGTCTCCAGTTTGAGTTTGCCATTGGTGTCTGTAACAACTGTCAAACTTTTGTAACCATTTTCAAATGGTGTGCATTTTGTATATTATTTATTTTCTCTCCAGGTTGGGGTAACAGAGTTGGTCAGCCAAAGGGAGAAAGGAGCGCACCTCTGTCTTGGAAACAATAGTGAAGAAGCTAGCAGCTAATGAGAATTCTTCGTATCTGTCTTACAGAGCTAGCAACCAATAACCACAAATTGGTACCAGGCATGCAAGTGTGCTTTAAAGGAGTTGCAGATCTACTGATCAAAACTATTGACCAATTGTCATGTAATTTTTCAATACTGCTGGAATGATATGCTTTGCCTGAGAGGAACTAACTGGCCTCAGGCATGATGGACAGAGCTTATGTACCACATTGATTGGTACATCATACTGACCAACTGAGTTCATGCCCTTGTGACATGTTTCGAAATGAACTGTCTCATTGTTGGACCCAAGTGTGCTTGTACTAGCTCATTGGGCATGATTGGCAATTACATTGTGATATTAACGTCAAACATGACATTATAAACATAGGCACTTAAAGATATGCTAGAGTGTATTTTTGAGGCAAAATCTTTTGATTTATCTATTAGAAACCATCCTTTAGACATTTGAACTAAACAATGCAACTTTTCACCATTTTAGAATTTTGAAATGATCACTTTGAAAATTACGAAGAGAAATATGATTCATATGACTCAAATTCTAAAAGTTGTTCTTTGCAGGCCAAAAATTTGAAGAATGAACAACTCCTCTTAGAGCAGGGTGGTTTTTAACTATTTATAATTTTTTGTGATTCTTCCATTCCAGCTTCTGTATGTGCTGATGTTGATTCTGGGATTTGATATTTTTGTTAATTTTTAGTTTAGAGAACAAATTATAACAACACTTCTTAAAATCTCAGAATCAACCAATAGCTAAGAAAGACAATGCATGCCAATATATAGCCCTGCATACACGTCAGAAAATACTGTTTTAGTTTTGTAAGCTGGACTCCATTTAATTCTGTGCTTTATATAAACACTGTATTTTGATTTTTTGATTCCCTTTTTGGGATTCATCAAATTTGTACAATGATTTAATTTACAGTTAAACACCTTTGTGAAATGCCTGCACCTTGCAAAATGATTGCAATAATTAGTCTCATACATGTGCATTACTATTTGATCAATCCTAGGGTGGTAAAAATGCAGCACTCTTTGGATGTCTCATTATGTCACCACCAAAAGTGGTGACATATTGTTATGGTCTCCGTTTTTTTGTGACGGCGGTTGGCGTCCGGCGTCCGGCGTCTGTAACAATTTCTTACAACTTCCTATAACTTAACAAATACTGTTTAGACTGACTTCAATTTTTTTTCTAAATCATCTACATGTTCTCAGAAGTTCAAATCTGACTTTAGATTTTACATTTGACCTTCAATGACCTTCTCAAGGTCAAAAAGGTCTTTTTTCAACTTGCTTCACATTGACTAAATTTTTTTTCAAAATCATCTACATGTTCTCAGAAATTCAAATCTGACTTTAGATTTGACATTTGACCTTCAAATCTGACTTTAGATTTGACATTTGACCTTCAATGACCTTCTCAAGGTCAAAAAAGGTCAAAAAGGTCTGTTTTCAACTTGCTTCAAATTGACTAAATTTGGCGGTTGGCGTCCGGCGTCTGGCGTCCGGCGTCTGGCGTCCGGCGTCTGTAACAATTTCTTACAACTTCCTATAACTTAACAAATACTGTTTAGACTGACTTCAATTTTTTTTCTAAATCATCTACATGTTCTCAGAAGTTCAAATCTGACTTTAGATTTTACATTTGACCTTCAATGACCTTCTCGAGGTCAAAAAGGTCTTTTTTCAACTTGCTTCACATTGACTAAATTTTTTTTCAAAATCATCTACATGTTCTCAGAAATTCAAATCTGACTTTAGATTTGACATTTGACCTTCAAATCTGACTTTAGATTTGACATTTGACCTTCAATGACCTTCTCAAGGTCAAAAAAGGTCAAAAAGGTCTGTTTTCAACTTGCTTCAAATTGACTAAATTTTTTTTTCAAAATCATCTACGTGTTCTCAGAAATTCAAATCTGACTTAAGATTTGACTTAAGATTTGACATTTGACCTTCAATGACCTTCTCAAGGTAAAAAAAGGTCAAAAAGGTCTGTTTTCAACTTGCTTCAAATTGACTTAAAAATTTTTCCAAAATCATCTACATGTTCTCAGAAATTCAAATCTGACTTTAGATTTGACTTAAGATTTGACATTTGACCTTCAATGACCTTCTCAAAGTCAAAAAAGGTCAAAAAGGTCTTTTTTCAACTTGCTTCAAATTGACTAATTTTTTTTTCAAAATCATCTACATGTTCTCAGAAATTCAAATCTGACTTTAGATTTGACATTTGACCTTCAATGACCTTCTCAATGTCAAAAAAGGTCAAAAAGGTATTTTTTCATCTTGCTTCAAATTGACTAAAAATTTTTTTCAAAATCATCTACATGTTCTCAGAAATTCAAATATGACTTTAGATTTGACTTTAGATTTGACATTTGACCTTCAATGACCTTCTCAAGGTCAAAAAAGGTCAAAAAGGTCTTTTTTCAACTTGCTTCAAATCTTTTTCAAAATCATCTACATGTTCTCAGAAATTCAAATCTGACTTTAGATTTGACCTTTAATGACCTTCTCAAAGTCAAAAAAGGTCGAAAAGGTCTGTTTTCAGAAATTCAAATCTGACTTTAGATTTGACTTTAGATTTGACATTTGACCTTCAAAATCATCTACGTGTTCTCAGAAATTCAAATCTGACTTTAGATTTGACTTAAGATTTGACATTTGACCTTCAATGACCTTCTCAAAGTCAAAAAAAGGTCAAAAAGGTCTTTTTTCAACTTGCTTCAAATTGACTAATTTTTTTTTCAAAATCATCTACATGTTCTCAGAAATTCAAATCTGACTTTAGATTTGACATTTGACCTTCAATGACCTTCTCAATGTCAAAAAAGGTCAAAAAGGTATTTTTTCATCTTGCTTCAAATTGACTAAATTTTTTTTTTCAAAATCATCTACATGTTCTCAGAAATTCAAATATGACTTTAGATTTGACATTTGACCTTCAATGACCTTCTCAAGGTCAAAAAAGGTCAAAAAGGTCTTTTTTCAACTTGCTTCAAATTGACTAATTTTTTTTTTCAAAATCATCTACATGTTCTCAGAAATTCAAATCTGATTTTAGATTTGACATTTGACCTTTAATGACCTTCTCAAGGTCAAAAAAGGTCAAAAAGGTCTGTTTTCAACTTGCTTCAAATTGACCAAATTTTTTTTCAAAATCATCTACATCTTTTCAGAAGTTCAAATTTGACTTTACAAGTTCTCAGAAGTTCAAATCTGACTTTAGATTTGACCTTTGACCTTCAATGACCTTCTCAAGGTCAAAAAGGTCTTTTTTCAACTTGCTTCAAATTGACTAATTTTTTTTTCAAAATCATCTACATGTTCTCAGAAGTTCTTCTTAAGGTCAAAAGGTATTTTCCAACTTGATTTAAATTGACCAAATTGTTTTAGGTGGTGACATTTTGTCATGTTAATGCCTTGTATTATTATGTCACCACCACAAGTGGTGAGATATTGTTATAGATTCAAACCTTTTTTGTGGTGGTGATTGATGTTCCATTGTTGATGTTTGGTGTTGGATGGTTGGTGTTTGCCAGTTGATTTTTGGCATTCAGTGTCTGTAACAAATGGCAGGTGGTGACATTTTGCATGTTAAATGCCTTGTTTATATATTATACTAGTAGTCCAAGTTGTGGATAAGACCTGGAGTCATCATGGTTATAAAAATTGAGCCAGGAGTCAATAAGAAAAAGTGTCCTTCGATGTATACATGTATTTGTTAAAAAAAAAATGAGGAAAAACGTTTAAAATTATCTCCTAAACGTATTGCTACTAAAGATAGCACAAAAATCTATGCTGCAATGTTGATTTACGATGATAAGCTCCATTTGTTCTAAGCAATATTTTATATTTTCTTGTAAAAATCTAAATTAGTTATCATTAGGCTCCACTGTAGCAGGTTTTAAACAGACTTTTGAAAGTTGTGATTTCTGACGCATGAGTCCATAATTATTTGTTCCACTAGTTCTGTCAGTAGCGCAAAGCCCCAATTATTTACTGCACTACTATATCATACATAGTACAAGTACATAAGACCTATATGTTTGCTCTGTTATATAATCTGCATAACCATAAAAGCACAGTATTTTGTTCATGATTCATTTTAGGAAATGTCTCATTTGACCATTCAGTTGATGTTGCAATAACTTTGTATACTGTATATATAGACATGATATTTTTGTGGATGATTTGGCCTCTATCTGTTTTGGTCATTTTATTCCAATTTTTCAATGTAATTACAAAGGCAGTGTATTTTTCAATTTTCTGACTGTTATTTGACCACGATATGATGTAATAAGAATTCTTGCGACAAAAAGATGAAAAAAACAGTATTTGGAAACAAAGATGTTATTATGCAAAAACATTCACTTATGCCACGTCATGATTCAAAACTGAAAACTTATATCAAAGCAAAGGTTAAGAATCAATGAGATGATGAAAACGTAATGAAATGACATCCTTCGCTACTGTTAAAGTATTTTTGTTTGTATCTGTATCTTATATACAATATATCGGGTGTCCTAAAAAAATGAGCCACTTTTTGACAACTATGGGAATTTGCTGATAATACTCTTAGGCTAATTTGTACAAATTTTCAGTGAATTTGGTTCATCAATTGCCGAGATAATACTTGACAAAAAGTAGCTTATTTTTTGGGACACCCGATATGTTTGCCAAATTTCCCTTTCTTGCTTACCTGTTGTGGTATCTAGATTTTGGTATAGAAATACGTGAACACAACCAGGGACCAGCTGAATTGGTTTATATCATTTCTGTGGTATGTGATTGATTTTGTTGTTTCTTGTAAACTCAGTTGATAACATTCCTGAATTGATTTCCAATTGTTTAATATTAGCACTGTTGAACTTCTAGTTAAAATTAACATTACTGAACTGTAAAATGAAGTAATTTTGGGCACATTTTAATTTGGTAATTTGCAAATTTTGTACAAGATCGTTATTTACTATGTTCGTCAATTTATCATGTTATTCTATGATATTAGTATTTCGAATACATGTACTTACAAATTTTCTGAAAATTAAAATTAAATCAATTAGAACAGAATTGACATTGTCAACTATGTGTTAATACATTTCCAGAGTGTTTTGTGGTAAATTGAATATAAAACACATATATTATCTTAACGAATGCAGTGTTAATATATATGAATTGTAGCACTACAGTTAGCAAGGGGCCAAATTGCACATGTTATCCATGATTGTAATAATTTCGAGCTAGCTGATTGTCCATGTGATAAAGTATTTACAAGATAATATTCTTGCCGACATGAAGCATTTAATTTTTTGTCTTCTACGCTTCCAAGGCCACCTGGTTCTGAACTTTTTTATCCGATACATATGTTCTTATTATATAATTGTTTTATACAGGCCTAAGGTTAAGTGGCACTTAAAAATACAGCGCCCTCTATGAAATATAAAATTTCTTGGGCTCAATGTTTTCCTATAATTTTTTATAACATTTGTTTTGTTTTTGTGTAAGTTGCATGAGCCATACACACATTTATATTTTATTTTTTGATTGTTGTGTATAGTGTTAGTCAACAGTCTGTTACACTTCTTCAAAGGCAAGCAGTTGAACCTGAAAAATTAGATATCTACAGACCATTGTGCCATAATATATAG